CTCCCGCTTCCCATGTAAACAAACAAGATAGGCTAGCTAAATAGCTAGAAGAGATTAAAAGGGAAAACCGGTTCCCAGCCCAAACCTATCCAGGTATATAGCCAAAATGCAAACAGGTCGTGACGTCGTAAAAGATGGTGGGTATGCGATATATATATGTGTGTGCTGGATGAACGAATAGGGGGAATCCAATTACTGTCAATAGGGAAAACGCGAAGAGTCGGAAATCAAAAAGCTATTGCGAAAATGCGGATCCAGGAGCCACAGGGTCGACGTAATATCTACTTCCGATACTACGTCTAATCTTCTCCCGCCTTTTTTCTGTACGGCGCTCCCTTAGTCTCTCCTTAACGCCAGATATGCCAATGTACTGGACGTGGTATTTCTTCAGACCTGGAAGGCTCTTGCCTTGGCGCCAGGAGCCTCGGCTTCTACGGGACTGTTCGTACTCGTAGGAGACGGTCGACATGTTGTCTGGCACGGAAGCGCTGCGACGGAGGTCGTGGCTAGAACGACGCTTGGTAACGCCACCGCCGCGGTGACGGCCCAGGGGCTGTGTGGGTGCTTGGATAATGACCTTGGGCTCCGCCAAATGGCCAGCTGTGCGTGGGGTTCGGAAGTGTGGTGGAAGAGTGACATGATGACGACGTTTGTTCGTGCCCGCACGTTCAACGCCGAGAGAGTTGCCGATGAGGAAGCCGCCTGAGCCACGGAAACCGCCCTTCAGCTTGTTGCCGAGAGTGCTGGCACGCCGTGGTCGTGGTGGCTCCGGCTCCGGCTCTGGATCTTCAATGTCGCTGGTGTCGCCACCCTGGGGCAGGCCTTCTTCCTCGTCGCTCTCTGAGTCACCGTCTTCAAAGCCGTCCCAGAAACCGCGCGGGCGCCAGAAAGGATGAAGTGTGCCATCTTCGTCATTGACACTGGGGACTGAGGGATTTCGGTGAGTGTGTCCGTGAGACTCACTAGCGTATCGGGTTCGGTTGTTTGAAGCGCGAGCGAAAAGCGGTGTGATGAGATTGTCAGAGTACCGCCGAGCTCGCTGCAAAACAGATAGTCGCCGTTGGGGGTGGGAATCAGATCGCTCAGGAGGTCCTGGTGGCCCAGGTACCAGCTCCTTCTCGAGCTCTTCCATGGGTGTAGGAGGAATGAAGTTGATTTTAGGTGGCACTGGCGGGTCTCGAGGGTTTTCAAGAGGCGAGTCTACGCCGTCGGGCTGGGGGAGGTCAGACTGCATCGGAGGGGTTGAGGGCTCAAAGGTCAAAGTTGGCTGGGGGTATGGTTCATCAGTCTCTTCGCGAGCCTCCTGAGGTGCTTCGTCTGCATCCACAAACGGCGGTGTAGGTGTTGCCCGCACCTCTCGGACGTCCTGTAGTTGACGCTGCTCTGGCAACAGGGAGTTTCCACGCGATTGCTGCACAACGAGCAGAGAGTTGTTGTTGTGGGGATAGATGCTCACAGCAGTTGCCTCGGTGACTTCGACTGTATCGGAGAACTGGGAGAATGGCGTCGATTGAGAGTACAGGTGGCGGGCATTAGCATGCTCTTCAGTCCGAGAAGCAGATCGCGAAGCGGATCGATCGAAACTAACGCGGCCGTGGTCTCCAGAGTCAGGTCGCGATGCCTGGCTGCGGCGTTTCATCTCTGGTGTGTATACACGATCGTCTACGACGGGCCGGACAGCCGCGTCAGGAGACAAGGAAGCGCTCTCCTGGTGTAGAGATGCCCGCTTCGCCCATGAAGTTGGCCTTGATGGTTGACGCTGAGGCTCACTATCTTTCAACGGCGAGAACTTCTCTAGGTTCTCGGATGTAGCAGGGTTCTGCTTTGCATCAACGACGAGGGTAGCTTCCTCTGCAGTCTCACGAGCCGCAAGTAGGCGTCTGACTCTGTCTGTCAGCGCAGACGGCACACGAGCGTCTTCGACAGGATGACTCGCTCCCATGAAGACATCGCGTTCGGCTGGTCCATCTACACCCTGGTCAGGAAGATCGGACAGGGTCTTGTCGAGACCGCCTGGGAGTTCCACATCAGTGACCACTGGTTCTTGTCGTCGACCTTTCCGCGACGTCGGTGATGCTCGGCGTGGCTTCGGTGAAAGGGTTGGCGATGGTGCTCGCTCCACAGGCGGTTGTGTAGTTTCAATCGGCCTTGGACTTTCGGACGGCAGGATCTCTGTAAAGTTCCTTGGTTTCGAAGACAGCGTTCGTCTTGTGGGTTCAGGTGCTGAGTTTACTCGTTTGTGGTAACTGCCACCTGATCGGGCAATTGTGCTGTGTCGACTCAGTATGTCCGCGGCAGGTTGTAGCACGTTCCGTAAGGATTCCTGATGAGCCTGTGTATGCGCCGAGCTATCGATAGTCCTCGATCGCAACGACAGAGACGGAGACATGATGCGCTGAGAACTGACATCGGAGTCAGTGCTAAACCTCGCGCTCCTGTCGGCAATGTTGGTCCTCTTGTGCACTAGGCGACGAGGCGGCACGTCGTCGTACTGGGAAATGACCGAATTGCGATTTGAGTAGGCTCCGGATCCAAGCTCCGAAGGCGCGCTGATGTCTCTTCTGTATGCCATGTTCCGTCCTGAGTGTCGTAGTGTTTGTGTTCTTCGCGGCGGAGTGATGATAACATGGGCCGATACTACTGTCGAAGCCACTGACGCTGTCGAGAGTCGCTTGTTGGTTGAATCGCGATGCTTCCCAGCCGACATGCCTTCGCCCTCCGAGGGCCACCCTATGGAATGCGCAAAGTTCTCGATGGACGGCGTAACGGGACTGTTGTGGCTGGCCTCGACGCGTTCGCGCAGACTGGAAGCGCGTCGCGCTCTGTTGCTTGGAGTTGGGGAGGCGGCTTCGACGATGGTGACGGCAGGGGCGGATTCGGCAATGGGTTCTGCGACGGGCGCGACAGGCTTTGCGACGGGTTCTGGGGCGGATACTTTGCGAGGAGAATTGTAGTCGGGTCTGCGTTTTCTGCGAACCGTTACGTTGCGCATGAGGTCTGTGTTCCACTCCCGATCTGGGATATCCTCGACCACCTGGGGACCCTTGTTTTCCTCAGCACCGACCGTTGAATCCACCTGTTCAGTAGCGGGGAAGTAGGGGCCTTGGATGTTGGTCGGCGTGACATCACTTTGGTCGTGTTCGAATGCCAGGCCCAGTCCTCGGTCTTCCTCGACAGTGCTCAGCCTGTCGTTGGCGGGTGTCACTGATCTGCTGTCGTCGCGATCCGAGGAGAAGGGGTCCTCTCTAGCAGTCTGGAAAGAGTCCGCTCTTGAGGAGGGATATGTGTATATGGGCGGTCGTTCGAGCGTGGCATTGGTAGCATTGGTAGCGTTGGAAGCATTCGAGGCGTTGGTTCGCGGCGGACTGGGATCGGGCGTGGGAGGACTGCGCGCATTGACTGGAGTGCTGAGGGACGACTTTTGTGAAATGAGCGAGTTGCGTACGCTGTCGGCAAGTGGCAGTTGCTCGGGCATTTGGGTGGAGGATCCGTCCTGGGAAGCTGTGGGCGGCGTGGGCGGGAGGCCGCTGTCTGCTCCCTTGAGCAGGCCGGGCGAGGGGAGCGGCGTGTTGTGGTCGCTTTCGATGGTCGACTCGGTGTCATCGGTAGCTTGTGTGGTGTATGAATAGTCTCGTTTCAGGGGCGCTGCAGCTCTCGAGTAGGTGCGGTAGTCGTCGGTGCGGAGCGGCAGGCGCTTCGTCTGGCGTAGGTTCGGGGAGGGTTGGAAAGACGACTCGAGCATGGCATAGACGTCGGGCTCAGGTTGGGACATGGTAGCCAGGCGCCTCATAGCGAGGGCGCACTCGAAACCCTAATCCTCCTTTGCCGTCCCTGTCGCTGCTGGCCCGTGTACCGCTGCAAGGTGGCTCTTCTGTCGTTGTTAGGAAGAAGCCATGACCCGCGAGCGCAAGACGGCCGTGTTCTTCTACATGCGACGCTGCTGTCGCTGTGCCCACGTCGCAGCACTCGAGACGTATGCAGGCTGCCGTCGGTGCAGGGCGCTGGGTGGTGGTGACGCAGGTAGCCTCGGGATGGCCGTGCCAAGCCAGCCGTTCACGATGCGATTAAGCGGACGCACGATGGACAGGACAATTTGCGACGGCGGCAGACCCGGCGAAGGAGACTCGGGGGTGGGCACGGTATGGCGAGTGAGGCGGAATTTGGAGACGGGACGTTGGTGTGCGGAAGGAGCAGGTCACTGCGCAATAATCGATGCGCGCGCCGAATTGGTGGCTTTCCAAGCTTCGGCGGTGATAGCGGCCGGGGGTCCAGATGGCCTCAGTGATCGCGTCGGTTTTTGGGCGACTGTGTTAGGGGAACAGAAAAACAGGTGCCGTGGTGGCGATTGTGTGTTTAGAAAAGCAACAATTATTACTACTACCACCGACATTACCATGCGAAGCCGCTGTGGTTGGAGACGGCCATGTCAGCTAACGCTTCACCATGATCTCATTCGCCTTATCGCAGGGATTTGTGCCAGCAATCGCGCCAGTCATCCCGCCCAACACGCTGCTTTTCTGCACCACAGCCCTCTCTCGTCCCAACCTGCGTCTACGGCACGCAACCCCTCTTCCGTGCACCACGTATGTGACGGTACTCCGCGACCCGCATCGACTTGCAATCATGTGCTCAAGTCTCTTTGTACCTTTGTACTTTGTACCTTTCACCGGATAGCTAGCCTGCGTCGTATCTTCAGACGCACTATCCACGCATGCATTCCAACGGTCGTTGATCAAGATTGCACACTGGCCTCAAACGTGTCAAACTACACCACCCGTCTTGGTGACAACGGTTGAAGTCGGCGGTCTCGGGTCCTCCCAGCGCATAGCTAGAGATCACGCTATGAAGGTGACGTCACGAGCCTCTGATGGCATTTCTACGTGCGGATGCTCGGAGGATGCTCGGAAGAGTGCAGTCATGGAGACATTATAAAAGTTCAAACACGTTCGCCGACATGCATTTTCACACCAACACATCCAAGGTAAAATCTGTTCTACAACATGCACGCTATTGCAGTAACCGAGTATGGTCCCATCACCAACCTCAAATCAATCGACATTCCCAAACCCTCCGACCCGCAAGGCCATGACATTCTCGTGCGCGTAAAAGCCTGCTCTGTCAATCCAGTCGACACCAAGGCGCGCGCTGGGACCTACGATGACTATCCAGACTACTACGAACGAACACCCAAGCTTCCTCAAATCCTTGGCTTTGACGGCGCTGGCGTGATAGAAAGTGTTGGATCTGCTGTCACGAACTTCAAGTCTGGCGACGAGGTGTACTACTCTGGTTCCCCAATCCGACAAGGAAGCAACGCTGAATACCAGCTGGTAGATTCGAGAGCCGTGGCACTGAAACCAAAGAGTCTGGACTGGGGACAGGCTGCTGCCATGCCCTTGACTTGGATCACAGCGTATGAAGCACTCGTGGAACGCATGGAGATTCAGAAGAACGAACAGGCTGGCATCTTGATCATCAACGGAGCAGGAGGCGTTGGCAGCGTAGCAAGTCAGATCGCGCGTCGTGTTCTCAACCTCCCTGTTGTAGTCACTACAGCGTCTAGAGAAGAGACAGTCAATTTTTCAAAAGACGTAGGAGGCGCCATGCATACCATCAACCATCACAAAGACATTACAGAAGAAGTTGAAAAGTTAAAGCTCGACGTCCCCATCAAATACGTCTTCATCACGCACACGCCAATGTCCGGCTATCTCGCACCTGCAGCTAAGATTTGTGCACCCTTCGGAAGAGTATGTTCTATTGTTCAAGACAAGGAGATGCCAATGTATGGCACCGAATTCATGGCAAAGAGCCTTACGTTCACTTGGGCATTGTTGGGCACAAAACCGTATTACGGAGTCGACGTTGAGACTCACGGAAGAATTCTCGAAGAATTGGCTCAAATGCTAGATGATGGGAAAGTGAAGTGTCATTGCATGCAGAAGCTGAAGGTCGATGAAGATGGCTTGAGAAAAGCTCATGAGATCATTGAAGGTGGAAAAGCGATTGGGAAGGTTGCTTTGGAATTCTGATCAGAGAAACGTGGTATCGATAGATTAAAAGTATTCGCCTATCCAAACGTATACATTGATATTTCTCTTATGTGTCGGGAGCGCAACCGTCTCGGCTTCATTGCCGTTACGACGGTTCTGACGTCAAACCCCGCGCTGTCACTTCCCGTTCGGGCAAGTGTTTCCTCAGATATATCCCATCCACCTATCCGTTCAGTGATACCAGCCGAACTACCTCAACATATCACTCTTCGCAATGGGAATAAAAGTAAACTCTTACAAACTCCCTCCAACGCCGCTTATCCCAAACTCCCCCTATCCACTACTCCACTACCCAGGTCTACTCCGCGATCTAGTATCATCGCCCACCTTCAAAACTACTCAAATACTAGATCTCTACGCCTCAAATGGCTGGCAAACGCAATGGATAGCAAAATACGGTCTGGATATCCAATCCCACTATCACTCCACCACACATGAAGCCATGACTGTCATCTCAGGCGAAGGTGCCACCATCCGCTTCGGTGTTGCCGACTCACCCTCCTGGACCCAGGGAAAGCACTCACCAGGAGATAGAGCAGATGGTGAAGAAGGCGGCATAGACATTGAAGCGAGGATTGGCGACGTTTTTATCATACCTGCTGGAGTAAGCCACAAGACGTTTCTTCCAAAACCACATAATGAAAAGCTCGGGTTCTATCAACCAAAGGATGTTGAAGAGGGTCGGGCAGCAGAGATTGATGATGAGAAGGAGCGAGAGAGAAGAAAGTTCTTTGAGAGTGTCGAGGTCGAGAAGAATTTCATGATGATGGGCGCATATCCTTACGGTGGTGTTTGGGATTTCGCTGTTGGAGGTGAGCATAATGGAAAGGAGGGAGAGGTTTGGCATGTAAAGGTGCCAAGGAAGGATCCTGTGCTCGGGGATGGTGAAGAGGGCATTCTGGGACTATGGCAAGGAATTTAAGCGCTGTAGTAACTTGCAGACCATCCAGTATGTACATTGCTGAATTGCCAACTCTTGTGGGCGCCGCAATGATGAGGTTGGAAGTTCTCCGCATATTTTGTCCTGAGATGGGTCCGATGATCCCGGAATCGGCGCTAGCTCCACTCTCACGCAACGCGCCCTACGAGCGATCTCATTACACCTCGTTGATATATAGCAGGTAGCCATGCCCCTACAATTCGCGCCTCCAGAACTGTTCTCCACGATCGATGAAACTTGCCTTTTTCCCGTCCGTTCAGATCAATGCGATACTTGGACAATTCCTCAACTATTCCAGAGCATGCTTCTCATGTACGCGTACGACTAGCGCACTGAGAAAAAGAGCAGGCACAAGAGGCACGCAAGACTGGCCCTCCAGATAGCCCCCAGAGACCCTCGCTTCTACGCGACGTACACATGGACCGATGCTTTGCGAGGACCGTCACCCGCTGGTAACCGCCGGATCATAGACACAGTCAAGCGACCGCCATCGTTATCATCATTACCAACGCCAACACATCGTTTCATCAAGGGCTCATACCAAAGTACACAGTAGTCGGAGCGACTTTACGCCCGGCCCAGGCCATCGGGCTTCCAAGTGCCAAGTCAGTGCCGTGTAGCCGGGTGCCATCTTACAGATAACAAATGCACGGTCTAGCTCTCAGCCAACGCTGATATTACTCGCAGTGTATGGTCGATTTTCGAGCATTACCCCGGATCTGGATGGCCTCACCTGTCGCGTGTGTGTATTCGAACGCGTGCCAAGACCCCGCCCTCAGGCCCAAGACTTATCGTAGTGACCTGACGATATCACTACCCCTCGTGGCTGGCACGCTAACACAGGACCAGCGCCACGTCCGAGAACATGGTACGGAGCTGGCATTTGTCTAATCTGAATCATCCAACCAAGATGAAGCTGCTGATCACTTGGGATCCGTTGTATCCGGCCTGTAGGGCACGCCTGGAGCTAGCTGAGCCTGTGCGAAGAATCTGGGGAAGTCTTGGAGATGTACGCCACAGTTGTAGTGATGTTTGTAGAAGGAAGGTGGGCGATTGCTCGGGCTGGGCAGTGCTTGGTGAGACAGGAATCCAAGAGAGGATGGTCAGATAGTATGTCTCTATATACCGGGATCAACTGCGCCAGTCTTACGGTCGACTCTGAGACTCACCACACAACTCCTGTTGTTCTCACAATTCATATCTTCTCGCCTTGGACGTCAAGATGGGAGCAATCAAGAAAATCCTTTTGAAGCTCTCGCCAGACTCGAAAAAAGGGGAAGATGGCCGCGATGTGTTCGGCAACCGTGTTCAATTCGTTCTTTGCGCCATGGGCGGTGCCGTTGGTCTTGGTAACCTGCTACGATTCCCATCAGTCGTGTACAACAACTACGGTCTTCAGTTCTTCATTCCGTACCTCATCGCTCTTTTTTTCGTTGCCCTTCCCGTCTTGGTCTTGGAGATCGCGCTTGGTACCGTCTACCGTGGTGGTCCTGTGTTGGCATGGCACAGCAACAACAAGCGCGCCAAAGGCATTGGTCTTGCCGTCGTATTCAACGGTGTAAGCAGATTCGGGTCTGACAGAGTTGCAGAACAAACGCTAATCTTCCACTCTCAGTATGTCGTTGTCACCTACTATGTACCGCTCCTATCCTGGATCATGAAGTACTTTGCTCGATCGTTCCAGAGTCCCCTTCCATGGAAAGGGGCGGACCTTAGCGAGTACTTTGCCGAAGTCATAGTTGCCAACGCGGCCCCAGCATCGACCGGTAGCTTCAACCCCGATGGCAGTGTCGCCTCTTACACTAGTTACACGGGAACCGGGATGCTGGGAGAGACTGCAGGCTGGGCAATCTTCACCTGGTTTGTCACCTGGTTGTGCGTTTTTAGGGGTGTAGGCATGACTGGACGTGTCATCTACGTTACGATGGGTCTTCCTCTGGTTCTGATCATTATTCTTATTGGTCGTGGAGTCTCTCTACCTAATGCTGGAGAGGGTATCAAATTGTACTTTGCTACATGGAGGACAAGCGCACTCCAGAGTCCGCAGATCTGGCAAGCGGCTTTCGGTCAGATATTCTTCTCTATCGGTGTCGGCTTTGGGTAAGCTTCAAACGCGGCACAACAAGCAAGTACGCTGACACGCATTCAGGTACTTCACTTCATGGGCATCTTACTGCTCGCAACACTCAAACGCCGTGCAAGATGCTCTCATCATCGCCTTTAGCAACTCCGCTGTCGAGGTCATTGCCGCTTTCTCAGTCTTCGGTGTCATTGGCTACCTAGGCATTGACCCCTCCAGCGGCGAGGCCTTGGGTACTTTCGTCACAGGATTCATCACATACCCCGAAGCTCTAGCACAGATGCCAGGCGCTCCGTTTTTCTCCGTAGTCTTCTGTAAGCACCCGCGAACGATCAGCACTCGAGACATGAGCTAACTCAGTAGTCTTCACGCTCTTCCTTCTCGGCCTCACTTCCGCGTTCTCTCTCCTCGAAGTCATGACTACGTTGATCCTCGACACAAACTGGGGCTGCAAGATTCCTCGCTGGGCTGTTTGCACTATTGTGACTATTGTCTCTGCGCTCATTTCTTTGATTTATTGCACCGAGTTTGGTCTACAAGCCCTTGATGCAGTGGATACATACGTTAACGATGTCGCCCTCTTCTTCACAGGTTCGTATGCTCTTTCTGACGGCATTGGATGGTCCGCTAACATATCTGTAGTATGGTGCGAGACCTTCGCCGCAACATCGCTCTACCGCTGCCGCGATGTCGCGAACCAGGTCGGCTGGCCCAGCTACCTCATCTACACCATCGGATTCGCTGTCGCCCAAGGACTTGGCATTCGCGTTGCTTACGGCTCCACTCCTGGAATTGGTGCTGGCGTCGGTTTTGCCTTCTTCTTTGCCAGCACTTTCATCGCACTCTTCGCTGCTAGAACACCTGGTATCCCCGCCCCACGTTTCTGGGGTAACAGCAAGTTCATGAGCCGTTTCTGGTGGGTAGCTTTCTATCCTGGAAATCAGCTTACTAGGGATCTCAATGTTCTCATTGGCGTCGGAAAGAACTGGAATATCCCTTATTTTTGGGCTGCTATCATGAAGGTATGTTCACAAAAAGTTGATTGCTCATGATTGCACCGCGCTAATAAGATTGTTTCATAGTACATCTCCGGTCCTATCCTTGCCATTGTCCTCTCGTTCGCCTATCCGAAGTTCACGGAAACGCATATGTACGACCCCATCATGATCTATGGCTTCAGCATCGTTCATCTCGTTCTACCAACGATTGTATTGGGTCTTTTAATGCCGTCCTGGTTCAACTGGATCATCCCTTCCGCGAAGATTCCCCTGGGCGAAAAGCCAGTTGCGCCAATGGAGACGATTGACAACTCAAATGAGATCATAACAATCAGTAGTGAAGAGAGTGGAGTGCCACCGTACACTGCCGACCCTATGACGGAGCCCAAGGTATCGATGAAGCATTAAGCAATCATTGTGACAGTTTCCTGTACCGATCTTCTGTTGAATAGAAGGAAAGCCCGTAGCTAGTAAACAGACGATCGTTCATCTTCTAGCATCACAATAATCGATGGATTCTACTTTTTCCCTGACCCAAATACGCACTTTGCGAACTTTCCATGTCAACCTTACCGCGGACTAGCCTTCACCAGCCACGCTTTGATTCCCTCCGTATGTCTCCTAGGCAGCCCCTCCCACCTTCCCTCATCATACGTCGCATCAAGACTCTTCAAAATATTAGCCGCCTTCCTAAGTACCACTCTCTTCGCGCCAGCCCAAGGCGTCTTGTCGATAAAAGCATCCGCTTCGCCCATCAGCTCCATCCTCTTATCCCTGATCTCCTGTCCATCCTCTTTCTCCGCATCACAAAGCTTACATACACATCTGAAACCCCATGTCCTTTCCAGGAACCCTTGTCTCGTTTCATAGTCAAGCGAAGCATCGTAGGGGTGGAAAATTTCCTCGCCAGCTTTAATAGGCTCCGTAGCGCGGATGATGATCATGTCGCCCGCAAACTCCTTTGTTGTGTTGGCGAGGCAGGAGTGGTTGATATATGCAGCGTGACGCCAAAGACCTGTACTAGCATTTCTCGCGCTCTCTTCTCCAAACTGACTTCCAGGCCCGAAGGCGTTGCGCGACATGATGTCGTGGACCCGGAAGATGTCTACGACGGGGCCATCCTCGTTTGAGTATACATCGCTGCCTTCGCCTTGATAGTCACCGAAGAGATCCATTAGGTCTTCAGTTTGAGATGGCTGGTTGAGACATTTCTGAACGAGCGCTTTTGCGAGACCGACGGGTGCGACGCGAATACGGTCGTCGCGGATGTCATACGTCATAGCTGTAAGAGTGTCTTCTTCGTGACCCCATACTACGCAAAAGGCCTTTTCGCACATGACAGTCTCGCCAGGGGCGAGGTCACGGGTAGCGTATAGTCCGCGGCCCTTTCCTGGGCTGTCTTTGACTACAGTGTTTTTGATAAAGTTTCCAGCGTCAACTCTTGATCGGGCTTTTGAGAGACCGGTCCTGATCTTCATTAGATTGTAGCCTCCTGCTTCTTCCTCGCGTAGACGCGCTTCAATCTTCTTTAGTTGTACTTTGGCGTCCTTGTCGTCCGGGGTGAGCTTCTGTGCTTCTTGGAAAAAACGTTTGGCTTCCTGCCAGCGGCTCTGGTTGTACGAGGCTGACCCAGCGCGGTAGTAAGCTTTGCTATCTAGTTCCTTTGATTTCTGATCGTCTCTTCCGGTTAGTGAAGCTCGTGCGTCAGTCTTCACTTCGTCTAGCCGACCTAGTAGCAGGTTGACATAAGCACGATTCCGAAAAATGTCGCGCGCTAGATCGGGATTCTCTCCTGCGACGATGTCCTGCTTTGCGATCGCCAGGCCTGTGGTGTACTTCTCGTGGGCTAGTGGGAGATCCTGCTTCTTAAGTGCGTTGTTGCCCTGAGTTTTGAAGCGTGTAGCTGCCTTCTCCGCTGCCGCTGCATCAGCCCAATCTTTGGTGCCCTCTTCGTGGCAGATGACTAGGTCAGAGGGATGATCGATTCGAAGAGTAGGCTCTCCCTGTTCAGTGAGGGTAAAGTAAGGCTCTTTGATAATGAACTGCTTTGTGGACTCCAACACATCTTCGCTGTACCGTGTTTTGTGCAGCAATATCTCCAGACGTTCTGCATCGCTTCCGTCCTCATCCTGAACCATAGTCCACGACCTCGCGACGAGTGTAACTACTGGGCTCTCTCGCTTTACAACCAGTTTGTAGCCTCGGTGATGCGTCTCCATCTTCAGATCTGCCATTTTCATCGGCTTCAAATCTGACAGTGGCGTCGTGCATGGAGGATATGGCTGGCCTACGCCAATGACAGGGATCGTAGTTGAAGTCTTGCCTTGGGTTTGCATCATATCCGGATCCGGTGCACCTCCCATGTCTGCCATGAGAGCTGCGCCCGTGGCCTGCTGGTGAGCAGCTAGCTTGTCCCTCGGAGCCTTTACATTTCCGCTTTGCTCCTTGCACTTTTCTAATCGTTCTTTGACTGTCTTCTGTATCCGCTCCGCCTCTTTCTCCGTTAAGTATATCGTGTTGTCTTCACGCTGGCTGTTTGCCATATTTGCAACCTATCGCGTTGTTCTCTGGCCAATCTCTCAACTTTCCGCAGGTGTTACTAAAAATCTTTCTTGCGTGCCGATTGTGAACGTTTCCGGATTGCCTCGCAGTCAATCCTGATGTATCCGCCAACGAAATGACAGGAAAATTGCTTCGGTGAGGAACAGAAATTCAGGAGTACAGGGCGTGAAGTGGATTTCAGCTGACAGAATTTAATTCTGCTAGAGTCAGATGCTCTCTACTTGAAGTTCGACACCAAGTGCACCCGGAGGGGTCGAAGCTAACTGAAATTTGTTATCGATAAATGTGGGGCAGGAAGCGACACCTTTGGGAGCGGAACTCGAAGCCGCTCATAAAGTCTATCGTTGCCAACACAGACCTCACTATCACTATATAGTAATCCGAGCTTCAAGCAATCTACTTCCATACACTTGAGCTTTCTGCACCCGCTTCTTTGCCCTTTTGATATGTCTCACTTAGACTGTTATACAAACCTTTGACCCTCTCAATCTCGCCTAATAGCCTCTCCCTCTCGCTTCGATCATGAATCTCTCCGACGACGTCAGCAAAGCTCTTCGCGGTAAAGAACTTGTTCTTGCGATTGTACAGTTGCCTGCTCTGTACCTGCTTTTCGTTTTCGCCTTCCCCCTGCACCCTAAATACCTCTTGCAGGATGTCGATGTCATACGGGATCCCAAATAGATCCCGACTATCCTCATACGTGAACAAATAGTAAAACTCGTTGAAACCCGCCCAAGTAATGCCGCTTAAACAGAGAGAACAAGGCTCGTGGGTAGCGAGGAAGATGCAGTCTTTGGCCGGATGAGGTCGTGTTGACGGATCAGGGAAGTCGACAGTGCAGAACTGTTGGATGCAGTTTATCTCGCCATGTAGGAGAGGTGATATGCGTTCGTTGTTTGTGGCAAGCGTGTATGGTGCAAGGTCTTTACGGGCCAGAATAGCGGCGCCGAAGAGCTTAGAGCCGCTCGAGACGCCTTTCTGCGTCAAAGGTATGATCCTTTCCTCTATCGTAGATAAGAGTTGCGAGACGAGCTTCTCAGGCGGTAGAGATGTTGAAGTTGTGTCGGAGGACATTTCGTGACTGGCAATGGGAAGACGTGCTAGAATTTGATGTTGCGAGATCTGCAATGTCAGTCTTGGAATGGGATTATAGTCGTTTTTGACCGCGAATGCTGTTTCGCTTATCGTTCGAAGTGTTCGTTGATCGTGTTACTCACGTCGGGGGCTGCCGGTGGCGTACGTGCGGGGCTTACCGATATGTTTATAGCGGGGCGTCGCCGTCCACCTACGTTCTGTACGCATTCGATCTTTCTCCAGCTCTTGAGTTATAGGTCCTTAGTTGCTGAAAAGCCTCGCAGTGTGCTGTTCTAGGGGCATTGCTATATCATGCCCATTGTCCAAAAGCACGCTCAGAATATATCACATACCTTTCTTTAGAGAATGATCGCTGGAGTCTTTTTTTCATTCTGGTCGGTTTCCCGTTGAAGCGGACCAGTTGATAATACAAATCAAGCTTCCTGTTCACTTAAGATTATACAATGGCTGATCTCTTGTGCTAATGGAAGGAAATATCCTGTCTTGATCTTGGAATATTAGGAGGCTGGTATGATGTCATCAGAGCTGTAGACTGCCTCATTCTAATAACACATTCTCCAAACTGCTCTCGTCTTCCGTGGGGCGCAAGTGTATCTCAAAGTATAGAGGAGGAGGCATGGAAGTTACGACTGCGAAGGGTAGCTGACGACAAGGTGCCCACATGGAGACGCTAGCCGAATACAGAGCAAGCGCGGAACACGTCCACCAGCTCAACGCGTTGCGTCCTAGCAATCTTCCCCACATCAACCGAGACAGCGAAACCCGATGACGACTATGCATCAACCGAGGACAAGTAACGGAGTACATGTACAATTCATTAACTATCTGTTTTACAGCTCGCGAAACTCATAAATCGACAAACTCGCCCTTCAATAGTGGATCGTCGCGCACCTGCTGCAGGTAGTTCTCTACCTTCGCCGTCAACGCAGGCACATCGAAGCCAAAGTATTTGTAGGCTGCTTTGCCTGGCAAGCTGTGACCGAAGCGCTTTACACAACATGCTGCATCGGCATACCTCTCCCATCCGTTTGGCGCATACGGCTCAATAACGACAGCTGGAATGCCGCGATGTCTTCTTAGAGTCTCTCGCCTGTATTGTGTAGACTGGGCATCGAATAGCCGCTGGCACGGGAAGCTCACGACGCGTGCTTTAATGTTCTTCGCCTTCAGCTCCTTCGCTGTATCGACCGCATGATGCAGCTCTGCACCGACACCAATAAGCGTCACATCCGCATCCTCAACCTCCTCGATTACGTATGCACCTTTCGCGACCGAATCCCGCTTCGTCTGTGCAAGCTGAGGAAGAGTGTGCCGCGATGTCGAGATGATGGTCGGCGTGTTATTCGCCTCAATCGCTGTGATCCACGCTCCGGCAGTCTCCTCGCTATCGGCCGGTCGAATGTACAATAGGTTGGGCATAGCGCGGTAGAGGTTTGCGAGTTCAATTGGCTGATGAGTTGGACCGTCTTCGCCCATTCCAATGCTATGTTGATGTCAGTGAGGAACCATTGAAGAGCTCTGGGGATGCTACCTGTCATGTGTCGCCGCATGTATGACCTGGAGCTGTTGCAGCGCGCCCATTCGAACAGCCGGTGCTGCATAGAGGTAGAACATGAAGAAAGAGGATGTGACAGGGATAAACGTGTTGGGCGCAAAAGCTGCCAAACCGTTGGAGATGGCACACATGGCATGCTCCCGCACACCGTAATGGATGTACCGTCCGCTGTAGTTGCCTACAATCCCGCATGTTGTCTTCAGATCAGGCTGAGACTTGTCAGCGACCTGCTTCTCAGAGGGAAGAGTGCAACACTTACATTCTGGAAATCGACCTTGCCCTTCCAAATCATATTGACCGAGGGCGACAGATCCGCTGTGCCGACCATGAAGTTGTTTATCTTCTCGGCGATCGAATTGAAGACCAGGCCCGACGCTTTTCTCGTTGCCGTCGGCGCATCGGGAAATGAGCTCGGAACCAGATCTTTCCAGTTCTCTGTCAGGCGACCTTCCACCCTGCGTTTGAAGTCGGTTCCCTCCTCCGGATACTTGTTTAGATACTCGTCTACTTTCTTCTCCCAGGACTTTACAAGCTCCTCGCCCCTCGCCGGAATATCTTCAAAGAACCTGCGCACTTCATCGCTAACAACAAAATGCTCCTCGGGATTGAAGCCGTAAGCTTTCTTCATGTTGGCTACATCCGCTGCGCCGAAAGCTGCGCCATGCGCAACTGCATCGCCTGCAACAGCACTGCCAAGGCCGATTACCGTTCGGACATTGATGAATGTGGGCTTCTCAGTAGATGATCGTGCCTTGTTCAGAGCCTCAACAAGGCCCTCAATGTCGAAACAGCCATCCTCAATGTCGATGATATCCCAGCCGCATGCCGCCATCTTGGCATTCACGTCCTCAGTATTGGTCAAATCGACAGAACCGTCGCAAGTGACCTGGTTGTTGTCGTAAATAATGGTAAGGTTGTTCAGCTTCAGATGGCCAGCGAAAGAGATTGCTTCTAAGGCAACACCTTCTTGAAGGCACGCGTCTCCGATCATACACCATGTGTGGTTCGACACCACGTCGAAGTCTGGCTTGTTGTAAATCGCCTGCAGGTTCTTTGTCGCCATTGCCAGACCCACCGCGTTAGCTACACCCTGTCCTAACGGGCCAGTCGTCACCTCAATGCCTTCATGTTCAATTTCAGGATGTCCTGGACAAAGAGCGTCGACGCGATCTGAGTGATACGACTTCAGTTGATCGAAAGTCATGGCTTTATACCCTGTGAGATGGAGGAAGGTGTATTGGAAAAGACATGTGTGGCCGTTTGATAGGACGAATCGATCCCGGTTGAAGTACGTAGGTGTGTGCGGTGCATATCGCATGGCATACTTCCACAGTGCGACACCAATCGCAGCCATACCAATGGCGCCTCTATCATATCTTTAGTCCTATGATTTCGAAGGTTGTTGGACTGCTTACCCGGGATGCCCGCCATTGAACTGTTGACACAGATCCGCAATGAGCAGTCTGAAGGTTTTCAAAACATGATCTTGCTCTTTCGATAATTTTTGGACCGATGACTGTTCCAACTTCGCCTCTTTTTTCAGTCCATCTACGACGTTCTGACCGTAACCGGTCGAGCCGTTCACTTGCGGTGAATCTTGCGATGTATGCATTTTGTGTCTTTGTGAGAGGGAAATGCGAGGTATGAACTTCACCACGCGAATATTAGTAGACTTATAAATCTGAAAGGACTAACAGGAGTATCGTTTCTAGGTATCTCTTGTGCTGCTATGAAAACTAATCTTCGACGTATATCCAGAACAGTTGGCCGGGCTTTCCACATTTGGTAATCCGACGCGTCGCTCTTGCGGGAATACACGTCGTCTTCTCGATTCCCATTGGACGGGACAACCACGACTAGATCAATTACGGTAACCAGTGCCACCAACACACTACTTTGTCAATCCCACTGAAGGCTTCCCCGCATTTCGCCACGGACTACTGCACATGCTGATCCCCGTTGCGAGGACGGGACTTCCTTTCTCGCCAGAATGGCAACATGACGCGCTGAACATGTGGGGCTACTTGGTGCGTGTCTATCCTTTGACAGCGCTTGCCCTTGCTTTCGATGATTGAGCTTCAGCAAGCAGACATGGCCCCGGCACTGGCACCTGAATCTACTTCGTCCAACGCAAAGCCTACCGCTACCACACAGGCAACTATCAAAACACCATTGCCGAACCCGTCGTTACAAGTTACCGCAGACCACAATTTGAAGCTGCAAGAGGCGCCTGTGTACGCGCCAAAGAGGGGAGAAGTATTGCTGCATATCAAAGCTACAGGTGTTTGCGGGTACGAAGTTTTAACACAGAGGGGTTGTCAAGGCTAATAAGGTGTCAGATCCGACATTCACTTTTGGAAGGCTGGGAGAATAGGCTCACTCATCGTCGAAGGCGACTGTATTCTTGGACATGAAGCGGCAGGAATTGTCCTACAAACTGGTGAAGACGTTACAACTCTCAAGCCCGGTGTGTTCGACGCCTTGAATTCATTCTCCAGTACTGATGTTTAGTCCAGGTGATCGCGTAGCAGTCGAGCCTGGTGTTCCATGTGGCTCATGCTTTCTTTGCTTGGACGGCCGATACAACCTTTGTGAAGACGTCCATTTTGCAGGTGTCTATCCATATCACGGTACTATCCAGCGCTACAAGACGCACCCCGCGAAGTGGTGTCACAAGCTTCCGTCTAGCGTTTCGTATGCGGAAGGCGCGCTGCTCGAACCGCTTTCCGTTGTTATGCATGGCATCAAGTCAGCAGGTCTGTCCCTCGGCCGCGGTGCGGTGATTTGCGGTGCTGGGCCAATTGGTCTCATCGCGCTGGCTGCAGCGAGAGCGAGTGGAGCGCATCCGCTTGTCATTACGGATCTTGAGCCTAAGCGACTGGCGTTTGCAAAACAATTCGTACCGACGGTCGCCACCTACCAGGTTGATCGAAGTCTTGACGCGCAGGGCAATGCCAAAAAGATCAGGGAACTTTTCGACTTTGAGAATGTTGGCGAGTATGGTGCACCAGAAACTGTGTTGGAGTGTACGGGTGTGGAGAGCAGTGTTGTCACCGCGGCGTACACAGCGAGAAGGGGTGGCACGGTAATGGTAATCGGCGTAGGGAAGGAGATCATGAACAACCTACCCTTCATGCATCTAAGTCTGGCTGAGGTATGTGCTCTGTACTTCACTAGGTTCATTTCTGCAAGTATATCTTGGACATTCTCCGTTGACTGCTGCTACAGATCGATCTCAAATTCATCAATCGCTACCGCGACACATGGCCCTCGGGCTTGCAATGTTTGGCTGGTGGTATTCTTGATCTGAAGCCACTTGTTAGTCACACATTCCCTTTGGAGAAGGCACTGGAAGCTTTGCACACATGCGGGGACTTGAGCAATGGAAGTATCAAGGTGCAGATTATTGATGATGTGGATAATGTACTGTAGTTTCCAATAGAACCCGTGTTCTCAGTATCATCAATTCGATGCGAGGTAGCTCTAGCTTCCTGAGTCAATGACGTGTATGTTGAGTATGCAAGAAGGGGCGTTGATGGTCGCCACTGCCTTGAAACGGAGCCGATAGCCTTTCCCCACCCAACATATCGTGATTTCACCCCACACAGTAACAATGATCGACCTGCCGGAACATCACTTGCCGAACATACCAGATCCATGAAATCTGTAACGGCATCCTTTTCTTCAACAAAAGATGTTATTAGGGCACATACCATAACTTCATAATTACTATTCTCTGTATCGAGATACTCTTAGCTCACCAACCAAGCTCGTGAGCATAACTACCCCAAGGCCGATATTCTCTCGGAGAGGACTGCAGGAGCGCGGCCGGCAAAACCTCGGGTACGCTATTGGGAGACCATTGGGTAGCAGTGAATCGGCAGAACCTCGGATGCAGCAAGACGCCCAAACAAGACTAAACTTTCGGAGACATTGACCATGCGCATAGAACGTCGCCTTGAACGTACCGAAAGTCCGGATCTGGGGAAGTTGTGTCAACGCGATTCTCAATCCATGTAAGTGCGGACGGGGAGGAAGCAGCGATACAGCGGCAAACGTGGTATCTGCATATTTCGTTCATCCGAGCACTCGCGTCGAGGCGTCTTCTGGCGGTTTCTCCTCCCGATGCGCGTGAATTGATCCACAACTTAGGTGGCCTCGAGATTCTGGCAGACCTATAAAGTGGCTACCCCCGCATTCTCCAGATCTACATTGATCTTTCAACCGGGGATGAGCCCTGCTGACCCTTTCCGTTCACTTCCACTATACTTCCTTCACTGGCTGTATCAGCGCTATCAAGCCTTTGTGTCTCCTCAAGCATCATGGCTCCAGACCATGACAAGACGCCCAACACGGTCGAACTCAACGAACACGTAACGGAGACAACGACCGCCGCAGACACTTCCGCGTTAGGTCACCTCGCCAATCAAGAAGACCATGAAGTTGGTAAACTTGCGTCCTTCCGCAAGTATCCTTGGGCATGTGCTTGGTCTATCTACATGGTGTGGATAGTCCTGCTGGTCAGTTTCGAGAATCAAGCAGCTGGCAATGTCATCGGTATCCCGGAGTTCAGGAAGGATTTCGGGCATCAGTTTACTGCAGACGACGGCACTGTAAGTTATGTCGTTGATGCTCAGTGGCAGTCAGCCTTTCAGGGTGCACCCGTAGCTTCGTGAGTCATTGAGATCGTCAAATCCTACGACAAGACTAACGATTCCAGTGCTATCGTGGGTGCCCTTGGATGTGGGCAACTTGCTGACTGGCTTGGCCGCCGCTTAGTGGTCATGATTTGTCTCGCAGTCACTTTCGCCGCTGTCACCATGGAATTTGTTGCGACAACAAATGAGCTCTTCTTCGGTGGCAAGTTTTTGAATGGCTTCGTTGTCGGTGCCCTGGCATCGGTTACCGTAACATACATCGGCGAGGTCGCTCCTTTGAAACTTAGAGGCATGCTGACCTGCTTGACTGCTCTCTCTTACACCCTCGGGCCACTTACAGTTGCGCTCATTGTCAACTCCACTGGAGTGTACACCAACCGTTGGGCATACCGTGCTGTCTTTTGCGCACAGTATGGGTTTGCTGCCATAGCTACTGCTTTCGTCTGGTTCATGCCCGAGTCTCCATGGTGGCTCGCATCTAAAGATCGACAGGCAGACGCACTGAAGGCTCTCAACAGTCTTGGTCATCGTGGATTTGCAGGGGAACAAAAGCTCGCTCAGATTATGACAACTCTACAAGAGGTTAAGCGCGAGACTGAAGGCGCCACATACCTGGAGTGTTTCCGCAAATCCAACCTCCGGCGAACGATCATTTCGATCATGCCGCTCACCATACAGTCTCTCAGTGGCATCACTTTCGCTGCTTCGTACTCAACATACTACATGCAACTCGCCGGATTTACAACAGCCATGTCATTCAAATTGCAGATCGTCCAGCAAGTTATCTCACTTATCGGAAACGTCATGTCTTGGTACCTAGTCGATCGAATAGGTCGTCGCAACCTTACTTTCTGGGGTCTCTTTGTTCTCACCATCATCTTGTTCGTCATGGCCGGCCTCGCCGTTGTCGGTACCGTCCCTGCATTGAAAGGTGCTATCAGTATGATCCTCATCTACTGCTTCTGGTATAACGTTACGATTGGAGCCACTGCCTACACCATTCTCTGCGAGACATCAACTTCCCGTCTCCGCGTCAAAACCATCGCCATCGGGCTCGCCCTACAGAATGCTCTCAACACTATGTGGAGTTTCGTGCTACCCTATTTGTTCAATCCTGATCAACTCAATCTTGGTGGGAAGCTAGGCTTTATCTTCGGTGCTTTGTCCATTATTTGTCTAGTGTATCTTTGGTTCTACCAGCCCGAGACAGCTGGCCGGACATACGAGGAGTTGGATGAGATGTTTGCTAATAAAGTAAAAGCAAGAAGCTTCGCAACGCACAAAACGGATACACAGGCTATGGGTGAGGCGGTCAAGGAGAAGGAGAATATGTAGAGTATGAGTCTATCCTCGCGACATAAATTTCAATGTTATATCAAAGACTGAAATTCACTTTAAACACATCTGATATCGAGCCGTCGCCTTACCCGGACTATCTGGTCGACCATGCCGGCTTCAGGGTGACTTTGTCTCCAATACCGCCTAGCGTCCAGATGCACTTGTCGTTACCCTCATTCAACGATTATGTCGTCGGGATGACAGTTGTCAAGAGCTACGTCTTGCGCTTTTAATGCTTCTTCGCTGATGACGCTAAGGTGGAGAAAGCGTATTTCCGGGATCGTACAATCTTACAGCTCTACGCTCTACCTCTTGATCAGCGACTACCAGAACTCGCACAGGCATTTAATCAGAGGGATCATCCGGACACAGCTGCTGTCAATGGCTTTTTGCCACTAGAAGAGTGGACGTATTTCGACGATGAGATGCTCAAATTCCTGGAAGCGAGGGATCCAGAACTATTTGTACAATTGAAGAGGTGACCTAGCGGTAGACTGAGACCAGATGGATTAGTACCATGCAGCGTCACATCAGCGCCCAGCTTAACCTTTGGTGTGAAAACCTGCCTTATGCCTTATCCCACCGTTCCATACCTTCTTTCTTCATCTTATCATACCAGTTCCTCACATACTCCAATCCTGCGTGCGGACCATAAATCCTCTTTTCCCACTGCGGGATAGGAGCCTTCAACCCCGTTTCGATTTCGCACTTCTGCATCAGTTCACTGAGAGTGCCGCCGCGGTCAATCACATTGTCAGTACTATATCCCTCTATCGAGCGCTCTTCACGTCTTTTGCTGCGAAGTGTCGAGGTGGCAAACTTGTCGAAGTTGAAAGTGTGTTGATCGACGATGACACCATAGTTGTCCCGAGCGCCTTCAACAGTGACGAGACGGCGATGGACTTCTTGGGCTACACGTTCGGGAGGGCGCGTAAGAGGATCGCCAAGACCTCCACCGCCCCAAGTGATCCATTCCAAAACGTCGCCTGAGTGGGTCAGTATCAATCTCGAACATGTAAAATTCTTAGACTTACCTGGATAAACGTGGATGTGATCCTGCTTCGACTGACATAATTCCATATTGTCCTTTTCTTCTGCTGTGCCATAGCTGTTGTTGCGGTACAAGATCTTCCTCGATCTGCTTCCCGGCTTACCACCGTTAACACCCCATGCCTTGGTCAGCCAACGGTCGTCGTGCGTGCTGACATCGCCTTCACAAAGCCATCTATATAGGGTCCTCTGTGCGTTACCTCCTCTGTAGAAACCAGCGCCTCCGGAGTCCGGTAAAGCTTCATTGGCCTCGATAATGACAGGGAAGTAGAGCTCGATATTCTCAGCCGGGATAGACTTGATGGCTGGGAAAAGACAGTGACAGTCTGGACCGTCACCGATCGGTCGCGCAGGCACACCACCAAAGCCGATCTGGTAGAGCAAGTAGAATTCGCCATCAGGCTTGAAACCGGAGTAGAATAGATGTGGTGAATCGGAGAACCCTGCTGCACAACGATAGGCGGGGTTTTGTTGACCAAAGAGCGCCTGTAATACATCCATGATACGACCGAGAAGATGAGTACGGCAACTGACGGCTGCTGGGCGGACGGGACGAAGAATGGTGCCGGTCGGGATTTTGATGTCGAGTAAATCGTGGAAGCCGTCATTGACAACCTGTCGAAATTAGCTCATAGCTTTTATAGCTTTTACGTATAAGATTCTTACTGCAAAAGGATCGTAAATTGCGAGCAGATGATACCCGATGAACATCTTGAACAAAGTGATCGAGAGATAAAAGTTCATCGACGTATTTGATTGAGGTGATGTGCCGTCCCAATCAAAGATGAGCTTGCCATTCTGCTTCTTCATTGAGCAAGTAATAGCGTATGGACCGATGCCCTGTCCATCGTCATCGATGAAGTCGGTGAAGCTTGATACTTCATCGCTGATCTTCTCGTTGATGATCCTACTAATGGCAAGCTTGTTCTGCTCCAGCAGATAATCTGTGGCTGCCTCGTAGATCTCCAGGCTATAACGTTCACAGAGCTCGGTGACACGTGTAGCAGCTGTTCGACAGGCGGTAACGAGCGCCATTAGGTCACTCTGGAACCAATCTGGGGCGCGAGAGTTGCGGAACAGTACAGTTGCAAGAGTGTCGTTGTAAACACCATTTGTGTATAGCTTGACAATGGGAATTTGAAGACCGTCTTCGTAAATGGTACTGGCGTTGATGCTCATAGAGCCCGGGACTTTTCCTTGCACATCAGTTATGTGACCGAAGTTCGCCGCCCAGCCTATAAGCTTGTGCTCATAGTATATGGGAAGTAGCACGATAACGTCGTTGAGGTGTGATACGGCACCATCGATTTGGTATACGTCATTGGTCACGAAGACGTCGCCTTCTTGGACCGTGCCGTTCCAACCGTTCAGGAATTGCTGTATGAAAGACCCAAATTGACCAACAAGCATCTGTCCCCTTGTATTAGTGATCACGTTGAACTCGTCTTGTTGCTCTCGAATCGCCGGGCTCATGGCGCAACGAAGCAGAAGTGCATCCATCTCTCTTCTGATAGACCCAAGCGCAGAGGCGATGAGAGTGGCAATAATGGGCTGCTCTTTGATCATATCCTGAGCTGACTCTTTCGTATGAACGGTCTTTCGTTCTTCCTTCTTCTCGGTAGGCCAAATGAGTATGTTACCCATGGAGTCGATCTTTCCATAGAAGCCGGGCAATATGAGCGTGTTCGAGTCCATCTCCGTGACAACCGCTGGGCCATGTATGACTTTCCCAGCCCCTCCAATCTTGGAACGGTCCCAGAATGTGGCTTCGACCTTTTTGCCATCCCAGACGATTGACTGCTTGGCTGTGATCGCACCTTCCCAAGGTTCGGATGTACGAGCATCCTCCAGCGGCTTGAAGGCTACCTCCTCGGAAGCATCAACAACCTTGGCACGTAAGCGCATCGTCTCCATCTCGGCATGCGCATGTGAAAATCCGAACTGATGTTGATGGGCTTCATTGAACTTGTTACGCAAGATGTCCACGAGCTTGTCTGAGCTTTCGAGCTCACTGGAACTCAAATCAACAGTAAGTGTCATGGCTTGACCCTTGTAACGCATATCCGCTTGGTATATGACATGCAACGCAGCGTTCTCATCGGCAAGCGAGGTTTTCATGGTGTCTACACCACTAGCCCTGAGATTGAGTAATGTCTCCTTGAGCTCTTGCTCTGTGATATCTGAGAAGGCGCGAATGTATGTGCAGCTCTGCTCATGGGACATCTTGGTGATGGCATCACCCTGTGCACAAAGAACACCAGGAGAGGGAGGGACGATGACGGGCCAGGAACCAAGAAGCTGACCTAGAGCGTTACCATGGAGCGGACCAGCGCCACCGAGAGCAACCAAGGCGAAGTCGCGTGGGTCGTAGCCTTGCTCAACGGATACCAGACGAAGAGCCCCATGCATGGACTCGTTTACTAAGTCGATGATTCCTTCAGCTGCGGAAGCAGTATCAAGGCCCATCTGCTTAGCAATTGACTCAACTGCAGCAGTAGATGCGGCAACATCCAATTGGAATTTACCGCCTAGTAGCTTCGAAGGAAGGCGACCCAGCGCCAAGTTTGCATCAGTCACAGTCGCTTGGGTCCCACCTTTGCCATACGCCGCAGGACCAGGTGTAGCACCACTGGACTCTGGCCCAACACGCAACGTTTTTGTAAAGTCGTTGAATATCGCAATGGAGCCGCCACCAGCGCCTACAGTGTTAACATCAACACTTGGGGCTCGTACGGATAAGTGACCGATGGCGGTTTCTCGTCGAATAATAGCATCGCTACCTGAGAGTAAAGCGCAGTCGGTAGAAGTTCCTCCCATGTCAAAGGTGATGAGATTCTTGTAAGGCGTGTTCTTGGCGACCAGATGCGAGACTGCCTTGACGCCGCCGGCTGGGCCGCTCATGAGGATGCGCACTGGTGTTTCACCGGCGAGGTGAACCGACGTCAGATCGCCATCGGATTTCAAGATGCGGATTGTATCGGTGTCATCCGCAAGCATTTTCTGCAGGTTCTGCATGTAGCTCTTGACTACTGGCTTGACGATGGCATTCGCAGCCGTCGTAACGGTGCGCTCGTATTCCTGTATCTCTGGCAGCACGTCCGTTGAGGTGACAATCTCAACATCTGGGCCAAATTCGCTGACCAGTATAGCTTTGATGCGTTCTTCATGCGTGCTATTAGCGAAGGAATTGATGAGCGACACGGCAATGGCTTGAGGCTGTTGTCGCTTGAGATCCTGTAAGTCGTTCCGTAATTCATCTTCATCCAAGTCGTAGAATATGTCACCATCAATCTTGATACGCTCTTTGACTTCGACGGTTCTCTCGAGCGGCACAAGAGGCTCGGGCTGTTCATAATGCATCCACGAACCTAGGCCGCCCGGTATCTGGCTGCGTCTTGTGGCCAGTATGTCCTTGTGGCCCTTGGTAACGATGAGGCCACACTTGGCGCCCTTGCCTTCGAGCACGGCATTGGTGCCCGTGGTGGTGCCATGGTGTATATACTCGAACTTGCCGTCCCAGTTGTACTTGTCTTTGAGTATTTTTCGCGCCTGCTGCACGCCTTCGTGCACGCCAATTGACTGGTCTGTCGTGTTGGTCGGTACCTTTGTGCGTACTGCCTCGCCGTTGGGCGTGATGACGCACACTAAGCTCGGTTAATCGGTGAAGTATACTTTGCGCAAAAGGGCCGTACCGTCGGTGAAGGTTCTGGGATCGTGTTAGCCGCATCCCATGACCTGGGCCGGGTCCAGGCAAGCAGTGAGGTGGTGGCAGTTGTGGACTCGGGGAAGGCCTGCATGTTCGCCGCCGTGGCTAAGAAGAAGCTAGCGGGTGGGCGTCTTCCCACGGGTACACGAGGCAAAATTCAATCGAGGCAGGCACTACTCACCCTCCAACATCAACACCCAGTCGGTAACCCGGTGTAGCCATGGTGTCGTCGCCGAGGAGTATGGGGCTCAGCGGTGGATGTGAAGCTATCCCAACTTTGTAACGAGGAATGGGCGATGGGCTGTCGGATGGACCTGCGTCATTCTATAACCATGCTTTTCTGGGGCTGATGCTAATGCGCCGAGCTGGTACCGGCGATATAGGCAGAACCGCGCTTGCTGCTATCAGAAGCTTCCATCGCTGCTGTCACGTCCTGCGCCTGGCCCGTAGTGGCAGTCGCCAACGCTCTTGAGGAAGGCGTCTCACAGCTCCCAAGGCGTAACTGGCTTGTTGAGGATGATCTGTGGCAGTTATCGTTTGGGTGCGGGGTCGCATGCCCTAGTCACAGTCCTACTATCTGCTATCGGACTACTTAGCAGCCTTCGCCTTTGCCTCGGTGCTGCGAGATACGCCGTTATCACTTGTGAAGCTTGACGCGAAAGTGGATATGCTTGCTCGGCACGTGGGCCGGGGGGCGGGCAGCCTTCGCTTACTTCCGATAAGCCCGCGAAGCACTCACATCCAACAGCGCGACAAGGTGCTCCGACTCTTCCATTATACATTCGTAGCTCATATAGTATTACATAATGTCCCATTATCTCTCACAATCCACCACCCGTCGACTATTTGGCCGCCATCATCTCCAAAAACTTGTCTCCAAGCGCGTTCGCCGCCATCGGGTTGTCACCAGTGACAAGCTCCCTGTCCACGGTAATATTTCCCATGGACTTGGCAACACCCTCTTGCATGTCTGCGCCTTCCTGCCTGAGCGTGCCCTCCACCTTGTCAATCTCACCCCTGAAAATCGTCTCCATCAACTTCTCCTCAGCATCTGACCAGCTTGTCATTTTGTAGCCCGAGTACTCGAACTTCTTGCTAGGTCCATACTTGGTACTCAGGAAAGCCCAAGGTCCGTGGCAGATTGCTGCCGTCGGTTTTGATGAAGTGTGGAAGTGTGTGAGTATACGGCCTAGGTCGGCGTTGTCACCCAGGTCGGATAAGGGAGCATGTCCACCAGGAATGAAGACACCCCCGTAGTTCTTCAACTCATCATCGCTGATCTCAGAGAACTTTCTCGGCCGCGAGAAGCCATTCTCCTTCTTCATGCGTTCGATTAGATCCAACTCTCTTTGCTTCTCGTAGTAGTTTCCAGCAAAGGCAGCCAGAGATACGCTGAGTGGGTCAGGAGTGGGTTCCTTGCCCTCTGGCGAGGCAAATGTGACTTCGTAGCCGGCGTCGAGAATCTTCTGTAGAGGCTTTGCTAACTCCATGAGAAAGTAGCCCGAGTCTTGAGAGACGGTCTTCCCATCACTACCCGTGTTGTAGAGAGGGAACGAAGATGCGTCGGAAAGGACGATGAGAACTTTCTTGTTTGCGGCCATGATGATGAAAGCCGAGTCGCACTTGTATGTTATTTAGGAGAACGTATAACGTGTCTTCAATAAAGAAATGTTGATGGATATTAAAAGGTATGGTTTAGTACATGTATCTAAGAATGCCTGAGCATGTTGTATAAGGATGGTTTTCACTACAGGTCAGTATGACGTAGCCAGCCGCCTGCGCTCTGCAAACGTCACACCCACCATCCTCTCCACTTCGGTGTTCGACACGTTGCACAGAAGTTCGACGTCGAGTATCGGTTAACCTCGGCGCAAGCTTCGCGTTGTCGTCATTACAAGCTCGGGCGCCAACGATGCGCGAGAAAGACACGTCGCGTCGCAGTGCATGTCAACGCGATTTGTCCATGACTCGCAACGACTCGCTCAGCTCGGCCTCTCCACGCGCCTACACCAGGACTTCATGCGAATATCAGCAACCTTCGCTCAACGAACTTAGCAAATTTGCGATACAACAGCTAATATTTATCCTATGAAGAATTTATTGTTATCGCATGTGTGACCGTAGGCCAGATTCGCGAGATCGCAGCTTGGGCGCCTAAGAGTTGTGCATTTTCAGGCAACACTGAGAACATAGAGAAGACAGCACAACAACATCTAGTTTTGTTTGACTCATGCTTTCAAGATAAGTCTTATATATTGTGCGTAAAAGCTGAGCGGTGCATGGACAAACAAGACTACAAATATCTCAATACTTTCTCAAGTTCAGCTATCAGCTACTATGCGCCTACATGCCTTCATACTTCTTTTCTTCTCCATCTTGCCCATCGGCCTAGCCCTACAACTTGCTCCAACCCGCCCTAGGCCGTGGATACCAAGTGATCCGTGTCCCACTTCAATCACTGCTAAGATTATTGCCAATCCCTGTGCGGACGACATCTGCGTTCCCGACTACTTCGATTTCACAACGCTGAAATCCGTCCATTCGGCACTCCTTACATGCCCTAATATGTCCTCCCTTGATCTCAGTATTGATGGATTCTGTAGTACATGGCCAGACCGGCGGAACCTCCCATTCAATCACCTGGGCGGAGAAAGATACGTTGACCTCAAAGTTCTAAAGCTGGATCGCTATAGCTGGGACTGACGGAGTGAAAAAGACGTTTGGACTGGCCCGGAGTGCCGTTTGAGAGGCAAGTTGGATTGCTTCATGGATACACTGTACTGGTTCTACAAGGGTCATTGGAAGAGCTGGCTCAAGTGGCGCAAGCAACCAAAAGCGCAGCGCGAGAAGACCAACGTCGAATTGTGGCTTGACGCAATGGACTGGACGGCTATCGAGGAACTATCAGTGGAGAGTGTTCCAGACAGCGTGCGCAAAGTTCTCTCGCAATCGCGAGCACTACGGATGCTAAAAACGACGGACATCGAATTGATCACGAATCTGCCAAACAACACGCTTACGCATCTGTCGTTCTGTAATGGCTTCCATATGCGAGATTACTTACCCGATATTCTTAATCATCAAGGAGAGTCATTACAAAGCCTCGAGCTTCGTTGGCATGATGACTTTATTCCGACGCAGCATTTCGGCGGCTTGGATGGAGACTTCGATGTGCTGGCAAGCCACACAAGCAACCTTTCACATCTCAGTGTCAATGTACTATACAATGATACTACATGGCCTTTCGAGACGATCGAGAAGATTGCCACCATTCCTACATTACGAAAAGTAGACTTGTGGATGGACTCGCTTAGCAAATGCTCGTGGCCATATGATCCTCAATTAGGTGTGCCTGAAGCGGAGATATTAGGATTCAGTGACGGGAACGACAGTGGCTGTGAAAGCAAAGAAGCATTTCATAAAATACACCTCGATAGTACAAGTGCATCTAAGATGTTCAAGCACATGAAAGAGAAGAAGCAGGGGGACGAATTAGAAGAAGCTACGTTCTGGGAGGGTAATTGGTCGACAGAATGGGACGGGGAGACCTCGAGAGTTAAGGTGGTATGTAAAGCGAAGACGGATCTTAATATGGAAGAATGGTGTATGGTAGAACAGGAGAGTGATGATGTTTCGCAAGAGTCATTCTTTTGGGATGAATCAGTCTTTACTTCTGTGTAACCAAAACAGAGACTCATATGACCGATATATTAGGGTATGGCCCTTAAACTAGCCCCAATTTGATTCCTTAGTATCAGTTGTTGGTTGGAATCCATCGTTATATGCTTTCATGCTTTCATGACCTTAATCACGGCTGACTGTGGGGTCCCATGCACAGACTTCATAAACCCCAGTATCTAAACTCTTCATGTCCTCAGCTGATAGTTCGAAGTCATAGATCTGAGCATTCTCCTCGATACGGGACTTGGTAACCGATTTGGGCAGTGGTACGAATCCCTAAACAATGTCAGCATGGTACGCCATATCAGGGAAGGATCGCATATATGCTAACCATTTGTAAACTCCATCTCAACAGTACTTGTGACGGCGTCTTTTTATATTTCTCCGCAAGCGGTTTCAGTAGAGGGTCTTCATTCCTCGTCGCACGAACGAGCGGACAGTATGCTTCACACAGCACACCCCGTTGCTTGCACCAGTTGACGATGTCTGGACGCGCAAGCCAGGGGTGAAGCTCGATCTGATTGATGCTGATAACTCCACCCTTACCCTTGCCCTCTCTGGCTTCAGTCTCTTTGATCCACGCTTCCAGTTCGTCCAGATGGTGCACACCGTAGTTCGATACACCGATTGATCGAATCTTACCGTCTTGCACACCCTCAACGAGCGCTTTCCAGGCCCCGAGTCGGTTCTCTTTGCCGCCGTAGGGACTATGTAGGAGGTAGAGATCCACGTAATCAAAACCGGTGATATTGAGTGTATTGTCGATGTGTTGTTTCGAGTTTTCGTAGCTCATGTCTTTTGGGGGTATCTTCGTTGTAAAAAATAGCTCCTCTCTCGGTATTCCTGACTTCTTCATCCCTTCCGCGGATGGTTGCTCATTCCGGTAGGCTACCGCGGAGTCCACGTGGCGATAGCCGACCTTGATTGCATGCTGAACTACTTCAGACGCAACGTCTGCTGGTGTTTGGTATACACCATATCCAAGAACGGGGATTTTGTACCCTGATGGCATGGCATATTGCGAGTTGATGGTAAGACCTGCCATGATAGCTGATGACGTATGGAAGGATCGGGGTGACTTTGGGAGGGGAATTTGAGAACGAAGATGTGACAATCTTGTGAGAGCAGTACGCATAGCGCGATTGCAACAGAAGTGATGGAGATGGCAATGTCTCGGGCGTGTGTTGCTTATAACATGGGATGGATGTACGTTTGTACGAGGCTGTCGTGGGGAGACCTGGAAATAACGGAGATAAATTGCGGAAGCCGATGACTAAAGAAGCGGTAGTAACGAGTTCACCACCGAACAGGGAGCGACCACCTTATCATCGTCACTCCATCGGCTTTTGGTGGACTTTCGTACTTCTCACGAAGCTCCTCAATGCTAAACGGATTGAGCGCGCATAACAGCCATATTACTTGGTATGTCCCAGATTGGCAATATTAACACTAATTCACATTGGGGTAAAAACACTCAATGCGGAAGAACATAACCGGGTTAATTTCTACTCATCATCATCACTCTGCATATGTTTTACCCAGCGAGCACTGCCTTTATTACGCTCTCTTACGCTCAACACTTATAGGCAGAGGAAGACAGGCATCACGCCTCTAGCTTTCATGCCTACCCTAGGCGGCTGCGCGGGCCTCAGCTGCACAGTATCCGAGAAGACGGGTCCCTTGTAAGCGCTAGAAGGGCCGAAGAAGATCTGGAGAAGGTACTGGCGAAAGCTGGTGGGGCGAACGCACGTGAATAGCCGCCTGATCACTATGGATAATTACATACCACGTTGCGCATGCGAGCCCACGGATCCTGAAACGTCCCGGCCCCCTCCTTTTTGGACCTCTGGGTCGCGTAAAGAGGATGTGATTTCTGCAAGAGGATAGCAGCTTGCAGGCCTGAACCGTGTTTCCGACTCACCGATAGACTGGCCCGTGGTTCGGTACCCCGGCAGCAGCTCAGGAGTCGATTTACGTTTCTGGACTCTATGGAGTGTAATACGACAGCTGTCCAATATTAGCCGAAGACTCTTTGTACGACTCATTCTCGATGAATGCCGATCGCATCATCGGAATGAAGATCGATCTCTACCGTAGCTTTGAGGCTTGTCCGACCATCAGCGTGCGAACGAGTGGTTCAGCAAGTCTGCAGTGCCACCGGTGAACCGCGAAGGGGATGTGCGCTTACAGGCACGTGCATGGTGACCTCATGGGGTCTAGCATCTGGTCGCTTTGTGCCACTTATAGAACCCCATACGATGCGGCTAAAACATGTGCAGTTCAACAATATTTTCCTCCATCGACCAAATCTATCGTCGAGGTCGTAGAGACAGGGAATACTCTTCGCTTCCATTAACATGCTGATGTGGGGCGTAGATCATGAAACACTAACCCGGTCAAGTCCAAATGCACCTTCTCTGTCATGATCGCACAAGTTTCCTTTCCGTCTACATCATGACCCAGTCACAATGTTTCCCCATGTGTTTGGTTCCCTCGAAGCAAGCCTCAACCGTCGCTCAATGCGTCATCTTTTATTACAGGGTTCCGTTCCTACTGACTCTTGTCTTATCTTGTGCTCGGCAATGCGGAGGAGATTCCGAATAATCGAACAATGTTACCTACTACGACTGTACTAGTCTGCGTCCCGCGTCTGGGTCTTGCCGCTATTAGGTGCCTATCCTCGGAGACAGAACATGGAATGCTATTGTCAGTAGTCAAACGACCAGCCAAGTGAGAACAGCGGCAGATTCCGAGCAGCTACGTGATGCGAAACGACGCAGGAACGTGGGGGGTTGCACCACACGTGGTCGACAAAGCTTGTGACTGGTCACAGCACAACCTCGAAGGCTGGGTCGCAAACAACAAGCAGCCCATGGGGACTTCCAGAAGGGCTCGCGTGCGCTAAATCATCACTCTGAATAGCACTCCTATTGGGAGTTCTAGGCGGAAAGCCGCTACCAGCCGTTGTTCACCTCGACCGTAGGGCCGTTCGGGCCGCTGGTGACATCGACGAGAGGTAAGCTGCGTACATGCGCAGCGAACCGGTCTTCGACGCGGTCCGCGACAGCATTGACGAGCGGATGTAAGCTTACTGGGGCTTGTGACCTAAAAGTTCCCTCCTTCCGAGCAAGCCACTGGCAGTCACCAGGCGAACCGCAAATCGCCATCCACTAGATTTCGAAACGGGCTGACCAGTCAAAACCACCAGACGCATGATTATACACCGCGCCGGTCAACTAGCACCGTGCCCATGCAACTTCGTTCCATGTTCAAACTGAATCTGGCAGATTTGGTGATACACGTCAGACCGTATTCAAAAACTACTGTCAACGCGTCGATCCAGACTGCCGCGACAGTCTCGACAGTATCATGCGAAAACTCTGATCTTCTCATGGCTGTGCTTACAGCTAGCAGCTAGATTCCAATGACCTGTCACCCCTCTGGGACGCACAGAGGGCCTTTCGGTGCAAAGGATGTTGCATGATTACAAGCTAAGGACAGCGTGACAGCTGCTCTCGCCATGCATACCGGCGCCACCCGTACCGTTCAGAGAGCGACTGAGAGCTTAAGGGGAGCTCAGGATTGCGGGGCCTTTGATTGACGAATGTCTTCACGGCACATGTGAACCGAATTCGTGCGTAGCTCTCAACGCAATGTGGAGGTATACCATTACAATCTTCGTTATGCCTACGTCAACCTCACCGAAAGAGCTCCTTTCCTCCGCAACTCCGGGCTGATCTCAGCGTGTGAGGTTCTTCATGCGACTACATCACACAAGCTTGGTCAGTATAGTGGGCGTTATGTAAGGACTGCTCATCTTGCTGATCTGCTTGGTCTACTCCCTAGGCACCTGCGCAGTAGCCGTGCTTTTCGATCACTCTGGTCCAAGCGGTCCGCCAGTGCTTGAAGCATTTGCAGAAGAGTGGTCTCGACCAGAGCCACCGAGAATGTGAAACTACCATAGTCAAGCAGTGGAGGATACAGGGATATATCACAAAGTTAGGTACGGTGTGAGTGTCTGAGACTCCCTAGCATACTTGTTTGTGGGTCCCTGCACGTTACGACGGTGGACGTAAGTTGTACGGTCCTCGCGTGGAATAGGAACTGTACGACCTAGCTCACACATAGGGCTGACTATGCTGACCAGTCACGAGTTGCACATGGGAAATACAAGGGATGCTGGCGTCGATCATGCTTTCTTACTCTTGACATTTCTTACACATGTACCAGTGTGGTTGGAGAAGCGGGAGTGTGAAGGCACATGACATATGTACAACGTACCGGCCAAGCGATAGGCATGCCCAGAGATGACAGATCCTATCATGGTAGAAGATCGAGCAGTGCCGTACGTAACGGCCGATACGTAACGGTTCCAGATATGTGACGTGCGTCTAGGTACCTACGCATGCATTGGCATTTGTCGCGAAGCACGTCATATTGCACCGTACTGTAAGACAACCCGTGCCCTTTGACAGGCTTTGCACGAACGCAATGTTACGTGTCTGTCTTTCCGCATAGCGGCAGCTCCAGGCAAGAAAGGCCCGATTGCGGCGCTGTCCATCTCTAAACCTTCTGGGTAAGGTATCGCACCACCACCGTGCCGCCCTCAAGACACGCGAGCCGCGCGGGTGAAAGCCAAATTCTGCCGCAAAAGTGTGTATTGCCACATGGCTGGCAACTGAATCGCTTTAACTTGACTACAAGCGAGCCTCTCATAGCTATCGATATTGACACCTCTGAAACAGTCGCGAGAAATCGATACAACCGTGATTGCGGCACAACTGTATCTGCATATTGCGGCGCAGTCAACGTCGGCATAAGTGGGTAACGGAGAAGCCTGCCCCGTTGGAGAAGGAGGGAGGGACCAGACAAAAAAGGCCCCACAGGGCGGCATAAGGTTAGTAAGGCTGTGCGAAAAATGCAGATTGCGACCGAAATGGAAAGCAAAAGGGTGGTGAGTATGACAGAATGCGCGACGCGGTTGTTCATTCCATGGTAGTAAACGCCTATACTGTGCTTTAAGAATACGACTGAGAAGACCTGCAGCAGGGGTAATGATATGCGCAATAGAGAAGGGGCCGTCCAGCTAGCCTGGGGCAAAAGTCGATGACGATCGTTATAGAATTTGAAACAGTGAAGTTAAGCAAGGGTATCGAACGAAGAAGACAAGATAGAATGTGAACGTGAGGCGTTGCGCGCTGCTGCCTCAATGTTGCTGAGCCCCAAATCCCTATGCAAGCCGCCCGATTTTGCTAAACGCCATGTGTCTGTGCCGCATCGCGAGAGCGTTTGAACAGTGTCCATATGTGACAATCCCCAGTTGAAAGAACAAGAAGAAGACGATACAGGATGATTCACTCGCATCCCTCAGCCGTACGCGAGGCTGACTAGGTGTGCAGGAAGTAGTTGCTATGCGACGGCTCGATGGGGCTCATCGCGTAGGGAGCGAAGCCCTGCTGGATGTGGTGCTCAAATTGGGCATATGGAATGGGCGCAGGATCGACCTCCTGCCATTTGCGTGAGCATTGTCGTGCTGTCCATTTCTCTGTAGCACCAAAGTCTTGCATCTAACAAAGTCAGTTCATATACTCGAGAGTCTTTGGGTGATGCATACCTTTTGTGCGATGATATCGAACTTGCTTGATGCCCAGTAATCATGTGCCTTGCGCAGTGCCTGAACGTCTGCATCGGCCCATATGCGCATGCGCTCTTTCAGTCGCTTGATACGCATCTGCAATGCTGGTATTTGATAATTCTTATTGAGATCTGTCAGAAAGCGCGCTGCGATGTCCTTCCACGGCATGTTTTCATCTTCTTTGAGCCGTAGCAGTAGTCTGTCTTCCTCACTGAGCTCGAACTGCGTTGACATCTGCGAGTCTGATCGCTTTCTTCGCTTAGGCTCATCTTCTTCGTCGTCTTCCCGGTACCTCTTGGTTGCATGCGACCGAGGTGTCTCAAGGGGTAGAGGGGCGATTGGTGTGTACAAGCGTCGCGGTTGTGGTGAGGTCATCTGGTTAGATGATAGTTCTGTTGACGGTTCACTCAACTGTGGACTGTGAGTCGGGAATGCTGAGTAGTATGCATCGTGGCTTGAGTGGATGCCTAGTGCGTTCATCCATGGGCCGTCTACTGCTGCTGAAGGCAGTGAGTCTAAGTTACTGTGAGACCGGTCCATGAGGCGGGACTGTCTCCTAAAACGAGACGTGGACTGACGAGGCACACTTCTTGCGTCAGACTGAGGCTCTTCTGAAGGACGTGTAGACTCTGGTACTACTGAGTCCCGGGAGTAGACCGTGCCTGGAGAGATGGCTGCTGATGGCTGCGTAGCGGAAACTGGAGCCCTCGTTGAGTATTGAAGCGTAGGGGCGGGCTGCGATAGGTTGATAGTTGATGTATGCGGAGGCACATAGTGGGGATACGAGACATAGCTGGTCTAGACAACCATATATGAGCAGCCGATCTCGCAACAAGGGTGAAGTACAAACCTCGCTATGGTACTCTGGGGCTGAAATCGAGGGGCACCAGCCAGGAGTCGGCTGACTATTCAGCTCTTGAGAAGGAAGAGGACTTTCTGGTAGGTGTGGCATGTACGAGTGATGCGACTGTGGAGACATTGAGGGAGGTGAGGAGCCGGGCGCGGGGTAGTACTGAGGGTAATAGGGACTTGGCCACGAGGCTGGCTTGTCTTGGAGAAGATGCGGAGGGAGGATAGCACCTTCAAGTATAATAGACATGACAACAACGTCTGCCAGCTGGGTAAGAAGGGCCTTTTGTTGCTGCGCCTCTACTGTTGTGGTCGCTAATGTAGCAAGAAATGCAATCAAGACGGGCGGTAGCAGGAAGGAAGACGCGGCGCACGGTGGTGATATCCAGGCTTGAGCTGGATGACTAGGCTAGGGGAACGCCTCAGTCATATTTATCAAGATGGTAACGGTATAGCGGCCTCGAGTGCAGGTCACTTCTAGTGCGTCGACTCTATCGTGCCACCCCCCCCCAGTAGGCTTTGAAGGATGCTGCTGCTGCTGCGCACTGACTGTCAGGCCTGCACGTTAGCGCCCCGAGCTTTCACCCTGCTCTTCTCTTGTCTCCTCGCGGTTTGGCGGCCTCGACCCCGGCATGCCATGCCTTGCGCTTGAGCCGCGAATTGGCCAGGCATGCATGGTTGCTCACGGTTGTGTCCGGCCTATTTGCTGACCCGGAACGCTGTGCTGGGTTTCTAGGTGGTGTCCTGCAACGGCGGTGATCATGACCGTGTGGGCGTCGGTGCAGCCTTGCTATCGGAATCCGCTATACATCTGGCCAGCAAGGGTGTGTCCGCTACACTACATAGTAGCTAGTGCGCCTAGAGGTGGTTTTTGGAGGTGAAAGTCGAATGTAACCTTCAGTAAGGCGGCCACCCTTGACGTCGGCCCTGACGTCTGAGACTGCTCCCACAATCGCTACCCAGCAGGATAATCTCTTTTCGATGCAGCGTGATATTGGAGAACTTGTCCGTGCTGGCGGCGCCATGGGATGCCGTTAACAAGGGTCGCACTCCATCGCGCAGCAACGAGGAAATTTGGCCAGCCGTGTCTTCCCATTCGGTGCGCCTGGATGGCTGTGCCGTTGACGTACCTTAAAGCCAGTAAATTGCCCCGCGTGTAGTGGGTAAGCTGAGAGCGAAGGACTCAAAGGCGCTTAAATGCATGTTTGAGGTAATTCTTATTGGCCGCTAATATACGCTTCGGCTGGGTAAAGACCGCTAATTCGCTTCTTCCGTCCCCTTCCAACTCACCTCCTCTTCTTCGCACCTCTCAAGTAGCACCTATCCACGATATCGGCGAAGATCACTGCCACCACTACTATCGACAACACGTCGCTAGCTAGCGTATAGACATGCCATGTCGCTTTCGCCCCACACCACGGGACTTGTTCCGTGGAGAACCGCCGACAAAGACCTTCCGCACAACGCTCAGTGGGTGTCACACCCCACCACCACGGTCCCATCCTACTAGTCAATCTGGGCTGTGCGTTGTTGAACGGCTAAAAGACATTGTCTTGCAGCGGTCCAATCCCGAAAACCCCGCTCCGCTGTTGTCCTTCAACGGTAATCTTTGCTCATCACATTGGTAGCTGCGTTTGATCAACGGCTCATTCCGGTAGAATGCTTGCGACATCATTTGTGTCGAAAAGCTACCCAGAAGGGAATTCTGTAGAGCGGAGCGTTGGTTGTTGTTCGACGGCTGCGCACTGAACCTGCGACCGCAGCATACGGCGGCTCCAAACCTTGAAGCACTGCCTTTTGACACTTGATATAGCTACATTCTTGTCGCCATTCACCTTGTCCTTCAATTCTGAGGCCGCATGCGTTCTGCTGGACTCAAAATCTGCCTTGTTCAGTTTGGCTCACGCATTTGATAACTAAAACGAACCAGCTGTACACGAACAAGCACAGCGATAGTGTACGGACTAGCGATACCATAAGTATCATCAAAGGCTACGTCGTGTATGCTCCTGCTGCACACTTCCTGGGGTCTCCATACACCTTTGTGCCTAAGGTATTGCGAAGTGTCGAAGTTGGCCACTCACATCCCGGCTACTGCAAGTCTCACTGACTTCGGCGGCATGTTCACCAGCCGAGATACGGAACACATGTTACCTTCTCGAAGTATGCATTGGAGGATCTTGTACCTGGCCCAAGGATGGTGCCATCCGTTCCGTGTGCGCCACGTTGGAGGCCTTGGAGTCCTGATTCAAGCCTCCATGATCTTCGCCGCCAAATGCACCGACGCTCATACGGCACTGTAGTTCATTTACTGACCGCCTTAGTGCATCCGAGGCTCGCGATGAAGCTTGGGAAGTGGTTACCAGGAGTTGCGAGCTTTGCGTTCTGGAATAGACCCGGGCGTAATTCGAGCCACGATCTCTGCTCGGCTCGTTCGCTGCGCCTCACACCGCCCGACTCTTATTGTGTCATACACTGCGGTACAGTGCTGTTCTTGTAGCACGAATAGAGCCAGTCTCTTGATCTCCTATGAATCAATAAATATCGCGTACAAGCGCAGGACTGGGACAATCGTATGTATGATGCACTGGAGCGACTGCCAGATGTTGAAGTGTCTCCTGCGGCCCCAGCGATGTACGTGATATACGCGCTAGATTCATATCACTTTCATGTCGATTAGAAGACATAGTGCATGAAGAAGAAATGTGTTATCGGTGGTCTGCAAGGCTACGATGAGAATTCGACCAAGCGGTCGGGAGTCTATATCCAGGTGGTGCATGGACCACCAACCTGTCAAGATACACAAGTAGGTAAGCGTGCGGGGGACACGTTCCACAGTAGCATCTAGGCACTGGCTAAGATGGCTGGGTAGTCTCTGATACCTAAAAGCTAGAGCACAGCTTTCCAGACTGGATTTGCAGTCCTCAGCCTTGCGTACCCATTCTCCATACTAGCTTGGCCACTAAGCTGCTTCTGGCGCACTAGCATGGACCCTTGGGAATGGATTGCCAAGCACGTTACATGTAGCGTGGTAGCTTGCGTCAAACCCGGGGAAGACATTACGCATCACCATCCAACAGACGCCATCAACTACGCGTTCTTTCCTAACTTCGACACCAGCTCCTGCCGGAACTGGTGCTGGATATATCGGCATCGGTATCTCTTTATCGACTACCCTCACACAGGCACAGAGTGCCGGAAGCGCGCTTTGAGCCCCAACACGCCGGCGACAGGCGGCTGGCCTAGTGCTGTGTAGCCGTCGCATAGCATTATTCGTCCCTAAGATGGGGTTCAACCTCTTTCACATCCTCGGCGACGTCTCGCATACGTCATCAAAGCTCATACTGATATGGGCGATACACTCAAACAGCAGTGCTGAGGGTGAGCTGGCCTCAATCTCCACTTGAAGCATGTAACATGAGCTGACGTATGCAGGTGTCTCTCTCATCACTCAAGTCCTCTATGCGCTTGTCTTCGGCACGCGATATCTCGATATCTTCACTTCTTCGGCGACCAAGGATGGCTGGCATACGTGGAACTTCTCGTTGAAGGTGCGCAGAGCTGGCATACGTCAACGCGGACGCGGCTAACCCGTCAGATCTTCTACACACTGTCATCACTGTACATCATCTTTTTGATGACGAGCGTATACGCACGCACACGCGAACGCGAGAAGGCATGGAAGTTTGGCATGTACTGTCTGTTGGGTAGCGTACTCATGACTCCGTTCTGGTACCTCATCGTCAAGGATACCCTTCTTGGGCATAACGCCTTCCTCAAGGTAACATCTGGTCCCGCTCCTCCACAAATTGACCACTAACATTCGCAGGTCCTCTGGGTCTTCTCCGAAATCCTCGAGTCCGTCTGCGTTATCCCACAACTCCTCCTCCTCCGACAAACTACTGTGCCCACCGTCCTCGACTCTTTCTATCTCGTCACACTCGGTACATACCGCTTCCTCTATGTCTTGAATTGGATCATGCGTGGCGCCAAAGAACCCGGCTATCGCGACCCTACGTCTTGGGTGTGGGGTACCATACAGACAGCACTCATAATCGATTTTGCGTGGGTGTACTGGACGCGACAGCGCGTGAAGCTTCGCCATGGCGGCGTGGTAGATTCGGATGACCTCGGTCGCGGATGGATTGTTGGACGCTTCGTGAGCAGGAAGAGCATGGATTTCGACTACGACGAGGAGACTGCTGGACAGCGCAACGACACCACACAGCCCAAGAACAAGTGGGGCCGGAGAGGCATCTCTGTGTCAGCAGACGAAGGTGTGGAAGGTGCGCCGAAGCGAACGACTCCAGAAAGAGCCAACGTGGACCCAGAAAGCCAACCGTTGGCCGACCCTGCCGCGTTCGAAGATGAGAGCGATGATGATGCGCCACCACCTGGTACTGCTACTTCAGTCGCTGAGCAGAGCGGTGTCAGGAGGGATGAATGGGACGACGATTTGGACGAGGATGCTACCGAACATGATGCAACCTCGAAAGCCATCAGATAAGTCTACTGGCATGTTTCTTGAGTAGAGGTACTGGGGTCATCCTATTTCAGATACAACATCGTCACCGCTTTGCCTCATTGCATTGATCACAATTCTACAGCGATTTACAATATCAGTCTCACCGCGCGTGCATGTATAGAATGCGTATAACAAAGATACATCAGGCTGCGCTCAACCGATCTCTCTGTGTAGAACTGCATTATTGCCCATGCACTTACTTCTTTAGACACGGAGTCCATCACCGCGTCTAACCCCTCAAAGCCCCAAACCTGGTATCAGGGCCCGACTAGCATACCTGCCTGTGGGTAAACCCACGTGCATACCATGCCAGCGCACTACAAAGTTGCGGTACATGAACCAGGAACGTGGGGGCGGGAAAAGACGCCATGATAGGGGTTTGGCAAGGCCCCAACTGCCGAACTCACGCTGACTTTCACACGTGGGGTCCGATATGCACGGTTCCCGATGATATGCTAGTTCATACACTCTTTACCGGTTTTGCCTGACACAATGACGGATCTACAGCGCTGTGCTAGCCTGGCTTAGCGCTTGAGTTCGGATACCGAGGATGTGGTATGCTGCATTGGGGCTGAATGGAGCTGAGGAACCGATGGCGCAGGTGTGGACGTTAATCACGTTGATTATTGGCTGCAACTCCTGGAAAGAGACGGAGCGAAAAGGAGATTGAGGCGTCGATAGAAGAACTTGATTAATCATTAAGAAAAGAAGCACATTGTGCCTATGAACGCCACCCAATGCAGGTATCATCATCGTCAAGATCTCGCCACATGCAAAACTCCGCTCAATGCTCTCTGCCACGCAGACATCATCACTCTTGATAGTAAAATCAACACCATCCACGTGTCAAAAAAAGGCAATCCCGACGTCTAGTACTTCAGGTCGACAGGCTGAACGCGCCTCTTGTGCAGCTTAGTAGTTGAGTTTCCAGTGCCGCAGACACCCTCAGGAATGTCGAAGCTGTTCGTCCTTCCTGTGGGCGCATATACCGCACCCTCGCCCAGACCTCTCTTGGCAAATCCACTCCAGATCTCGCAAAGGTTGTTGCCGCCCGTAAGCGCTTTGTCCGCATCCACAATGGCATCGCGAGCAGAAACGAAAGTAGGGTTGCAAGGCTGAAGTGCCATGCCGTCCATGACGACTTTCATAGCGAGGTACTTGCCATCAGTCGGCACACCGTTGTCGTCAAAGGTAGGTAGCCAGTCGTCGTTCTTGCCATGCTTATCAATGAGGTTCCAGAGGACCTCGTACAACATAGACGCCCAAATGTTACCGATGGGGTGGACCTTCTCGTACGAGTCTGCGTCGGAGTATACCTGAGGGTTTTGGTTCAGATCTGTGGAGTACAGGTAGTTCCTGATTCCAAGTGGACGGCCACTGATCCAGTCTCCCATTGGGTAGTCGGTGGCGCGAGTGTCACCAGGCTTGAGACGAATAGCTGTTGCGTAGAAATCGCTCCAGCCTTCTCCCATACCACCAGATTCCAGGAGAGACAGACATCCTGCGTTTGCGGGTCCACCAGTTAGACGGTTGGAGAGGCCGTGCGTGTATTCGTGAATAACAACACCGGCGTCGAAACAGCTGTCGCGGTAAGGAGTCGTGCTGTTCCAGATGTACATGCGCATGCGTGCTGGCTGACCATCGGGGGGTGTAGCGAAGTTGGCGTTGTTCAGGCCTGAGCCATCCTGAGAGTTGAGGTAGACAAAATCTTGGCCAGCACCACCCGCGCCGTTGTTGTTGATCTCAAAGTTTCCAGCCTTCTCGTTGAAACCTAGTGTGTGCAAAACATCATGGTACTTGTTGGCGGTGTAGAAGAGTTGGGTGACAGAGGCGTTGGCATAACCCTTCCAGTTGGTGTCGTTAAGCGAGAAGGGGTAGTCAAAGGTCAGAGACTCGCTGACAGGACGGGGAAGGTTGAGAAAACCGCTGTTCACGTTCTCCCAGTTGGTATGGGCAATACCGTTGTTGCCACGAGTTGTCTTGAACGACGTAGTGCCATCGCTGTGGTATCCGAATTCACTAGCCTTGGGAGAAAAGTCATCTTCCGTTAGCTGACGGTCTCCCTCAAACGGATCGTTGATACCCCAGGGGCTGGAAATTGTTAGTGGTGATCACACATATCGTGGTCATTGCTACTTACTAGACGTTGTAGGTAGCGTCCGCAGAGTAATCGACAACGGCATGTACCTTCTCGCCATCTTCCGCGTCGACGTATGTCAGAAGCCAGTTGCTCATGACATCAGTCTCGATTCTCCAGGTAAGAGCGAGCTTTCCCTCCTCATCGACAAGGTAGACGAGACGTGCTTCAGGCTCACTGACACATCCAGTGGTTTGCTTGATAGCATAAGTCTCGGCAGCTTCCTTCGCCTCAGCAATAGCTGACTCAGCGGAAATTGGCAGGCCAAGGACATTGACAGCTGACTTGAGGGCATTGGCAGGCGCGGCACCATCCCTTTTGCTCAAACTAGGCGGTGCTGGGATGGCACCCTTGTAGAATGAGTTTCCGAAAGAAAAGACATTGCCGTCACGACCAACCTGCTAGTTGTCAACCAATGATTTCGGGTGATGAAAAGCATGTTTGTGTTATGTGGAACTGGGCGAAATTTAGAGGTTCATCAACTTACATTGACGTTAAAGTCAGCTGTATCGATGTCAAGACCGTTGGCGGTCTGTTTGAAGTAGAAGTGAGCTACTCCGTTATCGCCGACATAGGAGTCTTTGACAAGACGAAACTCAGCATCGGGGAGCGTAGCCTTGACCAGGTCGGTGGCAATGTCCTCGGCACTAGCACGCTTCGCAAGTGTGTTGATGTTAGGATCAGCCACAACGTCGGCCGTGTTCTTGTACGAGGCAGCGTGCTTCAGGCGGTATGAGTCCAGGTCGACAGCACGACGAGCAAGTGTGCTTCGGCCTTGCCATGTGGGTTGAGGGTGGCCATAGACGCTGATGGCTGACAGCGAAGCCAGCGACGCGAGGAGGACGGAACGCATCGTGATAACGAGTGAAGTGGAAATGATAGACTAGGGACAGAAGATATGCTCAAAAGGAAAGCTTTGAAACAGTATAGCACTCCTCTTATACATGACCTGGTCCTCGCCACACTTGACCCCGAACGACTCTCCACACTCCGTCCTTGACCTGTTCGAGTATGTGGAGCGAGTAAACGATTCAACACCAGGCGCGTACGTTAGTAGACTGCCCACGCGACAAGGGAACGATCACTGGCTTCCTTTCCTGGCCTAACTCCACGCGTAGTCGACCGGTGCAGTGGTAGGAGAATGATAGAGCGGAGGCTTGGCGACGTTGTTAAATAGGCAGGCAAGCTTCTTTGACCCTGGTTATATTGGCCTGGGCATTATATCTTGCATTGGATGCCGGAGGCGACGATCTTGACCTTCCGGATAGAGCCATGGCTCGGGAAATCACGAATGTTTCATGCGTTCACATGGAGCAGGCAAAGGCGCATTCGCGGTATTGGACACGGCAGCGACGGAGCCCCTGAAGTAGCGTGCCGTCGTTCCTTCCGAGAAAACGAAGAAAAGACGTGTCATTGCTTTGTTTTTGCCTGCAGGAACCCGTAAAATCGGAGCTTTGCAGACTGCCAACAAACACGAGGAGGCGCCAGCAGACAAGTTGTCTCGTACAGAAGTCCTCTGACACTGGATAGGTGCATGACAGAAGGACTAATTAGACACTTCGGTGTAGCCGCAGCTGTAGTGGAAAGATAGTAGGGCTGGGCGCATTGGTCGCCTGCCTGTTTAGCGGTAGTGTGTCCGTGATGTGGCTTTCGAGGCCCGCTCCGTGGAATTACGATCGCTGCCCAGAGAGGATCGAACGAGCAACATAACGGCGCATGTGGCTGCAACGGAAATGCAGGGTATCGCGGGAGCCTTTTGGAGGGAGACAAAATGCAGGCGGGAGATGTGGTTGGAGGGATTCCAGCGCGAGATGAAGCGTGCCAAGCGAACTAGCTTAGCGGAAGGCCCCCCCTACACTCCTGGACGCATATAGATAAGAAGGACTCCATCTTTCAATACTTGAGGACCGCGACGAACAGGGAGGCGCGTGAACATGTATACTGATCACGGGCGATAGGATGGTGCTACGGATCGACGTTGTCAAGCCCATGCGGCATCCCACACCCGTGACGCCTTCGCACTAAAGCAGCCATCGGGGATGTCGCCTCCGTGCCATTTTGCCCCACGTTGTCTACCTACCACGTATGCCCCGTGTATGTCGAATGTATGGGCTCTCATTAAGCGTACTGCATCTTCTAGATACTTCTTATAAGGAGTGAGTCAAGGCCCTCGTGCATTTTGAAGATATCTGCAAAAGCAAATCGTGCAACTAAATCATGGTTCGCATAAAAGCCTCACCAGCCGTGAGATTGTCTAAACAATCTCAACGAACTGAGCTGCATGTCCAGACAGCTTCCAGGAATTGAACACCATGCCGAAGAGGCCACAGGCACCGACCAACCTAAATCTGTTTCTCACAGGCGAGCCTTCGCTAAGCTCAGACTCTGACAATGGTCTAAGTACGAATGCATTCGTTGATCCTGCGAACGTCCATATCTCATCGCCTTGCTGCACTTTATTCGAACACTTTCCCCAGGATCCTCCATTAGTCCTAAAAAGAACCCATCGCTGATCTGCCGGTAGAGCGCCATCAGTCGGACGCCTCCATCTCCTGTCCGCTTCGTAGATATTGCTTTTCAGAAATTCCAAAATTTGAAACGATAATTTCGAATCTGCGTAGTTATTGAAGTCAAAGTCTCCTGGAATGAAATAGGTCTCATCGATGATCTCTTCCAGACTTTTACCTTGGAGACACAGAACATTGAATCTCCCGGAATCCTTGTCGTGAGAGTAATCACATTCCATGACGCCAAAATCGTCTCCTGAGGCCGGGAGCCATACCAAGGCCTTGGTAAAATCTAAGCTCCAAGACGGTAGATCGTAATGATTCTGCTGACTTGTTCCCACAGCACAGCAGAGAAGACTTGTAGACCACTTGTTCACCAGTAGGAGCCTAGTGACAGAAGCATAGAGCTCAGATATAGAGAGATTATAGTCTGGTTGTAAAAGCTCCTGATCCTTGGCAGGAAGAAGACTACGAAGGCCATATATATGGTCGTGGGGGACGCTTGCGTGCCTGTGACTTGCAAACTGGAGAGCTCGCAACAATTCCATGCTGCCCTTGAAACTTGGTTCCTTTATTGACCAGAGCTCGTCTCTGAGTAAGCATATGTCCTGGGCGCGGGATACATTCTTCTCAATCTCAGGGGAGCAACTTGAGCCTTCTGGTTCTGGCGACATCCAGTCGGAAAAGACGGTATCGAGGGAAAGTAGAGGAATTTGGTGTCTACCGAAGAGACAGATCGGATCATATCGTGACAACGCGATCTCTTGCACAACCCAAACTCTCGACCAGTATTCGTGATTGGCTATCCAAGTGAGCATAGAGGTAGCCGTTCGTTCATGCTGTCGATCCAGATCATCCATATCGTGGTCCGATCGTGTGAGCTTCATCAGTCGAAGTGCGTCGGCGACATGTTCTACACCAAGCTTGGATCGGCGTGACCGTCGGAGTATGAGATAATGCCAAAAGATCCTCCAAACACCTCGAATGAGTCTTTTTAACAGCGGTGCGCTCTCTGGAAGACAGAAAGGTGGCGACCAGCTACCATCAGCCCAATTTTCGTCTGGGCAACCAAGTGAGATCCATGTCTGACAGCCCTGTTGATATATCCTGCCCATTAGTGCCACTTGTTTGCTCTTTTCTCTGTTACTCTTCTGGTTTATGCACAGCGCATCAGCCCAGATGGTAACTGTCACGAATCTACGGCGAAGTGCGCGCAGAGCTGTGAATAAGTTTGTTGAGACATCTATAGTGTGTCGATCGACGCTTATCACTTTCGTGCTCCCTGAGCTGCCCCATGTATAAGACAGAGTGTCGTATCGAGGCTTTGGTAGTCTGTCAAGGGAAACCACCTTCAGTCTGCACGATATAGCGTCATCCCATCGCCCGGGCTCGATTTGAAGTACACGGATCTCGTTCTTCGTATAATTCAGCTTTTGATAAATATCCAGTGGTGCTGCATGATAACAACGGGAGGTCTGTGAAAGATGGATAACATGATAACAGGGTTGGTGGAACGTGCCGACGCGATGGTAAAGGCTGATCGTATTCGTGTACCGAGTTCTAATTGACTTCATGACTATGACAATGTGGTGATAATCATGGGAAGAAGTAGAGAGAGAAAGGCTGAAGCATTGATGTAGATGTAGGCGCAGTTCGATTGTAAACCTGCCGCGTTGCACCCAATAAGAAGCTGTAGCAGTGACGATCCCGTGATAAAAGACCACACGAAGTCTGAACTTAACTAACAATGACCCAGAATTCGGGTTTCCCACTTCTCAGTTGTGCTTCTGCTCCGGTGAGACTGTTTCGAGGCTCCGTAAGCACTAAGCCATGCAGGATTACATGCATAACAAGTGCGTCCAAGCAATATGTACGAAAGGCTAAGCGCTACCAGTCGACGTCATAAAATCAATGGGGCATCCCGTACCGGTCGTGCTTCAAGACTTGAGCGATTACTGGAGAACTGCACGTCTCTACCCGCATCTTCATTTGAATTGTACATACTTCAAGACTTAGGCTTGTGTAACATGCGCCTATTGATAGCATCCTTTATGGGGAATACAGAGATGAACCTAAGCATTTCAGACTCTGAGCGCAGGATATTTGTGCTATGAAATCAGAGTACAATCAGATTGCCAATCTTCACGCCTTGACTACGGAAGTAATACCTCCTCCTTATTCCCACCCCGTTCGCCCTTCTCAGTAGCCTGATTGTGTCCTCCCCTCCACCTACCATAATCATTGGGATAGGATTTGGTCTCAATATGCCCGTTGGCGTATGCTGCACATCATCAAGCAGCGGCTGCACAGGAGGTTGCGCTGGATCAGCATGTCTATTCTCCTCGTGTTCTGGGAAGCTGACGATGACGACTAGTTGGAGAGAGGCGGGGCTAGGTGGGTAAGCGGGGATGTTGTGCAACTTGGTCGAGAATGAGCAGTCCCCCCTAGGGATTGCTATAATCTGGTACTGTTTTGCTACTTCAAGGGGTAGGCGCTCGGTGCATAGTGTGGTAGCGTGTACGTAGACATTTGACCAGATGAGGGGATTATTGGAGCTGTATGACATGTCCGGATCCTTGGTATCTGGCATTGGCGCTGCACCAGGCCCAGTGGGGAGGGCAGCAGGAAAGAAGTGGCGTTTTGCGTTTTGCTGATTATTATTTTGTGATTTGGGGGCCGACGACGTAGAAGTGGGCGATGGGACAGAGAGCAGAGCTTGTAGTGATGAGAGAAAATTGGAGAGATAAGAAGGTTCGTTCTCAAGTGCCTCGGGGTCGACCTCCAAATCAATTACATCCGCAATGTCCAGGTCGGATAGGTTACTCATATCACCTAGCGCATCGCTAAGGATGTCTGACAACGTGTTGGAAGATGCGGTCGCTGGCTGAGGCGGTACGTCGATGACCAAGTCTAGTGTATGCGAGTCTCGCGTTCTCGTAAAATATGGATCAAGTGGATTGAAGTTGTCGATAGTTGAACGAGACATGAACACTTTCTCGTCTCGGCCCAGAGCTATGTTAGAGATGGCGTAGATCCGGAACTGCTCATCAAGGTCCAGTTTCTGTTCTATCGCGCGCGACTTGTCTTGCTCGCGAACCATGCCAAGTCTGAGTCCACTCATTGAATTGACTAAGATACCTTCGTCTACCCTTTGGAGCGCACCGACCAGCGACGTACTGGGCATATTGGGAAAGGAGAGATCGAAGGTGGTTCTAACAGCCAATGGTGAGCTCGTTGCGTTATACGGAATGAGTGCTGGGGGCAAAGTCCACGGATAATAAGTGTAGTTGGAAGGCGAACGTATATCTGATAGAGAAACGCTGGGATGATCGGCACTGAATTCGACAAGCGGTGAGTCAAGTGTCTCAATAGTTGGCATGAGATGTAGTTTGGCAAGGCTCGCAGCATGGTAAACATCAGTACGAGCCGCTGTTGCAGAGATACTGAATGGCAGATGGGCTGGCGGGAGAGGGCATATCTCGGGCGCTTCGAAGACGGGAGAAGACCCTGGCCGCGTTTTATGGACAGAACGTAACCGCTTTGGCACGATCAACGGGTGGCCTTCGGTAGTGAAGACAAATGGCGCGTCCCAGGTGTTAAGCGGATGCGACGGATCGAAGAGTAGAAAGAGGTATTTGGCAGTCTCGCCAAGGAAGAAACTCTCCATGCGATCATTCAGCTCCCCAGTACGCACATCCTGCAGGCCGGCCCACCCACACTTGGTCCAACAACGTCTTTTGATATCGCGCAGCGCCATTTCCCCTACATGGAGGTACCAGGGGTCTTTCGTGGCTTGGTAAAGGTACCAGGTCGATTCGATCCACTCTGGTCGTCCGCCCCACCAGCGAAGGCCATGCTCGATGTTGCCAGTTGCGGTCGACCATCTTTCGGGCATGGCGGAGTAACGGGTCCAAAGAGCAGTGTAGAGCAGGTGCGTCTCGATGGCTTCGTCGAGCTTGCCAGCCATAGTCAGGAGTCCTTGGTAGAATGCGCTCAGGCTATCTATCCACCAGGCCCTGATGGCGCCTGTATACAAGTCAACTTGAGCATAGTGTGGATGCTGGTGTTGGGCACCACGATAGATTTGTCGTTTGATTCCATCGTGAGCGTCGAGCCAAGTAGCTAGGAACGCGTCCGGTGAATCAGTAGCCGCATTTTCTTGATCAAAGGGTAACCCGGAAAGAAGAATGTGCGATTTGAGGGCATATTCAAAGAAACTGTCGATGCCCGCTCCAATGCCCGTATAGGCATTCACCCACTGCCCCGTCTCGGCATCGATACCAGCACCGATGAGCCCGATGCTACTTCTGCGGTGCCACACAGCCCAGAAAGCGTCTTTGGCTAATCTCTCGTACTTGGGGTCCCCAGTCAGTCGGCTCAGAACGGAAAACTCAAGGACCAGACTTCCGGCACCAGCGCTGCATGTCTCAGTGACTTCGGTCCCTTTGTCGTTTGGATCCCTACCGCACTGGCCATGCTCGGCATCCATGTTGTTTGGTGACTTGGCGTAAAAGGGTACTCCGTATCGCAGATTGACTCGGGGGTAAGGCAGACCAGTCGGTGTGTTGAAGGCTGGTAGCAATCGATCGGTGAGGTCTGTCGCGAGCCGCAGTAGTTGTCCGTCATAGACAAAGCCATTGGGCCAGAATATGCCTTGGCGTCCTTGTCTCTTCTCTGTTGTTGCATTGTAACCTCTGATAGGCAAGTCTCCGACAGCAAACTGATGTGAGCTGAGCAGTCCACCGACTCCGCGGATGACCGTCTCAAAGACCTGCACTTTGCTGTCCAAATCAAAGCCTCTCGCCCTGGCTCCTCGGCCACGGGGTCCCGGAGTGCCGTCGCCATAGTTTTCTACCAATAGTTTGACACCGGCTTGGAAGTCGTCCAAGGCGTTGTTGGATGCAGGCGCATCGAGTGGAGGTGTAGAAGCAAGTATAGCGAGCGTCGACAGGCTGTCTATCAGCGTCAACGAGTAGTTTCCGAGAACGTCGTTGACTTCTATATGGGTGGGGTTCTGGCGATCGCGAGTGAGGGGTGCGCACGTAAGCGGTCGCAGTTCGTCCTCGGGGAAGGCATGCTCCATGTAGTTGTCGTAACCATGGTAGAAGATGTCGCGTGTCTCTTGTCTGCCACAGTTAGCATGCACATGTGGCGGTGGCTCGTGCAGAGCGGTACCTCAGTTCAGATATGGCTTCATCGGTCATGCCATGACCGGGAGCCGTCCAGCAAGCTATCCACAGCAGGAATACGCATAGTAGCTGAAAGGGTGCTCCTCCGGGCATGGGCGCATGTCGCCGCAGAGGCCTTCCAGTCTGTCGCATGGGCAAAAGAGTCCCTGGGAGGCGACATGGAACTGAGGTCTATCAGCTGTGGAAGGCGTGGGTGCAGTTGGTGTATAAGCGGGGCGGCATGTCCGGTGCTGGTGCTGGACTGGTGAAGCCACGATTGCCATATGACATCGGCGAATTTCTGGCGAGGGAGGAGCGTCATTGCGCCAAGCCCTGCTCCATCAATTATTTCATCGCAACACTCGACGGACACGCCATCCTCCATGTTCCCGGCCCATGTCTTGTAGGGGCGCTTTTTCTTCTTAATTTGTAGTTTATCTCCCCCTCTTCCATCACAATGCTGCCTCGAGCCGCCTTCCGCGCACTGCGCACCCGGCCCGCACTGGCAGCTCCGCGCATCGCACCTATAGCTTCCATCTCGCAATGGACGCGCACCTACGCCAAAGTCGGCAAGCCAAAAGACAACACATGGAAACCCTCAGACCCCATCAAGTTCGACGAGAGCAACAAAGCGCGGCCCAACCCAGTAAACCCTTCAGAGCAGCCCGAGTTCGACACTGCGGCGGCACCCGAGAAAAACACAACACCGACACGGCCCTCAAGACCAGTGGAGAGTGCAACCCAGGCCTCGAAAGATGCGGGCAGTGACTTCAAACTGGGCGAGCAGGAAGAGATGTCGGGACCCAAGTCGCCCAGCGAGAACACAGACCCCACCACCGAAAGCCCAGAGTCGCAACAACCACAGAAGCCGCTGCCAGATCTGCGATACGGAATCCCCTCGACCTTCGCTGAGGAGCATGCCGAAGCCGAAGGCAAGGCCAAGAGAGACCCGAACGACCCAAATGAATTCTACGAGGACCCCACACCAGGCGCTGCGGGCGGTCGAGAGGGCGGTGGTGGCGGCGAACTCCCCAAATCCGCATACGAGACCAGTACCGACAGGCGGCGGAATCGCGTTGCCAACTGGTCCTATCTCGCCATGCTACTCTTCGGTACAACGGGTGCAGTCTTCATGGGCAGGAACTGGGAGAATGAAGAAGAGGAAGCAGCTCACATTGATGCTCCAAACGGTTGGACATTGGGAGGCATGTACGCTCGTGCAGCCGCCCGCATCAACGGACAAAAGGCATACTACACAGAGCCCACCTTCCAGAAGTTGCTACCAGACAAGGAAAAGATTCCTGGAGGCGCGCCCGAACTTACTCTGGTGCTGAGTCTGGAGGACCTCCTGCTACACTCAGAATGGACCACCAAGCATGGCTACCGACTAGCCAAGCGACCCGGTCTCGACTACTTCCTACGATACCTCAGCTCACAATACGAGCTCGTCATCTTTACCTCCGTCAAGTCCATGGATGCCGACCCCATCATTCGCAAGCTTGATCCATTCCGTCTCGTCATGTGGCCACTCTTCCGTGAAGCTACTCGCTTCGAAAAGGGCGAGTACATCAAGGTATGCTCCCATCGTCTTGCTTCTAGAGTCACTCTTGCTAATACTCTCAGGACCTTTCCTACCTCAACCGTGATCTTTCCAAAGTCATCATGATCGACACCGACCCCTCGCACGTCAAACTCCAGCCCGAAAATGCCATAATCCTGCCCAAGTGGAAGGGAGAACCCGGAGACAAGGGCCTCGTAGCCATGATTCCTTTCCTTGAGTACCTCGCCATGATGTCTCAAACCGGCACCCCAATCGACGTACGCACCGTTCTCAAGTCCATGGAAGGCAAGGACATTCCCGTCGAGTACGCTCGTCGTGAAGCCAAACTCCGCGAACAGTTCCAGCGCGATCTCCAAGAACAGAAGAAGAAGACCAAGGGAAGCGCAGGCGGCATGTTCATGAAGAGTTTGGGTCTTGACGGGCCGAAGCAGGGCATGGTTCTCGGTGACCAAAACATCAGCCAGGGAATGTCAGAGGGCAAGATGATGATCGACATGTACCGCGATTTTAACAAGCAAAACTACATGCACCTAGACAAGCAAATTCGCGAGAACGGAGAGCAATGGCTCAAGGAGATGGCTGAGGAGGAAAAGAAGATGCAGGAAGCTCAACTCAACGACATGAAGGCAGGCGCGTTCAGCTGGTTGGGTGGTTCAGCGCCTCAAACAGCCACTGTACCCTCAGCGGCGAGCGCCCCGGAGGCGGCGGCAAGTCATCAGGAGGGTGTTCAGCCGACGCAGACACGGTAGAGAGTTTCCGGAATGTACGTCTAAGGATTTGAAAGATACCACGAAAAGATACCGTTCCACTCTTATGCAGGCAGCACTGGAGTACTTCATCTGGATATGGGTGTCTTGGGTACTCACGATATGTACTATATATGTTGAAATACAGTATCACGAATGCATAGCAATATGTTGCGATTGCAATGACTTGAACAACACTTTCTTTCGTACATGCCTCGGCTCACGGCGTTAACACCGGACGTAATGGTGGGGCGGCGCGCATTCGTCCTCCGTCATGCATGTCCCAGCCGCCTGTACACTTCTTCCAATCCAACCCCAGCTCTGTAACTGTAAATCAACATCACCATGTTTCAATTCACATCTCTCGTATCCAATCCGTTTGCATTACGGTCTACACCGCCAGAATCACCCCCAGAGCCGCCCATCGTGTCCGAAGAAGCCGCGACCGCACCGGACCCGTTCCCTTTCCTTCGCCTGCCTTTGGAGCTCCGTGAACAAATCTACTCTATATATTTTAGCCCTGCCGATCATCTCGTCAAGAGTACCGAACTAGAAGCCAAGGGTTTCTTTGGGGGCGTATACCAATGGGACTTTGATGTCCTCAGGGTAAACAAGCAGGTGTACGAGGAAGCAAAGAAAGTGTGGAGGAGAGAAAATGTATTTGTCAAGGTTGCTACACCCTGGCCTTCTGCGGGTATGTATAGGGTTTACTTGATGGCGACAGAAGGGGTTCCAGAGTTACTCGAACACACCGCGACGACACTCAGTGGAATTCGCGGACGCCGTGAGCTCCTCCTTTCTCTTCAGGATGCAACGCTGATATTCAACTTGGAGTCTTAGTGAACCACATCTCATCCGAGGGTCTCGTACCCATCGTGTGCACCGACGCCCGTGCCGACGCGTTTACGTCGTATCATGCCGTTGTACAGATAACCGCACCGTTCCATGGAGTTGTGCCTGAACATATGGTCGTTATGCTCGTGGATGATTTGCACCTGTTTACCAAAACGTGGTACTATAGTGCACTGTCGTATCCTATGCTCAATGAGCGGCTGTCGACTACCTTCGTCCTAAGGAATCCGTATGCAGAGTACAACGATGAAAAGGAAGGCACAGCAGAAGCGCAGGAGGAGCAAGAAGGTCTAGGGATCCCAATCTCTCTGCAGCGGAAACTCTTGTTACCTTTTGAACACGTCAAAGGTCTCCATGGTACAAGCATACACGGCTACTCCCCCACGGTACGCGAAGAACTTGCTCGCCTCCAAGCCAAACCTGTACCCACGTTGCGCGAATCCGTTGAAAGCGCTACAGACTTCATGCTAGCTGGAGACGCCGCGCTCGCATCCTCGTCAAATGCCGATACCAATAGTAAAGACGATCCTGACGCCGAAGCTGCCAACCGAGAAGCCGCCCTACAAGCTCTCGAGCTCTACAGAAAAGCATTCCATGCAATCCATATTCTGATCCATGGACGCACACGCCGCGTCCTCGCAGACGACTTCTTCCACGATAGCATAACATCCGGTCGTTACGCCGGTCAAACCGGGATAACCATACGCGTCGTGCTACGCCTCAAACTCGTCTCACGAACCGTTGCAGCATACAACAAACTCGGTCAATGGGGTGAGGCTGCCTTCTGGGGCTTTCGCACGGTACAGATCCTGCAAGAATCGTTCAACACTGATTTCGAACATTTCTTAACCGACTTCATCGAGGGCTCTGATTCTGGTTTGGTTTATGTACGGGCTGGAATTGCATTCTGGCATATGGAGAAGGACAAAGAGGCTTGGTTGGGAGAGCTGATTAGTTATGCTGATGAGCCTGTGGCTGAGAGTGGTCGGCTCTGGGCGGCGGCCCGGAGATTTGTTAAGCCTGCTGCGAGGGCAGATGTAAGGAAAGAGTTGCAGGATCATGGTGTACCACAAACGATGATCAACCTGTTTAGTGATGTAGCGACTAGGGAAGAAGCTGTTGAGAGTACCGTAGCTGATGATGGAAGTAGTACCAGCGAGGAGTAACGGTACTTGCGGTTAAGAATGCAGGCTTATTCTACTACGAAGCGCATGTAGCCGTCGAGATCATCGAGGCTTCTCACAGACCGTACAAAAACGACATCTTCGCGTCCGCATATCTGGTTGAATCCAACCTCTCGGCCTCAATCTGCTCTGCACTCCTTCCCTCTGCCCAAATCATCTTTCTTCTATTAACAGCTTTTAAGATAAACCTATACGCCGTGTACCCTATAAGCGCCGCGGCCACGAAGCCTAATGTGGCGTAAAAAGGTGTCAGATATCTAGGCGCATATCGCTTCTTGTAGAGTTGTGAGCCGATCACGCCTGCGAGGTTGCCGAATCCGTTCACACCGAGAACGAGGGACCGTTTTCCAGGCTCGGGATTGTTGCCACTGAGCCAGGCTACAGTCAGGGGGGCTGAGATGTAGCTTCCGAAAAGAAGGATGCAAAGACCTGCGTACTGTGCGTGGTGGGACGGCGCGGTAACGGTGATGATCAGGCCGACGAGAGCAAAGAAAGTGCCAATGATGATGTGATAGCCGCGTTCTTTCCGGTGATCTGAACTAAGGGCAAAGAGGTATAGACCTACGGCACCGCATACGAATGGCGGTACGGACATCTATATATAGTCACATCAGCCTAAATCACAGAATGGACTATATGAGCAAAAGAACGTACCAAATTTGCGTCAACTGATGAGTATCCCAAGCCCTGCACAACCATAGGCATAAAGACGGAGAACGCCTGGCTGGGTACACTAGCACAGATATTGAAGAAAAGTAGAAACCAAAGTTTCCAGTCTTTGACCGTTTCAATAGCATCCCTCTTCGTAAGTCGATCCTGTTCTACGCCATCACCTCCGTAACTGTGTGCAACCCATTTGAAGTTGTCTTTAATGATACGCTGCACAGCGAACACCTGTTCTTCTGCATCAAGGAACCAGGCTGATCCTGGTCCTTGCGGTAGCCAGAACCAAGCAATCATTGCAACAAATACCGTCAAGGCCCCTTCGATGATGAACAGGTACTGCCAATTATGCAGGCTGGTGCCGTTGAGATGGAAAATGCCGAATGCTGGTCTCGATGTTAGAAAAGCATTAGAGCGTACAGAAGATTGCAGGGCATACCAATAGAGCCCGAGAAGGCACCGGCAACAGCGTATTGTCCGTAGAAGAGTCCGATTCGCACAGCCATGTCATATCGGCCGTAGAAGGTGGAGAGATATGTGACGGCTGTAGGATAGAAACCCGCCTCGAAAGCGCCAATCATAAGTCTGACAGCAATGAGACTTCCCTTACCCCGGACAAAGGCGTGCGCCAATGTAGAAACACCCCAGCCGATCTGTCTTGGATTTAAAATTACATGCCACATGTGTTTACGGTAAACTTACCATTATAATGGTAATCCAGTGCTTTGCGCCCATCCATCTTCCTACAGCGGCCGAAGGAGGCTGAAGCAACACGAACGTGATGAAGAAAAGCGACACTGCTAGGTTAAGATCATCCGGGGTTGCGCCAATGTCTTTAGTGAACCCTGCATACGTTAGGACAGATCCTTTACGATCAGCATTCCGAAGATCTCACATACCTTGCGTCTCCGCATTTCCAACATTCGATCGATCTAAACCGTTAAACAGATACAGCAGGGAAAGAAATGGTAGCAGCGCAATGTCCATCTTCCTGTTTACGCGTTTTGACATGGAGCGCTCCTCAGGACTGGGGGCTTCCCCTTCTGTCGACATTGCAATCGCTCCACCCATATTGGTGGTTGAACTCATCACTGTAGAGTTGCTACTGCGGGAACAAGGGAGCAGAGGATCATCTTCTTGAATAAAATCCATAGTAAAGGCAAGTTCCGTAAAGTAAAGATGGCCAAGCCTAGTCACCTTCACCATTTTCCGCTTTCACATGTACGTAATTGCTTTGGTGAGGCTCAAAAACGGATCCTTAGCTCGCCTACAATGACCGATGTCGATATGTTACCGCCTCTCACCCCATTGAATTTGCCCGATCAAAGTTGTATACAGCTTGGCTTGCAGCAGTCCATGGATCGGAGCGTGCCAGGCTAAGCTTGGCCAATCGGAGGTCTCCGCACAGGGAGCCATCCCTGTCCGAATGTGGGTTTCGACATCGACACCTCGAAGGTGAGCCAAACGCGGTTCTGCAATGGTTGCTTATCTTGACGAGAATGGTAAAAGGGCAGCTTGGAGGAAGGTGGACATGACATCGTTGCCTCATCCTCCGCGGCGAGATCAGCCAACATGGAAAGCTCTAGAAACATCTTCTATGCACCTTCGGCATCTCGAGTCGCAAAACTTTATGCACTACGAGCCGGTTCCAAGTTATTGTTCCGTGTATCGATCATGGCGTCAGCAAACCCCTGATAGCCCGACGAGGTGGTAAAAGCGACTCCCTTAGACCGTTCGTAATCGAGGGTCACTGCATTGCCGTGATTGGTTGACGGTTCCGCGGGCGTGGGAGCGCCGCGGGGAAAACAAGCCTCTTCGATGCCATTCGCCCGGAGGACAATCCCGGTGAACCAATCAAATGAGTAAGCTGTTATGTAGCTTTAGCCCGTCACTTTGCATCCAGGTTCGCAGCTCCTGGTAGACAGTACCTGCTGTCATGTTCGATGTACTTCCTTGGATTTCTGGGCCTCGCTGGGCACTGTACTGCGGTCCAGGAGTACTAATGACTAGACCAGGGTCATTTCCTTGCTCGAAGTGTCCATGGCCATGAGACAGGTAGCGATCAACTAGAGCTTTGAGATCTTGTAAAACTTTGTAGCAGTCTCTGGGGTAGTTGGTACCCGTTCTTGACTCCTCCTCAAAGGTGCGCATGGCAAAGTCTATCTCGGAGGCATACACTGCGGTGTTGAGCAGAGCCGGTGAGGCTTCGGTGCTAGAAGAGTGAAGAATCCGATCTAGTATCAGGATAACAGCTGCGTTGAAGACGAAGTGCAAACCGGCCTGCAGTAGCTTCCTCGTTGACCGCAATCGTTGAGCTGACGACAAATTACGCTGGGCAGCCTCTGAGCAAGCTTGAATATATTTGCTATGCGCGTGTTGCTGCACAGACCATTGGCCGTTCATGTAGCGTTCAGCAACAGCTTGCTTGACAGCGGCAAGTAGGATCGGTCGAGTTGCGAGGACAATGAGCTGGTTCGAAGCTAGATGCAGAGAGAGAACCGCAGGATCAGCGTCTATGTGGACAGCTAGTACCGGTGGCAATTGCAGCTTCCAGTCTTCGAGCAATTCCAGAGCCTTATCCACGTGTAGGGTCGAATATCCACGTTGGTAGTGTCTCGGGGCGATTTTGAATGTTTCACAAACAATGTAGCCAGAGATGCGGGATAGCTCGACGTGTGCTCGGAGGCCTGCACACGGTGGCATTGAGCTGAGGAGGTTAGTAATGCTTTCCGCTTCACCTATATGCAAATACTTACGGCACATCGCTTGGTAAAGGTAGCCTGATCGCTTCATCAAGTAGAGTCGGTGGGCGTCCCATCAGTACGGAAAGCCATCTATCCAATATATATAGGGTCCAGAAAGTGCGTTTACTCGCTTCGTCATTACATGACCTGAATGCCCCATGTATTATGGCGATATGAATTGCTAGGCTGACCTTGACGTTTGGAAACAAAGTCAGCATGTGCCTTGAGTGCAGCGCGTACATGGATTTTACTTACATATACGTAAGCTGAATCTCTGCGGTTGAGTTCGATTAAATAGAATCCCATAAGGGTCAAGACCGGCACATCATCCAGAGTGAATCGTACAGTATCCAAAGGGTTTCCAAGAAGCTTTCGCGCGCGCTTGAAGAAAGCCCCTCCTGCATGCTGGTCTGATCGATGGAAAGCCGCATGATCAACAGACGTAGCCAGGGCGAAGCAGACATGATAAAATGCCAAGCGTCGGTGAGTGTCTTCAGTCGTCACTGCACTCATCGAAGGGGCTGCAGATGTGGGAAGCTTGCTGAGATCGCCCCACCCTGTACGGTATCAGTGAAAGTACCAGCGATGACCGGCGCATAGCTTACAGTATATCCCGCCGGAGAGAAATTCGCCGTTGCCATCTTGAATATATGCTCGTAATTGGGCCAACATCAATGCCATATCTTCCTGATCGGGTAGCCATAGAGGATCCACACTTGGATTGGGAATTGGTCTCGAGTCGTAGGTCTGATATGTTCCGATTGAAGCAACGAATGAAGACCCATCCGCAGACTCAGGCTGGAAGGTTAAAGGAACTAAGGTAAGCATGAATTGTTTCAAGTAATCCAAAAATGTCGCTCCAGATGTTTCGCCAAAAAATCTCGGGGTCCCACAAGGATCAACAAGCAGGCGGCCGTCGTTCGCATCGGCTTGATCCAGTTCCATTGACACAGATAGGAAAGTCGGTGCGGTTGAACGCCCTGGCACGCCATGGTCGAGCTGGCCAATGAGTTCAGCGGCTTCTTCAGGTGCGGCAATCTTGAACCCCGTCTCGAGTGCTGCACATCGCTTTCGCAAACGTTCGAGCTCGTCTCTCAAAGAGTGCTTATCCGATTCGGGTGCTGGATACTCACATTGTCGTGAGGATTTGGTGCATCGCTGGCACGGCTGTTCTCCAGAACACCGAACCCGACGAACGTTGCACGCGTTGCATCTACCCTCTGCAGGTTAGCGATGAGTCCCAGAAGGCTTAAGCTTAGACTGCCCAGAATTTGAGCAATGCGCGCGTTCTCAGTGCTGCAAACGAGCCATGCTGACGTATGCAGACAACAAATGCTTGGGCGCCATCTATCGACATCTTGGTACCATGGCACCAAGAAACCGCGACCAATACCAAAGCGAAACACGGAGGCTGGGACTATACTCACGCTCTTACGACGCGCTTTCGTAATGACGGATCGACCTTGTGTCTTCTTGGATTAACGGGTAGTCGCTGTGGCTGGGGAGAGGAACTTTGGGAGGATGGTGTCAAGGTGGACTGCATCTCGGGCCGAACGGTTCAAGTTTGTCGCAGTATACCTGGTACTGCCATGGGTTGTGTGGAGAGAGATGTGGGTGAGGGACGGTAGCACCGAAGAAGGGAAGACGCGAGAGGTGCCGAAAGCGTGCAGCGCCTCTCGGACCCCACAAGCCTAGTTAAACGGCACGTCACCGCCATCGTTATGTTGAGATGTCTAGAGACAAGTTTACAACTGTCGCTTTCATGAAGGCGAAGAGGTAAGAATCGCGAATGCGATAAAAGAAACCTTTGCCACATGTTCATTCAGAATCACGATCCAATCATAGGATGTGGGTGTGCTTCCATGGCGAACGGCCGGGGGAATGGCAGGGTTGGCGGACTAGCCTGTGGGACTCTGCTGCAGAGATCATACCACCCAGCACCACAATGCATGCCTACACGGAGGATACGAGCGGAGTGCCAAATCCGTAGGTTTTTTCTTTTACATGAGCGTTGGTAATCATCATGGACATAGTTGTAGCAGTGATGTTTTACGCTAGAACTACCGACGTATACAAAGCGCGCGCCAGTGGGGGGAAAGAAAAGAAAAGTTTGATATTAGAAGCTTCTATACCAGCAATGGGTATAGAAATCAGATTAGACGCGGCTGGGACATCGATTCATAGGACGCCACACGGTACGGATCGAAAGGAACCCGTGGGCTAATGCGTGTCAAGAATAGAAAAAGAAAAGAGAGAGACGAATTGCCGGTGAACGCGAACGCGACCTCGGCCTCGTCACGTATCGTAAGGGCTCACTTCTCCAAATCCACGGCTAATTGCCACCTACAGGCCGTCCGTATCATGTATTTCGCCTCCTCTTCGCTCATCCAGTTCATTTCTTCATCCCCGTTCCACTTGATTCCTACAATCTTTCCAGCGCCCTCGCCCTTTGTATCCATGACCACGAACAGTTCTGCCACCTTCAGTCCAGTCCAACTTCGGTGGAAATGGACTTTCAGTTTTCCTGTCTGATCAGGACCCTCGCTGTATATATACCACTTATCATCCATGTCCTTTGGTGCATACCCAAGATATAATGAGTATATTTGCGAGGGTGGGAGGAAGATATTCCATGAGGTTATGAGGGGCTTGCCAGGAAACGGCATGGTTGGTAAAGCACTTGGAAGTACGCGTCGCCGCGGTTCTGGAGATGGTGGGGGTGTGAATTCGCTGCGGACGTGTCGATTTGATGGTAGCTCGATGCGTTGGATATGTGCAACCATCTTGGGTTGTTGCGGTTTCGACGCATCGATGGCTATGACAGTGCTCTTGTTTGCGGGCGACGGCGGTGGTGTAAGGAGGTAGGACGGTGCATGTGAAGGACGGCGCTGTAACCTTCTCGGCGATTGTGGATTGGGTGACTGTAAACTGGGCGAATATGAACGAAGGCCTTCGTTCATTAGAAAAGGCGACGGAGGAGCGTCGCCTCGATCTCGTCTTGAGAAGCGCCGGAATAGTGACTTCTTTCTAGAAAGCGGCTGTGGTGATTCGAGAGCCATTGTCTTCAGTATTACCCCACCTGCGATTCTTCTTATTATGTCCTGGCTGTAAATGGCAATCCTCCAATATGATTTCAATGGCGAAACGAGAGTATGAATCAAAGTAATAGGCTTGTCCGTCTCACAACGACAAGTGGGGAAGAGGAGGTGCACCGTGCAAGACAAATACGATGGTAGTACTCAGCCGCTCCCCTCGCGAGGGCTGAGTCTGGCTTTATTTAGCATGCACATTCCAAACTGCATGCGGACAAGCGAACACGCAGCAGCGCACCTAGATCCACTCCACAGGCACGGAACATGAGAACTCCTGCATGGGGTGGGCTGGCAAGCCTGAGTAAAGATTATGGCGCGTGATCGGCCTGAGGATGGCTGGAAAGAAGTTCTGGTGGTGGGCCGGCAATGGCAAGCGTCATGACCCAAACTTTGACGCGGGAAGCGCACGGCCTTTGCTGAGAAGTGCCCGATATAGCGCATCATCCTTCTCTTGGTCGAAGCGCCCATGGAACTTTATCATCGATTCGTTTGGTTCTCGGGTGAAACATCTCCTAGGCGTTTTCCTCCATTACGAACCTTCTCGTACCCTGGGTCGTGAGCGTGATGGCTGTGTTCCCTAGGATCCTTCGCATACGTGTACCTCCCCACCAGGGTCGCTTCGCCAGCCTGCAAGCACGGCGATCACATCGGCTCCTCAAAGCCGAGCGTGCCCACGAACATAGGTTTCATACATATCGCGATTGCACAATCAAGCCAGTACAGATGACTAGTGTGTGCCGCAGATAGCCCAGTTAATTGCCTTTGGTGCCGCAGTCTTGGGTTTTAGCTACTAACAAGGTCTGGTAGGCCCAATCACAGTTCCTTTATCACATCTCACGATCTGTGCTAAGCAAAGCTAACAATGGGTGGTTGGAACGCCAACGTAGCTCTACGACATGATCGATGTGACGGGTGGGGCGATCGTGACCTGTACGAGATTAGCTGGATTCCCACGACAAAATCAAGAGCACAAACGTGGCACAGGGTGTTCGCATCCTATTGAAGGCCAACAGCATGCCGCCGGAGAATTGATGGCGCAGTCTCTGGGTCGGCGTTTACACCCGCCTAGTCGGCCAGTTACCATAACGCTCTCCTGGGTATGCTGGGCGGAATGATCATTGATTCATGAGTTGAGCTCGTCATGATCATCAGAGCCCATCAGCTTGCTGGTGAGCAAACTCTACTATCATCTCTACAATAAGGTCTGGTCACACAGTTGCGAACAACACTCTCTAGAGTGGCGATATCCTCCAGTGGCCATATCCAGCATGTCCATGTACAAGAAACTCTAGGATCAGAGTGATGCGGGGTGACAGCTTAGTGTGAATGCAGTTGTGTGCCCATGGTATAAACGAGACGGGTACGACAGCCAGCCACACCTGATACTAGCCGGAGCTACTGACAATTTGCCGTAGTCCGCATTGTTCGCTGTTCAACTACAGGCCATCTAGAACATCATGTAGTCCATCTATTGAGCGGCTACGAAAATTCAGCCGCAAGGGATCAGCGTAGTACATCACAGACAAAGTTGTCCAGACCGGCTACAAGCTCAAGTCAGAAATATTCGCGTTTGCAAGCATGACATTTGGTCTAGAACAAGCAACAGTATTCCATTGTCCAATCAAACAATCGTCTCTTTCTGATCTGTTGACCATGGCTTATTTGGTAGCCCAGATTCACTCCAACTTCAGCACGTTCACATCGGCGCTTGGAAAAATTCACGCTACCCGGCATACATAGCGTACTAGAGTTGGAATACACATTATATTTGGGCCACATTTTGTTCTCGCATGACCAGCTCCCACAGTCGAGATCAAGGAGACTCCAGGCGGATAGAGCGTAGACGCCTTCGCTAAGGTCATTATTAGTGATTGTGGCTTGTACACTGGAACCATGATTTGAAAAAGGAAGTCCAGACTACATCAGAAGGTAACAAGAAAGACTTACTTCTCACACGACCAACTCATTTGCACAGTCAAGTTGTAGACCTTCGGCTCTGTCGTATCAAAATTGAAAGTCGCGCTATTTGTCCAGCACCAGTCGTCGTCCCTCACTTCTCCTCCAGCAGGCGCGAAGTCGCATTCATAGCTGATAGAGGGGCTGAAAATGGCGAAAGAATTCGAGTTCTTAGCACTGCACGCAATAGCAACTCCAACTGCGCTGTTAATCAAGGTGAAGTCGAGAAGGCCTTGTCTTGGACCTTGGGCGGAGGGAGATACCATCAGGTAGTACGAGGAGAACTTTATGTTTTCGATGGAGAGAGAAGGGGAATCAGCTCCAGCTGCCGTAAAGAGGGAGAGAGGAGGAAGGATAGCGAGCACAATGGATGAGTGAAACATGATCGCTGTAGGCTTCGTAGATTTACCCTGATTGCGTGAAACTGGATGGCAATGTTGGTGGAGGCTGAATACAAGAGGTGACTGCCCAAGGCTATAAGTAATGTGATTGCGTAGCCTACTTTAAGTCGATAGTGATAAGTAATCCGCCAAGCATAGTTGGCAAGGTGACACGCCGAGAAGGAGTACTTTGCTACGAAAAGCCACCAGTTGCAAGACGGCGGTCGTGTCCTCTAGTTGAGGAATCGCTTGGCCGTACGTTTTTGCTGATTTGGATAGACATACCTGTCACATGTGTTACCTTTGGGAAAGCCTGCTATATACAATTGGTACCATAGACAGAGAAGCATTGGAGTACCTACAATTAGAATCTTTGGCGATAGAAAATGCTGGAAATCAAGGCAACGTAGTAATTTTGCGCAAATCTGATGTACGAACAGAGTCAATTCGGTCGTGTTATGGAAAAGCAAGCCCAGGTTCCAGCTTCGAAGTCAAACATACCGTGTCCCGTAAGTTACCTACGGTATCCTCACTTGGTAAGCTACCGGATGGTCGAGCATTACACATGCTAAAAGTTCAACTCATCCTACTCCTTGTAGGTGATAGTTTTCATCCTCAAGAACTCTTCAATACCCCAGTGCCCGTTGAATCGCCCAAATCCACTTGCCTTCGCACCACCATGCGGTAAAGTCCACTCGTCATGCACTGTCATGGAGTTGATATGAATAGCTCTGTGTCTCTTTATTAGCGATCAGGTTTCAGAAGTAGTAACGTATGATCCACATCATGCGTTATTTGCAAAACTTACCCGCTTTCAATCTGCTTGGCAATGCGCAGACCGCGGCCAAGGTTCTCTGTGAATACAGCACCAGAAAGACCGTAGTCGGTGTCATTAGCGATCTCGATAGCTTCCTCATCGCTAGAGATCTCTATGACAGAGACGGATGGTCCAAAAGATTCGGTGTGGAAAAGCTCCATGTTCTTGTTCACGCCATCAACGATGATGGGACGCATGCGTGTTCCGGAGGTTTCGTTCGTCTCTGGGTGTTTTTCATCGCTTTCGTGGTCACCATGTACGACTTTGGCGCCATTCTTGACTGCATCTGCGACAAGGCGTTTGTTCTTTTCTACACCCGGCGCAGCTACGAGAACCGGCGCGGGCTTGTCGCCGCCGAAGATACCCTCCACGGCGCCCTTGAAAGCTTCGATGAACTGTGGCTTGATGTTCTTGTGTACCAGAATGCGTTCTGAGCTCATGCAAATCTGGCCTGAATGCAGGAAGGCACCTAGTGCACATTGTGTCGCTGCTGTCTGCAAGTTGGCATCGTCGAGGACAATGGCGCTCGCTTTGCCACCTAGTTCGAGCAGAACAGGTTTGAGGTTCTTGCCAGCTGTCGATGCGATTATGCGACCAACGGCGGTAGAGCCAGTGAAGTTAATCTTCTTGATAGCGGGCTCCTCAATTAGGGCAGTTGTCACCTGCGCTGCATCCTCGGGACGATGGAAGAGGACATTGAGCGCGCCCGCGGGAAGGCCGGCCTCGCTCAAGGCGCTGCCGATAGCCCACCATGTGCGAGGGCAGAACTCGCTACCCTTCAGGATGCAAGTGTTACCCGCAGCGAGAGGGTACAGAATTGATCGCATACCAAGCACATATGGGGCATTCCTGGTACTCACATAAGTTTCCCATGTACGATCATGGATGGGAAGATACATACCAAGGTGCAATGCCCAACACGACCCCATACGGCTCTTTGACGATCAACGCACTAGTACCCTCCTCTTCACAGCTAGGAATATGTCCCATCACGGCGCTCAACCTTCCCGCCACATCTCTCAGCATATCCGCCATCTTAGGCACATTGAACCCGTTGCTGAACATGTCCGCAGCTCCAGTTTCAATCTTCATGTAGTCTGCGAATTCTTCCGCGCGCGCATCGATCACGTCGGCGGCTTTCAAGAAGATATTGCGTTTGGCGGAATGCTTCATCTTGGACCAAGCGGGGAAAGCAGCTTTTGCCGCTGACACGGCACTCTTGACATCTTCCAGAGAGGCGGCCGAAGAGGTCCATACTTGCTTGTGGGATGAAGGTGATGTTACAGGAAAAGTGGTTTTGGTTGTGACCTCCTTGCCGTTGATGAAGAGGGGTACAACATAGGACGGATCGGGCTTAACAACTGAGGGGTTGGACATTTTTTCTTTCGTATCTCACACTCTTTGTTGCTGTTGGTGAGGTTGGCGTTGCTTCTTCACAATAGAAACAATGTAAAGAATAACGCGACGAGCGGTAGAAGTACCGGGTTGGATGGAAGAAGCTATCTCCATAGTATCCACATTACGTGCGCACCTGCTTCCGATCTCAGACCCTGAGGGCGCGCGCATGGCGAAATCGGCAATTGAGGAACGCGGTTCAGGGGGCGAGTGGACCGGCATGTGGAGACGGCACGGCTCAGAGACGAGTAGACGGAAGAAACCGACACATGAAAACCTCGGGAGGTGGACAAGATAGACATAAACCATCTCATATATTGCCTCACGTAACAGCTTGCTCAGTGGGCGAAAATATTGCGGAATAATTTCATGTCATCGTCACAGCCGCCAAGGCGGGGCTCCAGGTGCAAAATCTGGACGTTGCTTGCAAGGTGCGCGTGTTCAAGGAACGCCTGGAGGTTGTCTGTAATTTGTATAGTGTAAGTGTTCGTTAGCGACGGCTTATGCAAATGTATTACAGTTGCCGTTGTTGCACTCTTCAGACAAAGCTGTAATGACGTCAACTCTCTAGATCAGCGGGGTGTTACCTAGGTATTGATGAACCTCCCGAGGTGTGATCGCAGGTAATTACTTCATTCAAACCAATTCGATCGCAATTTGTTTGAACTAGCGCTCAATAAGGGAAGACAAGTGTAGGTATGAGGTCGAAGGTTTATCCTTTCAAACCGATCGAAATTACTCAATACCATCAGGACTACAGGCCTTCTACGCACACACTACCTAGGTATATGTCTCTCACCGATTTTTGTTCCAGCTCAGAGACATGGTCTCAGAACTAGATAGCTCGAGTCTCTTGAAAAACCAACACACGCTCAATATGCTCCTCAAGTATATAGAGAAGCTGTACGCACATTATGCCGCGTCCGTTTGGTAAATGTGCAGTACTATGTGTAGCTTCGCAAGTCGACAACAGATATTTGGTATTTCCTTCCATTAAAAAAAAAAGGGGGGGTAGAGTTTCAAAAGACATCTAAGTGCAAAACTGTTTTGCTTTATAAGGAGGCTGCATCAACTGCTGAGAAGGCACATTGGGCCAGGTAACGTTCGGAGCTGAGAGGTATCCCCCAAAACGAGATTGCTGGGATGTCGTGTAGTAGGCTCCTGAGGACTTCAATAGTCCCAAGAAGCTATAATGTGAGTGTGTAGGTTGTTTAGAATGTTGGTGTTCACTTGTAGTGGTGATACACAAGCCTAACGAAGGAAACGAACCAGGGCACACTTTGTCCCGAACAAGTGTGGTTCATTTCGATGTAGAAGCTCCAAATTTTTTGGCATTGCAGTACTTTTCCGCTTATCCAGGAGAAACTCCTAATTATCACATTTTGGGTGGCAATAAGGATCAGCAAACAGAACCTAATCATATTGAGTTACTGCTCATTTCAAGATCGCTATGCCGAAATGATGCTCAGCAAAGGTAGCCATCATCGTGGGTATTGCTCTTACATTAATCATGATCGCTATACAGATCGATTTCATGTGACGAACGTGATGAATCTGTTGAGTCATCTTTCCAATCAGAAAAGTCCGCGTCCTCGTCGTCTCGTTCCACTACAAAATTTATGCCTTTTTCAACCGAAAAGAGTTCAACAAGGCGTTGCCAATCATACATCGCGAACGATGAGACTACAACTCGAACCTCCTTCAATCGAGGAACATGCGCAAGATAGGAAGAGGCCACATTGTCCAGAGCTTGAAGGTAGTGTTGGTCGTCCGTAGAAGGTCGAACAGGCGTTCGAAACGTCAGCAGCGACACAGGCAATCTTTCCGTGATTGTGTCGGAGACTCTACTCATCATCATTCCTAATGGGCAGCTAAGCTCCTTTAGCGACACAAAGCCTTCGAGGCTGTCACGAAGATGAATTCCGCTATGTGTCCTTTCTTCTGCGATCGAGTCGCAGAAGATGTAAAGGGTCTCTAAGGAGGCCTTTTGACTATCCAAGGCTTCACACAACGTCTTCAGTCGGTCTCCGTTTGGTATCGGCGAGTCTGACAGGTGATCTAGACATACATCGTATCTGAATGTCTTTAGGCACCGTGCTGATGAGATCAACACTTCCAGAAGAAACTTAGTGTAGTAGGTACATTCCAGTTCAAGCTCGTCCAGATCGTTACAGGCTTGGGGAATAAGACGCTGCAGTTTGAGTGCCGTTCTTTCGCCGTGTTCGCGATGACTTGCGCATATGTTGCAATCCGCCATACCATATCCGTGAACCTCGCGCAATTGCAGCTTTCGTAATGATTGAAGTCGGAACAAAGGTGCGATGTCACTCAAGGATATCGTTCTTGCTTCAAGTTTGATTGATCGTAGATGTTCGAACCGATGAGTCTGTCTGGATAGAGTACCCGCTGCCGCCTTGCTTATGAGATCGAACCAGGCGCGGCGTCGCGATCGATCTCTTGCGATGTCTAAGATGCTGAGATGTGTGATATTCGGGATATGCAATAACATCGCGTTTTGCAATGCTTCGTCGTTACTACGGTCTTCGTTGCATTGAGTCGCCCATTCTTTCCAGTCCGACGTACCAAGCGCGCGCAGTCCTTCTTTAATAGTTTTCTTGTCCTTCGCAGTTGGAGCATAACGCCGACCCTTGCGACATGTCCACAGGCCGAATGTGATGTCCACATCGTGAACAAATTCCGCAAGCTGCGGATTAAGAATCATAGTACGAAGAAAAGTGTAAGGCTCGCAGAAATGGCTATTGTACTTAGTATAGAGCATATCAACGACAATCCGGTAAAAGCGCCGACTGGTCAATGCCAAATTGACCAGTGTAGGAAGTTGGAATTGGTTGAGGTCTATACCTGGTAGGTAGCCCAGTATTTCAAGAATCAACTCATCAGGAAGATCAGTCAACGTCGCAAGCGACTTAGCTGTACGAGATCTCAAGCCATTGTTCTTGAGTTTACGCTTGGTAGCGCGTCGACGCTTTGCATCTTGTGACGGAAGTAGCGGGAAGTCGCGCTCATTGATGATCGGCATTGTATGTGGCGACGCAGTTTCATTGGGACTGGCGACAGGCGCAAATCGTATAATGACGAGCAATATGGATCTCGGGCCTTTTGTGATTTTAAAAGGAGTATGCCAACTGAATTGGCGATTGCGAAAAGGTTGAAGGGTGGCTGAAGTCAGTGGAAAGCAGGTGTTGGGCGTGTCAACACGGGTTTTGCGCTAAGTGGGCCTAATCAATCGACGCCCTACCCTGCCCTTCGCCTCGTGGTTGACGGCAACACCTAACGCCCTCCAGGTTTTACAGCCGTGCAACCAATACCTCGCGTCCTTACCTTTCGCTACCTGGAATCTCTCTACGCGTCGCAAGAGCGCATTGGACACGTCCGAAGTGACCGCTCTACAACGAAAACCTCGGGATCGAAGGTATCATTTCATCACTCGAAGCTGCGCCACCCGTTTCATCTAGTTCGCTTTCTTCGCCATGGAGCGCCTATCAGAAGAATTGCTAGACCACATAGTGTCTGAAGTCACCAACCCTTTGCCGAGTAGACATAAACCACTCTACAACGACCTTCTCAGCTTATCGCTGGTATCCCGTAAATTTTGTCGCATCGTAGAGCCGTATATCTACCGCTCTCTGATCATGACCGCGAATAATGGAGAAAAAATGTTACGAACAACGAACACCCGTTCTGAGCTGCTACGACACGTTCGGGCCGTTTTCGTGGAGCAATATTGTCATGTTGCTGATGAGATTCGAGACTTCATCATGCACCTACCCAATCTGCAAGAGCTGGACTTGGACACCATGGGTTCCTTCAAAGAATGTGGGCTATCAGATATCGTACCAGTATTGAAGTTACGGACCGTGACCACTCTGCGCCTCTCCGGTGTTGCAGCGAGAGAAACCGTGGCGATGTCTTTAGACGACTGGAAGTTCGAGAACAATACGGTCACTAGCCTGGACCTCTCTTTCTTCGAGCCTCAGGATGGGGAGGAACTCAGTGAAAAAATCCGGATCTTCGCGGCGGTTTTCCGCAACTTAAGATCTTTGAAGTTGCACGCCAACTACCAGTGGAATACTCACATTCCTATTTTGACTGGCTTTACGTTCCGCTGCCTCGTTTACTCATTCAAGCACGCCTTCGAGACAACTCTTCGCGAATTTAGCTTTGGGTACAACGATGATTATGGCCATTCGGAAGAGTTTGAGGTCTTAGGCCACAGTCTCGGTGCAAGGGAAATACTGAAAGCGTCGCGGCTAGAGAATCTCAAGATAGACACAATCTGTTTGCAAAAGGCTAACCAAACAAACAAGCTAAGGAGTCTGTTACTTGAACCTTCGTGTCTACCTACGTCCTTACGTACACTGTACGTGCGTCATATCGTTGCCACGGGAAACCTAAATCCCGAGGAAAGGAATCTCATGCACTCAGACGAAGCTCAGTGTTTGTCACAGCTAGTGAATCTTGCGTCGCGAAGATCGCGTTTTCCTAATCTGCAGAAACTCACACTAGCAATATCCCTACCTCCATTTTTTGAAGAGGTTGCTTCCAGGGTTGTAAAGATTCAAGCCCGGAAAGCTAAAGTGCAGTTGGAATTAATGTTCATGTAAAGTTATGTGTAGAGCTGCTGCAGCTGCGATCGCTGACGAGTGATTAGGCCTGAGCGGGACCACGTCAGCCATGATGTCTCCAGAGCTTGGCCCGAGTATGACCATGCTCGAGATCCTCGGGATCCATCCTATGATCAAACAATCATCCGTCGCTCCTAGCTGTGATTTCTTCACCACATCCGCGACTATCACCAACAATATCTTGCATACCGATGCTGGTTTACATGCAAGCTCGGATCTCTGTGGCTGTACTGTCGACAGGGCTGGCGAGCAGCGGGGCCTCTGACTACTGTCTAGGTGGATTGATAAACAATGTCGAAACTGTGCCACAAGACTCGGTCCTGAGAGTAAGCTCAAACGACGTCCGAGCTGCAGTGCCTCAAAGATCGCCATCGGCTTCATGGGAGGAAGATCGCCGGATCCGAGCGCTAAAATCCGATTGGTTGTCTATACGAGGTTACGAATCCATTCAGCCACCTTCAGCGCCAACATTGCGAAGCCGCAGCGACGTATCGCAAGCAGTGCTGGAAGAGTCGGGCAATGCAGTCTACGAATACGCGTACAACTGGATCAGACAGAGCCTAATCTATATAAGTGCCACCCATGGACTCGATGCCGTGTCCATTCCACACATACAGGAGATTATTAGATCCAGCAAGATTCGACAATCCACACTTTACAGTATAAGATCTACTGTCTCCACAGCAGTAACCCCGTATCTCCACAGTACTATGTGTCGCGCACTTACTCTCTCCACGTCGAAACGCGACCAAAATACACCAAATGCAGCAACCGCTAAACAACCAATTATCGGCGGAAATCTCAAGACAGGCCTGGAAAAGCTTACACGGGCTGTAGAACGAGGAGTCGACCGTCAAATCTTGAGCGCTCAAGTGCGGACTTATGGCACACCTCCGTCGTCCTCTCAATCCTCGGAACAAACAACGAACATTGGCTCATGTAACACGAAACCGATTATCTGAGCGACGAGGGGACTTTATTGCGTAAACCACTATCTCCATGACGACACCGAGGGCCTGTGAAGGCTCGAACTCTGAAGTACAAACATTGTCCCTGGATCAGAAGACCAATATTATCGTGTACGAGGATCGATCTGGGTCGTTGCATATTATGTTTGTATACAACATATCGAGAGGATAGTCGTGTTGGTAAATTGAGCTGCAGAGTAGTCTTTGTCGGTTGTAAGATAAGTTTATGTGCATTCATGTAACATTCGATGGCAATCGCTTGTATTTTTAGTGTATTTTCAAACTTTAGAACCCCTTCACCTTTCCGATATTCTTGACAAGATTTGAACGTGCTAAGCTTGTCCTTTGAGTCAGTCCAATAGTGCAGTATGAATCGAGATATCGTAGCCTGAGCCACTTAAGAACACAGCAAGGATAAGTAGGAGAGATTGACGATTCTAGTGCGCACATTTCACATGCGCAGCCTGATAATGTTATTGATGTTAGATAAATGAGGAGTGGCAAGTATCCTAAGCGGATTTGCGCAACGTCGCAAGCTTAAAATGCCGTTGTACTCCAAGTGTCACGTTCGTCGTATTGCGGCAGACCAAGAACAATTGCACCACGGAGCAAAATAGCCAGCTACTGCCGTGAAGGCGGAGAGCAACAGAGTTCATAGTCTAGAGTTGCGAGCCCCACTCGGGTTACCGCTGTCTGACTCCACCCACATCCACATCCATCGACTTGAGAGTGCTGGATGTATTCCCGTGGTCGGATTTGTGAAATTGTTTAGGGTATATAAATGCACCAATCTTTCTTCTCTCCATCAATTGCACATCAGTTCAATCACCAGCATCGGTGGTTTAGTGGTAAAATTAGCCGTTGCCATCCATCACAGGACAGTTTCGGCTAGCCCCGGGTTCGATTCCCGGCCGATGCATTTTGCTTTTTGTATCCTTTTTTGCATCTACACCTAGAGGTCGGGGTAGTTTAGGGGTAGTTTAGGAGTAGCGGAAATGGTCGAGTGAATTTGGATACATGAGACTCGATAACCGTAGACGCCCAATGTTTTTGCCCATCCTACAAACATTGTCTGCCGATACCACGGCAGCATTGCGAGCATTACGATGGGCGCATGATCTTAAAGTTGTTAGGGTGGCTTGCAACTACAGATTATGATTAGATGGCAAGTGGCGGACCTCTATACACACCATCGGGCTTATACCACAGGAAAGCAGAGATGCATTCATATAGCTACTGATATAGGAGTACAGCGTCGCATCGTCGCCGGAACAAACGTCCCTCGATATGGATGCTTGTTGTGAATATCCTGCCTTTCTAGTGGCCGAAATCCGCAATTGGCACAACAACCGCCTACCAGATCTGAGGTGTGATGTTGAGAAGGAGCCTACCACTCTATATGTGTTTCCAACCTTTGTTTGTGCACTGAGAGAAATAGGTATGGTACTCCGTCTCATACTATCGGGGTGCACGCAGACGGCTCGATATACATTCCCTTACTGGGCGATTCCCAGTTGACGAGTCCACTACGACCCCAAAGCTTGTTGCAAGAAGCTTCCACATTATCGTACCAATGCACCAGCTGTTCATAGTTGGCATGACAGTGAACGCGACGAGAGCTATGGAAGGGAGTGGTAGACTAAGCCGCATTCAGAGCTAGCGCCAACCACCAGTGCTAAGCGACACTCGAAATTCCCCAGTGTCGCAAACCGACGACATCGACCACCAACGAAGCCTCAACCAAGACCACCCGCCGTCAACACACAAATCGATCAAAATGGAGAACGAACGCGGAGAGCTCGTCGACCTTTACGTCCCCCGCAAAGTAAGCCAAATGCCTGCAATCGCAATGAATGTCTGCTAACATGATACAGTGCGTGAGTATCCCACGACTAGCTACCTGACCCCGAAACGCGATACTAATATCCTCCAAGTCGGCCACCGGACGCATCATCAGGGCCAAGGACCACGCCTCTGTCCAGCTCAGCGTTGGCAAGGTTGACGAGAACGGCCGCTACACCGGCGACAACCAGGCCTACGCCATCTGCGGTTTCGTTCGCGCCATGGGTGAGGCCGACGACAGCTTCAACAGGCTCGCACAGAAGGACGGCTTCCTCAAGTCCGTCTGGAGCGCTAGCCGGTAAATGGTTGGGGATATGGAGTTGAGGTATGCACATTGCGACTCGGGCGAGGTGTCTGGGCTGCGGCTGACCGGAAGCAGGAATTCGGAATCTGAACTGCCCTCCGAGGGCGCAGGCATGCATTTCACGGCGACTTAGGCCTTCATTTCCTTTCTCCTGCGGATCAACGATATCACGAGGAATGGGAACCGGTTGAGACATGAATACCATCAAATTCACAAACCCTGTCACGTCTCATGCGCCTCCGCAGCCTCCGCCAAGACTCGGCTGTGATGTGTACTGTCGAATTTGTGAAGTCATGACGACGGCTAGGAGTGCTGCCTTCATGTTCGCTATACTGGCAATACATTGGTACATATGCTTACTTTGCAAACTGATTACGCGTCGTTTCTAGGTACATGGATCAACGCCTGCAGAAAAGCACTTACTCCCTGCCCCGATTCTCCGTTGCTGCCCAAGTTGCTACCCATCGCACCACATCCGCATGGGAGAACCGTCAAAACTCATAACAGGCATTGTGTGCGACATGTACATGGATAGCGTACCGACGCAACACAGAGCAAGAGCCTGTAATACACGGCCGCGTGGTCATACGCACTGTGTCTCTGCTGCATGCGAGGAAATTGTTTTGTTAACAACATACAAGCCCCAACGTGGATGTCCCTGAAGCCTACACTACAGTATGGTACAGCGTGCGAACTGACGCGAGTATACCTGACCCTCTATATCGAGCAGCATGACATGTAAGGCGGGCACTATCACTGTGTTCTGGCCCAATGTACCGAGCCAGCCCACCACACCTCGCTAAAACCAAAAGCCCCACGGACAACGTCTGCCAATGACCTGCTAAGCGTGGACCCGACAATGCGGGTGGTGCGATTGCTGTGTAACATTAGACGTAAAAGAGCAGAAGTCTGGACACCCACTCGTGGTACTGAGGTTACATGTGACGATACTTATCAGTACCGGAAGACAAGTATCCAGCGCCTATCGGTTTGCAGCAACTAAACGTCAGTTACCGATGGTGCCGAAGATGCTCCATGCTGTTAGTTCCAGGGGATATTGGTAGCCACCAATATACTGTCGCTGAAGAGTTCTCTCCATACAATCCTTGCAGCGTGGATCTTACGCGCAGTACTGATCCTCAACAGAGTCGTATATTGTATCACTGGGATTGCGGGGATGCAGCAACGATGCTTGGCAGCGGTCCGCTGGGAATGCACAGAATGTTCACCGATGACGAGGCTTAGCGACCGATCAGATGAGTGCATTGCATTTGCGTGCATAGGGTGTGGCATGAGGCGAAAGGTACATGTGTGTGGTACTGAGGGCTGGTCATGTAGTACAGTCTTCGTCTGCCTCATGTAGATCACTTGAACTGGACGGCCGGGTATGAAGGAGGATCAACCGAGCCTCGGTAACGTCGGTGCGTTGACTCTCTTCATGTTCTTAGATTGTGTGGAGATATACAAGTGAGAAGCTAATATAGTATCTCTTTGACCAAGTGATACTATACACCTTTTCCACACAAAAAGCGCGCATTCCAAGACGGACCTATCATCAAACTCGATGCCAGCGTGAATTACTAAACATGAGCTGGTGACCTTCAAGAGATCGAGGCTCTAGGCTCAAGTATTTTGCTTTTCCCGTCTAGAAGTATATGCGGCTATACACACCTTGTAATATGATTGAATGGATGCAAGTCGCATGACAACGGTAAGGCTGCAGGGCGCTAGGCTACGTTTTGTTTCCGAGTGGATACAGTACACGCGGAAGGTACCATCCATGCGAAGTAAGGCAAGTTCGATTTTGCCGCAGTCGAACGCGATATGATGACATAATGTTGAGGAAAATCCATAGCTGTAAGTGCGGCTATTGATAAATCCCATAGCGGTTCAGGTCCGCTCAGAGATTGCCGCTGTCCAAATACCCACCGCCTCTCCAAACCCAAGCATCGTCACCGAACTACCGAACAAGTACGTAGTATACACATTAATTCCCGCTCGCTACCAGAATACACGTGGCAGACCCACGTACTTTCAAGTCAGCTTCCCGCATCCCGGGGAAGCGGGCTGTCGCTTCAAAGGGGGACAGTCTTACATGTCTTGGCGCGCATACAAGCGGTGTGATTATGCAGTATGCGGGCAGGTCCATCAATGTACACCGACGTATTGAAATGTGCGGATCCGACTTATTCTTCGACACAAAGGATGCAGAATTTGATGTGTGGTGATGTCAGACCGGACTCTGCGGGTCGGACGTAGATAGTAAGTGGATGAGTGTGCACAGTGGATGGTAGTCGTCGGGCCGATTCACAGTGGTCGAGAATTGTCGCGGGCCGGAAAGTGTCGCACTGCGGATGTCGCACTGTATAGGGACGACTGCGACGTTCCTCATTCATCGACGAGTCGGTGTTGTGGTCCCAGAATTCGGCTGCTGTTGATCTGGAATAGTATCAAGAGCAGCATTCCGAACCGCGGACACGGCTTTACTCTCCCCCACCTTCCAATCGTCACCTTTGCGCACGATCTTCGATCGGTCCTTCTCTGCTTTCTTGAGTAGCATTTCCTGAATCTTTGTGTCGCGGCGTTTGCCTTGGACACAGTCGCAAAGACAGCCCTCGGTCGGACAGGCACCGTCTGATAGTACCGGGTCAGCAAACCATGTTGATAGACAATTTGAATGCCCTCCATGTCCACAAAGTGGGCACCACGTCCAGAGTGTAGCTGCAGGCGGCGACCAATTGGCGGTAGTGGTCGGCGAGGGACCATCCGCGACCTGATCGTCATCATGGTCTGGATGCGACATGAGGGACGATCGTTGTCTTTTATGTCCTTTATCCTTGAAGGCCGAGCGCGACTTCGCCTTCGATTTCTTCTTTGCAGTGATCGATTCGAAAGCCGGGTATTTGGCCCAGCAAACCGGGCAGGGTGCCTGCATTCGCTTGCATGATTCGCATCGCATCTTGTCTCTAGGGTTGTTGATCGGTGACTTGCAGCTTAGGCACAGTAGGCCAACTTGTGTTTCTTTCAGCGCTTGCTCGTAGACGGCAGGATATGTCGGATACGCTAATCGACGGAGGGTAGCGGCGGAATTGAATAGCGACAAGGATTGTAGCTGCGCATGGTAGGTGTGGAGGATGGACTCTGCTTGGTAGGGATTGATACCAGTAGCTATCAGTTGGCTCAATTGCGTCGAGAGTATGGCTTTTGCTTGTGCTTGAGTTAGACCTAAGGAGACAAAGGTATCACTGAAGGCGTTCAAGACGTCTCCCACATGAACATCTGGAGTATCAGTGGGGCCGTGAGTTTGTGGTAACAATGGGGCTAGAAGCAAAAGGAGAATCGAACTGAACTGTGCATCCGAAGCATCCGTATGGTAATCGAGAAGATGATTCAGCAGTCCAATGACGGAATAGGGGAAACCGACTTCGGCATCAACGTGCACAGCCTGAAAGTCAGACACCAGTAATCCTTCCTCGGCTGCTGGGTCGAGAATCGGAGGCGCACCCCCAGACACATGTGGTAATGGAGCGGGTGGCTTAGGGACATACGGCGATCTCAAGTCCTCGAATACATCAGGCACAATGGTTCCGCTTGCCTCCATTTCAGCGTTGAATTCGAACGATGACGAGGAGATACTCGTGAGCGCTTCGGAATCAGAACTGTCGTGACGGAGCAGTTGGTTATTTCGTCGCAGATGTTCCATATCGCGAACAGCTCTTTCTCCACTGTCAAACCCATCCGCCGAACTTGGTGGATATGTCTGGTTTGCATGAGCGATACTTTTGCCAATAGGCACTGTTGTTGGAGAAATCGAGATACTCTTGCCTAACTCTCGATCTCCAGTGTTCCTTGGCTTTCCAAAGCTGGAGTGTTCCTGCACAGCTTGCCAGTCATCTGACAAGGACTGCTCTTGGCCTACTTGTGAATTGGTACTAGCGAAGGAGCTTGGCATGGAATTGCCCCTCTGAGAATCCGAGGACGCAGAGAACATGGTAAAGCTTTCACCAGAATCATGTCGCTCTAGTGGGGGAGGCACGTTCATGTTAGCGCCATGTGCGCTGTTCGGCGCGAGACTCAATGGGATTCGGGGCGATGCGCGGTAGCTGCCGACCAAAGCACGGCGTTCGTCAATGTCGTCTCCCGAGTGGTACCATTGTGGTCCACTGAACGTTCTTTGCGACGGTGCGAGTGTTTTGTTCGCGTCGACAGGTGGTCCAGTAACAGCGGGCGGAAGCTGATCAATGTCCTCCTGATCAATATCGAGCAAGTCTGGTCTATGAGTGTTGTTGACAGCTTGGTTCATAACTGGACGAGCAAGAGGGGTTGCGAGATTGGACGTGCTCTCTCGCATCGATGGCGATCGGGACGGTGATGCCGGCTTCTCTAGCGTACCCAAGATAGCTCGCACTGCAGGATTTGGGGGGATCGTCAAGCGCTTTTCGTGTGGCTCCATGTGCTCAGAGGAGATTTGGTGCATCTTCTCAGACGGTCGGAGCGCTGTGTTCTGCGATTGTAGCCTTCTTCGCTGTCTGTGTGACTCGGCACGTCGTCGTGTCGCCACAGCAATGGACGTACCAACGAGTCGCCATGCCTGCGCGAGCCTATAGAAGGCTGCCCGCTGTGCGTACTCGGCGTTCTGCTCAAAGATCCTCTCCAGCCGGAGGAAGGAATCCAAGTCAGGTGGATCGGAAAGAGGTATGGTCTTATACTTCTGTGCGAGATACTCGAAGATCTGAGGGTTGGCCACGCCTGGCAATATGCCTCGTATTGCGACCTGATTCGGTCTGAATGACTCGCTATAGGCGACCATAGAATCACTGAGAAACATGACTTTGGGTGCAATGTCAGAGGGCGGGGTACTGCTAAACGATTTGGTTGACCTGTTACTGGCGGTGCGACCATGATGCCGCTTCATTGACGACATCAGGAAGCTGTCATCTAGGCTATCGTCCGCTGAGCTTCTAAGACTCCCTTTCTCAGGGCTATGGCGGCGTCTTGCACGTGGATCACCAAGGTACGTATCGTCGGGATATGCCAAGCCTGTAGAAGACGGCTGCCGAGACCTCTTCTGGGCAACAGCGGCGACTTCTCCACTTGGCGATACTGCAAGAGCCTGCAGGTTGCGCCGATCTACGGTCTTTGGGGCGTGATGGACGTCGTTTTGCTGGAAAATGCCCTCCTTCCCCACAGTCCACAGGGTGTCACGCGAGTGCCAAAGCATATCGGAGGGAGCACTAGGAAACTTATTAATCTCCCGAAATGGCAGGAACGGTCGACGGAAGTCCCACACATGGATGACGGAGTGTTCGCGATCATAAGACGTGGCGAGCTGTGTGCACTGGTAAACGCCCTTTTCGTGGTACTCATCGGACCAGTACGGTGGTCTCCAGCGCGCTTGGTAGACTGGGAACGGTGTGTGCAGGACGTAAGCAGCTTTCTGGCGGCGGCCAGTGATGGAGAAGTCCCAGACCTTGACCGTTCGATCGACGCCAGCACTGATTAGATGCTTGCCGTCTGGATGCCAGTCGATGGAAGTGCAGATGCGCTGGTCGTGAGCCGTAATTTTCTGCTTAGGACCCTTGTTATGGCGGAAATCCCATCGCTGGATGGTTCCGTTATCAGTACCGAAAGCGAATTCTACAGCGTCAGTAGGTGACCACTGAACATCACGAATGCCACCGTTCATGCCAGCATAGTGGTCTCGACTGCGACAGACGGTGACGTCTCTGCGCATGTCGCGTAGGTCCCACAGGCGAACGGTGTTGTCGTGGCTCGCAGACAGCAGCAGATGGCCCTGATGAGGGTTGAAAGCCAGCTTGTGTACCTGACGCGTATGCTCGTGCAGTCTGGTGAGCTCGACGCTTGCGCGGTTCAGGTCGTACAGTATGACTTTGCCATTGGCAGCGGCAGTTGCGATATGCGAGCTGAACTGGCCGTGGGACCATTTTACGTCGTGTATGCCCAAGCCCTCGCGCTGGCGGGCATGCGAGTCGGCATAGTGGAGGACAGCAGCACGCAGGTTGGTCTCGTCGACGATCTTGGCATCTTGCACGCGAACAGTTTTTAGAATTTCCTTGCCGGCGAGAACGGCATGGGTACGTTCACGGTTGATGTCGAGGGCAGAGATGTCGAGGCCTGTCTTGTGGCTTGCATCTTGGGAATAGCCTGTGCGGATGCTGCAGAGCCAGAGTTTAGCAGGAGGAGGTGGGCATCAATGGGTAAGAGCGACGGGGCAAACATCAACAACAGAGTGCAGAGACAAAGCATCATGGTGAGAGGGGCAACCAATCAGAGGGGCGGCAATCGGAGCTACTACTGTACAGGGCATGCGCGTACTCGAGGTAAGTGAGAGTGAAGACGTACCCGGCAAGCTTCGGCACTAGAGGGTTCGGAGGGCCGCCATCTGGGCCATGGGCATGCACACTGGGTGGGCGGGATCCATAGGCAGTGGTCAAGGGCTGCGCAACGAAGCGTTCAAAGTACGAGCGCGACTTTTGCTTGGGCAGTGGCAATGGCGGCGCCGGTGGTATCTTGGGCGACGAGACGGCTGACGTGCGACGGTTTTCAGTCATCTGAGCAGCTCGCTAGGCCGGGGCGTGGCAGCATGGAGCTGTCGCTGCTGCTGCTGAAAGACGTGACTTGGTAGCGACACGCCTCGGTGCGGTGCAGACGGTCAAGAGCTCAGGAAGCGTGTAAGTGTAGCAGCAGTGGTAGTGTGACGAGCTGCAGGCTGCTGCAGGACCGACGCTGATGGTGCACGACTCGCCCGGCGTCCCTGGGAGCATGCAGGCCGGGGTTATCGCGAGGTCTGGATGAAATCCATCATCGGCGCGCACGGACAGGCCTAATGCCTGCTGCATGTGCGCCACAAGTCTACTCGTGCTAGCTCTCTCTCGCCCATGGCACCGTCTCAGCGAGCAACATGTCACCGCGTTTCTCTTCCATAACCTCCATCTCCTCCTTCCTATCCTCGTCCCCCACCCGTCTCTGCCACCCGTGAGTCCTCGCATCAGGGCCTCACATTCCCGTGGAGAGAAGCTCCATCATGGCCGGTCCGCTGCTCCAGGGCGACCTCTCCGCCGCCCACAGCGACCACGACCACGAGAGATGGACCTATGCCGGCCCTGTGCGCAAAGCCATCGCCGTCCTGCAATATGCCTATCCCATCGTTATGCTCGTCTTCTTTCTGGCTGCCTTCACCGTTCGCAGCATTGCCGCTTCTAAATCTAATTCTAATATCGCCAAACCTACCACAACCGGCCCTGGGGGAAAGCCGCTTCCTGCCACCGATCCTACCCGCAACTTCGTCAAGAAGCTGGTCCACGATGATGTCACGCACACCCAGAAGCGCGTCTTTGAATGGGTCTCGCTGGCCACGGCCTTCACCTTTGTCGGCAACTCGGTCGTAGTCATTGCCCACGCTCTGGCCGAGACGCAGGAGCACTGGTGGGCTGGCAAGTCCGTCGTGGTAGGTAGCAAGCAACAACAAGCACACCCGCGTTCCACCATGTGCTAACTTGTTCAGATTTACCTCGTCGGCGCCTTCTTCGTCTACTGTCTCTTCCTCATCTCCCTCCTCGATTCCAAGCCATCTCCGACCGAGGCGCATCTGGCAACATGGAGTCTGGCAACAGTCCTAGAAATAGTCCTCGTCGCCCTCTCGTTTGCCGTTTATACGCACCCTCACAAGGAGCCCACCGCAGGCCCACCGGCCAAGCGACTACGATTTGGAATGACCCAGTGGGAGTCCGCCGAGGTCGCCATGGACCTACTTCGCATCCTACTGCTCCTCGCACTCATCACCTTCTACGTACTGTTCGTCGTAGTGCCACAGCGCAAATCCCAGCGAGAGTCCGGAAGTCCATCTGAAAACACTTCCCTGCTAGGTAGCGCCGATCAAAACGGTCATGCGGAGAACGGTCACGCGAACGGCTCATATGGCTCAGTCCACCCCGTCGGTGGCAAACATCAGCACACCGAGGGTGCACCGCCCGCCTGGAGCAGGCCTACTGGCGCACCTGCGCGCAGTTGGTGGGAATATATCAAAGGCTATCACGTCTTCTTCCCTTACCTCTGGCCTTCCAAGGATCGCAAGCTGCAGCTCGTAGTCATCGCGTGTTTCTTGCTCGTCCTAGCGCAGCGCGCCGTCAACGTTGTCGTGCCAGATCTCACAGGTGAGATTGTGGACCGCCTCAAGGACCCTTCGAGAGGAAATCCATGGACTGCCATTATGCTCTACATTGGCTTTCGCTTTCTGCAGGGTAGCAATGGTCTACTCGGTGCGGCGCGATCTGCATTGTGGATTCCTGTTTCGCAGTATTCGTATCGCGAACTGTCAGTTGCGGCATTTGAGCACGTGCATAGTCTTAGTCTTGACTTCCACCTCGGCAAAAAGACTGGCGAGGTCCTATCCGCCCTAGGAAAGGGCAGTTCCATCAACACGTTCCTCGAGCAGGTGACCTTTTCAGTGGTGCCCATGCTCATTGATTTGGCCGTTGCCATTGCCTATTTCCTCGTCAGATTCGATGCTTACTACGCCCTGGTTATTGCCATCATCACCTTCTGGTACATCTATCTGACCATTCGCATGGCGCAGTGGCGCGCTGAGATCCGTCGAGAAATGGTCAATGCCGATAGAGAAGAAGATGCAGTCAAGTAAGTGATCATCTGTAGGTTTCACCATCTAGCTAACCTTTGCAGGAACGACTCCATGGTTTCATATGAGACGGTCAAGTATTTCAACGCCGAAGCGTACGAATTCAACCGCTACCGTGAAGCTGTTAGGAAGTATCAGAACGCTGAGTACAAGGTCATGTTATCGCTGAACATCATGAACATCACACAGAACATGGTTTTCATGATCGGACTACTCGTCACATGCTTCATTGCAGCATACCAAGTTGCGGCCGGAATTCTCGAGGTCGGCAGATTTGTGTCGCTTCTCACGTATATGAGCCAACTGCAAAGCCCTCTCAACTTCTTTGGTACCTTTTACCGGATGATCCAGTCTGCCATGATCAACTCTGAGCGCATGCTTGAGCTGTTCAAAGAGCAGCCCACCGTGGTCGACAAGGAGGATGCCCAACCTTTGGCCTCGTGTGAGGGTAATCTTCGCTTCCAGGATGTACACTTTGCCTACGATCAGCGCAAGCCAGCGCTGACAGGCCTCGACTTTTACTGCGAGCCAGGCACGACTACTGCTTTTGTTGGTGAATCCGGTGGAGGTAAATCGACCGTCTTCCGTCTACTCTACCGATTCTACAACACCATGTCTGGTAGCATCCAGGTTGATGGACATGATGTTGAAGATCTTACCATCGACTCGGTGCGCAGCCACATTGGCGTTGTGCCTCAAGACACTGTGCTCTTCAATGAGACACTCATGTATAATCTCAAGTATGCAAACCCAGAGGCAACCGACGAACAGGTGCACGAGGCGTGTAGAGCTGCCAGCATCCACGACAAGATTATGACGTTCCCGGACAAGTATGAGACCAAGGTTGGTGATCGCGGCCTGCGACTTTCCGGAGGTGAGAAGCAGCGTGTCGCTATTGCCCGCACGATTCTGAAGAACCCTCGTATCATCATGCTTGACGAAGCTACTGCCGCTCTCGACACCGAGACGGAGCAACACATCCAGGAAGCATTCACGACACTGGCCAAGGGCCGCACTATGCTCATCATCGCTCATCGTCTTAGTACCATCACCCATGCTGACCAGATTCTCGTCTTGCATAAGGGCAAGGTTCAGGAGCGGGGAACGCATGAAGAGCTGCTTGATCGCAACGGCCACTACGCCGCCATGTGGAAGAAGCAAATCCGCGCTCAGAGAGCCGCTGAGCAAGCTCAGTACCTTAAAGACAAGGCTGATAGACTGCGCCGGGAGTCCAAGGATGGAACCATTGGCTTCGAAGACGGAAGCAGCAGCCACTCAAGTTCTGATGACGAGAATGCGAAGAAGATTCGCTCTATAAGTCAGAACGCGTCGAATCAAGAGGAAACGTCAGGTAAACCGCATGGCCATCCTTAGTCTGGCAGGCCGTTGTTTTTCTGAGTTTAGTTGCTGCTTGAAAGCAACCCTCATTCACCATAGCAATTTTGCAGGAACTATCCGGACGTAAAGATGGCCAGTTTTCGGTCACTAGAGCACTCTTTTATGAGTTGCGCTGTTGCAACTACCTTCGGACCCGGACTAGTCACCTACCTACCACACTCCTTCTAAAACCGAAGCCCTAAACCTCCGTCCAATCCAAAAATCGCTTTTGTATTTCCCTGGAACCACCTTTCCACTTTTCGTACCGGAGTTGACTGAGAAAGAGATCGTAATAATTGGCTGTTTCTGTATTGTCACAATATACGCATGGATGATGGGAATGAAGTGTTAGTTGGGTAAGGATGGGGCGGTGATTTGTTGTTTTATACCAAAGAAAGGACGTGGGTCATGGACGGATTACACAAACAAAGCAACCCTCAAGGGTTTTCGCGACGACAGGGCGCATTGTCGTGTCGCGGTGGCGTATGAGAAATGATTTTACGGATAGCGTGGGCTGATGTTGCGTTTTTGTCCATTTTTTTTATCATGCACCTAAAAAATATTATACGTGACATAGAGGTATCGAAAATGTACATGTTTGAATCAAGATTGCTGACCTCGACTTGTCCCTGGTGCTACATCATGGCTCTGACATGATTGACCATCCAACACGAGATCTTTGTGTTGGTACCTGCCTCGTGAGCATTCAATTCTGGATCACTCAAAGATAGGCTTCACCACGGATAGGGGCTGTTTGTGTAATATCGTTGTCTCATACTCTATGCATTACTGTATCGTATGTCTGCTTTGAGCGCAAATTTAGTTAGCTGCTCATGCCAGTCTAGAGGGCTCGTCCGAGCTGTGGTATGTGATGCTACTCCTCCATCTCCACGTCGTCACCACTAGACGCGTTGCCGTTTTGCCGTGAGTTGGACTTGGGTACTGAGGCTTCCTTGTCGATCATCTGCCGTGAGACGGAGACGATGTTGTCTTCGATCAGCTGCTGGCCGACGTCCGAGATGTCTGTGATGGGTTGTTAGCATTGTCTTGGCGTAATCTGTATATCTGAACATACGCTTCTTTGGATCGACCTTTCCGACGTATCGTGTCTTCAATTGATCCTTGGTCAACTCGGTTTCCTCCTTGACACGCTTCTCGTAACCGTCTGCCAGAGTGACGAGCTTCTGCAGCTTGTCGGTATTCCGCTCGCCCTCACCCTTGAAGTCGTCCATGAGCAAGGCCTCTGTCCATACATGCTTGTGAAGGTTCATCAGCATGTTCTCCTCCAACGCAGTCTTTCTGTAGTTGATGCCGATAGAGTAGTAGTGGCGGTTCAGGCCATGGATAAGCGCCTGGATCGATGGCTTGTTGAGGTGGCCAACGTTGGAGGTGGTCTGGCGGGGCTCGTGGCCCATCATGAGAGCCTGGGGGTTGATGAGGCGGAAAGCATCGATGACGACTTTGCCCTTGACCGACTGGATGGGGTCAACGACGACGGCGACGGCGCGAGGTGTGAGCTGCTCGAATGACTGCTGTGTGTTGATATCGACCGATGACAGCCAGCAGCCGAAACCAGGATGTGAGTGGTACCAGCCGACGACGGTCTCTTGCCTGTGTTTGTCAGCACTGGATGTCTGTAATGGGAGCGGTGGCGGCTTCAAGAGTCCAACCGGTAGAGACACACCTTCCTGTTTGTCTCAACATGTCCATCATTTTGGTTTGGAAGACGGGGTCTACAGCCTCGACAGAGACACCGGTTCCTGACTGCGGCATAGCGAAGACATCCACCACCCGTACTGTGTAATCATCCACAAACTCGCCCAGCATCAGACCCATGACTTCCATGGGCACACCGGCCCGACCGTGTCGCAGCATCTTGAGCAGTGCCAGCGATGAGATGTAGACAGTTTCCGAGTTGTCGATCAGGTTGGTGTCGCCTTGGGGTCCTCCCATACCGCCCATGCCACCTTGGGCGGCGGCAAGCATTCTGGTTAACCGATCCATGGTGATGTATTGGCGATGGCGCTGTAGGTTTTGCGAGTGCGGTGTTTGGAGAGTAGTCGAGGGTGTTGGTGGGTTGGGCGGAGCAAGTGTTTGGGTAGGCGGCGGCGATGATGAAGCTGTTGATGCTCGAGCTCTCTCACGTAACTGCGCGACTGCCAGATGCGGCGATTCGGTTATTCCGGAACCGGGGCTAAGCAGGGGTGCCCTGTCGCAGCTCGATCCATGGATGCTCAATGGCGCGCGAGGGTCTTTGTTAGAGCTCCCGCCATCTCTCCTACAGACCCCTCCACCTTTCCTTGATCGCTGACACTCGAGCACTGCGTATATCTGAACTCACCCTTCTCTGCTACCTCCCGTCCAAAATCATCTTCACCTCTCAAAGCATCATCACCACAATCCCCCACAGTCGCATAGCTGTGCGCAGCCGACAAAGATATGGCTACCACCGACATGGCGCCCACGACGGGCTCCGCTTCTTTGAACAACGGCGTCGCGTCGCAACCAAAAAAGGTCGCCTACTTCTACGACTCCGACGTCGGCAACTATGCCTATGTAGCAGGACATCCCATGAAGCCCCACCGCATACGCATGGCGCATAGCTTGATCATGAACTATGGCCTGTACACCAAGATGGAGATTTACGTAGGCAGAACCCTGATTGAGGCCCGCGTGCATCTCTGCTAACACACAGCAGCGCGCAAAACCAGCCTCCAAATACGAAATGACGCAATTCCATACAGATGAATACATAGAGTTTTTGCACAAAGTCACACCCGACAACATGGAAAGCTTCACGCGCGAACAGAGCAAGTACAATGTTGGTGACGACTGCCCAGTCTTTGATGGTCTTTTTGAGTTCTGCGGCATCAGTGCCGGTGGAACTATGGAGGGTGCTGCACGCTTGAACCGAGGAAAGTGCGATGTCGCTGTCAACTGGGCCGGAGGACTGCATCACGCAAAGAAGAGCGAGGCTAGTGGTTTCTGCTATGTCAACGACATCGTCTTGGGCATCATCGAGCTACTCAGATACAAGCAGCGCGTGCTGTACATTGATATTGACGTTCACCACGGTGACGGTGTCGAGGAAGCTTTTTACACGACCGATCGCGTCATGACAGTCTCTTTCCACAAGTACGGCGAGTACTTCCCAGGTACCGGCGAACTACGCGACATTGGTGTCGGCAGCGGCAAAAACTACTCGGTCAACTTCCCTCTTCGCGACGGCATCACCGACGACACATACCGCAACATCTTCGAGCCCGTCATCGAGGCTGTTATGACATACTATGGGCCAGAGGCTATCGTCTTGCAGTGCGGTGGTGACAGTCTTTCGGGTGACAGACTTGGCTGCTTCAACTTGAGCATGGACGGCCACGCCAACTGTGTCAAGTACGTCAAGAGCTTTGGTGTCCCAGTTATCGTACTTGGAGGTGGTGGCTACACCATGAGAAACGTAGCGCGAACCTGGGCCTACGAAACAGGAGAGCTCGTCTCGACCAAAATGTCCAAGCAGCTGCCTTTCAACGACTATTACGAATATTTCGCTCCCGACTACGAACTGGACGTCCGACCGTCAAACATGGAAAACGCAAACTCTCACGACTACCTGCATAAGATTAAATCAGCCGTCATCGAGAACATCCGAAGAACCGGAAGGCCGTCAGTTGAAGCTTTTACCACTATACCCGATGTACCCACGTCGCTGCTACGCGCGGCTGACTCAGACGCTGAAGATGAAGACGATGACATTGATGCCGATGAAAACAAGGACGTACGAATGACACAGCGACAGCGCGACAAGCAGGTAGAGCACGATGGCGAGCTATACGACGCAAGCGATGACGAGGATTACAAAAACAGTCTTGGAGTGCGTGCTCAACCTGGTACCAAGAAGAAGCGGAACATCACCGACTTCCCTAATCCCAACGCTGCTCCGGCGGACGATCTGGACGGCATGGAAGAGATCAATGGTGAAAGCGCCGTATCAACACGCCAAGCATCCGCAGCCGCCAAGTCGCGCACGCAAACTCCCGCTACTGGCGAGCAAGAAGCAGACGATGACGGTGACATTGACATGGATGCACCGCCCGCTGTACCTGCTCCTGCTGATAACCCGAACCAGTCTCAGTCGCCCACAGGAGGTGTCGTGACCCCACCTGAATCCCCACCCACCGCACCGACAGCGATGGCACCCACATCTGCCCCGACGGCAGATGTCGAGATGGAAGACAATGCAGACAAGGAAGAAATTGCTGCAGCTAAGGAAGAGGGTGAAACAGAACGCGATTCTGAGAACGTCAAGGGCGAAGTCCGGACCGAGGTTGCAAAAGATTAGCCACTTCATCGCGGTGTTTTAGTGCATTTGGGAGGCGTTTGTTCTTCAGTCGCACTGTTCTTGGGTAAACTCTTTCTGACGGGTAGCGGGCAGGTGTTTTGGTGTGATGGGAAATGGCTTGAGTCGCTCTAGCTAAGGATACCTTTTGGATTTTCTTTTCTGTTATTTTGATGCAAAGTTCTCGTCATCCGTCTACCATTTCAAGCTCCACTGGCTAGAAAGATTATGGACAACTAAGCAACAATCAACTTTACATCCCAAAGTCCTCTCCATTCCTTTCTGCCCTCTGCCTTGCTTCTTAGCATCTCAACAATAATCTTCCCAAGCCACGACATCCCACACAGGCTTGTTTCCCACTTTCTTCTCCCTTTCTTTGCCTTTCCTGCTCACTTCACATGCACCCACCATATCCTCGTCGCCATCTAACAAACCTCCGATAATACGCTCAGCAATAGCACATAAGTTAGTGACTAGGCATTTCCGATGACCCAAGGTACCGATTGTTCGAATCAGCACACGGATGCGCGGCCTGGACGATGTTGATGCAGATGCAGATGCAGGTGCAGACGACGAGGCGGTCTCGTGGACGACTAAAGCAATCTTGTGTGCCATAGCTACTCCTCCTCCAGGGCTGACAACCGGTACGTCGACGATGGGTACGTTGACGATGAGGGGATTGATGTGGGGATTGTTGAGGTAGTAGCGTGAGAGGAAGGCAAGGTGCTTGGCTGTCTCGTTCATGATATCTTTAGAGATGTCGTGCTGGGCCAATTGGAGATTGAGCTCTGAGAAGATGCGCATACGGACCGGGTCGATGGGTTGAACCATCTTTGAAATTTGGTATTGTTTTAGGACGATCAGATGGGAGGGTGACTAAAGTGACGTTATAGACAACGGGGAGGCTTTATTGGAAGGTTGCGTGTTCCTTTTCAGCCCTATGTTATTGCCATGCTGTAGAGACTGGCAAACTGTGTCGTTGTTTTGAAAGAACTGACCGATGCATGCGTGATACAAGCTACGTCAATTGCCAAGTTTGCTACAAGAAGGCCTCGATCTATGTTCAAGACACTCAATTGGAAAACTGCTTGTTCGAGCCCTGGAGTTTCCTCTATAGTTGATTGTCTACGTGCGCAGAATCATTGTCTGATGATTGTATTCTGAGATCAAAGCACCAAAGCCATCTCATCCAGATCAATATCCAATCCCGAACTCAACTGCGGAATCTGTTTGTAGTCACTTTCATCCAACGTCCTCCTTATGAACTTGAGTGTCTGTGTGCCAGTCAGTCAAACCATGATCGGTCAAAAACATTGTGTTTAATACTCACCTCAGCATAACTTGGGCTTTGATCGCTCTTCATCATTTCCAAGAATGCCCATGTCATTGCACCTGTCGGCTCTCCTTCGATGCGCGCATCCGCACTCGTTTGATCGTCTCTACAGCCAGAGAACATTGTCACCATCTTCCGTTCGCTCCCATACTGTCCCGCAAATTCTCCGCTTTCCAGGCCTTCCTCCTCTTCTTCCCCGAAATGTTTCAGGCCCTTAAAGAAGGTGCTAGCACCTGCAAGCAACTCCTTCGCCTCGCCGACTTTACTATAGGAGAAGCCACCGGAGATGATATCGCGAGCTTCGTCGGCGAGCCTAAGCCCAGCTTTCAGGTTGTCCATCAGATTAATCTGGCCGTCGCTATCGGAGCGATAGACATAAGGTAGTTCGAGTGCGCTACCAGAGTGACAACAGTCCATGACGACGAAGAGAGTGCAGTCACGGGCCATATAGGTAACAAGATGCTCATGGAGAATGGTACTGGAGATCTGACCCCGCTGTTCGAAATCCACAGGAACGATCGAAGCATCCATACCCGTGGTCCTATTGCCATCTACATCTGCAATTTGTCCGCCGTGGCCTGAATAATGCAGAAATAGCGTGCAACCAGGTTCAGAGACGAGCCAATCCATGGCTGCGAGAAGGTTGTGGCCTGTAGGGAAGTAGGGTGAGTCGTATGGCACTTCAGGACGATCAGTCAAGATGACACGGTCTTTGTGTGAGTTAGTGTAGCCGCGGTAGGAAAGGAATTCAGCCATGTTGTCTACATCGGAATGGCAGCCCTTCAGTTCGTGGCTACTGCCAACATAGTTGATGCCGATGAGGAGACTCTTCTTGCGTCTGTAGGACATGTTGGGCTGAGATATGATAGTTGAAGGTAAGAGTTGAATTGAAGGATCGAGGGTAAGATTGACGATAGGAGTGGCTGAAAAGTGGCGGAGGTTTGTAGCGTGCTGTCAAGTTGGAGGGGTAGTGAATGATGTGGCTGATCACTGTCCAATCAATCCTAGCAGGCCGACGCGTCGCTCCGCCCACGTGCATGCGCGATTGTCGGGTACAATCGCGTACAATGGAACATGCCTGCATTTTGCTTAAGTCTGAAGGCTTTGGGCTTGCATTTGTGCGTCTTTAGCCCGGTGCGGACAGGCCAGAGAATATGACGTCACTCACCAGCACGAGGACTATTCTATACTGTGTTCTCGAACGTCGATAGCTGTGGTATATACCGCGCGCCGCTACTACTCCACTATGAACCGCAATATCAGTCCACCGCCTGCGAAACGACGCAAAACCGGCTCAGATACGGCGACGGCTTCCCAGCAAACAGTGCCTGCAAACACCCCTGCACCTCTTCCACCACACAACGCAAACTCCCTACGTATCTTTTCCTGGAACATTAATGGTATCCTTCCGTTCTTACAAAAGCCCATAACATCCTTTTTCGAACCCACCAAAGCTATAGGCACCACGGATGGGTCCCCAAAACACGCATTATTACCAGCGTCCTTGAGGGCGTTTCTACAACGACACCAATGGCCATCAATACTCTTCCTGCAAGAAGTAAAAATCGCATCTGCGGACGAGCGGACCCAGAATTTTGTCAGGGCAGCCCTGAAATCTTATCTGCCAACAGAATTAGCATATGCCGATGAACGTGGCCCGTTGTATGATGCATACTTCACGCTCCCAAGCGACAGATTTAACGCGCGCGGACCCAAAGGTAATGGCAAGATATACGGTGTATGCAGTATCGTCCGTCACGATCTCATGGGTACTTATCATATCGCCATGCGAACAGTAGATTGGGATAAAGAAGGACGCATCCACATTGTAGAAGTCAGCTCGAGGACCAGTGAAGCGAAACTAGCAATTTTCAACATCTACGCAGTAAACGGAACTGATAACGCCTATTTTGATCCCTCAACAGGCGCCAGAATAGGCACGCGGCATGACAGGAAACGCAAATTTCATATTCTGCTAATGCGAGAATGCAAGGAGCTGGAGGCACAAGGATGGGATGTGTTGTTGGCAGGCGATATGAATGTTGCCCTTGATGAGCGAGATGGACATCCCAATTTACGTATCTTCGCACAGGCACACGTTATCAATCGAGCGGACTTTCATGCTAAGCTGCTGAATGGTAATGGGAAGGACAAGAATGATGGCTTTGGTGGTGTTGATGTTTGGAGAAAGATGCACGAAGAAGAGCGACGGTATACGTATTTTTCGCGAGGCCGGAAATGGGGAAGTAGTTGTGATAGAGTGGACTACTTTATCGCTGGGAGAAAGGCGTGGGAGAAGGGATGTGTCAAGGCTTGTGGAGTAATGGACAGCGAAAAAGAGATGGGGCCAAGTGATCATGTGCCAATTTGGGCGGACTTTGAACTGAAAACGGAAGACGAGAAGGAAGAAAAGCGATAAGAAAGAAGTACGAAGCTGCTAGCGTCTCGGATTCTTGATTGATGACTCCAAAAGTCAATATACGCCTGACGTGTAGCAAAACGATTCCAAAAGCGCCATGTCTCACGCGGCCGCGTTTGCTTCCAGCCACCCATCTACTCTGCCTCCCCAGTATCGGCAACAAAGAACGGACTCGTCCCCATTCCGTTAAATGCATTGACCTCCCACAACTCAGTGGTTCCATGCAAGACCTCGTAGCGGTTGTACGATCCACATCCACTCCCACGATTGACACACTCTGTAGTAATCTGCCCCGCAATACGTTCTCCCACCTCTTGGCCCTCAAACCACGCGCCGTGAAGAAAGCCAAAGTATTCCGCACTCATTGCTTCGCCAGCAAAGTATAGTCTGCCTAGATTTGCGCGAAGATTTTGATGCATCTCGAGCGTGGTGCCGGCAGGCCAGTTGGAGTAGGATCCGTAAGACCATGGCGTTTGCGACCAACGCGGGTAGGTGAAGGCAATCGGTTCTGGGATAGTGGTATTGGGAAACATCTTACGGAGAACGGCCATGCCTTCGGCCTTTGTGGTCTCGTCGTCTTGTGCCTCGATGCGATAAGACTGTTCGTCGACAAGTGTGGCAAAGATGATGTTGGAGTCTGGTAAGAAGCCTTCTGTTGATAAGCTCTGCCAAACAGTGTAGTATCCGCGTGTCGTTGGATCGGCGTACAGGAAAAACTGCTTGTCATCTGGCCAGAAGGTTTCGTTGAATTGGAAGAAGAGTTTGGTATATGTGCCGAATGAAAACGTGGCGATGGCGGATTGCTTCCACTCGGGGAGTTTAGGCTCGAATGTGATGGCGTCGTTTTGTAGCACACCAAGTGAGACGGTAGAGATGGCGTAGTCAGCCTCTACGCATGAGCCGTCCGAGGTGGTGATGTGTACTCCAGTATCTGAGTAGGTGATATTTGAGACGACAGTGTTGAGAAGGAGGCGTGGATCGTTGGGCTTTAGGAATTTGGACGCTTGATGCTTGAGCCACGTATTGAAACCGCGTTGGTCGGTACAGACTGTCGAAAGTTTGAGTTAGTCTAGATCGTTTTCCACAATTCAATTTCATACAGTTACTAATCTCTGAGAAAGCGTAGTAAGTCAGGTTGTATCCTGTGATACCATAAACGAAGCTCGACTCCTCTGGTGTCTATGAGCGGACCTATCAGCATGTATAAGGGATGTTTGCTCTCGGATAATTCTTACTTGGGCAGTCTCCCAGTCCCAGAGATAGTACTCGACAGCCTTGCGTGCAGGGTCGCCCTTCGGTCTCCATCCGCTTTGCCACAGGCCGGCGCGAAAACTTCTGTCTTGCAAGTTTTCTGATAGTATAGTACCAGCGCTTTGTTCGAAGATACTCCAGTACTCCTCAAACTCATCTAGTATATCCGTGTAATCTACAGCACCCGTCTCATTATAGGTCGCGATGGAGAAGGCGTCAGAATTGGGACTAGAAAGATTGACTTGTTTCGAGAAAGTCCAGACAGGGTTTTCTGGGCCGTCGACGGTATCTTCACCTAATCCGGAAATCCAATTCGCGCCTAGCTCGACGGTGTAAGGGTTGCCGCTGGGATCAGAGCCAAATTTGGTGTTTCGCATGCGGCCACCAATGTGATCTTGATACTCCAGAATCAGGAAGTCAGTGACGGACTGGTTGGCAAGTGCTTGCTAAAAATCGTTAGTATATGGATAAAGAAGCATGTCTAAAGTAATTGTGGGACGGGCCGATCCATCCGGCCGCTGTTCAGTCTTGCCGGCGTCTCCCTCTGTAGAACAAATGTTCATGTAGACTTACTGCGGCTGTGATACCAGCAACCCCGCCACCTCTACACACGGTCAGCCAATTGGACTCTACTGTCTAAATAGAACATACATGATGGCGACAGTGGTCTTCCTGCACGTGCTGTTGTTGTCTCGCCCAAGAGTCGCAGACGTAGCAAAAGTTAGTCTTGGCGCAAGACCAGCGGTCATGAGTAACGCTCTTGCCAGCTTCATGGTGGATAAACTCCGAAGAATGGTTCGGATGAATGTAAAGCTTGTTCAAGACTGACGCACCCCGGCAGGTACTTATTGCTTCATCCGATAGTGCTTGCTAGGGTACATATTTCAAGTGTAGTCCTGTCTGGTTTAGCCTCCGTTACCTTCCCCCGCATTAGTTCCACAGGAAGAACCGGGGATGGTAATTGTACTCGAGGTACAGTAGTACCGGCGAGTTGCATCTTGCGGATGTCGATGATTCGATGTTGATGCGTCACTAAGCAGATACGGACCTGCCTAATAGAGTCATAGCCTGAGGGAAAACACAGTAGGGCAGTGGTATACCAAATGCTAAACGCAGGAACGGAGAGGACCAATCTGCAGCTGGATGGAAAGAGCATGGTGTGCAAGGTCGGGCAAGCGCCGAAGCAAGCCAGATGATTGGTAAACGCCGAAGATGATAAGAGCGCCGCGTGTACTTGCTGGATGCGTAAGGTGACGTCGCCATGGGTCGTCTGTGCTCGTCGGCGACACCGCAGTGCTTTTGCCGTGGTGCAAGATGAAGTTGTAGCTCCGTCAGAGATAACGCGTCGTTGCAGCATTGACGCGCTGATGTTAGCTCGGCAAGGCTGGACCCGAAGTTGCACCGCGTGAACTGGAGGAAGCTATGGCTTCGGAGGGTTGCGATGGTACCACCACCATCACTACGCGTGTCTGTTGCGCATGCGCGAACCCTCGGTTATAACTCAAAGATGGTGAGCAAGTTGAGCTGGTCTAATTACGTGAGGGCTCCAAGACACGGGAAAGGCGCAAGTTTTTTTCGGGACGGCACGATAGCGGGGTTCTTGATCATGTCCCCCTTCGCTCTTCGCTCCCATTGACACTCAATTCACCTCTTCATACCCAATTCTCATTTCCTAGAACGCGTCGTTGTCTCCTTACAAGTACGGTAATATAGCCAGGATGCATCCGAGTAGCAGAAAGCCCGATCAAGGTAACGTCAGATAGCACAGCGCATGAGACCGGTGTTCGCTCGTCAACGTCTTTGTTGGCGGCGATCTGAGATATACGGTCTGAACTTGATCAGGTTAAAGCCTGCGAAAGGACTCATGCTTTGCTTCCCTCGCTCCGAGGCTGCTACTAATGGCTGTAGGTCGCCGACGTCATGGAACCCAACACGAACCCGCCTAATGACAAGAAATCTGTATTTGCGCCGCATGCGAGCAACGAGCTCCGACCGCCTGTCAGCGCACGCGATACTGAGAATGAAGACCTGGCACAAAAGAGCAAGTGGCAGGACATGTGGAAGTCCTTTGAGAGACAGCTTGTCGCGTACAACCTTGAGGCGCGCGGCATAGAACGCGTCGAGCCAGAGGAGCGACAGGACTTGCGTCTGCTTGGCTACTCCCAAGTGGCCATAATGTGGTTCAGCGTCAATCTTGCGGCGAACAACATCACGCTGGGCATGCTCGGTCCTGCTGTCTTTGCCCTTGGTTTCCTCGATGCTTGTTTGCTCGGCGTTTTCGGCGCATTCGTTGGCTGTCTAGTGGTGGCTTACATCGCGACGTTTGGCCCAAAGGGTGGGAATCGGACTATGATCTTCTCACGATACGTCACGGGCTGGTGGCCATCCAAGGTCGTTGTCTTGCTCAACATCATCGTCCTGCTCGGCTACGGTAAGACATGTCCCTGTACCAGCTGCATGTGAGACATGTATTGACTTGGTACACGCACCTTTTAGGCATGATCGACTGTGTAGTCGCCGGACAGATTCTTTCCGCTGTCTCGGACAACTCCATGTCCGTCGTAGTCGGCATCATTATTGTAGCCATCATCGCGTGGGCTATCACTACCTTTGGCTACCAGATCTTTCACTATTATGAGCGCTGGGCTTGGCTACCGCAGCTGATTGTGCTCTGCATCCTAGCTGGCCTTGCTGGTCCGCAGTTTAATATTTCCTCTGAGTCTCACGGAGATGAAAACCCAGACACTATCATTGGCAATCGCATCAGCTTCTTCGGCTTGACGCTCGCCGCAGCTATCACATACGGTGGCGGAGCAGCCGACTACTTCGTCTACTACCCGGAACACGCATCGTCATTCAAAATATTTGGCATGACCATGCTAGGTCTAATGTGCAGTTTCACCTTCGCCTTCATCTTGGGTATCGGCCTCGCATGCGGTATGCTGACCAACACGGACTGGGAAGCAGCGTACGGAATATCGCAAGGCGCTCTCATAGTCGAAGCGTACAAACCGCTAGGCGCGTTCGGTTCCTTCTGCGGCGTGGTGGTTGCCTTGGGTCTTGTCGCCAACCTCATTGTCCCTACATACTCTTCCGGGATTGATGCGCAGATACTGGGACGTTATGCGGGTGCTGTACCAAGAGTGATCTGGAATACCGTTGGTGTAGTCATCTATACAGTCTGCGCATTAGCCGGACGCGCACATCTTGCTGAGATTTTCACCAACTTTCTAGCTCTCATGGGCTATTGGGTCTCTGTCTGGATCGCGGTTATCCTGGAAGAGCACTTGGTCTTCTGTCGCAAGACCGGCTTCAACTGGCAAGTCTGGAATCAGAAGAAAAAGCTACCACTCGGTATCGCCGCTTTTACAGCGTTCGTTATTGGTTGGATCGGCGCAATCATGTGTATGGCTCAGGTTTGGTACATTGGACCAATCGCTAAACAGGTTGGAACTTACGGAGCCGATGTAAGTAAAAGCTGAAACCTTGAGCTATTTGTAACTAACGTGATCAGATGGGCAACTTTGTCGGTTTCGCGTGGGCTGCAATTGTCTATCCTCCTTTGAGAGCATGGGAATTGAAGCGATTTGGCCGGTGATCAAGAAGATTCCTGAACACCCTATGAACATCACTGCCATCAGGACAACATGCTTGAACCTCATACGCACCTGATGGCCCTCCGGAATCGTTGCTGCGCAAGTCAAATATGTCAATCTCTCGTCATTCGTTCGTACCATTTCCGATCTGTGATGCGATTGATGGTCAGAGTAGATCTCAAATACTGGCCACAAGTTCAGGGTTCAAGCATGTGCAGATCGTAAGTTTGGCTCTGAGGTTGTGTCTGAAATACAACCGTTCAAATCATCGAGCTATCGCAGTGATTCATTTCAGTTCTCACGTCCACAATCTTTCACTTCTCATACTATCAAGTCATGTTCATAGATTAATCATGCTCTCGTCTTGTCGTGGTCAAAACAGCCATATGTGATGCTTTTCAGTCTGAGTTTCCGCTTGGTGCATGGTCTATACAAGGATGCGTAGGATAATCTGCTACTAACGACGATGCTACCGTTGGCTTCTCACTGGACTTACATGATGTCGTCGTCGAAGCCGCCTTCATTCCATCTATAGCTGCCGTCCAGTATACCTTATTGACAACACCGGAAAGAGCTAATGAAGGTGCTGGGAAGTAGCGTTGACGGAATTAGAGATTATGCAGTCACGATACGTTCGTTTGAAGGACACGGTTGTACAGTGAACCGCGCTTGAGAAGAATATGAAGAAGAGGGAGCCTATTGGAGGATCAAACTAAACTCGGAGTGATGAACCAAAGGAAGACTGATACCCAGGCATGACCCCAGGAAGCCATCAGCACGAAGAACAAGTTTACCAAGCATGCGGTCGGATCTTTATGGAGAAACCTCAACTTGGAGTATACCATGCGTGTCCTTTGTAAGTCGTACTTGACTTTCATGTAGCCTGGAGGTATGCGAGGTAGTTCGAGCCAACGCGCTAACAAGACAAAACAGCTCGTATACTCTAGGGCATGCTCTGCCCATGCGAACGACTTCCCGAGCTACCTACATCTCCATCTACCATCTACCATTCTGAATCTCATTATTTCACCCATCATCTGTTGTATGCTCCTGCATGGACTTCACCTTCCAGTATCTAGGTTCGCTCAACGGTATGTTGTTGCCGCGCGTCCACCGCTCCTGCCCCCAAGAGTTGATCCCACGTTTGGCGCTACGGTGACTGCGATTTCTCTCACCTCAACCGGGCACAATCATAAAAGCTGTCCACTCACAAGGTCGTCTCTTTTCCTCCTTCGTGACACGACCATGATTCACGATCTCATCGACCTTGACGGTGACAGTGCCTCTCTAAAGAGCACTACTAACGGTCTCGTCGGCAAGATGACGCTCGCAAACAAGGGCGTAGAGCCAACTCACCGTGACAGCTTCTCCGACCTTGCAAGCATGATGAGGGCTAAGAAGGTGTATACACCGATTTCGACGCCTGCGCCACCTCCGCAGCCGCTCACTGTCGCGCCCAATGGTAGGTGCTTCAACGGCGTATCGTTCTGACCTTTAGCTAAAGCCATACAGGCCCTCGTTTCGCCAGTCGTGTCCAGTCTGGCTCCAGCATTTTTTCTCCGCTGGCAAGGTCGTTTCAGCCTACCGAATCCGTCGCTGCATTCCTCCAGGAACAAGAGCTCGCGGCACCACCACTTGTCGCCTCCGAGCCGATCTTGGAGTACCGTCCAGAGAACATGAGACTCTTCGAAACTATGGCCGAGGCAATCATCAGCTACAAAAGCGACGACGATAGCGAATGCGATCATCATCGTCGTAGGCGTTCACCATCACCACTGTGCAAGCAGCCGCTCCTCATCTCAGGCCTTGAGCTACCGGCAGGTGTAGGACCCACCCATCCACCCACCCCCACTGAATCGCTCCAGTACTCACCATCAGGCTTCCGATTCGATCAAGAAGCCGTTGTACGGGTGACCAAGCAGAACTGGGAGTCCTTGGGCAAAGAGCTCAACACGATCAAGAAGCAGAAGCTGGAGCTAGAGAGTCAACTTTCGACCCTCGAAACAAACAACGCAGTCCTTCGAGACGTTGATCACGACATCAGCGTGCGGCTCGGCAAACTCAAATACCAGAACGAAGCTAACAAAGCTCAGAAGGCAGCAATGGGTCGATCTTTGTCTGAGAAAGAGATCAAGATCAAGACACAACAGCTTGAGATTGACGAGTTAAAAGGACATATTAAGACGACAGAGAACGCTCTTTCCGCAAAAGACCACGAGCTGGAAAACCTCAGGCAGAAGATGAAAGAGAGTGAACGTACCATCGACCGGGTGACTCGCGAACGGGACGAGGCATCCCGCGCTTGGACGAACTCCGTTGATCACCTCAACCGAGCCCGCAACCTAGCCGACACCCTGGCTCAGCGAGAGAAGCTCATAACCGATCTACGCCACCAGATCGTGGCTGAACAGCTCAAGGTCGCTGGGTTAGAAGATGATCTTGAGGCCGCCCAGGAGAAGAGCAATCAAGCTGATATCGATGATGTCAAGAGCAAGCTTATGGAGAAGACCAGTACTTGCGATCGCCAGCGCAACCAGCTCAAAATGATTGAGGCGCAACTCAGCCAGAGCCAGAGCCGTTTGATGAAAATCACTAACCATGGCGAGTCTCTCTGTGGCGCTGCACACGTAGTCAAACCTTCTGGGACCAGCAAACTTCCCAAGTTAGTGATCTCGTGCGTTGAGTGTTACAACAAGAATCTGCCGTGCGACAACGGTGCCAGGTGCCGCAACTGCGTCGAGAACAACACTCAGTGCGCACGCTGGAGGTGCTCTCTGAAGCACAAGTACGGCGAATGCCCTCTCACACCCTGCCCTCTTTCACACGATTCCCAAGGCTGGCTCGTCCTGCGAACAGAGCGTCCCGAGTGGTAAGGGGCTTGAGCTGCTGGCGAACTAATTGGACGAAGTATCGTCGAGGCCACTCATAAATATTCTTCTGGCGCTAGGGCTGGGTTTCTAGGTAAATATGAGTCAGGAGTTTCATGGTCATGAGCAACTGAGTGCTGGCAGTGATCAGGTTAAATAACATGTGAAAGTAGTTCATCCATATGAGACCGTAGGATAGGACCAAGTTTACGAACTCTTGGGTTTCACATAAAGTGAGATAATATACTCACAATATCATGATTGGCGTTCTTGCCATTTAATCATGCGTATCTCATGATACGAGCGTGCTGTTCATCGTCTCAGTTACAGCATGTACTTTCATCTGACTTGCTACACCTGTTCCTCTTGTGACGTGAAGTATCCCTCTTTTCTCTTTACTTCATCTAGGGCGTTCACCTCAAACTTGATCCAGCCTGTCCCGACAGTCGCTTCCGTACTCCCAGACTAGTTGTATGGGTGTCTTAGATTCATTTCCCTACCACCGAAATGGTGATCACTAGTTTCGTGTTGAGAAGGGAATTATAGTCCATCTGAAGGCTGCTGACCCTTATCGTCCAGATGGAAGCGTGGCCAGTCAGACTGAGTACTCGTGCAGATTGCGCTGAGATTAGTGGGGTTTCTACTAGTGAATGGTCGTAAGTATGCTGATATATGCCTGCTGATGGTTTAGAGATTCGTCAGTGAGCCGTAGGGCATGTTGGTAAGCATATTGTCTAAGACGGTACGAATGTGCGTGCGTTGAACGAACAATCGTTGGGGCTAGTAATCTCAGGCCTTAGTGGTATAGGCTTCTCCAGCTACATGGTCATTGAGATAAGCTCTGGTCGAATGAAACATTGCAACGATAGACCACACGGTCGGAATAGAGATGAAACCCAAGGCTATACTATAAATAGAAGAGGTAGGGAATGGGTCGTAAAGATCAATAGATTTTGCATCAGCTTGTTGTATGCATGCAGGAACTGGGCGCAGAAGATGTGTAGGTGAAAGTTTCAGTATGATTACTATAATACAAAGGCTCGTTGACAGCCTGTTTTCATTACCACGCACGACAATTCCCAGCTCTGCTCACCGCAAAGCAAAATAAACAAACAAACAAACAATCAATCAATCAATCAAGCACGTATATACTATCATCACTCTCATCGCCTGCTCCAACAGCCTGTTTATTACGAGGAGACAGCCGTTTCTAACGACTTCCTCTCCTTTCTGGCGTAGGCCCAGGTACCATGACTTTGAAAGGCATCTCCCGACCCGCAGCACCTCCCGCGCTCACCGGCGCATACGGACTGAAGTGCTGCCCTTGTGGCTGTTGAGGTTGTTGCTGAGATGGAGCAGGTGCCAGCACCTGCTGTCCATTCTGCACTGTAGCAGTACTTCTCGGTAAGGACTGACCACTGCTCTTTGGCCTTCCACCTGCTGGACTTTGAGGTCCGTACGGGCTAGGGTATGTGGGCATGCCCATGGGTGCGGGAGCAAGCTGACGGGGGCCAGCTCCAAATGGTCCACCCGCGGAGCTCGGAGGCTGAGTAAGGGGAATACCTGAATGAGGATGGGGCGGATGGTGGGCATATGGACTCGGGAAAGAGCCGGTTGGTAACGCCGCAAGTGGCGAGTATTGCATCATCATGTGGTGCGGTGGTGGTGGGGGTGGCCCGCTGACATACATGTAATGACCCGGTGGGCCAGGAGGACCTTGAGTGTACTGAAGGTATGCTTCTGGAGGGGCGTGATGAGGGCTGTGTTGTGGAGGAGCATGTTGAGGATGGTGGATTGGAGATGCTTGTTGCGACTCTGAAGCCTGTGGTTGGGGCGTCGCGCCAGTTGCCGAGCCTCCAGACTGCCGCGCACCCCTCCGGTTTGATGAATTCGAGCGCGAGGGAGTGGGCTTTGCAGGCTTTCCATCTTTTTCGTCTTGCTCACGCTTCTTCGCCTTGCGTTCAGCCCACCACATCGTCATAGACTGGCTTCGCTTCTCACTCTTCACACGCGGTTTTCGTCTCGAGCCTGAAGTCGGGGATGACTCGTCGACATAGTTATTCGTGTATTGGCTCAGCGGTGCAGTGAGCATATATGCGTCAGGCGTACTAGACTCACTTGGATGCACAAGCGGCACTTCTTGAGGTGGCGCGGTGTGCTGTGATGTGCCTTGGAAAACCGTCTCAGCAGAGTTCGGTGCCATCAAGGGTATGCCATCCGGGAAAGGCTGGGCATCAATGGTAAACTGACCTTGACCTTCACTCATTGAGTTCAGTGCGGGTGGCGGAGCGTTCGGACCATGTGCTGAAGGAACCGGGGTTCCGGATTCGCTCGTCTTCTTTCGTGGACCCTTTTTCACCCCATAGTCGCTACGCCGAGCTACATTCTTACTACCAGCTGGACGTCCGCGCTTGGGGTTTGCGTCGGAGTATTCGTCGACATCCATTGCTGAGGACTCCTCATCTCCGGAACTGCCAATAACCGACTCTTCCCGCATCTCTTGGATGCGTTGATGGAGTAAATTACTAGCCGTTGTTCGTGCTCGCTTCGTGCCTCTTCCTTCTGGTTCCGGTGTCTCTGAGGTCGGTTTTGCAAATCGGCTAACCCCCTTCTTGCGTGCACCGCCCCATCCGTTGTGTTTCTTGGGGGTATTGGCTCCAGTCCCGGTATCAGTGCCATCGAACTTGCGGGTGGCCCTTCGTTGCCGCTTTGATGGCCGACCTTCTTCGTCTTCTTCGCCTTCGTCTTCGCTAGGAGCTGCTGATTCTAGCATGTCACGTGTGCGACGTGTACGTAGCTCTCTCCGGCCACCCTTCTCTGCACCTGGTCGCTGTGCCCAAGGATCCTGGCAGCCTGGAGGCTTCTTCGGGTCGTAGACATAGCCATATAGATCAGCCTCCTTCATATCTTCGAAGATCTCCGGGGCCAGAGGAATACGCCCACCATTACAGGCTTTCTTGGCTGGGTGCATGTGAGGTGCGGTCTGGAACTATTAGTGGGTGAGAGTAGAGGAATGGCAGTGACTTACTCTTGCATCTAACATGAGGTATTCATCTTGCCACGCTTTGAGAATCTGTTGCGCATTTTGCGTCAGTGCATAGAGATTCTCAGTACTTCGTTGCGCCGCCGGAAACTTCGTCAGAGCTGCAATAGCAGCTTGTACATCAGCCATCGGCTTGAAGCGCTTCTGCAAGAGGTAGTCTGCTCTATCTTCGCACTCAGCCTCGATTGGAGAAGGTGCATCTTCAACAAAAGGATCGGGCAGATCCGACTCAGAGAGGACGTCCTCTTCAGGATCCAGCAGTTTTGGAACCGCAGACTCTGCAGGTGTTGAAGCGGATTCCCGTGGCGTCTGCGAAGCCGAGTCCGGCAGAGCAATCTTGGGAACCGCAAGTTTGCCCGATCTCTTGGACGTAGGCTCGGATCTGGACTCAGGCGCTGGGGCAGATGTGTGGGCATCGTCGTCGAAAGAGTCCTGGCCAGGTGGCGCAGAACCTTGTGGCGTCCTTGATGGTTTATGTATGACGTCTATGCGATCAAACTCAGCCTCGCTATCGTCATCTTCAATTGCTTCTTCGTTTTCATCCTCGGAACTTTGCGCAGAGTGAAGGTTGTGTAGTCGCATGGTTGGCTTGGCATTGCCGTTGGGTGTGCTCTGATTGGACGGTTGATCATCATCATCTTCTGTAAATGGAAAAATGGCAGCAGCATTACGAGCAGCTTTTGAGGCGGATGCGGTCGCTTTCGTGATTCCTCCTCTTCCACCCCTTCCACCCCGGCTACCTCTGCCGCCGCGACTGCCTCGGCCGCGTCCACCACGTGAGCCTCGACCACCGCGTCCACGGCCGCCTCTTGGCGCTGGCTGAGGTGCAACAGGCACTTCAACTTCACTTTCTTCCGCACTCTCTTCTTCAGAGTCAGATTCGTCTTCTGGGCTAAGCGATCGCTCCATCAGAGATCCCACGAGCGATTTGCGCTCTTTGGGAAGTTTTCCGTGATGCTTCTTGAGACCATCGAAGAACTCGGGAGAGAGGCCGAAGACCATAAATAATGGATGCTCGTACGAGGCATAAATTTCAGGTGCAGCTTCGAAGGAGTTGCCAGAAATGTTGGAGGCAGAACGAGTGGTTTTTCTGGTAATGGTTGGACTCAGCTTGGTAGGACTGAACCTTGGTGCAACCGTGTCTGGCGCATCTGATTCTGATGGGGCTTGTTTTGCTCCTCGCCCACGAGTCCGGGAAGGCGTGTCATCTTGGTAGGAATTGCGACGTGGAGCTGCGCGCGTAGCCGCACCCCTTGGACGTGGCATCAGGATGATAGTGTGGACCAATGCGAGTAATGAATGTTGTGTTGAGTTTTGGTGTGTACCTGGCGAGGCAATGTCTCCATGTAGGGGCCCAGGGAGGCGTAGCGCGAATCGCAAGCCTTCAGGGTGACAAAAGCTGCAGGCAAAGAAGATGAACGAAACGTTGCGCCCCAGCAATGAATGTGCGCAAACACGGGCAAGCAGTTGATAGAGAGTATCAAGAAAAGGAAATGTCAAATGGAATAGTCAGTGAATCGGCGTGTGATGATCTTTGTCTCGGGGCGTGGCTGCTTCAGCAAAAGCGAGCCGAACCATGATACGCTTGGCGCATGCTCGGGCGGCCAATGACCGCGAGACGCTAAATTGACTGGCATCTAGCTGTGAGATGGTCCAAACAATGCGGCCATGACTTGGATATTGTAGTGATATCCGCTCAATAGACGCATCTCCACCTTCTGGGTAACTTGCCATTGGGGCGACTATTATTCAGGACGCATCTCCCCAGTTCTCAGCCATCATGCCACCAAAAACCGCCGACGAGGAGCTCGCCGAGCTGGAGATGTTGGCTGAGGCTCCCGTACCCCCGCCGAAGCATACTAAAGGGTCTCGCGCGCCACGACAGAAGATCCAGAAGCAGGAAGATGATGACGCACTAAAGGACCTCGAGGAGTTGGAGCAGCTTGGAAAGTCTCAACCAGCAGCCCCACGCCAAGTCAGTCGACCAAACACACCCAAAGTGTCATCGTCGTCGACTACATCTAGCACCCGCCGCGCCCCAGGCGTGGCCACTCCCTCTTCTGCTGGCTCAGCACGCACGAGCGAGGATAACAAGCCTGCGCCGCCGAGGAAGTCAGGCGAGAGTACTCGTTCCTTCCACCAGAGCTTTGCGCCAACCGAAGAGGAGCCTGCCAAACCTCGTGCACCCGAGCCTCGTGAGGAGAAGCAGTCAGGGGGTTCATGGTGGGGAGGCGGATGGGGAGGACTCGTATCCACAGCCACTGCAGCTGCTGAAACTGCAAGGAAGCAAGCAGAAGCCGCTTACCAGGAAATCCAGAAGAACCAAGAGGCTCAACGATGGGCAGAGCAAGTACGAGGGAACGTAGGGGCCCTCCGTGGCATTGGTACAACTCCATTTCATCCTGTGTGACGTATCAATCTAACAACACGTAGGCGGCGAACTTGGCAAGCGTGCCGTACCTACTTTCACCAACCTGTTGAATACCCTCGCGCCGCCCATCTCACAACATGAACGCCTCCAGATCCATATTACACACGATCTTATCGGATATCCCTCGCTCGACCCCCTCATCTACCAGACCTTTGCCCAAGTTATGGCACAAGTAGAAGGCGGCGACCTCATGGTCATTCAGCGAGGCTCAGAGTCAACACAGCGTGGATCGTTGGAAGGCTACCGAGGCGGTGGTGGAGGCTGGAACGACGGACCATGGTGGCGACACACAGACAAACGCGATCTTTCAGTAGTCAAAGGGCTTGTAGAGGGCACCAAGCTCGCAAGAGTCAGCGCCGAGTCATACGCGAATGAATTCTTCGGTGCAAGGGGAGGTGTAGAAGAAGCTGCCAAACAAGCTACAGAAGTCCTAAGTGAGACAAACCCAGTACGGAGTAGCGACATTTTCATCGCAATTCAAGCCGTCAGCTATCCCGCACAAGACGACCTCTTCGCCACATCGTCGTCGGAAGAGAAGTCGGAAGTTCAAGAGCCAAAGGATGACGAGGAAGAGGTAGCGTTTGCAGTTTATCTCCATGATCCAATTCATGGTATCTCATTCAAGTCTGTCAGCCAGTCTTTCCCGTCAAAATGGGTGGACTGGCTAGATGCGCCTGCCAACACCGAGGCGGCAGGCGAGGAACAGCAACTACCACAAGAGATCTACGAGATTATCGAAAGCGGCGGTGTGGATCCAAGAGAATGGGTTAGTGAGTGGATGGAAGAGACAATCAACTTGAGTGTAGGCATCGTCGCACAGCGCTATGTTGCAAGGCGGATGGGAGTTGGAGAGGGAGGACTAGGCAGAGGAAAGGCTAGGGAAGCAGTCGTCGATGCTGGAGGCGGCGAAGCTGCACGAGCGGGTATCATTTGAGAACACGACGACGAGATTACGGTTCCTTTCATTTCTCTGGTGACGGCAAGGCGCTAGGTATGCTACTTGGAGACTCACAGGATTGAGCTCAGCATTTGCCCTACGAATAGACGACTTTGTTCGCCATATGCTTGCTCCAACTCCCACATTATGTCCAAGTGTACCTTGTGCCGTCGGTTTTCGCAGGTAGCCACTTGGGGCCTGTCTTGGGTTACACGATAGCATCACACCAGGCTCGTGGTTCTATACTGCTGACCACGCTTATCGCATGCAAAGTCCCTTATACGTCCGAGTCCTGCTGTTTATGCTGAGCTTTTGGATCTGCACGGCGACAAGTCTCTGCGCCTCGCCAAATACTTGGTGGTGCCATGGCGACTTTTCAACCAGACTTCTTCTTGTCACCGCCTTCCTTCTTGTCCTTCTTTCCCCCCTTGAGCATTTCCAGATGTCCGGCCTTTTGCGCGAGGAGCTTCTCGGTCTGTCCTATCAGCCCAGAGCTGCTCTTGTGCACAATCTTGTTTTGCTTTATTATCGCGGCATTTTTGGGCTTGATGACACGGGCGCCGCGTTGGACTCGCTGGGTTGGTCTGGAAGCATGTTGTCAGCAGGAGCGCGTGGGAGGTCGAGCGCGGAGCTAGACTTACTTCTTCGGAGCAGCGGCCTTGGATTTCTTGACGGCACCTTGAGCCATTGCGGAGGTCAGGTTGTGAGGCGTGGGGCAGAGAGGCGGGCGGAGGCTTGCGCAAAGTCTATTCTTGTCGAATCGGATCGGAACAGAGCTTGTTCGGGTGATTGAAATCCGAAGACTAATCACAGCGATAGTACGAGCCGCGAGATCTCCACTAGGACTTGGTTGCAGTGTAGGGCGAAGACGGCTGCTTTGGATAATTGAAAGTCGCGCTTTCCAACATTTTTCGCGATCCTTGGCGTTGCCGCTGCGCTAGCTAACATGGGCATGGTCCTTTGCGGGGGAGTGCATTTAGCCTTTTCACCCAACGTGGGGAGACTCTCCTTGAGGCCGAGGACCCGTTTTCCAAGCCTCCGCCTTCGCCCTTGGTGCAAATCTCCGCTCCTGGAAGAGCTTCAGGCCTTGACATGCTGGTGACGGCGTCGGGCGACGACGAGGCTACACGGAACAATTTCGCCGTGGTCTCAGCATCATAGACATGACATCCGCATGTCTGGATTCCCGTCGACCATCGCTCAATCACGCATCTCCACCTATACTGAATTTCCATGTGTTCTGCAAGGATGCGGATATTTGCATGCTGCACGTGTACCCAGACTTGCCGCCAAGACACATTAAATGCCCTTCTAGAAGTCTTGCAGCTAGAACGCGACTGGCTGCTGTACGTCACCTCAATTTAGCCATGCAGAACAACCGGTCCCGGCTGGGGTAAACGACTAGGGTTTGTCATATCGGGCCGTCGTTGGCCAGCACTGCATGCGTACCTGGATTTGCAGTTGCTAGGTACTTGACGGGTAGGTGATATACGATATGCACGATTACTAGTTGATTAAAGGAATAGGTTGGTGGAGAATCTTGGTTATGGGGGCAAGGGCCTCTACCACGAGGCGATGGTCTGGGGAAGCATTCAAAAGCAGGGTATCTCCGCGAGCCTTCTGGCATTGTTCAGGACGTTGCTCAACTACTGACCAAGCATCATGGAGCTCCTCTCTCGCACCGTGGTCGGCGCTCTTTCGCTCTCGGTCGCCTTTGCTGGATCTGCTTCCGCTGTTGAAGCCTTCCGCAAGCCCACTGTTACAACCTCAACCGGCAATGGAACTCTTCTTGCCTCTCGTGGCTCACCAGTCAGTATCCATGCTGATGCTGCGGATTGGCCTGGTGTTTTACGCGCCGCTCACGACCTTGCTATCGACTTCGGACGTGTTACCGGTACCAATGGAACACTCACAGCTTCTGGAACGGCAACAGCCAATGCTTCGATGATCTTCAATGTCACTGGCATCAGCGATGATTGGAGCGTTAGCGGTAGTACTGCTTCTAGTGCTACCGGAGGAACTATCATTGTGGGTACCATTGGTAACTCAAGTCTGATCGATGACTTGATATCAAGCGGACAGCTTGATGTTAGCGGGGTTGAAGGTCAATGGGAATCCTATGTTAGCACTGTGGTACATGGTGTTGGAAATATGACTGGTGACGCGCTCGTCATTGCTGGTGTGTATAACATGGCCATCATAGTTGCCGAATGCTAACTCTTCGTAGGCAGCGATCGCCGTGGTGCCATCTATGGTATCTACGATGTATCCGAGCAGATCGGTGTCTCTCCATGGCATTGGTTCGCTGATGTACCCGCGAAGAAACACGATTCTATCTACCTGCTTCAAACGACAAAAGTCCAGAAGACACCATCCGTGAAGTACCGAGGATTCTTCATCAACGACGAAGCACCAGCCCTGACCGGTTGGGCAAATGACCGGTATCCTTTGTCTCCATATGGCGCACCTTTTGGAGCACAATTCTACTCCAAGGTTTTCGAACTGCTGCTCAGATCCAAGGCCAACTACCTCTGGCCGGCTATGTGGAACGGCATGTTCAACGTGGACGATGCACGCAACCAGCCGCTGGCTGATGAGTATGGTATCGTGATGGGAACGTCGCATACCGAGCCCATGGTCCGCGCCACTCAGGAATGGAGCAAAGTCGCCAAGGGTGCTGAATCTGGCTGGTCTTGGGCTACCAACAACGCCACTCTTTACGACTACTTCTACGAGGGTGCCGAGCGCGCTGCGCCATATGAGAATGTCGTCACAGTAGGCATGCGCGGATATCACGACACAGCAATGTCCGCCGATGTTCAAACCTCGGTCCTTGAGGCTGTTGTTGATGCTCAGCAAGACATTCTCAACAAAATCCATGGAAATGCGTCTGAAGTACCCCAGATGTGGTGCTTGTACAAGGAAGTTCAGGATTACTTTGAAGCTGGAATGCAGGTTCCCGACTGGGTCACCCTCCTCTGGACCGAAGACAACTGGCAAAACATTCGCCGTCTCCCAGTCGGCGACGAGAAGAAGCGATCTGGTGGTGCTGGTGTCTACTATCACTTTGATTACGTCGGTGACTCTCGTAACTTCAAGTGGCAGGATACCATCCAACTTCAGAAAACATATGAGCAGATGAAGTTGGCCAAGGACCGCGAGGCTGACCGTATCTGGATCGTCAATGTTGGTGACATCAAGCCTGCTGAGATCGCCATCAGCCATTGGTTCGATATCGCTTACGACATGGACTCTTACGACGAGTCGTCTGTGCCTGAGTGGCTTGCTGGATTCGCTGCCCGCAACTTCGGCGAAGAACATGCTGAGACCATCGCAGAAATCATGGATGAGTATGGTTTCCTCGCCAACATGCGCAAGTTTGAATGGGTCGAGCCCTCTTCCTTTAGTGTACTCAACTACGAGGAAGCTGATCACATTCTTGCGCGGTGGGAGGCTCTCGCAGACCGAGCCAACGAAGTTAACGCTGCACTTTCTCCCGAGCAACAACCCGCTTTCTACGAGATCATCCTCCATCGCGTGCTTGCTGGTGGCAATCATGTCGATGTACAGGTTTCCGGCGCCAGGAATATCATTTACGCGCAAATGGGTCGCAATAGCGCGAACAGATGGATGCAGCGTGTGATTGATGGCATGAACAAGGACCACAACCTTACGAGGCTCTACCACACTCAGCTCAATGGCAAGTGGGACCACATGATGGACCAAACTCATTTGGGCTACCAAGGATACTGGTAAGTTTCGGTACATTTTCTGTCAGTTGTTCTTATACTGATATCATAACAGGCAACAACCTATGCGCCAATCTACTCCTGACCTTCGTTGGGTACAAACTCAGGAGCGTTCGCTAGCAGGCGATATGGGTGTCTCGGTCGAAGGTTCCAACGCTACCATTCCTGGTGATGACATGTGGCACGGCAATGGTGCATCCTCTTTGACTCTTCCAGCTATGACTCCCTTCACCCCGAAGCGATGGGTTGAGATCTCTCACCGTGGTACTGGACCATTCTCGTGGAACATCAGCGCCGATCCTTTCGTCACGCTCTCTCAAGTCAAAGGAATCATGCAGCCCAACGACGAGGACATCCGCATTTACGTTGACGTTGATTGGAGCAAGGTTGAAGACGGCTTCGGTGCTCAAAGCAAGCTGAACTTCTCCAGCTCGACCGACTACGGTACTCAGGGTGGCAACCCACAAGTCATGGTCATGGTCAACAAGACCTCCATTCCAGAAGACTTCAACGCTGGCTTCGTCGAGTCAGCTGGCCAGCTCGCCTTCGAAGCAGAACACTACACGCGCACTACCCCTGGTTCATCCGACCATTCTTACCAGGTTCTGCCCAAGTACGGACGCACCCTTTCTGGTGTGAAGCTCACAGACAACCTCGCCGAAGGCCTAGACTCCTCCAGTGCTCCTAGTCTAGAGTATGACTTCGTCACCTTCACTCCTACAACATCCGCCAAGGGACTCAATGTCACTCTTATTCTTACACCTACCCACAACATCAACCCTAAGGTACCCCTTGCCTACATCGCACAAGTCGACAACAAGACGGAGGCGCGTCGCGAATTCGTCATTGACCAGCCTCAGCCCAACTTCCCTGTTGGCTGGGGCAAGGCTGTTGCGGACAGTGCGTGGTATAACACTACCAACCATGGCGAGCTTGCTCCAGGGAAACACACTTTGAAGCTTTGGTTAGTCGAGGCCAACGTTATCCTGCAGAAGGTCGTGTTAGATCTGGGTGGAGTTGTATACAGCCACAACGGTCCACCTGAGAGCTATCGTGTTGGTAGTGGTAACGCAACCATGCATTAGGTATTGAAGATGGTAGGGGCTGACCTATGATAGAAGATTTGAGTAATGTAATGTATTCATTCGCAAAAGTAGTCTTCGCGCTGTGAAAAAGTAACCAAGGTTACTGCTCAAAGAGATCCACCCATCATGCGATGATTAAGAGGTGAAATTCCGATGTAAATGCGTCGCTATGCTACATTCCCGGAAAAAAGCAACCCTGAACGCCCCCAAGCCATGCCCTTGTCTACCGGGTGTTGTCAATCTGCCTCCATCTTGCATGCAACTTCTTATTCTGTGATCCAAAAAAAAATTGTTGTCTGAACATTTATGCAATACCAGCACCACCTGCACCTCCAGCCGTTCCGCCCTGCGCACCTCCGGCGCCACTGCTAGCTCCAGTCTTGCCAGCTTTCCGACGCATGCTCTTGCTGCGATGTGTGTAATAATTGTCTGGCTCCTTCATCTCTTCCTTATCTAGACGCTCTTGGCTTGGCTGAAGCTTCCCGTTCGAGGCTTGCTCTTTGACTTTGCTGACTTTGGAGCCCATCGTAGGGGGTGTGTGTGTTGTAGCAGGATAAGTGGGTGGCGCGGAGGCTGGTGGGGACGAACTGAATGTTTCGTCGCGTAGGATGATTACACTGGATTTGGGTTAATGTTTATGCTGCGTGACGATCGTGCCTGGACGTTCGCGACATGTCGCATGCATGCTTTAGGATGGGTTGGATACTTACGGCGGTGCTGGATGCGGTTCGGGCTCGGGTTTGTCGGGTGGGCACGAAGTTTCGGTAGCTTCAAGCTCGTCTGGTGAGGCTTCTGGTCTATAGAGTAGAGAGTCAGAAGTTGAAAGACAGAAGAGAACCAATAATAGATGTTTCTAGCAAGGATGCATACGTACGACAGGGATGACGTAGGTGGTTGCGGCTGGACTTGCTGATCGGCAGGGTCTGGTACCTGGAAGTGGGGCGCTTGTGCTTTGCCAGATTGGGAAAGGATGATGATTCTGGGTGGAATTGGTTAATGAAACGGCCAAAACGTTGGTATGACTCGTTCGATGGTGAATGAGCGCTGATACGGAAGGATACAATACGTACGGTGGTGCTGCCGGCGGTTCTGGGTCTGGAGGACCATATTGACGAGCGTCGTTTCTGGAGCCTGATCTTGTGGAGTTTGTGCGTATCTCTCTTCGATGAGACATTTGACTTGAGCACTGGACGGACCGGACGGACTGCCAGAGTAGACTGTAGACTTCGCAAAGAAGAGCATGAGTGTTGAGGACAGACACAACATGAAGAGTTAAAGAAGAATGTAAATCGGCTAGAGAAGAATGCTCGATGTTGTTTATAGCGCTAGAATGGGGTCGGATAGAGGTCATGGTCAGAGCTGGTGAAACGGGGGTCTCCATGGCTTCGATAATGTATATGACCCAAAGGGTCTCCCATTCTGACTCTTATATATGATATGAGGCCTTCCATCTCAGCACGAGCTTTGTGCTTTCCCAGCTATCGACCACCGACTCACGACCGAAGTCACTGCCTTCCCAGCAGCACTGTACTCTTTCGATTTGGCCCCATGATCCTTTCCAGTTCTTCAGCAGCGAGTAGGATTTGTCGTTTGCAAGTTGAAGACGCGCTAGAGCCACGCTGTAAGTTCGGCCAGAACGTGTAGTTCGGATGAAGGGCTATGTTTGGTGGCCGTGACCCGCTCGACGTAGTGTACAAGAATATTCATTGGAGCAACGCGTTCTTTTAGTCAGAGGGAAGCCTGATGAGGCTCAATTAAGCTTTCTCGCATGTCTCTGAGTAGTGACCCATTTCGGTATCTAGGTGCGAGGCAGCATCGCAGGCAACACGGGAAATTGAACTGGGTGTATTAGGCGAGCCATTTCCTACTGTCGGCTTCGATCTTGCTCCTTAGCTTCAACCAAGCGGATCGCATCGTGAGCAATGCCGTAGGTAAGTGGCTGTGCGTGGGGAACTGGCATGGTGTAGTTTGGCTTGCACGGTTAGAACTTCCGTTCGTGGGACGCCTCGTAGGGCCGAGAAGGAGGCTTACTATAGGTTGCCACCATGGCGGTGTTGGCCATAATAAGGCCCTCGATCATCTGCGACGAAACTTGAGAGAAAGAGGAAATTGCGACAGTAGCGATGAAATTAGGAAGGGAGACGTTTGGCTGTTCGCGACTGCAGCATGGCGCATGGATGACCCCCGCTTGAGATTCGCTACACGCGGCTTGTACCTGCCGACCTGTCCTTACCGCTGCCTTGCGCCAACACCGTTACTGCTCGTAACCATCGCTCTTCTAGTCTTCCTTCTTAGATAGTTGCGCTTTTCGTCGCGGCACGCGATGACGCATCGTTCCCATCGCCCACGCTCCTCCACCGCGGCCGGCTCCTATGGCCATCTGCTGGGAGCACCAAAGCCCAGGTCGCTCAGAGATCGGCGGCTTATCTCAGCCATAAATAGAGAGCCTTCGCGAAGCTCTGGCATTGGTCCTGGCATCATACTCGTATCCCAATCATGTCTGCCTCGCCCTAACGGCTAAGGTGGAAGGCCTTTGGGGGCCAATGGCAGTGCAGCAGAGCCGAATTTCAGGAGCGCCACCAAGAATTTAAAGGCTTCGTCTGTGCTACTGCTTATATAACACCTAGCTAAATGACTGGAACTAGATAACTGGTTCCAAACCCAGCAAGCAAGCAACCTCTGAGGATTTCAGATTACCAACATAATGTTCAGCCAAGCTCCAATCCTCTCTCCGACCGGTGAAATCTCCGTCTTACTGAGCTCACACCGTCACTACTACACGTGCGCGTTCTGTCACGAGGATATCACGCTACATGCGCTTACTTCCAGGGTATGACGAAGTCGACGTGGGGTTTTCATGTAGCGGAGTGACAAAGACTCCGGACAAGCGCATATAGTAGGATACGTTGCAGGCATTGTGGATACAAGTAGGTGAACATGAACCCGCCTCATAAGATCGGTGGTCCACATCAACTCTCCACCGAAGATGAGACCAAGTCTATTAACCTGACAATCACCATCTGCTAAGCTTCAAAGCCTGCAGAAGCGCTGTTCAGGCGACTGATCGCACTAGCCCTCCAAGTATCATCTTCCAAACTTAGACCATGTTTTCTGAACACCATGTTTGTAGCGCTTCTGTTTGTGTATGCTGGCCAGATCAGACCGGAATCCAGTGCTGTTCCTCGTTAATACCAGTTTGTAGAATTACGAGCGTTAGTACACATACCAAAACGAGCATTTGGCGAGAGCTCGTTGACGAAGCTCAACCACATTAGGCTCATACGCTTACTTAGTTCCAGGTACTCGTCGCGTGACGTTGTGACGTTGGATGCAAGAAAGTTGAATTCATGTCCAACGCCATCAACGTTGAGAAATACAAAAGGAATATCCGCGAAATGAGCAGCACCTAAAGTCTCTGGCGAAACACCACTTGGCACCGTATCGAAACCGTAGCTGAAAGCGGGGATGCCGAATTTAGCCCACATCTTGGTACTAAAGCGCCTTGGGGCGATAAATAGTTGATCTCCTCTGAACAAGGCGGCTCTTCCGTAGGAAGTTCCATAATCCGATCGCGGGAATGGCAGTACACTACCGAGCGAAGACTGAACCTCTTCTGGCGATAGTCCCTCGAGGTACTCAGTGGCTATAGCGTCAACAGATGTGTTAGCTACGCCTTGATTAAAGTATCTTGCGATTGCCGTTCGGAACTCGGTGGTGCTGTTTACTCTGAAGCCTTCGCTAATAGCGAACGAAGTTCCCTCGTTGGTGTTTGTACCAGAAAGTATAGGCCGCTGTATGAATCTCCCCTCTTCCAAAGCCACAAACGGATTTTCTGAGATCATGTCTCCGTCCTGAACAGGAAAGTATGACACGCCCTGGAAGGCGGCCTTTAGCGTTTCAACAGGAGCACCTCTCAAGCAGTCAAGCGTATCAGTTGAGCTGATACAGCCTGTCTGGTGGAGTACGTCATTGTAGAGGCTATCTTGTTGTTGCAAAGTTATAACTTGACCAATCGATGCCGGCCCACCGCTTTGGGCTATGCCTGCGCGGAAAAGGCCGTCGTCACGACCCCCATACGCGAGAAAGTGATATCCGACAGATAGTGCACCCGCAGATTCGCCTTGTATTGTGACTCGAGACGGATCACCGCCAAAAGCGGCGACATTATCCTGTATCCAACCGAGTGCTGCTCGTTGATCATGCAGTCCTAGGTTCATAACGCCGGACTTTTGTAGCGCGCTACCAGATAGGAAGCCAAAGCCAGAAAGTCGGTAGTTGATGGTGATGCCAATGATCGGCGCTCCAACGCCAACTGATTCTTGTACCAGAAAAGACATGTTGTATCTCTGATCCGCGCCGCTGCCCTCCTGAAAACCTCCACCATGGATGTAGACAAGGACAGGAAACTTGGAGATGCTATGAGCAGTGGCTGGCCGTACAATGTTGAGCGTTAAGCAGTCTTCGCTTTCTTCGTGCGAGTTTCTGGTCTGCGAGAACACGGGCAACGTAAGAGGCGAAGAATGGCACCATGGGCCAGTTTCGGTAGCATTCAGCTGCTTCCAAGGCTGATGAAGGGGCTCAGGACGCTTATATCTGAGATTCTCAATGGGCGGTTGGGCATACGGAATGCCTAAGAAGAAGTCCTGGCTGTATTGTGCATTTCTAACTCCAACCAGCGTGCCATTTGTTGTTTTGACAGTTGGTTGAAGAGCGGAAGCAGTTGTCAGACACGCCAAAAGATGTAGCAACAATAATCGGGCGTTGGTCTTGGCCATCTTCGACTGGTAGAGAAAGTGATTGATATGGGCCAAGAGAGGAATCGAGACAGAATAGAACGTATATTCACCCCGTGTATGCCGACGGCATCTCTACCATTGTTGTAGAAGCCGACGGCATCTTCAGATTCATCTAGCGGAACTTGACGGCATGCAAAGAGCTCGTTTGTAAGATGGATTAGTAGATTGCACGAAGTCGGTCCGATATGCGGGCGGAAAGAACATATCCAGCTTGAAATGTGGGATTGGCACCGGAACAATTGTGCATAGTCGGGCATGTCGGGACAGTCTCTATGTGGCTTCTGAAGGGGCTGTATAACTGCGGGGAAGCCAAGATTGAGCAACCTTGAACTGAGTCGGTGAGGAGAAAAGGGCGACGTGGACACGAGTCTTGGTAACCGTCGTGACAACAGGAGACGAGAAACTGAAATCTCGTGCAATGCATAACACTCATAGCTACGACCGACTGCCCGTCAAGGTAGATATAGGGCGCGAAGTTGGTCTTGAGTACGCGATAATGTCCCCTGAGATTGCACTAGAAGTTGTCAGTACTCCTGAGAAGATTATGCGCCATTCAGTGGTGATGGTGATATGCTTTGATAAGTATTGGCTGCCCACCTAGGGTATATACGCTCATTGTTCTTGAGGATAGAAGAACGAAGTATATGTGATGCATAAGTCGCGTGGCAGGCTGCATGCAGGGCTTGGCTCGCTAATCTGACATCGATCTGGACCCTCCATGTTTCAGGGACTATCTGCGTCATCGATCGGTACTAAACACACGCGAAAGCTGAACGCGTCGAGGGCAGCAGAGCAGCCATGGCCTCAATTCCTCTTTATTCGAATGCGCATGGTATTCGCACGTTCGCGACATCCGATCCACAGTATCCCACGCGTCAGCCCCTCCACGCGCATTACATCCTGCCCAGCCATCTCAGCGAAGAGCCTACCTAGGTAGCCACGATGCCACCAAAACGTAAAGCCAGTATCCCACCCAATGCAGCATCTGCAAGAAACTACACCGATGTATCCGGCGATGCACCCAACAAGCGCTCGCGCATTGCTAAACCCCTTTCGAAAGCCTTCGCAGACAGCGCGCCACCGATAGATTCGATAGCGAGAAATACTGAGAATGGAGCGCCTGGGGAGGCAGTAAAGAAAGAAGAAGAAGAAGAAGAAGAAGAAGAAGAAGAAGAAGAAGAAGAAGAAGAAGAAGAAGAAGAAGAAGAAGGTGAAGAAGGTGAAGAAGGTGAAGGCGAATTTGATCATTCGCGGCCAGAAGAGCGAGCAGGGATAGTTGACAGACGATACTACCCTGCTGAGATGAGCAATGAGCGATGCGCCCTGTACAATGCAAACGAGATACCGCGGCCCATCGAAATACTGGCAAAGACGCTAGAGAGCACAAAAGATAGGCGCATGGCTATCCGGGAAGCAAACAAGGCGCAATTTGGCGATGCCGTGGTTCACTGGTTCAAGAGGGATTTGCGGATACGGGATAATACAGGCTTATCGCAGGCTGCCCAGTTGGCCAAAGCGAAGGGTGTGGGTGTAATAGGTGTCTGGTTCATGAGCCCACAAGACTGGGAAGCTCATCTGGTCAGCCCACCCAAGTGTGATTTCGAACTGCGTTCGGTCGAGTCACTGAAACAGGAGCTCGAAGAATTCGACATTCCGCTATATGTTGAGACAATTGCGGAGAGGAAGAACGTGACAAAGCGACTGGTGGAGCTGGCTGAGAGCTGGAATGCAAAGAACGTATTTTGCAACCTGGAATATGAACCCGACGAGCTGCGGCGAGAAGAGCGTTTAGTACGTAAGATGCTGGAGAAAGGTATCAACTTCGACCCACAACACGATGATTGTGTTGTGCCGCCCGGAAGTCTCAAGACAGGAGGTGGGAAACAATACGCCGTGTACAGCCCCTGGTATCGGGCATGGGTTGCGTATCTACACGCGCACCCGCATCTCTTGAATGAGCGACCGATACCTGAACGTAATTCTCCAAATTTCCGCCAAAAGTTCACCCAGCTCTTTGACTCGAAAGTCCCCGACCTCCCCGATTGCAAGTCGTTGACACAAGAAGAAAAAGAACGCTTCCACCGCCTGTGGCCCGCAGGCGAGGCCGCCGCCATTGACCGCCTCGAACGCTTTTTAATCGAAAAGATCGGCAAATACAAGGATACTCGTAACTTCCCCGCGAAGAACAGCACGGGACGCGTGAGCGTACATCACGCCGCTGGCACGCTAGCAGCCCGAACCAGTGTACGTATGGCAAGAGATGTCAATAGCGCGAAAAAGCTCGATGGTGGGAAGGATGGTGTCAAAGGTTGGATTGGAGAAGTTGCATGGCGTGATTTTTATCGACATGTGCTTGTACACTGGCCATACGTCTGGTATAGTTTGCATCTTAGTCTTGGTATTACAACGAAACTAACAGTTTCCTCAGCATGAACAAGCCCTTCAAGTTCGAATACACGAACATTGAATGGGAATACAATGACGCCCACTTCCAGGCTTGGACTCAAGGCCGCACAGGCTACCCAATCGTTGACGCAGCAATGCGTTGCATGAATCACACCGGCTACATGCACAACCGCCTTCGCATGATCGCAGCTTCCTTCCTTGCAAAGCACCTCCTGCTGGACTGGCGTCTTGGTGAACAATACTTTCTCACACATCTCGTTGATGGCGACTTCTCGTCGAATAACGGCGGCTGGGGCTTCAGTGCATCAACTGGCGTAGATCCCCAACCATACTTTCGAATCTTCAACCCATGGACGCAGTCCGAGAGGTTTGACGAGGAGGGAGAGTTCATCAAATTGTGGGTTCCAGAACTTGAAGAGATAGAGGGGCCGGCCATACATAACCCTTATGGTGCGGGTGGGAAGGCGGCACAAGCCGCAAAGTCGAAAGGCTACCCTGAGCCAGTAGTTGAGCATAAATTTGCTAGAGAGAGGTGTCTGGCACGGTACAAGGCAGGCATCGGAAGGGAGACTGCGTGAAGGGTCTAAAGGTAGAACGTCAAACCTCTTTGCAATTCTTCACAGCTGCAACCCAACCACGACACGGATGTCCCGATTTATACGTCTAGCAGTGGCTCGCCGTACTCTGATTCGAGAGCTCCATCTGGTAGTTGGAACTGATCCCTATCATAGCGTAAACGTGATCGCGTGGCTCAGACGCTTAAAGCGTTGGCAGCGCTTTGATTAACCATAGCTCATGAATTCTCTCTGCCTGTACTATTATCTTGTGTTATCAAACCTGAGGTATTATCAGGTCTTTTATAATACAAGCACACTTCCTGAGCTGAGAAGGTAAAGACAGTATAAACGAGATATGCCTCCCACGCAGGCACAATTTCATTATGTTTTTTGACAAAGCTCAAAATGGTGGAGTGTCGAGTAAAAGTCGGTAGAAACAATGCAATCAAATATCCCAGTCTCGCATACCGATGCAGGCATTCTGGGGGCTATATCCTGAAAGAAAGAGCTGTGGAAGACGGTCTGGTGGGAGGGTATCTTCGGTGGACTATGAGAGGCTAACTACATCTGGCTACGCTGATTCAGCCAGGATCTTCGCCACTCGCGGTGTACAGATGGCGCCCTCCATACCATCAACATTCCCGATTCCATTTCAGAGAACTGCCCGAATAGTTATGTATATTTTCGGATTATGTAAACTCCCGGTTCATGAACTTTGATCGACTGTATTGCCTACTGTGGAGGTGTATCCGCATCTGACTCGATCGTCAACCAGGCAGCCACGTTCTGCAGGCACCTTTTTGTCGTACATCCAGCACAAAAGTCTAGCGCATCTAGGATCTCTGGAGGCTCTGATAACGCTAATAGACTGAACACATTTCTTATGACACAAACTGGAAAATGCGACACGTGTCGTCAGCGGAAAGTCAAGGTAAAGCACCCGCCATTGACAGAGAGCAACATAAAGCGCCGCGAAGCATAGCAAACCATCTGGAATGGAATGAAGATTGTGCTAATAATCGCGTAGTGTGATGAGGAGCGACCCAAATGTAGCTCATGTAAGAAGAAAGACCGACCATGCACCTATTCCTACGGAAAAGCTTTGGCGTTTGTGGTGCAGGACCCAAACCAGCTGACCAAACATGGAAAATCAAGAACCACACCCATCACATATTCGCTGGCTCCTTCTGATGAAGAGTTCACCTCGCCTTCAACAACGCCTCCAAATCTGTGTGTTACAACAGAAAGGCGCGCCGAGGATGGACAAGGTTACTTCCAGACCCTGGCGCCACGCTCGAAGTATAGAAGCCATCTGTCAAAAAAGAAAATAAACAAACAGCAACGTGCGCTTGAGGCTTACCTCTGGAAACTAAGCGAAGAGAACACACTCGTAGCTCACCAGCCATCCTCTCCTGAGACCACGTTGATCGCCCGATATGTTGGCATGTTAGGACCGGACCCTATAGGAAGGCAACCTTTTGAGATACTGGGAACCTGGATACAGTCGATACCTTCGCGCATCGGCTCGAACAAGATGCTAGACCTTGCTGTTGAGTTTCTAGTCGACAGCTATGGGACGTTTCGAGATGATACACACTCGAGGCGCAAGGTCGCTAAAGCGTCGAAAGCCAAAGCACTGAAGGAACTGCAGCTGGTTGTGATGAACACTAACACTAATACAACGTACGATGTCTTGTTAGCAACAAAACTGCACTACGCTGCGGAAGTAAGCTTGCATATTGAGAGCTTTAGGATTTTACTGACAACCCCCTAGGCTCTTTTGGGGCTGGATACTATGTACCACGCCATACATGCGTTTGGCCTCGCTGAACTGCTGAGGTCAGGATCTGTGTCGGATGTTGATGACGAGCATTTCTGGGATCTGATCGATAACACTTATATTGATGACGTGAGTGTCGCTCTGATCTTTGACATTCGGTGCTAATGTTAGCAGGTAAACGAGGCGATATTAGCAGGCCGAACGTCAGTATACCATAACGAATTCTATCTATCAGCGACATACCCTCCACCAATCGATTCAGACGTGATAATACTGTCACCATCGCAAAGAGCATCGATGGCCATCATGCACGTCTTCATTCAGTGCCCCTACGCAGTATCCTTAGTTCGGCACGCTATCTCGAACCCTGAAGACGCCAATGCCCTTGCGACCGCCATGTCGCACATGGAGCGTCTGATACAAATCGATCTCTCGCAACACGTATCTGAACTGATGCAAACATCAGTCTCTGCGGTACCCATACCGCCATCACCAGATGTCGCTGACCTAATGCCGGATACGCTAGAGTTCAGTTCCGTGCGAAGTATGATCCTCTGCACAAGATACTGGATGTTGCAGACAGTGCTTTGCGGTCTTGCGGACACGCTGTATCGACACTTCCCCATCGAGGCAGGGTTATCGCTGCTTCCATCACCTCAGCAACTACGAATCATTGATGTCGACAGCGCAATACATATTGCAAAGTCCTTGAGATGGGCCGCTTCTGTTTCTCAAGATTTACCGCTTGTGACATTACGCTTGCACACGCCGCTTCAGATGACGATTGGTCCATGGCACCGTACAATACGAGGAATTTCTACTCAGCGATCACGATCCAGCTCGCCAGACATCCACCCCGAGATTGCGAAGGAGTTATCACGTGCAGAACGTATGAAGGCCTGGGTCATAAGTCAATGTAACTTGATACACATCCAGTGGGACGTCTCTGTCGTCGATGAACAACCCCTTCTGGAAGCCCTCGATACTATGGCTGGAGAGAAGATCCCGGATTGGCTTCCTGTACGCGTGCGTTTCGAAGCCGAAGACGGTGAAATGGTCATGAAGTTGGATTACGAAAACAAAACAGGAAGCTACACAGAGAAGATCGATGTCAACACCGAGCCTCCGCCTAAAACGCGAATGCCTCATCCGGGAGCTACAGGTCAAGAATGGCAAAGAAAATATCTAGGCGTACAAGAGTTGCCGCTTAGGGTCAGTGAGAATGAAGGCACGAGACATAACGTAACCTTTGACAACAAGCATAGAAATGCGTGCTTAGCTCCGAGCTGGAATCCTAGACCTGTGGACTTCATTCACAGCACTGGAAGGAACTTATGCTCGACTTCTGGGTGGTGGCCTGAGACACCGAAAACCTCGACAGTGTTGCTGGACAGCACGCACAAAGCCTCAGCTTTTTCGCGCATGCCACGCCAACCACATGTGGATGTCGAGAGTACATCCAGAGAGATAGACGGTCATCCTTGCTTGGCTTCAAGTTGGTGGCCGCAGACTCCCAATCAGTCATACAATAGCTAGGAGGTGTTGAGGTGCGAATCATTTGATTCGATCGTTCATATCATAACTTCGTGACTGCTACGTCACTTTTCCTCTATAGAATATAATTCTCTGTACCTTCGGCTACCATTTGCTCATCACAATCGTGTCGCCCACTCCCATTCTCTCGTATCTGCTCACCGGCGTCTTAACTTCTTGGGTTGACGCGCTCGGTTATTCGTGTTCGCAACAGCAACATAAAGTCTTGACTACGTCGCTTTGCTTTAGGTTGGTTCATAAACACTTGTACATCATTACAAAAGGGCATACAGTACAAGGTGTATCACTATATAAGCACAGGATACTGCAATTCTACGATTTTTGCTTGAGCTGCTTTTTTATTTCCTTGTGCGCCTCGCAGCCCGTGGTATCTTTGCTTCCACCGCGGCAGGCAGGACAGGTCCGTCCGTGCTGTATAAGGAAGAAGTGGAGTTTAATCTTAAGGTCGGCTGGGATTACCGCATCCAAGTGTAGTTGTGTGTTCTCACGAGTGGCGTCCTTCGGTCTCCAGCCCCACAAGCCAGCTATGCGATAGACATGCGTATCCACGGTGAACCGTTTTCTCTTCAAACACCAGCCCATGACGACAAAAGCAGACTTTGAGCCAATGTACTTGTAGCTCATCAGCTCTTTCATGGCATCTTCGTCACTTGCTTCCAGGAGATGGTCTAAATTCCAGCGCCCGTATCGTCGCTTGACTTCATCCAAGATGGACATGATGATCTTGGTCTTCCTGATGTGGAGTCCGCCGCAGCGAATAATCTCTTGTAATTTGTCTGGTCCACCAGCATGTATCTTGTCGTATGCGAATACCGAGCCGTACGTTTCCTTCATGCTATGCATGGCGCGTTTTGCGTTGTTCCAACTCGTCGCTTGGCTGAGGACTGCGACAATCATGGCATCTAGAACGAACGGTATTGTTTCAGGTGTGTGCTCGTCTATCTCAGCCTCCACAGCGTCGTTATGCAGTTTGTGCAGCACATCGTATGCTACCTGGCATTCGCGGTGTGTAGGATGGCCGAAATCAGGGTACGGCGTCGTCGTTGCGTGGGCTGACCATGACTTCCACTTCTTCTCCGCCACGGCTTCATCGTCTGCCTTGGTACTGTCACTCTTGCTAGTTCTGGTCTGTTCGTCTTGATTCCTCTTCTGCCCCCAATCCTGCGCTGTACCGACTCTTTTTGCAGAACGACTTGCAGCTTGACTTTTGACGCGCTTGCTAAGGGTCTCCTCACTGGTCGAGGAATCGGAGTACCTCCTTTTTGCTGCACTGTTTGCTGCCTGCTGAGCCGTACGTGTAGCCGCCCGCGCCGATCGTCGCAACACCATTTTATAGAGTAAGGGCTGAAGACAGTCGCGAATCTTTCAGGTCACGGCGTGGATGGGCCCACATGAGAAGGACTGCGGCAGACACATCATTATATGTAAACACTAATCAACACGCTGATGTCGTCACCCATAGCAAAGTCTGGGCCATATGCCTTTGGTAGAGGGACTCACTAACGGAGCTCATGTAAGAGTCGGATTCCGCGGGCACTGGCATCTAGATCCGCGAGCTGCGGACGCGCCGCAGCGACGTTTCGGTAATGAACCCAACCACATTTCGGCAAAGAACCCAACATTTAGCCTATGCCCCACAGGTCGATCCCATTAACCCTAATGCCGTCGTTCCAAAACGTCGATCCCATTGCTCGATGGTCCGTGTGCTATATGAGGCTACAAGAATGATTCTGGTTTTCTAATCATTGTGTCGAGGCAGAGACAAGATGCACCGGCCGGACCCGCAGCTCGGCCACTGTATCCTTCAAAAGAAATAGTACGAGGAATAATCAGCATCCGGTCTACGGACATACCGGATACCCCCTTTAGTAATAAAAGAGATTACTCTTATATAAACACTTCAAAAGCGCTGGCGGCATGGGATGCTATCACTACTATAAGAGGTATACCACTCATTTGATATCCAGTTGGGTGCACCTCGATAACCATGACTCGAGCTCCTCTACTCCTGTCTATACTCACAGCAACGAGCTGTGCTCTCTATGATTTTTCTCCAGAGAATTCACCAACAATATACGATGTAATGTTCCTCCTATCCTCCAGAAGTACCATGAACATGAATACTTACATCACCTGCCAGAATAATCTGCCAACGCAACTCTCATTACCTGACACCCAGCTTGCTGCCGAAGGCTTCAACTCCTACTGGTTTTCTCACTTTCTTACCACGGGCAACGATACCGAATATGTACTTCTAGCTCAGGCCGTCGTACTTCCTACCAACGAGATCACCATCAGAACCTCTTTGCTCGACGTTGGGAACCCGGAGATTTACTGGCAGAGTTCAAGCACAGTTCCTCTTCAAGGGAACACCACATCAATGAATGGCCGACTGAGCATCAAGGGAAAAGGATTTGAGCTGTCGAGCAATTCAGACGATAATCTTGCAAGCATGGTTTCAGGTGGTTCAACCGACCACTACAAGTACAACTTGACAGTCAAAGCGAGCTCAAGGGTGATTTTGAACGCCGGAACAGGACTCTTCAACTGGGGGAAAAGTAACACCACGCAATGGTCACTCCCAAGTGGCCAAACCTCGGGCACGTTATCTATCGGCGACTCGCTGTATCAGGTTAACGGGGAACGCTCATTGACGTGGTATGATCGACAATATGGTGGTAGTGGCCCCGACAGCGGATTCACCTGGTTTGGGGTCCAGTTTCCTGGCTCGAATGTCAAAGCTAGCATCTGGCACACCGACAACGAGGATCCCGAGCAGCCTCTCCGCTTTGCGACTGTTCGTACCAACTACGGCTTATCAATCGTACGATTCAATGCGACTGCCGACCCGAACGAGGTATGGACATCGCCAACAACCAACACTACATACCAAACCAAGTGGTTTCTTGACTTTGACAACGGAGATTTCCTGGAAGTCACTAGTGTGAGGAAAGACCAGGAAATTCCAGCGGAGGGGCTGTTCGCGGCCTCGGCCTTCGCTTCTGTGAAAGGACGGTTCTTTGGACAGAAGAACGGGTTTGCGCTTGTTGATGTTGTGCCTGCTGCATAAGGATGTAATCGCCGCCGCATAGATGAGACTATGTCGCCACGTCATTACCGACTTCCTGGGGGTGGATGTGATCAAGAACCGTGGGTGTAATGAAGAAATATTCTTGCCTACATTATCACGAGGCAGCTCAATGTTCTTGCGCTAGGCATGTTATAGCCTGAAGTGAATTATAAAATGTGGTATCTATCCTGCAAAGTCTTTGTATTTGCGAATAAAATCATGCAAGATTTGCCCCGAGTCACAAGGGACAAGCTGTAGATACCGACAGCTCTGGTCTCCTGATTGTATGACCCTCAACATCGTCCTTGTGAGCCACCAGTATTCTGCAGCGTGCTTCTCAAACCCGATGTGTGGCAACAATCTACCTTCGCTGTCGTGGCTCATAGAGTCCCACAGACGCTTCCATCGATCGGTCGCGCGAAGCATAGGCTCTGTAGTCATAGAAGCTAGAAGATTCATTCTGGCAGACATGATGGCAGACATTAACGCTATGGATGGTCAGTCTTAACTTCATAGTCGAGGTAAAGCAATGACAAACCGCAAATGAGTATTAACATTACTGTTGCTGAGACATGGTTCTCCTTGTTTTCGTTCTCCTCAGGAGGTGCGAGGAGAAGGCGTGACATGAGTTCGGGTAATGTATAAGCCTGTTGGTTTGGCCGTCCAAGTGAGGCAACCCGCTCAAAGTCCGCGGCTGATTCGGCTCTGAATAGATCCTCATCACATGGCATACTACCAGTCATCTCAGCTGTAGCAATCTGTGGTGGGGTGTTGAAGAAGATTGATATAGTGGTCTCGAATATGCAAGTCCACATCCCCACTCTGCAGCTATTGTTAGCGGTCACGAACACGGAAGATGTGTCAGCTTCTAGTACCTTAATCGCATCTCATCGGCAATGAAACCCCGCCAATCATATGTACCTTGGGCTGTGATAAAGGGTCTTCGTCGATGTGCGAACAAGCCTGATGCTCGCACAGCGGCATTTACTGACGGCATCCTCTGGAGTCGAATTCGCCGTCGTGTAGCGAGGTCGTTGACGTTGTTCAAAAAGACCAGGAACAAAAGGCTCGCCTGTATTAGTTCAAGCTCCTCGTTATTAACGAATGCTGATTGAGGCGTCTGCAATTTTTGCTGCGAAATCAGCTTGTCAAAAATGTAAGCCTCCGCAATATATGAGAACCGTCGTACTGCGATGGAAGAATCCGAGTCGTTGGAAGACATGGAGCCGAACAGAATAAGTGTGAGCAAGAGAGGAAGTGATGCCGTCTGCAAGTCGAACGTTGGCTTGTGCAAGATGGGAAATGAGAAGTGAAAATAGCGAAAGAAAGCCCAAACAAAGTGTCTTACGTTTCCTACCGTGAAGACTGACTCTGCGAACTGGAGGTCAAAAGCCATTTGGATGGCATCATTGCGTTCCAGCATGGAGCTATATTGAGCGGAGAGTTCGTGTATCAGTTCTCTGATACGAACTTCCAGCGCGTAGGCATCCTCGAGCTCAGGCGTTAGACTATCGCTTATCATTGGAGATGGGTACTCAGCATCCCTTTCCATGAGGAACGGAAAGCCGAAGAAGACCGAAGGAACATCGGCGAAATCGAAGAACATTTGGTCATTGGCCATTTGCTGGTCTGTCGGATCTAGTTGAGCGCGCGCTTCACCGTCTACATCATCGAGCTCGGCAGCTTCAGCGGCGATTACTGCGGATGGACGGTAGCCTGATGGGTTCGTGAAGTTGAGAAGAAATTCAATAGAGATGCCTCCACGCTGCCCGTTGGAAATAGGCCCTGCATCAGCGGCCTGGCTGTGGCTAGAGCGCGCATCGACGTCGGAGCGTGGGGTGGCAGGTGAAGAGGCATGGTCTACTCGTTCATAGGTACATACCGCGCCACTAGAGCGGCAGCGTGCACACGGCATCTTGGTATCGCATGACAACTTCCGCTTTGAACACCTGTCGCAGGAGTGGCGCTTTCTACCACGCTTTAGGGTAGGCAGGATGATTTCATGGTCCCGGGCAGAACAGTTCTGCATGTGACGCCGAGCGAGGTCTCTGTACATGCGTCAGCTCGTATCGATAGTGAAATCAAAGCAAGACGAACACACCTCCTTGAAAATTGCGCCTGGCACGAGGGACATGTCAAGTCCTGTCTGCCATAATCTGACGCGTGTGAGCCGCGAAGGATTGCTTGTGTGGGAAATGCTCACGTGTGGCCTCATGGCGACGCAGATGGCTATTGGTCGAGTACGTCTTGTTGCATATGGTGCAGCGGTGCTTGCCGGAAACGGTCGATGTGCGTGGGGACGGCATGTGCTGCGTGTCCGCTCTCGCCTTGGGTTCACAGTGTGGGTTTTATTCCGCTGCAGCGATCGCAAGTGAATTTATTAGCTGCCGATCGATCGTGTGCGGGCCGATAGGTTGCATCTCCGAATGCCCGGTACCCTGCAGGTGCGACAAGAAAGATGAATCATCAAAGCCTCGCCGGCTTTCACGGCTTCCGAACGAACCACGGGAAGATGAAGTCTTACACGAAGCGCATAGGCAGCAATCGCTACTTCCTGGGCAGAGGTACTATTTCTTCCACGCCTACGCTGTATGTAGCGAACTTGAGTCGGCAAGTGGGTTCATTGCTGGCCTTAGAAAGCTATCTAAATTCAAATGCAAGGCCTTGAGCAGCGTCGCGTCATGCCGAAGCAGCGTAAGCGTCTTCAGCTCAGATTTCTGTCTGAGCTTTATTTCGCGCTGGCCAACAAAGTTGTGATTTGATAGGCGAGATGATTTCCATACCTTTTGGGTCTTCGCGTCGCGCCATTCCTAATAAAGACGCTTGTTAGTGAGTACATGTTGGGAGATTCTGCGGAAAGGAGCGTGTCGTATGGCATTTATCGCTGACGTCCAGTTGCAGATGAACGATGGATACTTCACAATACACCCATCGTGACCTTGACGAACTAAAGAAGTTCTCTCCCACATCGCCGCTTCGCGTTATCGCCTTGATCGACTTTGACGCTTTCTACGCGCAATGCGAGATTGTTAGATTAGGTCTACCGTCCTCAACACCGTTGGCCGTACAACAGTGGAATGCTATAATCGCGCTCAACTATCCTGCACGTGAGTCTGGACTCAAAAGAGGTGCATCGGTAGACGAAGCCCGGAGACTCTGTCCGGACATTGTCTTACAACACGTCGCAACGTGGAGAGAAGGCGAGACAACATGGGCATACCGACCAGATGTTACAAAACATATGGCGACTGACAAGTCAGCCCTGGATCCATATCGCCTTCGATCGCGCAAGTGTTTCGAATTCATTCGCAGCCTGTTGCCAGAGGAGCCTATTCAGAAAGTCGAGAAAGCTAGTATAGATGAGGTGTTCCTGGATTTGTCGGCTCAGGTTCATCAGATTATGCTTCGGCAGTTTCCGGAGCTTGCAGAGCAACCTGACGACTTGGAGCAATATCTCCCCTTGCCCAGTTTCTCTTCGCTTTTGGATTGGGAGGACGATCACGTTGTGGATATTGAAAAGGCTGATCCGAGGCCTGATTGGGACGACATTGCCCTCAATATCGGAGCCGGCATCATCCGTCGTATTCGAGCTGAAGTCTTGACCCATTCAGGGTATACATGCTCCGCAGGCATTGCACACAACAAGGTTGTGGCTAAACTTGGTGCTGGTTTCAAGAAACCTAATCGGCAAACTGTGATCCCGACGCAAGCTACATGCAATTTTCTAGCAAATCAAATCGTCAACCTCACCAAGATACGTGGACTGGGAGGAAAGCTCGGCCAACAAGTCATAGATGCGTTTGGCTCTGACCGCGTGGATGATATTCTTCGCATACCAATCAAAAACTTGGAAGCAAAATTAGGCAAGGAGTCCGGCTACTGGGTGTACAACGTTGTTCGCGGCAGAGAAACCAGTGTTGTTACGTCACGACTTGTAATCCAGTCAATGCTGTCAGCAAAAACCTTCGTTCCAAGCGTGGGAAGCTTCGAGCAAGCTATGAAGTGGCTTCGCATATTCGCTGCGGACCTGATGGGCCGCTTGAATGAGCTTCAGAGCGAGTACCCTCGTCAACCAACTGTCGTTACCGTGCACCATCACATTAATGGCCGCTTTGGCCCTACGCGATCGAAACGAGCCACAATACCGTCGGGTAGTAAGGTTGATGAGATGGCCATTTTTGCCTGGTCGAAATCTTTACTTCGTCAGATTTGCGACGAAGGTGTAGCGTGGCCTTGCGCGTGTCTGTCTGTAAGCATATCCGGATTCCAGCCACTTGTCACACGGAATCATCGCATCACTTCGTTCTTCACTACAGACTCCACCAATACGAAGCGCTTGAGCGATGCTTATGAGGACGATGAGAACGAACGGCAAGAGCCAAAAAAGATTCGTACGGAAGGCGGCCACGAAACGTCATTGGAAGGAACGAAGTCAGCCTCTGCATCTTCTAAAAAAGATGGGGTGAGATCGCTGCATACCAATCTACATGACTTACAAGCCGAGAACGTCTTTTCGTACGACTGTCCAAAGTGCAGTCAGAGCATACAAGCTACCCAAGTGCTTGAACATCGTAAGCGGCCCTGTACGAACTGCACATGAGACATAAACTAACTTCGTACTCTCGCATCTAGTCGACTGGCATACTGCACTCGAGATACAAGAATCAGGAGAGTGAAGGCCTCACTCTTTGATCCGAGGGAACGGCTCCCAGGATATGCAAAGGCTTATCTGGTATGCGCGCAGTATCGAACTATTTCTAACAGCGTCAGCGCTTCATCCACTCTCAGTCATACAGCAAGATCAGTAGAAACCCTTCCGCGCTCCACCCTTGCCCCGCCCTTCTCCCCAGATACAGCAGATACTCAGACTCTCGCACCACCCTTGCGCCATATACCCTTCTAGCTCTTTCTCTACTGCAAGCACGTCCTCGGCGTCTTTCTCCACACTCACCGCCGCTTCGCCCCTACGCTTCAAGTCCGAGTTCCAGGTTTTGATCTGTTTTTGTGTCGCTCTCTTGAACACGCGTATCGATGTGTTGGCGTTCAAATACGCGGTAAACTCTTCAAGAACAATAGGATCATACATGAGGATCTTCTCGTGCCAGCTAGGATGTTTGGGATCTATGGTCGGAGGCAGCGAGCGGATATGCGCTGATATCTGGGAGAAAACGCTGGGCTTAATGTGGACCCATTCTAGTAGGTTGTTTGATATGCGACGTATAGGCGTCAAGGCTGGGTCAGCAGCTAACAATTTAGCCCTGACATTGGTGCCTTTTTGGGCCTTGTTAGGCGATGTGGTGGGTGAAAGGGTAATCAAAGGTAGAGGTTCAGAATCAACATGTTTCCGTATTCGAGGTGGTGTGGGTGATAGTACTTGAAGAGCTTCATCTTCAGAATCAAGAATTTCTTCAATATCGACAAAGCGGCCTGACCCCCTTGGTGGAGTTGTAGGTACCTTGTGACCAGTTTTTGCCTTTGCCTTGATCTTTGGAGGTAAGGACTTCAACACTGGTGAAGAGGATGTAGAGATTGACTTAGATATCGCAGGGTGTGACTTCAGTAGCCTACCCCGCTTCTTCGGCGAGCCGTCCATGGTTGGTGGTGCTGAAGCCGGAGGTCTAAACTTCAGGACGGGTGATTTCCGCATCTGCGCAGAGGGTGGAAAATCGAAGTCATCGATATCGACAAAGCTGTTCGGTGACGCAGCGTTTTGGTTCGAAGGTGGCGGCTCTTGCGTGAAATTGTCGATGTCTTCGAAGCCTGTATCTTCCCTCTGGGCATTATTTTGACGATGTCCCTGAGATGGCAAGGCATGGAAAGCGGCGTCAAGTGGCGTTGGCGAGTTAGAAGATACAGAGATTGTCAGAGGAGGGTCTGACAGTATGTCGTCGATGTCTATGAACGTAGATTGATCATCAAACTGTCCACCAGGCATGTCGTTAGTGCTGTCCATAAGCAAGGGAATATCTTGCGTCCTATCTGGCTCTGGTATATAAATGTCTTTCAGGTGTTCAAGCATGCCGCCTTCGCCGTCTCGTGCACTCGCAGCCCAGAGCCCCCGTTTGCCTTCAGCCCTGCCGAGCCGTGGCCAGCGCGACGGCGCACCACATGCGACAAGATCAAGATTATCGGCATCTCGCTCCGACTCCTTCATTGCGAACTGGATCTGTCGTACCGTGGTGGGCGACTCTTCGAGCGCAAGCTGACTTGATGTTCCGAACAGGACATCTTGCTGCTGTAGACGCGACATTGCAGAAGAAGGGCTGAGTAACTTTTCTGCAACAGGCTTTGGCTTAGCGGCAGCTCTCGCAGATGCTTTCCTTGATCTTGGCTTAGGGTCGGCCTTTTCTTTCTCTGTACCTGATTTGGAGCTATTGCGCCTCCTTGCTGGCTTCTTTGGTACCGCTTTGCCATCGGCTGTAGATGTATCATTCAACGGCACTTTTGTTGTAGTTGTTGAAGCCCGAGAATCAAAGAAGTTACTGCTTGAATCGTTCGGATTCGGCTCTGCATCCTTCGATGCATACTGTTCCGTGACAAGATCTGTGATAGTGCGTGGTTTCTTCTTGGGGGCTTTGCCCTTCTCAGGCGATGAGTCTCTAGGGTTGGCTTGGTTGCTAGGTATTTCAACGAGCTGCCGATAATGGTCAGAAGGAGTGTTCCATGCTACGTGTCCATGCAAGCAGACTTACCTCAATTCTCCGGCGCTTAGTCGCCGCTACTACCTCCGTATCTGCGTTGGTCGACTTTGCGGTGACTTGAGCAGATGGTGACTGTGCATAAGCAAAGTTGGAGAGTAGGTTTGTGAAGGTACCATCAGCGTTCTGCGCCAGTGTCCTGTTCTCCTTTCCGGCTGAGTCTGTGAACGGCGATGGAACTGTCGTGTCAGGTGGCGGCGTCCAATCTCGTCTCCTGACGACAGCCTCCTCCAAGTCCAGCCCTTCTGCAATGGGATCTGGCTGACGCTGCCTCGGCGCAGCCTTCTTCTTCAGCCGTGGGCTTTCATGCACCTCCCAGATGGATGGATACTCTGTGTGTGTGTCTTGAACCTGTATCGAGGGTCGTGTTCCCGAGGTTTCGCATTTGTCTGCTTCCTCGGGGAAATGTGCAGACACGAGCGACGCATCTTTGCCTGTCCCAGCTTTCGCTTTTGTGACTCTCGGTTTCTTAGGCTTTGGCACGGACTCTGCTCCCTCTTCTCCAGGCTTCTGCTTCTTTGCACGCGGCTTCCGAGGCTTACCCGACTTGGTCAGCTTAGGCGCATTCGCGGCTTCAACCGCAGCCTCGACCGGAGGTTCCAACGTATTCTCGTCGAAGAAAGGGGATTTGGTAGGTCGTTCCGGCGGGCGTCGGAGCTCATCGTCCGAGTCGAGGATTTCTTTGTCTGACTTGGGTTTTGGTTTGCGCGCTCGAGGCTTCGGTTTGGGCTTCTCGGACCCTTCCGTAGCAGTGGTAGTAGCAGTCTTCTTTGTAGACCGCCTCGTGGGCTTTTCCACAACCGATTGAGACTCTATGGCAGCCTGCGGCGTCCGTCGTGACTGTGCTCCTTGTATCGCATCGAAGTCGTCGTCAAGACGGCTTGTGAAGTGCTCAGAGCGTACGAGACTGCCAACGGTGGCAAATCCTCTAACAGCACCCTCGGGGATGGGAGCTGCCCTTGCGCTATTCCTCGACGCGTCGATTGTTGGTCTCAGCGGGCTTTCCGGAGGAGAGAATGATAGAGGCGAGGATGCAAGCATGGCAACGCGACGAGAGGGGGCTTCATATTGCGGGGAAGCGGCCGGCGGACTGGAGCTCAATATCACCACATCGTAGGTATTGCCTGCCATAGTGAGGCGAGGAAAGAGCCTCCAGGCAGCCAATGTGGGCAATTGCAGAGGGGCAATCCATAGACTCAGCTCGAGTAGTTGTAGCTTGGGAAGGTGTAGTACCGAGTGGCGCGAGGCGGTGATCTGAACAATGCACGGTCGTACGACCAAATGAAGTTCACTGCTGCAACACCAAAGTCTCCATCACCAAGTCCTGACCTATTGCCCCTCCACTAATGAAGCACCAACACCAACGTCCTGCAATCGAGCTGTAATACTTGTTGGAGGTTCATACAAGCTCTCTGATCTTCGCTATCGATTCAATCAGCTGCTTTCCAGGCGCATACAGCTTCAACCTTGCCTCAGCGGACGTCTTCCCCGACTCATGGTAGCCAGCCACCCTCACCCCCTCATCACCCGAAGCTGTAGAGAGCGACTGCTGGGCTTCGAAATGGCTTCCAGACCCTGCTCAGCCAACTCCTGCACCTTTCGCCGCTCCTGGTGGGGTGATTGAGGTCTTGGACATGCGGACCTATCTCTGCAAGACCCCAGCCACCAAGCCGTGTGCTTTTGCATCTTCTCGCGAGGCTTGGACATGTGCGAGAAGATTCCCACCGACTTCAGTAAGTACTTCCCATGGCAATTGACGAGGTTGTTGAGCATCGCCGCCGCTCCCTCGGCTTGCCTCTGCCGCTGCCCTACTCTACTCATGGGTCTATGACCCAACCAGAGACGATGTACCATCTCTCCGGTGCACACCAAGCTGACAGATTCTAGGCTCTTATTGAGCATCTCCAGCAGCAGCGACGTATTTCTGCTACCTGACTTTTGGGGCTGCCGCTGGTCCTTTGCCCTAACCCTCGTCGAAAAGAGTGAACGACGGAGACATTACTGTATCATCTCGCAGGGAGAAGAACACAGGACCGGTTTCCTCAAGTCGACAGTCATGGTAGTTTTCTTGCGTCTCTCTATCAACATGCTGGCGACATGGTGGGAACCAATAATCGGTGGTAGCAGAGCCGAACCACAGCGGTACCATCTTGGGCTGTATCGCGGGACGTCAGCCGTAATCAACCTTCGCACGCACATCATCTCACCAAATACAAACACAATAGTCGCCGTTGCTAGGCAGTACCGAACAAACAAAGGGCCTGGCGATGCAGGCATGCTGAATGGGTGACCTGGACTACGTCAAGCGACTCTTGAAGTATATACACCCACAAAAAAGTGGCCAGGGATTTTGTTTTACCGATTTGCAATCAGCTTTTAGACTCTCAAAACGTCTTTATCAAGCTGTGTTTGGGTCATGCCACGGTCAGGCTGTCCACACCTCGACGATTATGTTGTTGATTCATGCGTGGTCCACTTCATCCGTCAGCACGATGCTGCAAAAGAGAGTAAGATGCAGGCGGCGCTGCATGCAGGACTCACCGAATGAGTCTTCGGCATGTAAGACGCCGACTGAACGCCTGGCCTGTACGATGGAAGAGAGATGCTATTGAGCGTTGGAAATACCGAGCCCGATGGAACACCATAATGTGCTCTCGATCGATGAGGCAGCCTGTCTCTAGAGTATCTAGCTACGCGACTAGCTGAAGCCTCTACCGCCTCAGCCGTTGTACGTGGCTGCTGACTGAGGGTTGTCAGACTCATCAGGAGAGCTGTATTTATCTTCTGATGGCTCCGGAAAGACTCGTGGAAAAGAGCAGAGTGCGTCGAAACTCTTATACCGTACCGAAGGATCGGGCCTCGTAGAGCTTGGCGACTGATCGTAGAACAACTTCGAAGCACCCCAAGCTGAACAACTGGATTGTGCAATCCGGAATTGAGAAGATATTCGTCGAAGTCGAATGTGTCGTTTGATGGGTACGTAAAGCGGGGTCTTACCGACATCGACTGTGTCCGCTCGAAAGTGCAGTCAACATGGCAGGGCAGGGAATGATTGCCTGTACTGGTATATCAGCTATTGGTCTTCCCGATAAGTGGGGGAGGACAAGACTTGTTGTCATGGCCAGAATTGTCGCCACGACTATTGCAGACTCATGGTGTCAAGTGTGTTGGTGCTAGACTTAGGCAAGCAACTTCGGCGCCACGATGGCCTGTACAAGTAATGTCGTCAGCAATGGTCAGACACCACTGGCTTTATTGTACAGGACAGTGGCGACGAGCGAGCGCTTTGAGTTGAGCAGCTACCTCCAACCCGAGCCTTACGAAGGCGGCGAAATAGCCAAAGATCAACCAGGGGCGGAGCCATTATATACCTTGTGCGTTGTGGTCATTAGTGTTATGTCTCGAGCCCTTCGAAAGTCACGTCCTCATCGCTGGAGAAAGGATAAAGTTCAATTCTCCTTGAAGCTATCAGTCTGCTCCGCGGCAAGCTCGAAACCATCACCACCATACAATCAGGAGTTGCGTAGTAATGTGACAGGCCCAAGGACATGAGAAGTATGTTACACAGCGAAGATTGCAGAGGCTGAGAGTGTTGTGGAGTTGGTGGGGGGAGGTGGAAGACAGTCAATAAGTCTCACCTTCATGGAACTCACCAGCTTTATGACGCACGGGCCACCACAACTGAGAATGTGTCTTGCAGAAGGAGCTCAACGAAGAAATGAAGAAAGCACAGTCAATGGCAGCTGTCAATAGGGCATGCTGTCGCTGCGAGATGACAAGACGGGCTCAGACGGACGCAGTACGCTATCCAGCGTTGAGTTTGCAGCAGCAAACATCGTGAACGCTTCCTAGATGGCAATAGCAGGGCCTCTCAGAGCCCGAACTCTGAGTGCCTCTCAAGCACATGCAGAAACGACGGTCTAGCTCGAAGAGATGACTGCTGCAATCTGGTTTAACTTCACGAGCACGACGGAAGTGACATGACAGCAGGCTACCTAGGTAGCAGCTGCATGCGCGCTTTGGTTGTCTAAGACCGGGTGAACCCAAAGCACTCCAGTGCACCCTGACCCCCAAGACAAACTTGTCTTGAATGATGGGCGAAAGAGAGTCAACTTTCGTACTCGTTAGAAAAGGGCACGGGAGCTCTCTTAGTGAATCTCTACGCCACGAAAAGAATGCATGTCCAAAGAGAGGTTCCGCCACCGCTATCTCCCGACGGATTCGTCTTGATGCTGCTTCCTCGACAATCCCGCATCGTGGATACAGACGACTTAGCAGAACACCGACAGCGGAATATCACGGGCGAAGCATACTGGATGTCTTGGTATGACCTACGGCACATGATTCTTGGTATCTGTCGTATCTCGCTAGATCGAGTTGTCTGCACGAGTGGTTATCTTACCATGCTTTAGGAGTGCCACACAGCTCCATGTGACATGACTTTGGAATATGCACGAGTAGCTAAAACTGAAGTGTGTCCGGCATCATTCTGATGCTACGGTTCGCACGCATTTCAAAGCTCGCGATACGGCATATCGCTAGCTGTAATGCCGTCCGACAAGGTGAGACTCTACGATTGGCTCACCTACATATGTCATGCTTCAGCCCCGTACCAGCCCATCATCCCGTCCTGCTGTCTATGGCATTTCCAATACATGCTGCATCTCATCCCCTCGTTTCCACTTCCCTCAACTCCTCCGCATACAGCTATGCCTTCCACGCTTCCTGTCTTCGTAGTGCCTTGCTCTTATTCCTTTCATCAAACTTATTCCCTTGTGCCGCTGTGTTCCCCATCTTCGCCCTTTTCTGCCAAGCACTCGACCTTCCCTTTATTTTCCTATTAGCCAGACCGGTCGCCAATGGCGCCGTGTATCCTACGCCTGCTTTCTTCTCGCAGCACATCGTCACACCCTATACCCATTCCTACCCTTCTGAATAAAGTCTTCCATATGCCTCCCCCCTCTCCAAACATTCTGAACGCAAGGTAGTAGCTTTCCCTCATCTGTTGTCCTTCATTCTGCACGCTGCTGCCCCTCATAGTCATGTCCTGGTCTCTTCTTTCCCTGTCCATCCCGAAAAGTGTTCAGGCACACGCCCTACCTCCCTTCACAAGCTTCAGTATCAGAAGTCTTTGTTGCCTCATTGCCACACCTTCCTACTCCACTTATGGCCCTGGGATTGCTCGTGTGCTATCAGGCGGGGTTGTTCGGAATTGTTGTGTCCGCGCCGTGTAGGTTTTGGCTCTGCGAAGATGAGGTGGCGGGTCGAGAGGCGACGGTGTGCAGATTGGATGGTGTAGGACGTTGGAAGGCGAAATGCGCGCGACGATCGTGGTGAATACGTGCAGAGAGCGACGAAATGGCTGCTATTCGGCGTTAGCTGATGCTGTCTTTGGATTCCAGGCCACGCCAGTGTTACTTTTTCGCAGCTACCCATGTGACATGTTCATATGTGATTTACTCTTGGCTGTTTCGTGCGGGTTTAATCGCTCATAGTATCTGTTTCGATAGTTCGACTCGGAGCCGCGCCTTGTTGTACGGTTCGCATGTCCGGCCAGCGCGAAACGTCGGTCGCAGGCTTTCAAGCAGGGGGACAGCTGCCGCTATGATGATTTTCTCTAGTGATGCGTCAAAGTGGTCAGCTGCTCTGCTGTTCCCTGTTATTGAGAGTATGGTATGAGATCATCTCGTTCTATTGACATACTAACTTGTGCCGAGTGGCTTTCGGCCATCAAGGCGAGCCAGCCTAGCGCTTGACACTGCGCTACCGAGCCACCATGTTATCGCACACATAAATTTGGTAGTCTCAACAGCAAAGTTGAAGTTCGTCTGGCCGACTGGTTGCGATTGAGTAGGCGTATCATCCCGTCCTCCCCAACTCAATTTGCGCAACGATGCATATCTTCATCCCACCTGCTCTGGCCTCGGTGATAGGGCGCACAAACGAACGCCTATTAAGAAGGTACGCCAAGGTATCGTGTTCTGTCGTTTTGTCGTTTTGTAGAGTTGCGTCGGGTGCTGCCTTCTGCCCTTTCCAAGGCAGCTTGCACTACGAGTATCTCTTCGCCGCGCTTCGGATTTTGGTGTTATTGCACCGGAGCCCATGAATCGTCATGTCTCTATAGTTAGATCTGATCTACGCAGAGGCAGAGAAAGGGTATAGCGGGCCAAGACGGAAGTCAAACGTTTTGTCGGCTATCTGTCGGTGGGAAAGGCGCACCACGAGAAGCCGAAGCGACAGTACTGTCGAGGCGAGGGTCGTATCTAGAGTTGGGGACTCTTTGAACCTTCCCTTGATTGTCGTCGTGCTAAAGAAAAAGGAATGAGTTGGACCGGACCGTTGAGCGTGTCGTTCTGTGTAGAGCCCGGGCGCTGAGCGACGACACCGATAGGCCGTCAGCAGCAGGGCTTGATAGTCACTGGAAGACTTACATGATATTGGATACTGGTTTGAAACACTACTACTTGCGTGAGTTGAAGTAATATGCAGGTTGTATGGATAAGTGGTGTTGGCTCGTTAGCGTGGAAAACAAGATATCAATTTGTTCTACGCTTTTACCAATGAGTCAGTAGGCAAATGTCAACACGGCAACACTGAACGGTACCGGTTCCTCAGACTGTACTTCGAGGTATTATTACGACGCGAATCATGGAATCAAATGAATTCAACAATTTCTGAAGGCCTCGCATGTTTCAGTGCAGAAAATGAAGTCAGGGCACGTTGTTGTGGAAAAGGCATTCGCTCACTTCTTGCCGGACGGTGATTTACCAGTGATATAATGTACACAGCAGGCGGAGAAGGCAGGTAGATAGAGTACCGAGCCAGGACCTACCTGCTGTCTAATTGATCTAGCTCATAGACGTGGGAGCTTTGGACATTGAGACCCCAGAGCTCTATGAAGTCTTGATGGCCATGCAAGCGCAAGCGCTGGTTCTCGCAATCCGCATAGATTCTCTCCTTGCTTCACCAAATTGACTTGCAACCATTTTTTGGATCCTGGACTTTGTCTCTTGTCGCTAAGGCCGTGATGGCATAGCCTGTGGCGTGGTAGTGCGACGTGGTCGGAAATAATCTAGGATACGTTATTATTGATCATAGTGTTTGCAAGTAAGAAAAAAGCAGAATTGTAAGGGAGGGAAATCAACGCCCTTAACATTCTCAGACTTTCCAAGGGCTTTGCTAAAACATTCGTCATAAACCCAAAAAGCTTTCGGGCCTAAGTGTTGAAAACTAACATGGGCTCATCATTGAGTGTTGGTAGATAGGCCGCCCCAACGTGCAAGTGTTTGAAGGGACCTGGGGAAGACTTAGCTTGTTTTGGCAATTGGGTACGTGATCTGTCCAGGCGGTAGCGCTGACGGTGAAGGGGCGGCAGTGGAGTAGTCGGCGAAAGAACTGTACTGCGTTAACTGTGTGCATAGAGAGATGTTCGAGAGATTGGCTTAAGATGCCCTTAGAAAGTGCTTTTTATCATGAGATCAATAACTACAACTGCCGATACGACAGTCATCTTGGGGAGAGGACCAGTGGACTGTAAGCCACGCAATATGGGAAGTAGAGGAAGGGAAGAGGGAGACTCAGCTTAATGGAGTACCTAGGTAGCGGATCGTGGCGAGTGTTGCTGAAGTTCAAGGAGATAGAGAACGGTGAAGAGCTTACAAGTGACTGAGGACAAAACAAGAGGGGAGGGAACAATATTGGAAGCTAACCGAATCGTGGGTCACGGCGTCAGGTCGCGGTGTTTGTCGCTCATAACAGTGCGGCCGCGAGGACAAATTGCTGTGCAACACATCTCATCACAACAGTAAGAAACCTTTCGATTCAAATGCTATCATAGAGACTAGATGATCTAACCCTCTAGTAATCACACACAGATACAAATACACAATGTCAGCTCCTCTTCCCCGCCCCCGCATCGCCAGCACGCTCGTCGCTGAGCGCGACGGCCTTGAGCAAGACATCCGAAACAAAAATGCAGCAATCGAACAATGGGCCGTCTTGCCAAGGTGGAACTGGCAGGAGCTTCGAGCGGCGCGAATTCTGGGGCGACGCCTCGAACGCGAGGTCATTCTACCCACCATCGAAATCGACATTGCCTTGATGCGAGAGGTGGCCAACATGGAGTGGCTCATGTCACTAAGCCAAGTAAGCTCTCGAATGCCTGTCGATTTCCCAACACATCAATTGACTCATTTGAAGGAGGAATTGCGCACTCGCCTGCAGCTTGCCTGGCGAGCGGTCTTGTCCCGGAAGGCTCGTATACCGTAGAAAGAATGAGGAAGGGGACGATGACGAAGAGCAACCGACTTGATTATCAGACTACTTAACCATAATGCCTATCCCCTTCAAGATGTCATCATGTAATGCAATGCACAGAGTTGTTACCTGCAGGTGACTACGTGGATTTTACAGCGCTCAGTCCTAGCTAGTTTGAGTGAACGTTCTCTCCCTGCCACGCCCACATCCATTGTGAGACTAAGCAAACATCCCTAGTCGCTTTTGTATTGTTGTTTGGTCTTGTATGATTGAAGGGAAAAGTCGGCGTGCTGGGCGGTTGAAGCTTTGGTGGGCGATGCGGCTGTCTGCAGAGACATCAGTAGACGTGACATTTGCGCGTACGCATACGGCTTTCTAGTAGTTGGCACTCCATATGATAGATTCTTCTGATTTACTGTGACTTGTTGTTGTCATAGGGTGCTGGCCGGTGGAACAGCAGCTTGGATTTTGGCCGTGACAGTGGCGAGATCAGTGTACCTGGGTAGGCGAGCGGGAAAGGTGTATGAATGCGCTCATGAATACTGTTGGCATTGATGGAGCACACGTTCAAGGAGTTTCAAGAAAGGCCGCACGCCATAGCGAACATGTACGTGCTGACAACAACATCTGATGTTGTTATTGCAAAATGTACATAGGTAGGACGCGTCACTGCTAGCTATCAACACCTCAATGTCCGATGACGGCCAATACATCCCAGTACATCTACAACAACGCTGCAAAATTTTCATCAGACTAGTATAAAACCAAGTCCGTCCATTAGACATGAGAAACGTAGCTCATGCGATCCGCAAATGCTACCTATCATGAAGCAACTATGGCTAGCACAAAGTATCAACCAAAGACAGTCAAGAACACATAAACAAAGTCTAGATAATGAAGAAAAGATCTCTTCTTCCTCAAGTAACTCGCAAGCGAGAAGACTTAATGAAAAAGGTCGCGTCAGCCAGAGGCAGTGTAATACTGGCAACACTGTGCCAACGAGTATAAACAAGTTCAGTGACTCGTCGGCTGATTCAAAAAATTGTTGGGGAAGGTCGAGGCAGGCCGCACACGTCGGCACTCCCTCAAGACCTGGATAACGAGAGGAGAAGGGATGGGTGAGAGGGGGTTCATATGCTCCTCGTCTGCTGGGCACGCTAACGTGTACATGACCTGGAGATTATATTTTCCGGGCTGAGCATTGTTGGGTATGGTTAATCTTCGGCAGTTGCTGGAGGCACCGGTGGTGAGAGGGTGTTGTGGCTTATGGCCGCACTCAGATCAACGTCCGTGCCTTGTTGGCTGTGTAGAGTCACACTCTTCTTGCCCTCCATTGCAAGACCGCTACGTCCTTTTACTTAATCTCTCGCTCCGAAGAGCACCTGTCTTTGAGAACACATAAGACGCTGTTTTGGCGTTGCGCGGTGACTGGCTAATGAGGACTTTGCCGAAGCTTACGACGATTTGTGGTTCGGTCTGGGACTACCTTTGGGCTCAGCCCTAGATTTAAGACTCAGTTTCTGTGCTCCATGTCACTTCTTTTCATCGTGTTTTCTGGCTTGTCAGTTGCTTGAGGAAGATCGAAAGGGGCTGCAATGTTACTCTACATCATGTCCCATGGCTCGGGGCTCTCTAGGTACTTTGTCGATAGCAAACGACACGAAGCGCGGCTTTTTGGTCGAGATTTAACCTTTTGTTTTAGCCGAGCCAGCAACCGATCTTCCTCGTTCGGTGCTCCATGGTAACTTCAAAGCCATTGGCGCATACCACACAGGCGCAGAACAAGAGTGAGACAAAAGCTATCCGAACCTGTCTTATTGTGGTGTATCCACACCATCCTCTCATCGCCGCCACATTTCTGAGATCCAGGATTCTCGCCGTTCATATACCAAGTCAACAGTGACTGTCGAGCTTGACACGGCGGAATGCGTCCAGGAGAAGGAGGTCGTGACGAACGGACGAAAGAGGAATTCTGCGAGAGAAAGCAGGCTTAGCTACCAGCCGTCCTCTCCCAGTATAGTTGCATGCCTCACACAACATGGAAGTCTTCAGGCTACGATTGAAAGAAGGATATGTCAGTTCCGGGACTAAGAATTGGCTGATCTACACATAGTCCAAACTGTTTATATGACTCCTCGCTTACTTCTCCAACCAGTCTGCAGCGCTACTAATAGCTTTGCTCACAATACCAACCCATCTTCTGACACTTTCCTCGTTGCCCTCTTCTATGGCTTCAACGATACCAGGGAACGTGGCACCTGAATAGCCGGTCCATTTCCCAGGAGCAAAGACGACGTGCTTGAACCAGCTTCGTCCATCCAGGCCATCAGGGAACAAGAACTTCCTCTCCAGGTATTTGTACTTGGTGTTGATCGCACGGATGGCAAGGTACAGCTGCACCTTCTTCCAGGGCTGCCACCAGGGTATATCGCCAATGTTAGAGTATTGGATTGTGAGGTCAGAGGCGGTAGCATCATGGAGGGTAGACGTGAACTGGAAGTGGGACACGGCTTCATCGAGAGTTTGCCAGAATTCGCCAAGGTCTTTACTAGGTGCGGCATCATGTGCCTTCTGTTTGACAGCGTCAACGTACTTCTGCAAACCGATGGCGTAGTCTGTGGCGTTGAGTTGGAGAACAGGTGTCTCGATGAGCTTTGCTGCTACAAGTGCCCAAACCTTTGCTATCGTAGCGTGGTACTCAAAGGTCGGATCTCCAAACTTTTTCATCCAGTCGAACGAATCGTAGTTGCTGTGGTAGTGGTAGACAGCAGATTTGGGATCGCCACCAAAGCCCATGTCGATACTTGGAATGCCAGCGAAATCTTGGAAGGCGGTGAAGTCACTGCCGGAACCCATGGTTTCGATGCGCTTGTCCCATACATCGTACACAGATTGACCGGCGATTGTCTGGTTCGGGGATTTGACCACGTGCGCTGGCATATGTTAGCTGAGTCGGATTAACAGGGTATAAAAGCAAACTTACCAGCCTCCTCAACCACCCTACTCAGCAAGGGCGCCGCTGACAGCTTGAAATCCGGACCGACTGATCCAACATCGACATTCAAATATGCGACTGTCGAACCAGAGAGCCAGGGCAGGTACTCCTCTACCCACTCAGTGCTTCCAACCAAGCCGTACTCCTCGCCGTCCCAGCTCGCAAAGACAATTGTCCTCATAGGCTTCCAGCCAGCCTGCATAGCAGCACCGAAGCTTCTAATGACCTCATTGAGTGCTGCGCTGCCGCTGTTAGGATCCCCAGCACCGCCAGCAATCCAAGCGTCGCGGTGGTTGCCAAGAACAATTACTTCGTCGGGAATGGTGCCATTGATGATTCCGATAACGTTCCACAGGGGCGTCGTGACGTACTCCTGCTCGTTGACCAAGTTCAGGACTAAATGGTCGGGCGAAGGTCCAACATTGTATTCCACGCCCATGTAGTCCAGCCCGCCACCGTGCCAATGCTCGTCGAAGGTCGAGGCTTTCGGGCCGTGGCCGTTGAGCGCTTTGAGAAGGGGAAACGCGTCGAGGTAGGAGATGGGAAGTGAGGGGATGTGCGGCATGGCGTGGTCAACGGGCTGGCGGGGGCAGCCGGGCTTTGATGGATAGCCTGGAGTGGTAGGATCACCTGGTGCGAAGCCTAGGCATTGTCAGCATGGTATAAGAGAAGGTCAGGTAGCAACTCACTCAGAAACTGGACGCTTCCTCGCTGGACACTGCTGGGTTCTCTGGCCGGCCCGTTGGGGTATGTCGCAAAGCCGTTCTTCTTGGTCACCTCTCCATCATCACCAGGATCGGTGTACATGGCGACGCCGACCATGCCCAGTTCTTGCGCGCGCTTGACCTTTAGACCGCGGAAGACGCCACCGTACTTGGCCAGGGCGATCTTGCCTTCTAGACTAATGTTTGCCGCCTGCAGCTGCTCAAAGTCTTTGTATGTTCCGTAGTTGACGAAGACGTATGGCGCCGTCACATTGCCCGAGGCGCTGTATCCGTGGAAGGTGGGCACACGATCAGCGAGTTGACTTGATTCATCTCCATCTAAGACGTCTTCCTCCAGTCGTGCTTCGTATTTGACCTTCCACTCTTGGCCAGTAACTGTGGCGCTGTCTGCCATGTCGTCTGTGTGCCCGGTGCTCTCCATAAGGGCTAATCGGTGGCCCTTGGGGTAATTGATGTAGACATCGTAGTCAACGATGGTGCTTTCGACTCCCCATTCCTGCCATCTTTCCCTGGTCCACAGCGCCTGGCTGAGGTTCTTGCCTGCAAGGTGCGGCCCGCTCGTGTAGTATCTGCTCCACTCCTCTGCTTTTTCGGCATTGGGTGTTTCCAGCAGCGACTTCTGCAGGTCTTGGAAGTCCAGGGCCGATTTTCGTGCCCATCCTGCGGGTATCTGTGAGGTTGATAGCGAAGATGTCGAAAGTCGCGATGCAGGGGCTAATTCGTCTTGGCTGGGCGGCGCAAAGCTGAAGATGAAGATTGCAGCGAGTCCTCCTACGACTATGGTTGCGCTGAGCAAAGTAGTGCATATGAAGCGTAGGCGATGGTGTGGGTAGCGGTCGCGATGGGGTCTGACGTCGACGCGTTGAATCAGCGGCGTGCTTTCGTCGGCCATGGTGACTGGCTTCTCATTGCTCGCCGGGAGCTGCATGTACAAACAAGATGACTTTCGTACGCCTAACCCGAGGCTTTTCGGACGGTAGTTGAGATAAGAGACAGCTGCGCAGAGCTATGCCGTGGCACCAGTGACAGCTCGGCTTCGATGGCGTCACATACTTATCTGATCCTATCTTAGCGCGCATGTCATGTCAGGGGGTCCAGGGAACCGCCGAACGGGTCGCTAACCACGACCCCGTCTTGTCACTCGTGCAGAGTATCACACATTATGCAAAACACCTTCATCACGACTCACCTCACAATGTTCGCCAATTTTCTCTTTATCCGTAGCCTGGCTCTTCCGTCGACCAACAAGAACATCGTGAAGCCAATCTGTTGGACAAGTGTGACAGCGTCGTGGTGACAATGGCAGATACACTGGGTGATAGCGTGTAAGTGAGCTTTTATATCCATGCAAATCCCTTGTGCTCCTCCCAAAAACTGCAAATTATTCTCAAATCACATCACAATGGACGCTTCTCGAGTCGAAGCTCCGCAGCTGATGGGAGTTACGGGCGACTGCTGCGCGTCTTGCAGGTCGACCACCATTCCCCTGTACGCCCTCCACTGTCATGAAAGCGGCGACTTCTACTGCCGTGACTGCCTTACTAAAGAATTCTATTCTGCTGGTCCAAACGATCAGACAATACGATGCCCTCACCCGACCTGCCGTCGCTCGATTGGCTTCAAGTCGCTAACTCCTCTCGGGCAACATCTTCATCTGAACAATGACTTTTACGATCGCGAATGCATCGATGACATCCGTCAGCGATCGGAGGTCATGAACAACTTGGTCGCCTTCACGGGCGAGGAGGCTGAGGTTATCTTACACCATGTCTATAGTATGTTCGAGGACCAGCTCATGGATCCTGTTGCGCTCGGCGGCGTCCCCGGTCACATCACTGCAGGCTCTGTGCAATCGCTCCAAGCTAGCTTTGACTGCAATCCTTTTGTGTGTGGCTTTCTCGCAGAGATGAAAACTGGTTCGAAATTGATGACTACACCTTACGAGCTTGAAGAAGACCTTAACGCTCTCCTCTCCAGGTCACTCTTCCAATACGCACAGTGGAGCTATGGCAACGAACTTTCTCGTTACGGTGTCGATTTGAACAACGAAGAAGCTGTGCTAGAAGTAGCCTTGGAGAATTACAAGCCCATCAATGAGCTTAAGGACAACTGGGAATTGATCATCAAGAAGTGGGTGGAGCTGCTGGCATGGAGGCATTTGGAACGTCTGGCGTCACCTGAGGGCGGTGCTGCGGACCGTCAAAACATGCATGCCAAGTGCATGAAAGAGTAGGTCTAGGCCACTTTGCGATTTTGACACAATGCAACGTACTGCTTTTCCAGATCTTGTTATCGAAAGACTGATATATGGCTTGCTACATATCGATTACGCGTCAAGCCTGCATGCAACGGTATTGGTAACTCTATATGTTCATTCCTCTGCACTTCCTCTATCAATGTTATAGAAATTTGCAATTACGTTGGTCTTTGTTATCTGAATAAGTCTTCGTCACCATCCTTTCGACAAGCGGTGACTGCAAACGATTTCGTGCGCACTAATCTCGTCAGTCTATTTACTCTTCACTCTGACCGTCTTGTCTCGACTGAAGACCAACTTCTCTCACTACACGAATCCCCACCATCAACATCACCAACGTTTCCACCCCAACCACTATTATGTCTGCCTTCCTCGATGACACCAGTGTCTTCCAAGCCTGGGAGATTGAGCGCATGTGCGGTATTCAACGCCGCAATTTCGCCCGTCTCGTTCGAGCTTGGGGTGCCTGCCACCGTCAGCTTCTCCTTCTGAATCTGTGTGAACGCACCGCGTTCTTTGTGACCCATGACCTGGCCATGAACGAGGCCTTCCTTGGTGTCTTGCTGGGCAGCGAGCTTCACGAGTGCGCCTTGAGGGTCGTCCGTCTCCAGCGTCGCATGGTGAGGTACGAACAGAGGATGAACGCGGCTGTGGCAGAAGAGACCCGGCTCAACCACAAGCATCGATCACTGATCGAGTAGGTCATTGTTCTTGTTGCTTGAAGCGTGATCACCTGCTAATGCGAGTGCAGAGCGGCAAGAAACGCGATTTGAAACGGCTTGACGACTTGAGGTGAAAACTCCTTCGCAATGCGGCTGCCCTGCCCTTCTTCTCCCCTGGTCACTTCTCTCTTCCTCTTCCTCGCATCCTCGGCACCGACAAATAATTCCGGCACCCACCCTAGTTCGTACGAACTAGGTCAGAATCCCGAAAGGGCAGAGTGTGGACTCTCATTGAGCGCAGAGCTATACGCACTGTCTTGAGGATGACTTCTAAGATACGGATAGATTGATGTCTTCGTAACATGGCTTGGTAGTTACGTAGATATCACGGCGGATCTTACATGGTTTTGCTGTGAAGGCGAACGCCTACAATATGCAACTCAACTCTATCGCCTCTTTCAGACCAACAGAATGCCTTCGACATCTTATCCTCTACCGCTCAACTTGATTTCCAATTATATCTAGGACACTGCAGAGTTTCAGACCATGTTGAGACAGTCTGAGAAATGACAAAGTCAGCACCAGGCATAGTTCATATCAATAAGTTCACTCAATCTTGCGTGGTAAGTTGGAGAAAAGGGTTTGATAACCAAAGCGCTATGCTACAAAGAAGGTGTACTATACACAAAGAAGCGAACCAGTCGTCGTGTCCAACGAACGAACCAAAGTATCTCTCAGAAGAATATCCATCAATCATATCATCCCCCAAATCTGTTCATATGCGAGAGAAGTCACTCTTGCAAAACGCTTAGAAGAAAGAGCGGGCGTGGCGGCGAGCCTTGGAAGCAGAGCCGCTGGCCTTACCCTCGAGCCAAGTGATGAAAGTGTCAATGGTGAAGGTCTCGGGGAGCTCGTCACCACCGGTGGAAGGAGCAGCAGAAGAGGCAGCAGGCTCCTCCTCAGCGATGGGGGTGGCAACGGGAGTAGCAACAGGGCTGGCGCTGGCGGCAGGGCTGGAGATGGGGGTAGTGGAGTTACCGCTGGGGACAGGAGCAGCGGAAGGAGTGCTGGGCTTTGTAGGGGTAGAAGAACCACCGGAGCCGAAGAGAGCAGGGCCGGGGACGGTGTAGTCGATGGTGGCGGCGTAGGGGTTGAAAAGGATGCCGGGGTCTGTGGGGGTGTAGAGCTCAGTTCCGACAACACCCTCTGGGGTCTCGGTTCCGGAACCAGTTACCTCAATGTTGAGGCCTGTAGGGGTCAGATTGGTGATCGGTTTCGAATATAGAACTCAAAGGTTAGACTTACATTGAGGGTAGTTTTGGGCACCGTTCTCGGAACCAGCGCCGTGGAGAGCAATGATTTCGTGGCGGAAGACGTACTTGCCGGCGGCAAGGCTCTCTGGGACGGTGACGGGCCAAGTGTTGTTCTGGCCGATCATCTTGACGGCAGCCCACTCGCCGTCCTCGTAACCAGCGCCGTCGATCTTGGTCCACTTGAGCTCCTCCTTCTTGACTGAGGCAATGTCGCCAGTGTAAGGAGCAACGTAGGTGATGACGGGACCCATATGGCTGTCGGGCCAGACGGACCAGTGGAACTCTACAACACCACCAGCCGTAACCTTGGCCATGGCGTCAGAGCTACCCTCAGGGCTGGCAGCCTTGTGGCAGATGATGTCGGCAGTGGAGAAGGAGTTGGGCTCTACAAAGCCATTGTCGAGGTTCTCGGCATACCAGCCAATGTGCTCGGGGATCTCACCGCCGTTCTGCTTGGCGTAGTAGTAGTCGAGCTTGAAGCCCTGGGAGTAGACACCGTCGATGGTGACACCGGTGACAGTACCGTGGGCGGTGGCCGTGGCAGCAAGAGCCGCGATGGCGCTGAGGGAGGTGATGGTCTTGTACATGTTGACTGATGTGGATGGAAAGGTTCTTCGAAAGAATGAAGTTGTTCGATGGAAACGAAAGTTCGATTGGTAGTTGTTGAAAGAGTGTCTGCCGGCTTCACACAGTGAAGGGACTTGAAGAACGAATGTGGATTGAAAAGAAGGGACTGGTATAGAACCGAAGAATGAAGCTGTAGCGATGATACTTCTGGAGAGGTACCGACGTGCTCTATTTATTCAGTTCAGTCTCTGCTCGAATGCTCGGCCTACATTGACCCACATCCTGGGCGACTCGCAAAATGAGTGCCCAGAATGGCGGGTTCATGCCGCGCGCAAAACTATGCACGTCTTCTGTTTTGTTTGAATCGCCATGTTTCCTCATGTGGAGAGACAAGCGATATTGTCAGGATGCGCAGGACGTCCCGTGCCTGCAGCCCAGCGTTAAACTGCGGCTCTGGAGCAGTGGCAGGAGCACTACGCCCTGCCATGATTCCGTCTCCGGGCTACGGTATGCATCGTACGCCTGGCTGTCTTCTGAATGAATCGTTCTCGTCGGTGATGTAGTGGTTTCGGGTTCTAGCGACAGCGTGGAGCGGGCCCGATGAAACGTGCATCCCGCCTGTTCCTGGTTTTCGCCTTTGCATACTTGCGCCGCCAAGACCTTAGCTGTTTCTGTCAGACGAGGTGCCGAGAACGCCGCAATTGTGTGGCGCCTGTCAAACGTCTAGATCCGACTGCAACGGGGTTGAACGATGTGGTGTTGATGAACTGGACGGTCGGCGTTCATGCAGTCGATGGCGAGCTCGAAACAAACGTCAGCAAGATCGGTACCGGCGAACCACGGGTCCTAGAATCCACCGAACCATGTTCTCCCATCCTCCCTTCCTCAGTATTGTTCATACCCATCTCATCGCACTACATGCGAAGCCATCAACCGATCCTATCTCATGATCCACAGCTCTTGCCGGCTCGCCTACTTCGCGCGCGCAACTGTCACGCACCCCTGACAGCGTACATGATCCATCGGACCCACTCCACCGACCTTCGCGTGTACAGCCTCGTTTCAAACGTGAAACGGCCAATATTCCCCCAATAGTAGTGTGCGGCGTTGCATCTAGATCGAGGCAGGCGTGTTTGACGGCAACGTCGTCGAGATTAGACAAGTCGGGTGTTCGGAGGGGGGCGTTCTTGGACAACGGGCGCGGGAGAGCCAACATCGCAGGAGCGACGCCGTTGACTTTAACGTCTTTCTACTTTTCCTCTTTATCCGTCTTCTTCCTTTTAGGCTGCATTTGTCTGATGCCTGTGGGCCTGATGATAGATTTTCACTATGTCTCGAACGTAGCTCAGTAGAAGGTTCCTGTCACAGCTTAGCACAATAGGAAGCTGCCACCCTTTGCCTACCATCACGTAAACCTCCAGTCTCTGGCATTTCGATTGCGATCTCCACATAAAACTTATCTGTAAACCTACGGGCTCCTTCATCAGCTTCCCTTTTTCAGGCCAAGACATAACGTAAATCCTCTGGCATTGTCATGATTACTGCCAATATTGCTCTCGAGTCCCCTTGCGTGCTGTCAGGCTGGTATGTTCCCCTATTTTCTGTCACCTAGTAGTAATTGGAGTACTTTCAAGTTCTGTCGTCATTTTTCTGCTTCCTAGGTGACGATGCCACATGTGTCTTCTGGCGGCCCTCTAGGACCTCCACTGACCGCGAGCGAATCCGCTCCGCATACGCCTCCAGACCACGCCTCCTCTGCCGATGCAGCATTTTTCGAGTGCCTATCAGCTAGTATGTTGGGAGGCTCTCCACCCCTTGAACAGAATATGCCAGCAATCATACAGCACCTAAGTCCACTGGCGAAGATGAACAGCAGTGTTGATCCATAGCCTACCACGAATGCCGATATAAGGGTCATCTTCTGTCCTTGCGCCGTACACATGTGACGAATCGAAACTCGGCTTTTTGAGAGAACGACAACCCTATTTGCTAGCTTGGTGGCAACGGAAAAACGAATATCATAGGAATACGTGCTGGCAACGAGTAGCCTTAAGTACTTCAGAAGTCGATTTTGGGACAAAGAAAGTGTATTTTACTCATTCTTGTAAGTAAAAATGGCCTTCGGGTGGCTATATATGCAAAGCTTCGACTTCGCAGTTTCGTAGTCGCATATGGATAAACTATCTCAAAACATGCGCAAACAGCCGCATGCAACGTGCTTACTTCACTTGCAGATCAAACCCCTCAACATAATCAACGTGTAGCAGCTCACACACTTCTACGCATCTAGTCACTCCAGCCACGCTTGCATACCACCGACCAACAAGACCGCTAAGCCCAAAACCCACTGCGCAACCCCGAACGCACCCTGCACGTCACCCTTCTTGATAGTCCATAGAATCGCAAACGCAAGGCTACCCAAGCCACAGATACCCATCGTTACCGCCCACACCCGCTGCGCGAGAAACCCTTCTACAAGATGTACACCCCAGCCCATGCCAAACTCCAGACGCTGGCGCCGTTTTGGGCTGCGAAGATATGTAATCAACTCACCTTCATAGTCTTGAGGGTGTTTGAACAAATGGAGAAGGTAGGTGCTTCCAACAGGAGGCAGAAGGTCGTTGGGCTCGAATGAATACGGATGTTGAGATGGCGCCTGAGACTTCTCAGGGTCGCTAGTCGACGATGAAGAGGTAGCAGATCTGGGCGGCATGGATGGCGCAGCACGGATATCAGCGAAACGATTACGATGGATTTCAAATTGAACGAACTCGATGGTCGTAAGTCCGCGAAGACGAGCCCAGTTGAACCATCGTCGATTGAGCTGGTCATAGTGGTCGCGCAGCGCGAGAGCTAGATCTTTATCGCTTCTTATGCGTCCTTCGTTAACATCAAGATGGACAATCTTGGGCGTGAGGCGGCCCTCATTTGCACAGGTCAAGAGCCAGGACTCCTCGGCGAAAGATGGCATTCGAACACTGAAGGAGTTGGTGGTACGCGTACGAGTAGGGCTGTACTTGGAAGTATCACTGCCTCTTATCCAAGAATTGGGTCCTCCGTAAGTCGAAGATGGTGTAGTTAGTGTGGAAGCTCTACTGGAAGAATCAAAGATGGAGGCCATTGATGATGCCGTACTACTTTGGCTGGTAGAACTTCGTGGTGTGTGAGCTCTTGGGCGATTGAGAAAGGCTTCAAGAAGACGAGCAGCGTTTGGTCGCTGTTCGATAAAATCATCATACAGCGGCTCACCACATGACTACAGTCCATTAGCATGGTCTAGCTGGAGGGCATGTCATGATACTTACACAAGTCCACCGAACACGAACATGTCCCTGTGGCACAGCTGGTTCAGTCCCGAAGGTATCACGAAGCAATCGGAATCCTTCATAAGCTTTATCTGATAAGGCACTCAGCGCAAGACCCCAGTACATCAACGTTGGACTACGCTTCCCAAATGGCGCCGATCGAATCTCTACTTCCGAAGGCAGTGGTATCTCACCAACGTGTTCGCTATCCAGTGGCTCAATTATCCTGGGTACCGATAATTCTGTGGTGTCATCTTCGACATTTTCATCGTCGGGAATGACTTTACCCAGCGCCCTTCCCAGGGCTTGACGAAGCTCTTCTGAGTGATCGACTTCCTCCCAATCAGGAGAACATGACACATTGGCGTGATCTACCTCCATTGGCGACGACGAGAATGATGCGGGTTTGCGAATCCTGGGTGACCTCTTTCGCCGCGTCGCTGGCGACACGCGTGCGGACCTTGTTTGAGGCACGTCAGTCACAAGTCGCAATCCCAGCCCAGGCCTAGAGGGAACCTGTAGATCGTCTGCCGACAAATGACGTAGATGTTGCGGCTTCATTGCCTTGGGGCTTCGTGTCTGTTGCGACCAAGTACCATACTCATCGGTCGCTGGAATAAAGTCACCAGACTTGCGAGACATTGGACGTAAGCGTTGGCGCAAAGTTGCCGACTCTACTTCAGTCTCAATAGTCAAGCTGGGTGATGCATTGAGTACCGGCCCCGCTCGATGCTTGACCGATTTGTGAGCATCAGACCGTTTAAGGTCCAAGGCCATTGTACGACTTTTGATTCGGGGACGGGTCTTCTTCTCTATCCGTTTTCGTACAGGCCCAACAAGCGATAGACCGCGAGTCGGCGTCTTCACAATGCTGGAAACCGAAGTTGACCGTGTGGGAAGAGTCGTGGTGGTCTGAGAGAATGGCTCCACGTCAGTCTGGTCTTCATCCATACGGCCGTATATCGAGCGAACATCTGGTAAGAGAGTTTCAGCGTCACTCATACCATCTTCTGCGATCGAGCTCCGAGCCAGGCTATGGCGCGGCGGGTATTCCATCGATGATGCGGCAGGCTCAACAGATTCAGTCACGGTGGATGGCAGTGGTCGTTGTATGCCTGGCGAATTTGAAGTACCGATCTCGAAAACATCGTTGCGTGCATGAAGCATGTCGGTAGTCGATATAACAGCGGAAGGGGGGCAATACAACTCTGCCGGTAAAGTCGCGGAATCAAGCTCTTGGGTTTCTGATGTTTGTTCTGCGTTGGCTCGTTGACCTAGTTCCACTTCTGCAATCTCATTTGAATCCGTGGAACCTTTCAATAAGCGCACCACATAGCCCTTTCCTTTCTTCTTGATCCTGGCCTTGATGTCGGTAAGCCTTTTTGATTGGACAGAAGCTGTCGAGTCGCTTCGAGAAAATGATACGTTCCAATCCGGCACAACCTTTCTGAGGAAGTCAGGAGGTACATTTTCCAGATCGGCCCAGCCTTGCTTGTCATGCAGGGGAGTAGTTGGTGGGCTTGTCTTCTGAGGTGAAATTACTACCGAATGTTCTGCGTCTGATTTCAAGCCGCTTCGCGGTATCATAGGAGACGTGATGTGAGGTGTACAGTTCAGAGGTACGCCGTTCGTCAGCTGTTGTTTGGAGCCAAGGTTGAACACAAGTTGAAATTGGCCTGGATTCCTTGCATCTTCCTGGAGATTTAGGGTAAATGGCACCGATTGGGTCTTCTCGTATTGTGGAAGAGGTGTTTCGCGACCAGCATCAGAGGCTTTTGGATCATTGACCATCGCTTGAGGTTGGCTGAAACGCAACGGAACTGGAGAAGCTATTGAGGAAGCCTGTTGCAAAGCGCAAATCAGCCACTGATCCTATCATCGTCTCCAGCCTTGCGATAGCAACGAGTTGCCCCGCTTGATGCCTGAGAGCCGCATAGAGACTTACCATGTTCGCGTAGTGTTCACGGCGGGACGCAGGAACAGTCGCTTGAAGGACGTAAGGGAGGGCGGCATGATGATACTTTTGACCGGTCAAGACTGCAGTCAGCTGTTTCTTGGATAAACGAACCAGAGACGTCTGCTGCGGTCGTTCTTGCACTGCCACCACTCCTGCAAGGTGATCAACGAGGCTGTTGTGTCGCCCTGCTGATTGGCGAACTCCATCAGCGGGGCGCAGTCATCACCACAAGCGCGGGTTGCCTCATCTCTGCCTACACTCTTTAACTCGCCTTACCCCTTGGGAGTGCAAGCCGACAGTTTCGTAGCCTTAATGCATGTATTACTTGCTTTTCAACCCCAGAGGCCGTCCGTTCTCTTTCCGTGTACACTTTCCGCACGTCGATTTGACAATTGCATCCAAGTTCATCTTACCTTGTATGAGGTGAAAGACGCATCGCATAACCTGACTGAGGGATGTGTAACGACGCGATAGCAATGGAGGTGATGTCAGGATAGGCTTCGTGGCTGTCGAGGTAGCGAGGTTTCGCGTGTCGCGTTCCATAGCACGCTCCTTCCCGCCTGCCAATGCCGTGCGTCATGTCCGTACGCCGCCTTTTACTTCCAGCCCCCAACGCCGACACCTACCATCACAACAGCACAACTTCGGCATCTCTCCGACACCCAAGAACTTGGCTTTTAAAGTCCGGACATACCCTCGTCACATGCTCTCAGTATTCTTCCGGACCAATCTGTTCAGAGCTGTTCCTCCGCGCCTCGGCACGCTTGATCACTAGCTATTAGCTAAGCTAGCCAAGTTGCTGGTAGAAGCACCGATGCCTCGGTGTATAAACTACCGCCTTCCCCGCAAGACACGGAGATCCCTGCTCTCCACAATTTCTCCGGACAGCGGTCTCAAGATTCCCCGCCATTAGAAGACGTAGTTCTTGTGGAGAGCTGGGATGCTTACCAGATGTGGCAGGGCAACATGACGTTAACGGACAGACTCCGAGAACTATCTCGCACCAAATACCGGGAGCAAACTACAGATCGCATGGCATGATGGTAGGGATCCTGGTAGAATGAGCGGAAGACTTGTATTGGCGTTTGTTTATATACCACGTCTACACCGTCCGCATTTCTTGCTCCATCATCTTGCACATTTCTCAAGCCTTCAAGATGCGTCTCTCCACCCTCTTCCTCTCGCTCGTTAGCGTGGCGTCTACAGTTGTTTCTGCGCTCCCGCAGAAGGCTGAACAACCTACCTTCTCTCGCAACGTGATCTTCTCGCCACCCAGAAACGCCAACTGGACCGACCCTGGTGTGCTTTACGCCCGCAGTGCGCAGCTCCCCGACGGTTCGCTTCTTGCAACATGGGAGAACTACTCGCCTGAGCCACCAAAAGTTTACTTCCCTATCTTCAAGTCGTCCGACGGAGGAAAGTCTTGGAAGGAGTTTTCGCGCGTTCAAGATACTCAGAATGGCTTTGGTCTGCGCTACCAGCCATTCCTCTACGTGCTGCCCGAGAAGATTGGTGGCTACAAGGCCGGCACCGTCCTGATATCTGGATCCTCCATCCCCACCGACCTTTCCACCACGGAAATCGTCCTCTACGCATCCAAGGATGGCGGCAAGACTTGGGAGTTTGTTTCTTCCATCGCAGCTGGTGGTGAAGCTCGCCCCAACAATGGTCTGACTCCTGTTTGGGAGCCTTTCCTGATGATGAACAAGAAGACCCTCATCTGCTACTACTCCGACCAGCGAGACAACGCCACCTACGGTCAGAAGATGGTTCACCAGACTACCACCGACCTCAAGAAGTGGGGACCAGTCGTCGACGACGTCACCTACCCTACCTACACCGACCGCCCAGGAATGCCTACTGTTGCCAAGCTGCCCAATGGCAAGTACATCATGACATACGAATACGGTGGTGGACCAGTCATCACAGACTCCTACCAGTTCCCTGTCTACTACAAGATCGTCTCCGACCCCGAGAAGTTCGGCGAGGCTACTGGAATCAGCCTGAAGTCTACTGATGGCACTATCCCTACTGGTTCTCCATACGTCGTCTGGAGCCCTGTCGGTGGCAAGAATGGAACCATCATTGCCAGCGCTCACAGCGGCACCAACGCTTCTGGCTCCGAGGTCTACATCAACAAGGGTCTTGGGCAGGGACCTTGGATCAAGGTCAACACTCCTGAGGGAAGCTCGTACACCAGGCACCTTCGCGTCCTGAAAGACCAGTCAAAGCTCTTGATTATGGGCGGTGGACAACTGCCACCTAGCAACACTAACTCGGTCACCGTTACCGTTGTTGACATCAGCAAATGGTAGATGAGATCTATGGAGTGATCACAATGCTTAAATAAACCCAATATCAATAGCATACGAATTGAAATTTAATTTGTCTCTAAATGTATAATTCGCCCTCTTTGGCATGCAGTGACATGCAGACTAACGCCGCTACTCCGATGCGGCAGGAGTCCATGCATCATTTACTATAGGGTACTTAAACAAAAACATGATTTGTTATACTGTGCGAGCGTCATCAAGATCACCATACATGATATGCAGATAGCCCAGACGTCTCCCTCAATGTCTCGAAAAACTAGAAAGGAAGGTCTGCGCAGCAAGCAGATGATTGAGAAATTGCATGTATAGAGCTTTCTTGCAGAAGACATGAAGGAAAGTCTGGTCGTTGCAAATATGTCATGTGTATCGTGTTAACGTTGCATGTTGTTTGGCAGTTGATGAAGAATGCAAAGGTGCGTTGAAATACCGATCTAGAGAAGCAATATCTATAGAATAGAGTACCGCGCAGTATATCTAGCAGCGGGAGATTCAACAGCGGAATCATGTTCGATGGCGCATCCGAGTCATGAAGATGTTCAACAGTTGGTGTTGCACCGCACGGTTTCAGGAATGATGATGGTTCGCGCCTGGATCTAGCGCCCCACTAGCGCCGGCCCGACTATTTATCCTAAGCAAGCGAGCCACCGTAGGTCACCAAATTCGGGTCTTGCGATATCTTCGAAAATCGCAGCATTTCAACGACAAGCCCACCGACCGCCTCTCCCTACCCCAACCCGACAACCCGATCAAATACCGCCAAAATGCCCGGTGTAGGAGTCAAGGACATCGAGTCCCACAAGTTCGTCCAAGCCTACGCGGCTTTCTTGAAGCGCCAGGGAAAGCTTCCCATGTAAGTTGTACCGTTTGCGCCAAACAGAAGCCGAGAGCAAAAGCTGACAGTTCCTAGTCCAGGTTCGTCTCTATCCAGCGGGTGAAGGATGAAGCCTGAATCCCGTAAATGGGGGATAACCTCAGCTTGCTGACCCTTATCTACAGGCTGGGTTGACACTGTCAAGACAAGCCGTAAGTTGACATCTCCGTTCTTGTGATGCCCACTCTGGAATGCCTACTAACGACCCACAGACTCCAATGAGCTCCCTCCCCAGGACATCGACTGGTTCTACGTCCGCGCCGCTGCCGTCGCCCGCCACGTCTACATGGTACGCGAAGATTTCGAGACAATGGATATATGTGTCGTACGGTACTGATGAATGGAACAGCGCAAGACTGTCGGTGTAGGCCGTCTCCGCAAGGTCCACGGATCCACCAAGAACCGCGGCTCGCGCCCCTCCCACCACGTTGACGCCTCCGGCTCCGTCGACCGCAAGGTCATGCAGGCTCTTGAGAAGATTGGTGTCCTTGAGCAGGACGAGGACAAGGGTGGCCGCCGCATCACACAATCCGGCCAGCGTGATTTGGACCGTATCGCCCAGACCACCCTCGAGGCTGAGGAGGAGGATGAAGAGTAAATGTTTCCATAATGCATGTGGCAGGGATGCGACAAAAGCACTGTCTAGCATTTGATTGCGGGACGGTTACGGATCTACACGGTTTACGGCTTATGGCGTTGAAGACATGACTTCGCTGGGCCTGCATTTAGCCTAGGATATCCAATGACACTGGGCTTGGGCCTTAAAAGCAAGATGATACCCCTCTACCTCGACGACTGTGTGCAATATTTTTACTATCGTGACTTTGCTCTATTGACGATGTTAGCTAATTGACATTCGTACACATGAACCAAGTTCTTTCAAGCTTTACCCAAGCTCAAGATTCCGCTTTGCGGGTATGTAATATGTTGCCTCCCACACACTAGCAGCCCATAGCGCATACGTTCATATTGCAGTATGGTTGGGGTATGGCTTGTGGAAATCGAGCTTTTTAGTACAAGACTATGCCCTTTCGAGGGAGAGTAACGCCACTGTATGCAGCGTATATCGTCTTCTCAGATGCATGGCTCTCGAATCTTGGTGAAAATTTGTATTTCATGTCAATTCACATGTTATGTACTCTAGTTTTAAAACAAATCCGTCATAGCACCATGGCTTGCATCACCAACCAGTCTAGCATACTTGGCCAGTACACCTCTAGTAACCGGCATACTAGGTGCTACCCACTCCTCCAACCTCTTATCAATCTCCTCCTGCGGCACATCCATATCAATCCGGTTCTTCTCTGCATCAATGGTGATCATATCACCATTCTTCACGACGGCGATAGGACCACCGACAGCAGCCTCAGGACATATGTGTCCAACGATAAAACCGTGAGAAGCTCCAGAGTATCGACCGTCAGTGATGAGAGCTACGTTCGTCAACTTGGCGCCCATAATGGCTGCTGAAGCTTTGAGTTGCTCTGGCATTCCTGGTCCTCCCTTGGGGCCCTCGTAGCGCACTACCACCACGACATTTTCGCCATGCGGTATTTGTCCGAGGTTCAAAGCACGGTCAAGCTCGTGTTCCTTGTTGAAAACGATCGCTTTGCCTGTGAACTTCAAGCCTTCTTTGCCCGTGATCTTTGCTACCGCACCAGAGGGAGCGAGGTTGCCGCGCAAGATCTCGATGTGACCGGTGGGCTTGATCGGGTTGTTTAGTGGGCGGATGAGTACCTGATCTTGTGGCAGCGACGGATACGATTCAATGTTCTCTGCCAAAGTCTTGCCGGTGACGGTCGGGATGCTACCATCAAGCAAGTTGGCTGCAACAAGAAGTTTCATGACAGATGGCATGCCACCGATATCGAAGAGGTCGGCTGCCATGTACCTTCCTGATGGTGCGAGGTCGGCGAGGAAGGGGATCTTGTTGGACACACGTTGGAAGTCATCGAGTGTCAAGGGGACCCCTGCTGTGCCTGCCATGGCGAGGAGGTGCAAGACAGCGTTTGTAGATCCACCTAGTACCATCATCATGACAAGAGCATTCTCGAAAGAAGCTTTTGTGAGAAGCTTTCGAGGTGTGATGTTCTTTTCCATGCAGACTCTTATCGCGGCGGCGGCTTTGGCGCATTCGCGCATCTTCGCAGGAGAAGTGGCAGGTGTAGTGGAGGAGTTTGGAAGGGTTAGCCCCATTGCTTCAATCGAGGTTGACCTATGATACTCAAAGTCAACATGTGTCTCACATATAATTAGTACAAGGAGATCAGACTGACATGGTGTTTGCCGTATACATTCCTCCACAAGCACCAGCTCCTGGGCAAGCATTTCTCTCGATATCCTCCATTATCTCGTCCGGCGAAAACTTACCCTCCGTCGCACTCTTCAAATTCTTGTATATGTATGCGCCATGGCTTTCGTAGCAGGTCGATATGTTGATGGGTTTCTTCAGCGTCTCCGAATAACCTGGCATTATCGAACCGCCGTAGACCATGAGTGACGGCCGGTTGTGTCGCGCGAAAGCCATGATGACTCCGGGCATGTTCTTGTCGCATCCGGGAATGGCTATGCAGGCGTCATGGTGCTGAGCACATGTTACAGTCTCGATACTGTCGGCGATGACTTCGCGAGTCTGGAGGGAGAAGCGCATGCCTAGAAGGCTGTCAGAATGCGTAGAAGTTCGCCAACGTTGACCAGCATACCTTCTCCACCCATGGTGATTCCATCGGACACACCAATTGTGTTGTACTGCCATGCTAGCATGTTGTCGTTCTGGACGTGCTTCTTAATTTCCTTCCCAAGATCCAATACTATTGCGTCGTTAGTACACATATCAAGGTACAGCAGCCTTTGCCCTATCTTATGCCGAAGGCATGCGTCTACTCACAGTGCATGCTGCGATATCATCAGTATTATGACAACAAATCCGTGGGTGAACTCACTTGCATGGGTTGCCCTCCCACCAAACGCTTGCGATTCCCACGTGGGGCTGCGTCTTCATGGCTTCTCGTGATGGCACGCCAGCTGCGTACAGCATTGCCTAAGTGGTAGGAGTCATTAGTGACTGAAATGCTTCAATCATCGTGACACCGGGAATAGCGAACCTGGGCCCCCGGGAAATTGTGACCAGTGGTGAGTGTAGACGAGTACTTGTTCAACGCAGGCTTTCCATCTTCAAGTTTGGCGTCATCGGGAAGGTGTGGGAAGCTGAGAAAGCGTGGCTCTTCCGGTTCACGCTGCTTCTGAAGATTGCGCGGGTCCATGGCAGGCGAGCTGATATGTTAGGTTAGAACAGATTGGTGTGGCCAACGGCGTAGAAGTGAGGATACACAGATTGCCTCGAAGAGATTCGAAGAATGAGCAATGATAAAGTCAACTCAATGGGCGAAGTGGTCACCCGGGAACGAGATACGGTTGATAGCTAGCAGTTACCGTGTGTACCCAGGTACTCCCGCAGCAGGGATGTGGGCAATCGCCGACTGCCCTAGTGATAATCGAGCAATCCGAATGCTCCAACAGGTGTCTGTGTGGGGCATTGACAGTTCTTTGTCACATCGTGCTGTAGCTAAAGCTCGGAAGGAGGGAGGGGTTCCTCGGATGAGGGCACACTGGTACTGCGCGCGTTAGTTCTGTCAGACACAAAGGTTGACCAATGCGACAAAGCTGATTGAAAGCCGAATTATGACGATTGGAAGCCATCTAGCGCCGTGTCTTTTGGTCTGGGGGATTTACTTTGGTTGCGGCCAAATCCGGTGTGTGTCGGCGTAACTACCGGCGCGGCTTCGGCTTGACCAGATGCGGTGTCTGCAACGGCGAAGTCGCTCGCGGGGTGTTCTGGAAAGACGCCATCTCGCGATGGGTATGGCGGGGAGTGACTCGCATGCATGCCTTGGATCTGGTATGCTTGCGAGGTCGTCGGAGCTCATAAGGCTGCATGGCTCGGTTATGTACACCTTTGTAACATATCCATACCGACAACTTCTGGACTAGTCGGCCTAAGCCCGAGTACCCGGTCAACACAGGTATATTTTACCTTTGGAAGAGTGGAGGAATTAACGACCAAGCATGAAGAAAGCATGTGTTGTTAGAATGTCGGGCTTATAGTGTCGCACCGACAGGTCTGAGGATGACATGCACAGCCACGCGGATGACGGGAGATACTTTTCCATAAGATGGGGAAATGGGAAGACAAAGTACAGTTCCTCATAAAGTTTCGCAATGGACGAAAGATGTTCAGGGGAGGTCGTTGCAAACGAAGGCTCCAGCACGATCCCTGCCAAGTTCCCACGATGAATGGGAGAAAACGCCGCTTCCGAAGCCTGGCAGCAGCCCAACCCAACGTCATCCCGCCCATGCACCCATCACAAACCTCTTTAGCTAGGCAGTTTTCATATCGCAAACACTCCCACGCGATTCCTTGTCCAGTTGGGTTGGAGAAAACACTATCGGACAAAGCAAACACCGCTCGCTATCTCTCCGTATCGCTGGCCAGGATGATATTCTCAGATATCGAACGCGTCTCCAGCTTCCAGATTAGAGACTGTCCATCATAGCTGCGCATTCGTCGTTCCCCCAACGTGCGCAAGGTTTCCAGTGAGAGACGCTCTCGCGCACCGGCTCTTTCTCTCCAGCGATCCGGGCACGAGAGGCAGCATCTCATTCTATTGGCTGCCGCTCATCGCGCGTCACCGTCCCGCACGCCAGCACCTCGACGCCCCGTCGCATATACTTTCAGCATTCCAGCACGCAAAGGGCCATGGAGCCTCATTCGCGTCCTGGCTTGTTCCGCAATGGCACGTTGCGTCTTCCACAGGCTCCCCTCGCTGTCTCACCCGGCAACCCAGTGACACAGACCGCTTCAGACCTTAATCTCTGGTACGGTCAGAGTATAAAGCAATCTGCTTACCGTCTTCTCCAACTTTTCAATCCATTCGTAGTTAGCGGAGGGCGGTTGACTCTGACTTTTGTGGGCATGCTCCAATTGACAGCACTGTGTGGATTTGGATCTGTGCTTTGGTATCGGAGCAAAGGGAAGGGGAAGGGGAACACCCTCACTACGCAAGATGCACCTGATACCGCGGCTGGTGAGTTGTTTGAGGCCTTAGTGATACCCGTGGACACACATCCAATCACGTGGCTGAGCTAGCAATCATCTAGCCTTGTCTTGCTAATCCTCCGCAGATGAGGCTGCTACAACGGACTCGGGCCTGCTGAAGAAATATTCCACTATTCGCTCGTATACCGTCTCCTCTACCGGCTTCACATATCCCAGACTCCGGACCTTTTACCGTCCACATCATCAGGAGGACAAACTCCCCAAGTATCCGTGTCCAGTTCCACTGTTGGTTTTCGTCCATGGTCTTGGGGGTTCTATCGCTCAATTCAGTCCTATTCTAATCAGCCTTTCCAATCTCGCTCCATGCTTGGCCGTAGACCTCCCTGGGTGCGGCGTGTCGAGCTTCGAGCCAAAAGCATGGGACGCCTACACCACGGAAGCTCTGGTGCAGCTTCTTGCCGTCGTTATAGAGACTCACCGTGCAGTCGATAGCAGACAACCTGTCGTTCTCGTCGGCCACAGTATGGGATGCTCACTAGCCGCACTCCTAGCTTCTTCGTCTTCGCCGCATGCACATCTCCTTTCGCAAAATGTCAGCGGACTGATTGCTATATGTCCCAAGGCTGAGCCCCCTACCGAGAAAGAGGCCAAAAAGCTGCGTTCAGTCACGTTGACACCCGTTGTCCTCTTCGACCTGATCAGACGCTGGGATAGGAGAGGCGGTGTCAATAGCAAGAGTGTTCTACGCATGGCAGGAGTGGACGCTGACGATGAGACTAAGAAACTGCAGCTGCGCTTCAACAAGCAGAGTCGAAGTTCCGTGTGGTTGAGGATGGCGCGAGGCATGTGCCCCGATTACTCAAGCGGCTCACCGAAAGGAGGCCTTCCTGGTAAGGCAGTATGGAAGGGACTTGACATTCCGTTGTTCCTTGCCGCTGGTGAGACAGATACGGTCACTCCTGCGTCAAATGTCAAGCAGATTGTCGAATTTCTGGGAAGGGATGTCAGCGCAATCCAGCCGCCGAGCGAAAAGGCGAGCTTGCCCATTGCAGCAGCTCCGTTCGTACCTTCCGCAGTCCTCCCGAACGAGCCGAAGCGTACAGAGCACCAGGACTCTGGTATTGATGCAACAGACCTACCCAAACTCGAAGATGATACCAGGACCATCGAATCAACTTCCGTGTCCACCAATAATGGAAGTCTCACGTCTACAGAGGAGAATACAACAGAAGGGAGCATAACTACGGCTGACGGGCCAATGCTCTCCGATACCACAAGCCCATCATCACACACTCCGTCGCCTCATCCGCGTCGGCTAGTTGTCAAGACTGCTATTATGCCCAAGCCGGCCGCTCATTCCTTACTGTTTGCGCCGTCTACATCCCGCATAATAGCTGGGCTGATTGGCACCTTCTTTGCCGACTATATCGATCCTCGTCTATCGCTTGCTTGGCAACTCAACTATCTGTCAACTGAGGGGAAATGGGACGTCAAGAATCTGGAAAAATGGAAGGCCGTGCGCCCAGTATCGGAGCCTATTGCTGGTGTCTTTCGCGCAATGAAGACACTTCGTGAGGTCGACGAAGAGCACACACCAAAGGTGCTCACCAAGAACTGGGCAGGCAAGCTCTGCGCAATCATCGACATCTCGCACGACAACCCTGTATACGATCCAAAAGGTCTGGAAGAAGGCGGCATCCTATATCATAAATTTCCGACAGTGTCAAAACAACCTCCACAGTCAGCTGAGGTCAAAGAGTTTTTCGACCTCGTTGACAAGATCCGAGCTGAAGGCAGACCGGGTCTGATTGGGGTACACTGTCACTATGGCTTTAACCGTACCGGCTTCTTTCTTGTGTCGTACATGATCGAGCGACTAGGATACCGGGTAGAAGATGCGATCGACACCTTCCAGCAGGCTCGCCCACCAGGCATCCGACACTCGCATTTCATAGATGCACTTTACGTTCGGTACTGTCAGGGTCTTAGGCGCGCTCCGACATTGTGACTAGCACAATTACAACATTTTTCTTGTTCATTCTTACTGTTTTGGGCGGCCTTTTTGTATAGTATGCTTTTATTGGTTGTTTCGTGTCCACTCGGTCTGGCAAGCGCTCGCGTTAAGGCGTACAATCACTGTCGGACATGGGCACATTATGAGGGATATAGGAACTTGTGGTATCAGGGTCGCATCCTTGGACTAGCACTAGTATATTTTCTGATCAATAAAATAACAGTCGAACGCTACCATTTGTTCAAGATACTGTTTCGTCGTCTCATGTTGGCTCTCATGTAGAGTAATCGTACAACCTTCTAACAATGCAAGTTTTGAGGGAGCAATAAGTAGCGTGTGCAATATATGTTTACGATACCAAGTCAAACCATCTCTGTGAAGTGTTGTGTGTACGTAAAAGGGATAGAGAGACGGTTTCACCTCAGCCATGATTTGCCGAGACACAAGAGTGAATCTCTGGAAAATAAATCATTTATTACAAAGGACGGCGGTTCATACACCGCATCATCACTATTGCTCAGCTTAAGAGGTAACTGCCTCCCAGCTCGTCATTACTCGGCTCGCTATTCTATCCAAGCCAAGTGTCGTTCGTCAAGAAGGTACAACTACAATGATGCCTATTTCGGCCGATATGAGATCCTTCCACATCGTCTCCGTCAGGCTGATGTACCTGTCAGTCTTTACTGCGGCAACAACAGTATCCTTTTTGGCGCTCTGCATATAGAGGACAAAAACACAAAGAACCGCTACATGCCGAGGGATGCGTTCGTAAAAGTAACGGGGTAAGACATGGGTTGAAGCGAATGTCGTGAACGCGTTGAGCATTTCGTTTCTGTGCGACCAGCTATGATAGAAGTCCGGACGCTTGACCCCGGCGGTCGGGGCATTGACCTGGCGTTGCATAGCTCCCAAGCTACTCAGATGCTTGCCGCACTGCCGTGAGTTTCGTTCTCCAAACTTGCGCTACATGATGGTGAGGCAAGCGACCTGATTATGTTCATGGCTTCTGCTCTTGAGACTCAGGCTCCGGTGTTGATTCGACGCCTTCCATGCCCCCCGTATCCTTGCTTCTCGAGAATGGGCCGCCTTCAGTAGTCGTGGGCGTCCCAAGCTTATCTGTTGGATACTTCTCCAGGTCTTTGTGGCTTGTCGAAAACGTCGATATGACAGGCGTGTAGTTCTGCGGATGATCGGCCTGAGTAGGCGTCTTCGCTTCAGGCCCGGCCGAAATCGGGCTGAGTAGGCTCTCGGGTCCGTTGTTTGCCTCAGGAGGCAGCAGTTCAGGCTGTGACTGTATGGCACCAACGAGACCATTCCAACCTCCTTCAATATCGCGCAGGAGGCGGACATATTCTTCGGGCACAAGTCCGCTTTCGCCGGTCTTCGGATCTTGAGCTACCAGCCAGCCCTGGCCGTGTCTGTATGATACCAGTATCACTTGCCCTTCTACCAGCGGTAGCTCGTTATCGTTTTCGCGTGCGAAGTCGAACAGGGCAACGGCCTTGCCGTGCATCTCCTCATCGGGCGACGCGATTGTGAATTGGTAGTCGCGCGAGAAGCGATTATCATCGTGTATGTAGTCCTCGGGTTCTGACATTTCATCGTCGGAGTCGTAAGGCGGGCCTTCGACGTCTCCGTCGGCATCCGCGTAGGCGCGTTGAGGGAGGGTGGTTGCGAAATGTGAGTCTCGCCGTGATGCTCCTTCTGGCACACCGAGCCGCGACGACTCGGGCGGGTATGTGATGTACTCGCCGCCAGGTCCGTTTGCAGCCTCATCGCTGACAAATTGGCTGCTCTCGCCGTTCATCGTCACTATCGAGCCGCGCCGTTGCTCCTCCGGATATCCTCTTCGCCCGCGAGTATGATCGAAGTTGACTATGTTAGATTTGTGCTTCTTGTGTCGTGCGCCGTGGTGGCTGGTGACCACCGGGCTTGAGATGTCGTCATCTTCGCTATAAGGCGGACCTCCGTCGTATGCTGTCTGTGGGAGTTGTTCGCCGTCTTTTTCATCCCAAGGCCCCGCGGACCAGCCACCTCGGTCGCTGCGCCATGCCACGGGTGGCGGATCTGATAGTCTACGGCTGTGTTCACTCGCTGGAGTTGAGATGTCGGAAGGCTGCTCCGGAAGCGGGCCGTAGAAAAGAGGGTGTAGCGGGTCATATGCGAAATCGCGCACGAGCGAGTAAGGCAGACTCGAGTGGAAGATGGGGAAGGCGGTCGATTGCGGCCTTGACCGTGCTGATTGGTGTGTGTTGGATGCGTTGGAGAAGGTGGATAGGCGCTTGTTCATGTAGGAACTTGCGCGCTCCAGCTTCGCTTTGGAAGGCGGGGAAGTAACGAGTGGGGGCAGAGATGTGCGATTCACGCCCACTTGTGCGGATGCACCAGGATCGCTCCTTGGGGATAACACGTCGGCAGCCATGTCTCGCTCGCTGTGTTTTTCTTGGACAGCCACTCCTTCTGTTATGTCCTTCAGCCGGTGCGGGTCGGCGGCCGTCTCTGATGCTGAATTGGTGTCTGTCATGCGCGGTAGAGGGACTTTGTGCAGGTTGTCTGGGTCTTCGGTGGTAAGCTATATGGGGATTTCCAGCGTGGTGGAGGGCAGTGTGGGTGGCAGAGCCGGTTCGCGACAGAAGTCAGCTTTCAGTAGTCAGGCAAGAGTCCGCAGCAGCAGCAGCAAAACGGGCTCCAAGTGGCCAGCGCACAAGGCGCACAAGCAGCTTTCGAATCAGAGCGAGCCGGTACGTCTGGAGCGGCTCTGGAATGGCAACGGCAGATGGCGCAGTGACTCGATGTTTGTATCGGATGTTTCACAGTCGACGATGACCAATGGGCCGGCGGGCGCGCTTGAGGCCTTCTGGAAGGACGGCGTCGGCTGTGCAGATGCGCCTGGCGATTGGGAGGGGGAGCGGCGGGCGTGAAGATATTTCCACTGTAGAGCGGCTGGAGAAGCGCTCGCTGGGGGTTCAGGCCTGGCGCTAACACTCGCCCAGTGAACGGGTGATGAGCTGCGCACCCGAGGGACAAGTCTGTGGCTTTGAATGGGCACCGTGCAGGAGGGGAACGGCAACAGTGCGGCTAAGGGGCGACGCGACTATGGCGAAAGACTCGGCGGGTTCTGGATGTTGTCGTGGACCAGCGCGCGCGTGGTGGTGAAGGCCAACTCTATTTTTGGCACCAGGCAGCGGGGGAGGTGCTAGATGCCAATGCTGTGTTTCAGGACAAGTTTGACAGCGTCGCCAGAGTGAAAAGGCATAAGAAGAGGTCCGCAATGGGCAACACTTCTCAAGTACAGGAACAGGTCAACGGGCCTCAACACGGAGCCTTGCTGGCATCAACGAGGGGTGTGTGTTCTGACGGCTCTTCCTTTCCATGATTGCAAACCCCATCAATGCATGCTTAGGCTACTTTCACCCTAGTAGGCGTTTCAGGTCACCGACTAGCTGCATAGGGACCGCTTGTCGAATGCGCTTCGAGTCCGACGAGGAACTTCCTTGACGCGGTCTTCACCGCGTGCTGTCACGAGGGCAGACACATCATAGCTGGCTCGGATATCATTCCTTTGGCCATGTCATGATTGTTTTCCGACCACCGTACCCAGGCCAGAATGCCGTGTGACAGGTGCGTTTGAGCTGGGTTGCCTAGACATGCCTGTATGGGCACAGAGGCTGCTTGCGCAATTGCATAGCGTCACCCACGATCTCATCTAACAGCATACGATCTATACGAGGCAATGCTATACTGTCCAAGCGCTTCAGGAACAGGAAAACGCCTGATGTCAACACGGCAAAGTATCAAGTCGACCAGCCCCTCCATTTCGTCTGGTGTTCGGCGCCCCGCGTAATCTTTCACCCGAATGCTTAGTCAGCCGCTAACAAGACATTGACCTGAGCTCTGAGCTCGACAAAGACTGCAACCTCCACAGGCCTCGTGCCTTGCATAACCACCACACCACCACCGCCACTTTCTCCAACTCTTGCTCATCCCCTTCATGTATGGGACTATGAGCTTGGGTTCCTACTCTGTTCACTGTAAGTTTCTTCCCACCCCCGATGCGTGCCCACCTATGCGATGATGAACACATATTGGAGCTGTCCTAGGCAATAGCCTTTGAGGACTCTAATAATAATATACACTGAAAATTCTGATCTCGCGTGAATGTTGCAATGATTGTTACCTTCGAATGTGTGGAGCCGTAGCTAACTGTTGTGAAGAATTTGCAGAACTGCCTACCGACGCGTCGAGCAGCAACCCGCCCGCCCACGCTTCATTTCGACCATGTCTGCCGACCCACGACTGCGCGCGAGGCAGGAGCAGCAGCCTACACCCACTGCTGCTGCTACTACTACTGCTGCTGCTACTGCTGCCCCTCCACCTCCGCCGCCGCCGCCGACCGAACCTAGCCCCACGGGTATGGACGGCGCCAATGACGCGCACGCAGAGCAGAACATGGTGCCTGATGATAGCTTCAAGCTCAAGTTCTGCACTGTGTGTGCGAGTAACCAGAACCGGTATGTCCAGCGCTGATCTGCGAACCCAACTTCTTGCTAACTTGCTTAGTTCCATGGAAGCTCATCTGCAGCTTGCTTCAGCGCACCTCCCCACAATCAGCTTTGGCACTGGCTCTCTTGTCCGACTCCCCGGTCCAACCATCACGCAGCCTAACGTCTATCACTTCAACAGCACCACCTACCGTGCTATTCATGATGAGCTCGCTCAGCAGAATACTGCCCTCTACACTCACAACGGCCTGCTCAACATGCTTGGTCGCAACTTGAACATCAAGGGCTATCCTGAGCGCTTCCAAGACTGGGTGCCCGGTAAACCACGTCTGGATCATGCTGAAGACAAAGGTTCGCAGGGGACGGAATCGGGTGTCGTTGATGTCGTTGTAACGTGCGAGGAGCGTTGCTTCGATGCTGTGCTAGAAGATCTCCACAACAAGGGCGGAAAGCTCAACCGACCTGTTCATGTCTTCAACGTTGATATTAGGGATAATCACGAGGAAGCCCTCGTTGGTGGTAAAGCTATTCTCGACCTCGCGCTCAGCTTGAATGAAGCTGCGGCAAAAGAGAGGGAGCAGCATGGCGACAGTGGATGGCAATCAGGTGGCGGAGCTGCTCGTTCTGGCTTCGACGAGCGCGTTCCCGATATACTTGCAGCCTGGCAGGAGCGATGGCCCAACATGCCTGCGCTCTGGAGTTTGGCTTGGTTCTAGTTCCTACATGACGGCGTTACTGTTTTCCACATCCTGGCATGATTGCCCTAGATACCCATATTGCATAGCGAGGCGTTCTGGACATGACATCTATATGACGAGCTCTTACGAATACACGATTCCATAAAGCTCATCTTTGGTCCTTTGATTCGTGCACTGATATGAATCACCATGTGACATCCGACATGACGTCGTATCACAAACGTAGCGTACGCGCACAAGCGTCCACCGGCTGTAGCCTCGAGGCACGGTCTGCAGCTAGCCACGTGTGTGTACCACGAGCTCATCGCGAAAGTCAATGTGCTTTTGAAGTATCCTAGCAGCAAACAACACTCTAATCTCTTCTAACATTTCGATCAACATCTTCTATGTGGCGAGGGCCATATTCAAGACACCTCTACCCTACCTAGCTACTCACCAACACTATGAACGTAGTGCTACTCTTTGTCCTTATTGCGGGCGTCATCGCAACATTTGAATCAAGAGGTGGAGCTGGTAGTAGACGCTGTGGATGGGAACTTATGCAAAATCTCCGTATGTTCATCGATCGTCTTTCCGTCCCCTCCTGGACCAATCTGATATTACTATAGAAATTCCTATTCCCAAACTCGGTGACTGGTACGCAGAGCAAACCGGTGATCGCTCTTTATGCGTGCTTCAGGATGACGGCTCGGAATACTGCACTTGTATCTATGAGTGTGGAAACGGTGTTTGGAGGTCTCTTGACGAGAGTAACCACGACATTTGGAGATATGGAAACGAGAGCAGCTCGTGGGAGTGGGAATCGGGATGCAAGAAATACTGTCACGCTGGGGTATGTGATGGACAGGATTGATGGAGTCGGAGCAAATGCAGAACTGAGCGGCAGGCGTTGTTGAGATGCGACACACGACTGTGTTTGAAAATGGTGATTAGGATGTTCCAGGAAATGAATGTGGAAATAATGAGTTCCTTTTGTTGGTTTCCATCTGTTGTGTTGGGAAACACTCACTGATCCCGAATGTGTATCATCATTTGATGATAAGGGGAAACTAGCAAACTGCACTTGCTCGTGCCTTGGCCCAAACGGATGCTAAACGGTTGTTCTCCGAGCATTCCGAATTGCCCTCTCCTCTCAACGATCATCACAAAAGAGACAACCATAGGAACAAACAAAAAGTTACTGTGCCCGTCCTGGCTGAGACCAGCCTTTAGCAAAAAAGACGACGTTGGCCAGATTCGAACTGACGCTCCCGAAGGAACAAGATTTCTAGTCTTGCGCGATAACCACTCCGCCACAACGCCTCGAATCTTTTTCTTGCTTTGCTGCTTGATGACATAATCTATAATCTGCCATGATATGAACCAAAAGCCATATCATGATCACAGAAATCTGGCTTGTACTGAGGTTCGCTGTTCAGTTGGTGGAGCCTAGGGTCAAACGGCATCCAAAAGCGACCCCTGTCTCGGCCCCAGCGCAGGACACCCGCAGCACGCATCGCAGTAGGAATTCATGTTCCAGCCGACAGCTTCTAGGTGTTCGCTGGGAACTCAATTGAGTTGTTCAAGCTTGACAGTAACCTGGCCAATCGCACACATTCTCTTCAAAGTAAAGCGCAATGTCGACGCTAACGTCAGGCGTCCTATCTTATCACCGCCCTTCTGCACATCGAGAAAATCGTCGTCTTGGCCGCCCAGTCTGTCGGATCACCAACGTTCCGCCGCAAGCTCCGGCTTCCACGAAACGACATGCATCAGTACCGTCGGAATATTTGTCGTGGCTTGCATCAGAAACAACCATCAACGTCTATTGTGTCCAAGCTAAGCAGTCTTCACCTAAGCATCGTCGCCGTCAGTCCTTTGGGTAAGCCTGCACGTCGCAGGGACAGATACTCTGCAGACTTCTACCAGCCTTCTGCCGTAGGCCGTGCCTCTTAAGCCTCGATACTGTCGTCTTCCGTACCCTTGATGCAAAACCACTTGTGTTCAAAATGGTGTACCGTGGGCGGCCATCAACAGGCTGCAAGAAGTGCCGCGAAAGAAAAATCAAAGTGAGTAACGGGCTGCCTCCATTTATACGTCCAAACTTGCGTTGTGAACCCCTCCAGGGTATGCCGCGCGAGGTTGCGGTCGCCTGCCGCTTGTCGCAACTAGCTTCTTCCTAACTGGGAATCCAGTGCGAGATGGTAGCTTCAGATCTCAGTTCCGATTTGTGCTACGAGTCCGATCTAGCCTCGGTGATGCAGGTTGCTGACTAGACGTCTACAGTGCGACGAGCGTCCAGGTGGTTGCGTAAAATGCTTTGAACGGAAATTCGAATGCCCTGGATACGATCGAACTGTCGACGCTTTCTTCCACGATGAAACCGCGCAAACTCAGGCGAAGGCGAAAAAGTCAAAGGCAAAGGCCATTGCGGCGCGTGATGCACGAGATACCAGAGATCTCCGAGAGGCATATCTACAGATTATGGCCAAACAATGTCCAGGAACGGCCATCACAGCGCCACTCATTGACCAGGGTATATCCTTCTTCATGTCCTACTACTGCACGGGTGTGGATCAGCCATCGATACAGTCAATGGAGTACCAGCAACACCTATCCACACATGGCTTCCATCCGCTCGTCGCAACATCAATGACAGCCTTGGGTATCGCTGGCGTAGCCAACCTTTACATGGACTCTCGTCTCAAAAGCGAAGCGACACGTTGGTACCTCGAAGCTATCAAAATGGCCAATGCGGCAATTTCCTCGCCTGAAGACGTAACGGCCGATAGTACCCTCACCTCAGTCAATCTCCTGAGCATGTTCGAAGCAACGTTCAATGACAACTCCCTAGCTGGATGGAGTAATCATGTGGATGGCGCTGCCTCCCTAATCAAAATGCGGGGCATGGGCCAATTTTCGACTCCAGCGGGACAGAGAATGTATCTCCATACCATTGGTTTGCTAACGATGAACTGCATGGGAAAAGGTGTTCCACTTCCTCAGTATGTTCACGATCTGAACACCGAAGTTATAAAGCACCTAGATACCGAGGATCCTAGGAACCGGTTCTTCTTTCTTCACATCAAGACCATTGACCTGAGAGCGCGGATTCTGAACCAAGAAGCGTTCTCATTGATGGACATCATAGATTCGGCACTAGAGCTTGACGAGGTTGCTGTCAACATTTTCAAAGATCAAGGTCCAGACTGGGACTATGATGTAGTGCCTTGCGAGGAACAAGAGTGCTGCTATGAGAACTTCTACCATATTTACCCAACTGCAACAGCAGCTCAAACTTGGAACTGGGTGCGTTACAATAGGATCTATTTCCACGACATCATCCGAAATTGCATATTAGCAGACTTCACTTCGACTCCACCCACGCTTGTCGGCACCAAGTATCATCAGCAACTAGAAACAAGCGCTCGCACTCTATACCAGCTACAATCTGACATCATAGCAAGCATGCCTCAATTCTTGCACGACGTCCCTGATGAAGCGCCGAACAGAGTAGCTAGCCCGACAAATAGTGAGCCGACCCCGCCAGGTGCGTCGGGGCGAGGCAAACCATGGCCTACGGCCGCTAGTACAACCTCAAAATCTCCTTATCGTATAGCACTCAAATCCCTTGATGGGAACTTTCGAGGCAACACGCACAATCTCGTCAAAGCGCTGATCGGAAACGGATCAGTAAAAGATCGACTTCCCATCGTGCGGGTTGCAGGAGGCTACAGCACTGTATGGGCACTCTATGTGGTATGGTTTTTAATCGTAACTAGCATCATGTTCTTACTACTAATGATTCTATGTAGGCTGCCGCCATGCCGTTAGCCTCGCCAAGAAGCCAAGACTTCGTAGACAATTGCATGACACGAATCGAGCACGAATTTGGCATCAACCAGGCTCGAGTGCTATCAAACGCTCTGAAACTCAAACGTCACCTCGCTAGCAGAGGCGCCCTTGCTTTCGGTATATGCCCGCAATACTTACCACCGGACGACGGAGTTTATGTTCCGCAACAGGATCTATACAATAAGGTGGGTCAAAAGATTCCTGAGGTCCTGATGGAGGCATCCTTCCAGGCTACTTTTCCAACTGTGGCAGAGATTCTTTCAGGGCCTAAATACTAGAATCAAACCTGACTCGTGCAGGTTGTCGAGATGACCGACGAAACGCCTGAGGCGCTGTTGTTCGATGATCTGGATTCAGTATACTGAGACACAGTCAACGTTACGAGATCTTCATTAGGGTGATATCTCAACAAGATATCTGAGAAATACCACGGTCGCTTCGAACAAGGTAACGAAGCGTTGATCCTCATCATCCTCATTCGCATTCTGCTAAACGAAAGGACGACCGATTCGAGTGGCCCCAGGCTTACATTACCCTTGAAAACCGCCACTACACCAGCTCTAGAACCGCCGATCATCGTATTATCACACATGAGTTTTGTAAATCAGACTTATGTTGCTAGTATTGGGACTAGTCTTGTGGCGATGTTTTTCCTGGATTGGGTAACAAGAAATGCAAAGGTCAGAAGGGTGGACTCATAGTGCCTCAAAGAGGGCACTCGCTTCTACCAATCGAGTCAAGCGGACTTTTTTTGCTCTCCGACGGAGTGAATGTCCACTCAACACCGCTTATGCGCCTATATCCACCCATTAGAGGATCGCTTCCGCCGTCGCACATTGTCATAAACCCCTCCTCGAATCTCTATGCACCACACCTCGAACAGGTCGACCGTACGACCGCCGCCCGAGACACCCCGCATCGAGAATAACTTCGAACGCGATAACCCTCTTCCATAATGACGACTGTATTCATTCCACAGACAGGCTCGCCTCTGCTCAGCCTTCCAGGAGAGATTCGGAACAAGATTATTCGAAATGCTTTCAACTATGAGGATCCAGTTCTACTAGTGCCTCATATCGGTTCAATAATGTACCTGTCGTCGCCAGCGATGGTTTGTGCGACGCAGGACATCCAGGTATTTACTACCTGCCGCCAGCTCCATGGCGAATGCAAGAGTATCTTTCTCACGAACAACGCATTTTTACTCTCTACGCAGCCCAACACTTTCAGGGACGCTTCAATCATGGGGCTTTTAAGCCGATGGATGTTTGATCTCGGTCCGTATCGCGATTACATACGCAAAGTGATCATCGATCTGAGCCCACTTTGTCCTGGACCGTGTCATCTTTTCAGGCAATGGATCGACTTGAAACCAATCATTATGGAGATTTGGCGGTACCAAGGCATACTTACAGCCAACGGCAGCCGACAGCGCGCAAACATTGATATATCCTTTGCGTTCTCAGGACGGCCGCTTCGTGGACACCTACATCATCCACCACAAAATACGATTAGTGACTCTAATCTGAACGCGATGATCACGCTGCTGACTCCCCAGCGGATCCCAGAGATGAGTGCTTACCTCCAATCACCACATGTGCTTCGAGGGGTCCGGACCGACGTCAAGAGCCCGCAAGCTCTGTTCATCTTGGGTACACCTAGTCATTGTGATAGCACTGAAATGCCAGCTGTTAGTTACGAGTTGAATGTCAACGGTCAACTTGAACGGAAGCATTACTGTGTTAACAAAGGGTCTGGTATCGCCCGCCTCCTTTTTGTGGCATCGATCCGCGAAAAGCTTCTTTCTTTGCTCATGGGTTCAAACGTTGCTCGGTTCATATATAACATTGAGAACCAAACAATGTCACCTCGTTTACCCGAACCCTTCTCGATAAATCGCCGTTTTCGAGAACTGGCGCTCCGAAAGTTCTCAAGGGTCCATGCTGTTGGAAGAATCGTATCGTACAATGCGCAGGCTACCTTCGATGACCTAAGGCTGATGTATGGGTGCATGGCTAGTCGACTGTTCATCCGTAGCGAACGCGCAGCTCGACATGAGAAGTACCCTCCAACTATCCTGATGCGTTTTGAGCTATCGGAGCGAGACAATCTTTCGAACCTTCGGATTCCGATAACAAACATCGTCATGGCAACGACCAAGCTTCCATTCAACACAGAGATACGGGTCGAGTTATTTCATATCGACTTGCCCGTTAGCGTTAAAGTTGCGGCCAAAACAGTAACCCTTCACAGGCTTCAACAACAGTTCCTTGTCTTTCTTACTGATATCTTGGACTTCTACCCAGACCAGAGTACTCAAGTCTGTCCACGCGTCACAATGGATGGTAACTTTGCAATCAAGGAAGCAGAGTGTGAGCGAGAGGACGGAAGCGATTTTCTTGTCAAGAATAAGAGTACCGCTCTTGACTCTGACGAGATGGAAGAGGAAATTGATTTGTGCATGAACAAACTGCTGGAAAGAGATGATCCCGTTACGGCCGCATACCTCCCCCATCGCGAAGTCAACGATGATGGAAATCATACTACGTACATCTTGGACTCGCCGCATGATCACTCGTTGCTAGGGGTGGCTGTGTGGCTGGCTTGCTGCTTGTAGGAAGCTGGTACAGTTGGCCACTGGTAAAAGAGATGAGGATGTTAGTTCATGATGGGTATCTCTTGAGATTAACGTGAGGTTTGAGCAAACGTTGGCCCATTGTTTGAACGTTTCACACCATGTGGAAAGTAACAAACTCTGCTTCATATTGTTACCAAAGAACAAAGCGGTTGCGTTCAATTCCACCAATCTGAATCCAAAGCTTACCTTCTGAACGAGACTCCATGCATGACTTTGAATGCCATGAAAGATGTTACACCGCCCCTTTACACGACTCGCCAGCTAAGTCGTTACCGCTACTATGCCACCCTTTACGCCGAGCGCGAATACCCAGATGCTCCACATTATAATTACGTTTCTCGGCCGTCCCATATTCTCGGTCTAGCACAGGAATTGCGTGTTCTAATATACACCGCTGCATTGACACTCCCCTTCTCCATCGGGATCTGGCCGGAAACCGACAACAGAATCGCCCCACACCAGTTCACAACCATGAAGCGTAATATGCGGTATCCGAAAATGAGAATCCAGCGACGAGGCGTAAGTCTGAGCCTGCTGGGGTTTGTAAACAGATCAGACACGAAGCAACAAGATGATTCGATCAGAGAAAGGAGTCGCGGTTCAGTGGTGTGGATGGGTGGAAGGCCGCTCACGCTTTCTTGTCCACCACCGGGGTGTTTGGTTGCAACACATCCGCTCTATCACACTACAACTGCCTTTCCAGTTTACGCCTCATAGTCATCTAAACCATGGTAGGGGCAAAGTTAACCCAGCGACGAGTGGCCACGCCGCCGTCAGACTTGCTAATTGTATCCCTTTCGCCGTGCCTAAAGATTGGACATACACAGGTAGTGTGGTAGACGTCTGTAGAGCGCTTGGCAGATGCGTGAATGTTAGTATAGTCAAGCTCGTATTTCCAGGTCGGTATGAGCCAGACTCTGTTGGAGAGAAAGTGACACACAAAGCGGATCGAGAAGCTGAGGGATGCAAATAGTCAAGGCATGAAGATCCAGCTAGTGAAGGTGAGTAGAACGCAGCTTTCGCGAGATAATTTGTCGGTATTAGAGGCAAGGCAGTGGTCATTTATGCACGGATGCAATGGGACAGGATGGAAGATAAAGCAGACCAGGTGCATTGGGTTTGGAAGATTTCATATAAAAGCTGACTGATGATTCGGCCATGAGCATGGTACACTGCTCTAATGAGTTCTTGATCACCACTCTTTTATGATGTTCTACTTCCCAATGCGCACGACTTCACATAACGGCATTCCTGGAGCATATCATGCTTCTATATAGATTGACGTCAGATTAGTTGCTATGAGAATAGACAGTCCAGCTCGCAAAGACCACGCATAGCGGTGAGATGAAGTTCTCGTTTGTTGTGCACCTCGACCCTTCATTCCGGTCATGCACCTGAGCCCTAGACTCGTCGATGGGATCGAAGGAGGGGGCATGGGCTAAGGTTGGTGGGTTCAACGCTGTTCCCGCACTAATTCAGGAGAGCATGCACATGTCTCCTGATCAGCCAACTGTGCCGCTGTGTGGCTTAATGTCAATAACACGACATACATGATTCGTTCAAAAGTGAATCCCAGGTTGTTATTGGCCTATTTTAGCTTGTGGTATCCATGTGCGAGTAGTGCAGATTGACGCTGGCTTCTTTTCGGATCGCAGCGTTTCATTTTTGTAAAATTTTCTGGTCGATAAGGCGCTTAGGCAATAAGGCAGCGATTCGTGTTTGTAATTTTTCTTCACTGACAAGTGACGTGGACAACCTCAGCAACATATCCATGTGTCTATTCACCTCATTCGCGATGCGGTGAAGAGTCTGAAATTGGTGCCTATTCTAGGCCATCGTTGTTGCACGCAGTAGTCTGTGCAGTGTCGGAGACTTTCGGCATCGGAAGCAGGAACGAAGTGGAGTGCACAAGCGCCACCTCCTGCCACATCCCCGCGCCACATCCCCGCGCCACACTATCGCCTGCGGTCCGCCAATGCGGTCCTTCTCCAATGAGTGCATTGACCAAGCGCCACAAGCTATCTTCATCTGACTGATTCTCGGTCTTATACAACACAAACTCATCTATTGAAATGTTCCAAACATGATTGTGGCTGCTGCACACATCCCGCAGGATTCAACAAGGATCGAATTCACGTAAAATGAGAGTCATGCCATCGGAAGACAACAACCCGGCCAGCGAAACACGGCACGACACGCCGCGGAATCGCGCTGTACCCATGATTCGCGACGTCGATCAGTAATACATTCCACCACGGATTGCTAGCAGACCACAACATACACGATGAATGCATTTTGCATCTGTTCGGATGCCAGACAACCAGATTCTCTGAGATTTGAACAATGCCGTATTGTTAGAGTCGGTCGGATCTATCAGCCCGATGAGCGAGTCTTGTTAGCGGGCTTCGTTGACATGCGCCATCCGTTCCATCGCGGTCGGTGTGCAAGAGCTAGAAACGACAGCTGGGCGTCATGCGCGACACGCCTGTTTGGCGCAACATGACATGCCAAGACACGACGAGCTTGTTTTAAGCTTATCTGAGTAGAGCTGCCATTGGCTGCTACGCGCGAAAGGGCAACATTGAAACAACCTGACAATCTAGCAAGATTCTAGCGCAAGGCTCGCCCCGGAGAATGAGTCGCAAACATCTCTTGGCGTGACACCAACACTGTTCCCGGAGAATTGCTTGACTGGCCAGACGTTCCATACGACCAGCGGAAATTTCAGTTCTCCTTGGCGTTCCAGATATGTGGTATCGATGTGGATATTTGTGCGGTTTCAGCTCAAAGCTTGGCATCTTTCCGAGCATTGGCGCCGGCATGACAGCCTGTATCTAGCCCTAGTCGATCGGACATGGAACGTGTTACTGGCATATTCGCGAGATACCCATGATAACGGGCTTTCGCGTGGATTTCGGAAGCAAGGAGTCTATCGCATCACTCAATTTGCCTCCCTGGGTTGCAGAGCAAGTTTTTGCTCACCCTAACACTATGGACAGTGATTCCAATATGCTGGATGGTGTTCACTTCACCACGATTACTTGGAAGAATACACAGTACGAGAGAACCTTGACATGGGCAATGTCGAAACATTCCATCATGAGTCTGTTTACGACTTCCATGCCCCACCAAAGCACGGGCTCTAGCGCCCATGAAACCCTGCGAGCGTATCCTTCTGGACCTGAATCCCACTTACAAACGCATGGTGCGCTGGGCCTAGCCTCCTGAGTACCACCGGGGAGGAAGACTACCCTGTCTTCCACATGGCACATCTTCGGAGTAATGTGTGAAGTCACCAGTGTGGCGCGCAGAAGCTGAGTTGAGAAGAGTATAAGTATCACATAGGCCACCGGCAAAAAGGAATCATCCACCATCACATTCATTCAGTCTTTCGTTTGCTTGAAGCATCCCACTTTCGCTACCTCTTTTAGAGACTTACATTCTTTATACATACTTTGCCAAGTATCCTCTTTCGACTTTCTACAGTTTCGATCAACCAACTCAACCATCAAAATGAAGTTCTCCATTGCCATCATTGCTGCCATCACTGGCTTCGCCGCTGCCGGCCCTGCTGCCTCCGCCCCTAGCGAGTTCTTCTCTCTCGCCAAGCGTGCCTCCCTCCCGATCCCCGCCTCCAAGGGCTCTGTTACCTACAAGAAGCCCCAGGAGATTTCCGGAACTTTCGATGGTGGCATGAAGACCTACGGCCGTGGTGCTTCTTGCACAGGTCAGGTTGAGGGTGGTGACAAGGACGCTGTCTTCCTCATCAAGAACGGAGGTACCCTCAAGAACGCCATCATCGGCAAGGACCAGATCGAGGGTGTCCACTGCGAGGGTAAGCATTACTCCTGTATGCACTACATATAGCAAACGTACTAACCATACACAGGATCCTGCACCATCGAGAACGTCTGGTGGGTCGACGTTTGTGAGGATGCTCTTTCCCTCAAGGGTGACGGTAACGCCATGATCAAGGGCGGAGGTGCCCAGTCTGCTGATGACAAGGTCATCCAGCACAACGGAAAGGGAACGGTCACCATTGACGGCTTCAGTAAGCAGCTCTTTCGACACTACACTCTGACAACCGCTAACAACTCTATAGCCGTCATGAACTTCGGAAAGCTTTACCGTGCCTGCGGTAACTGCAAGAACTCTGTCTCCCGCTCCGTTGTCATCAAGAACGTCAAGGCCTACAACGGTAAGGTCCTTGCCGGTATCAACCCCAACTTCGGTGGTACCGCTACCATCTCCGGCACCTGCGCTTCTTCCGTCAAGACCATCTGCGAGGAGTTCAAGGGCACCAAGCCCGGCTCTGAGCCCAAGTCCGTCTCCAAGGGCCCCTCCAGCTACTGCAAGTACACTGCTTCCGCTATCAAGTCTTGCTAGACGCATACTTTTGACTCGCTCGATATCTTCTTAGACGAACGAGAAAATGGCGGTTGCGGGTGGAGATGAATGAGTGGGTCGTTGAACACTTTGGAATTTTAGAGGTGGATTCTTTGTACATATAACTTTGCGCACATGCGGTGCATGTAATACACTTGATCTTCAAGCACAAGTTTGTTTTCTCTGTTTCCATCGTGATCTACACTACGTTCGGTCTCGTATATCTGATCATAAAAACTGACCGGATGAGCTATTGAACTCGAAGCGAGAAGGGGATAATGCGTTCAAGTCTTGTCACTGCTGGACATCCTCACAGTGTGAAGAATACGAAGACATCACCTCTGGAGGACTGTGTGTTATTGTCAAGATCTACGAGACAGCTGAAGCAAAATTTGGTGAACATCTGTAACATTATACAAGGTATCATGGACTACGTAAGACTCTTGAACTTCGCGCAGTAAAGAACAGAACGCAGGTATCATGAAAAGATTACAAAGATCGGAGCTGATATCTACAACATTGTATGATAGCAGCGAGGTGAAGGGCGTTCTAGAGTTGAGTAGCGATATCGGCAATACAAGCAAACAGAGCTAAAATGTCGTTCTGAATATCTTGCTGAGTGAGAGGAGAAAGACGATCGAAGAAAATGGGTATAGCGCGAGAGATTTACATGACAAAACAGCAAATGATGATGTCACGCCTTGCGCCGCTTCTTGGCAGCCACCTTTGGGCGGGAAACATCAACACTCGCTTCACCCTCTGGCTGGAGGATATCTTCATGAGTCTGTTTCTTGCCGTTGGAGGGTTTTCGCGGTTGAAGAGACTTCGTGGGCTCTGGAAGATGTTCCTTGTCAGAACGTTCTTCAAGGCTGGAGTACGACGATTTGGCCTGGTGCTCCTCGCTATCGGTAGTCACTTTGCCTTTTGCGATCAGGCCGGCCTTGTGCGCGTTGGCAGTTTTGTTGGTCGCCGTGCGGGAGGTAAGGGTACGGGGGTTTCCGATGATAGTATAAAATCGGGTACCCTTCAGAATGTCCTGACACGTCGTCTTTGAGCACTGTAGGCAGTTAGCAACAGCCAGCGTAGTCAACAGGAAAGGGGAAATGGGTAATACGCACGTGAAGAAGCTCCCGAAGAGCTTCGAAACGATCTTCGAAAGTGTAAAACATCGTTACTTGACAGTTCTCACGCTCACCCTTGTCGTAAATGGTCTTGGTCCACCCGTTCGTGTGGATTTCGACCATGGCAAGCTACACTATGTTAGCGAAACAATGACCATAATAGAAAGATGACTTACTACGAGATCGCGAGCCGCTGCCTTGAACTGGTCCTCAGTGTAATAGGTGGATCCCGCTAGCCAACGGTTCCGATGCTGGCCTGTTGTAGTCTTTTCTCTACAATTTTCCCTATTTTGTATCGCCTTTGTGAGTGTATCGATACACGTATTAATCTCGGCTGGAGATGAAGGGATAGTGTTGTCATCAGCGGGCGCAGTCCAGTACACGCCGCCAATATGGAGTCCGGTATCCGTCTGCGAAATGGTGACCGATTTGCCCATCTGCTTGGCCGCGCTGGTTTGGTTTCGCTGCTCTTTTAGCGCAGCCTTGGCTTGCTTTTCTTTGTTAAAGAGCGAATCGCTGGCAGCGTCCACAACTCTTGATGCTTCCGCGTCTTCTCTGCCGTCGAAAACTTGACCGTTTTCTGACTGGTTTGGCGGCGGTATAAGATACCCATTGTCATAAGGCAGATCGGGCTCGACCGAAGAGTACATATAGTCGTCCTCAAAGCTGTTTGGAGTTTCTGGGAGAGGTCAGTATGTGCGCCATACGTAAGACAGATACTACCATAACTTACCGGGGGCGACATTAGTGTCAAAACGTGGTGGAAGAAGATCCCCGAAGTGCTGGGGCTCTCCAGACAATGGCCATCTGGGTGCCAGTTCCTGGGGATAAGAACTGTTACGAGACTGATGAGAATCTGGTAGGTCATAGCGCCATTTTCTGTTTTCGTCCTCGTACATGTAAGGCTCTTGGTTCGGGAAGAATTCGCCATTCTGATCCAGATCGAAGGGATCGAAGCCAGCAGACTCAGTGAACACCTGAGCATTTGGCGCGATAGAAGAAGCCGAAGGGAGATAGGGCGCTGCGCGCTGGCGATCAGGGAAAGAACTGTTGTTGCTCATCATGTGCGAAGGCGGTTGCTGTACACAGAATGAAAGTCAAAGTTGCGTGAAGAAGTGATGTGGAGAAGAATTTTTTCTTGCGGTGGTGGAATGAAATACAGTTGTGCGGTCATGGGGAAAGGAAAGCGTTCTGGAGTTGCCTATTTCGCATGAAATACTGCAATGAAAGGTTCTTGACCAGAACAAGGTAGGGCGCAAAGTGAATCGTGTGTTTACAGAGAGCGTTTCCTAGGCGGCAGAAGCAGAATGTCGAGGAGGAATCGACATAGAAGAGCCCCCGGCACTGGATTTCCGATAATTGACCAGTGAATTGGCCTACCTTAGCTAACGATAAAGTGCTTTGTTGATGGAGTTGTTGTCATTATATATGACCGTTCAAGAGTAACTGAGTGAAGATCAATCGACACGGACGGACGCTGTGGGTGACGCGTGCGGAGGATACTGTTGACCAGACTGTAGATTTCGAAACTCGGCTCGCGCCATTGTATGGTCAGCCGTGCAATTCGAAAATCGCGTCGGTCCGGTCCAGTGGACGAGAAGTGAGGGCAGAAGGGCAAATCAAGGGAAAAGGCAAATCATCGAAGGGGAGGACAAGCCGACCCGCGATTGGGCTCAAAACATGACTGTCTTTCTGTAATTTCTGTGTGTCCGGGAGTGTTGCTCGACTCTTATGCTGAAGTGCTTGATAAGAATGACAAAGACTTCCAATGTTGCCGCGGACAAACTGGTCGGGCAATCACGTAGACTCTCTAAAACGGTTGCCATGACAGACACGTGGCTCTGGAATTTGGATCAACTGATTCTCGCCTAGTAAGCGGGTGACGGTAACGATGGCTATTTGGAGTACTGGGAGAGGTTCTTACTGCTTGTTGCTTCTTTCGTCGGGATAGCTCAAAGCAAAGAGTTAAATCAGAACGCATCTGAAAGATGTCACTAAGGTTATGAGAAAAGAGAGGCAGAAAACACTCTAGATCGGTCATATTTTTGATCCATTGCGCGATTTAGACAGACTTTGCGCCTTCGGCAGCCTCATTGAGAAAGACTGGGAGCGGAGCCTCTGGGCAGTGCAGCGAACATCATCCTACGTATTCTCATGCTCAGAAGACCTGATTGGAACGTGAAGTGGCAGTGACCGAAGAAAGAAGGAGACGTTCAGGGATGTAGATAAGTCCATGTAGGTTTGTCGTTGGATTTGAGGTACATCAATGCACGCTAGCGACAACGATTCTGCCCCTCAGCACCGGCTGTCCTTTCCCGCTACAAGCATGACGGCATCCGTCCCTATACCAACCCACCACTGGCCGGCTTCATATGTCGTGCTGGTCATCGTTCTAGATCGAGTCGCAAATGGCCTCCGGATGTAACCAACAGTCATACCAGCGCCGAACGCTGGGTGCTTTGGGCGTACGAAGACCCAATAGCTAGCAAGCCATATCATCCACAGTTATCGCGATCCACAGAAAACTTACCCCAACGACTGTGCTTCAGACGCGTTAGAGATGATGTCGCTATCTCCAACCTAAAGACACCCAGGAAACATCCTCTTTATGCTGCGCCTCCCAAGAACAACAGCGAAAGAAAACACTTTGTGACCTACCGCGATCACGTTGATAGCGATGCGAACCGAAACTTCCTAGTTACGCGCGATGCCATAGCATGGTTCTGCGACGACGCATAATCAACAAGCCACTCACGACACGCGCAACCTATCCAATACCCCGTCGATACGAGACCCCTCAAGTGAGACAGGTCATGAAGGCAGGGATGGCTGCATAGTATGTGCGCCACGGGCTCATTCTGCCAGAATCATTCTCTTCTCCCTGCCCTCTATCAGATGCGTATTCCCTCGGCAACGTGAAGAGGCCATATGCTCTAAACTCCCTACTAGAAGAGTGGTATCTGATAGAGAAGAACAGGCAACGTCTCCGAGTTGTTGCATAGCACAAGGCGCACCTATCGCTTTGCCATTCCTGTCGACGAAGGATTCGTTCATATCTTTCGCAACATGCACCTGCAGCACGACACCACGAGCCCTGGAAAAACCCAGAAAAACTTATTCTGGTAAGATGTGACTCGATGGGAAGCCGAACACTGTCCTGTTAGGTGCGCACGTTGCCACTGTCAACAGCAATCGACTACACCAACGAGGAAACGACAGGCGCTTGCGGATAGTGTGAGCCGACTCAGCAAGATGTCTGTAGTGATCGTGTCAGTTTGTGTCACTCTCTACGATAGGATTAGCCAGTCAATATGAGGTTCAGAGTGTGTTATTTTGAGCTACGGACAACATCTAGAGCATTTGGTATCATGTCTTCCGAAGCCTACATTGCTTTGCTTTACAACAAAGCACAGTTTCGGCATGCCGCAAGTGCTGCAAGAGTTTAAGGAACAGGACTGATGTTGGCTGAAGCAAACGCTTCTCAAATCCAAGGTGAATGCGAGATGATCAGACGACGCTTGGACGGTTCTTTAGCCATCCACCTGCGGTGGTCAATACACGCAGCGCGACATACATTGCTTACCCAAGCAACGGGCCACAACAGTAAGCTTTGCGATTTCACTGAGCAAGAATTCGATTTTGCGACATTTGACAGGCTTGGCATCATCCAGTGATCACTTATCGACCCCAGTTTTGTGACAGCACGACTTCACTTCACTTTACAGGCTGCCTGGAATAGCGCCTTAGGTCGTGCGCCGCTTCACTCAAACTTTTCCTGATCGCCTTTCGACTGCTGCCCTTGTGGTACATAAATACGTGTCCTACGGCGTTTCACTTTTCACACCGTACATATCAATGCATCAACACATCTTCGAGAGTAAGTCTACCGAACTTGGAATTTGAGCACCAAAACGAAACTAACCTCTACGTTACTTGCAGGCAGCTATATTCCCAAGTCAATCCACTCCCTGCCTACGCCCAAGTCCAACAACATGACAGATCGCGATCTCGACATGGGTACCACTCAGGGTGCACCTGACAAAGCCACCACGATGACTTCTATCATAGCCCTGCCTTCCCCCGCACCTAATCTCCCTCGACTATCTGACCAGAAGCTGGAAAAGGTACCCAAATTTTTGAAGGCTGCGTATCGCCCCAAGCCTAATACTTCGATATGCCTGAACAAGGAGTTTCCAGTGATCGAAGGCCTGTGCTTCAACAACATGAGTGAGGCTCAGAAATCGATGGCTGTTGCTCAGTGGTACGCACCTCAGGAGGATGAAACCATCCCAAAGACCGAAGAAGAACACCGCAGGATTGTTGTGATGTTGGTGGACGCTTTCAAGGACATGAGCATCGCCAAGGATACCGCAACCAACGCCTACCGCAAGCGCTTCACTCCGGGTGATACTTCCTACTACCAGGACTGGGCTATCGAAGCCTGTGCCTGGGATATAATTGTGAGTAAGAAGCGTATGCCAGAATGACGACGATTAAATTGCTGACAAGTGATTTAGGACAAGGCCAAGTATATTCACACGGAAGGCTTCAAAGTTCCGATCTACGACAAGTCCATCGTTGACTATATCGGCCAGACCCAGAAGTGGCTATTCGGAGAGCGTATTGACTGGATATGCCAGGTGCTGAAGGTATGTTTGTCCCTTCTGGCGATGACTGAACTCATACTGACTTGGTGCTCAGAGTTCGAAGCACGTCGCTGTTACTCTGATGGTGATTATTCAAGACTAACACGATTGTTGATACTTGTAGCTGACTCAACGACAGAAGCATGAGAAGAACTGGATCACGATTGGCGCACCTCACAAGCTCTATAGTAGCACCCTTGTCAACACTATCTCGAACGCTCACCGTGGCAAGTGGATCAAGGATGGTCGTGGAGCAGACAGAAATCATCAAGATCGTCCATTCAAGGGCAAGCGCACTAAAGACCAAGTGACCTTTTCCGAAGGTGAAGTTGTTGGCATGGACTTGCCCAACAATGTGGACTCTGGCACTGTTGCTGGAAGTGAAGAGACAGGAGCACAGAACCAAGAGCTTATCCGCAAGCGTCAAAAGATTGAGCATATTGCATTCGAAAGCAAGGATTTCGACACAGATGATGCAATGACTGCGGAATCTGACGCTGGTGTTCAATCTGTTGAGAAACCTGAAAAGAGTCACATGTCAAATGAGTCCATCATCAACTCCATGGTTGACTCCTCGGATGGAGATTCGCCCACGAAGTCTTTTGCTGTTGACCCCAGACAAGACGCTTGCGTCAACTATTATCCTGACACGAACATCAAAGGCAGGTCTGAGTCGGACAACGAGTCGGAGCTCTCTGAGCCCCCCGATGGTCTGCTCCCTGACGCCCTGTACGCTTCTCCTATCAACAAGAAGACGGATGACCCCAGAGTAGATTCTTCGACTCTAGAGCCTCGGATGGACGACGCTGCTCATTTAGACGGCGCGCATATGTTAGTCTCTCTGAGCGCCAGCCGTTGAGCATCGTGCTAGGTTGTCAGCCTTAACGACTGATAGCTCCACACCTACCCCGCACTGTGTAGAGTAATCTTGCTCTACCCTCCTGCGGTATAAGAGTCGGTATTGGATATAACAGGCTACATTTCATGGGTTGAGATACCATAGGAACTCACGACGTAATGACTGTAATATTTGATTAGTTTACGAAACCGCGACTGAACAGGAAGATGACTGAACACTGCCTTGACATGCGACATTGCGTGAGCTGATTAGTGTCTACGGGCAGATGATGGCCGGTGTAGGAGCCTATGCAAGAAAGTGCGTCTATGCCGCTGAGATGGCGCAATGCTTGGTGACCTTATCGTGTCTCTACGTTAGTTCGGTTGTGGGTAAGTGCCGCACTAAGCTTGATCGATCCGCCAGCTTGTAACCTCGGAACTTGCGCATCTCCGTTTCGCAACTGAGGAGTTGAGCCAGTGAATATCAGCACTAACACGGCTTCCAACATGGCCTCTAACATGTCAGTAATCATGTCGCATCGTCCTCTGCCGTCTTCTAGATCGGACTTGAGTTATTATCGCACGTCGTCCGTCGCATGACAGTCGTCTGTCCACACCCTCTACTGCCTACGATGCCCGACCCAAGAATTGAGCACCTAGAAGACTTTACCGCACACGAATGGTGCAATGCTCTGATCTTCGATCCCTCGATAACGCGCGTCCACAAACGTCACGTCTTCGGCAAGGGAGACGAATGGAACTCTCTCTTCACCCGCAGTCTCTTCACCAACGATGCCATTCGTGCCTTCCTCAACTTGTACAAACCTGGCAAAGGGCAGAGAAGAGCAGTAGACCGGAACAGCATAGTCACAGGCGAGCCACCGAAATTCAGGAACGTTGCGCCGAGCGACTACGACAAGGAGTTACGCAGACGAACGGCAAAGGAGGATGTACAACACGACCTTACAGACCCAGAAGCGCCTGAGAATACCGTGTTAGTTTCTATGGGTGGTGAGCTTGATGGTGGTATTGGGCGTCTTCACGGCGGCGTCACTGCATCTTTGCTAGATCAGGCTATGGGCGCGCTGTTGATGCACTACTACGAAAGTAGCAATGCGACTACGGAGTTGAGAGTCAAGTACTTGAAGGCTGTCGAAACGCCTTGCATACTGAAGGTCAGGGCGAGGATAAGCAGAGAGGTGGGAAGGTGGATAGAAACAGCAGGATGGGTCGAAGATGGAGAAGGTACCGTGTATGCTGAAGGCTGGGGTAGTTTTGTGTTGGCCAAGCTTGAACCATCGGCGAAGATGTAGGCGTACTGATAAATGGCAATGTAGAGACAAAAGGACAAGGAAGCATGTAATGGGAAAGCCTCCAGCCATCGCCCGCTTCCAGTCATAGGCAGCGCGAGTCGTATCGCGAAGATCTCACGGTCCTAGCATATACATTTTCAGTCTCTCGGCCGCCAACCACCCCGCGCGCGACTCATGCGTTGACCTTACCATAGTCTAGATGGCGAACGCGATGTGCATCACACCCTCACCCAGATCAGTACCATCGCTATCGCTCTCAATGCATATACCCATCGACGGTCCCAACGACCGCTATCGCAGCATGAACCGTTCTTGCCGACCCCTGCCAGCACACGTACCGCGACTTCTCGGCTTCTCCAGTGTTCTCAACATCCGACGAATCACATACTGCAGCGTCATGGCATTGTGTTTCAGATATTCAGGCAAATTGATTCTAGACCGGGCCCCCTAGCCGCCGATCAGGAGAGTTTTGCAGCCGTTGGCAGGTTCACCCAACGAAGTTTTCTTATCGACAACGCACACAAGGCGATGACATGGGACATCTATATTTATGGTGGGGAGGCCAAGGTAATTTGACACCTGTTTAATCTTGGAATGTGCACGGCGTCGGTGCAGAGTATGCTGGGTTGAAACAGCGTTATGCGTTGTAGGCTGTGTAAGTTATGTACGATAGCTGTCTACAGCTTTCGTCTTTTACGCGTAAGCTTCATCTTTCGTCCTCTCTTCCATTTTTTCGTCGTTCTCTACCGTCGCATTTTGCGCAGTCTCTCGTTCATTACTATTTTTCTTGGTTCAGCGAACCATACACGTTCATTACAAGTTCATTACATTCTTTTTGCTTTGATTAGCCTACATTCAAATCAACGACAACGTAAATCCAAAATCTTCGTGCCTACCGTAATCGTTAAACATGATACCGACCTACTTCGCCAACGCGATATCCCTCATCGTTCAAACTGCTGCGAAACAGGCCCCACCTCCATCTCCTCCACCACCAGCCGCCCTCCTGACCACCTCAAGCAGCCTCGCTGCTTCGCTCAAGTCTTCTTTCCCGGATCAAAATCTAGCATTACTACCTCAACCGTACTGGTGGTGGCAGTCCGGAACTGCGGTTGAAGCGCTTCTCAACTATGGTCCAACAACAGGAGATTGGCAGTATGAGGAGATGCTAAAGAACACGATCGTGACTCAAGCGACAGCAACAAACGACTTCATGACCATCGATGCCACCGGCAACGATGATCAGGCATGGTGGGCGCTCGCTGCCCTGACAGCCGCCGAGAACAAAGTACCGCAACTAGGAGGCATAGCTTGGGTCGACCTAGCAAGAAACGTCTTCAACGAGCAAAGACAGCGCTATGAAGACGGTGCAAACACGTGCGGGGGCGGACTACGCTGGAAGATTGACTACGAAGACGGAAACAACGGATGGCACTACAAGAACGCCATTACAAACGGATTATTCTTTCAACTCGCCGCCCGTCTCGCCCATCTCACAAATGACACAGAGAGTTTGGCCTGGGCTGAGAAGACGTATGCTTGGAGCACGAAAGTCGGACTCGTGGACAAAGACTTCAATGTCTACGATGGGACAGACGAAGAGAATGGATGTTCGGATCTGAACCACAACCAGTGGAGTTATAATGTTGGAGTTTACCTCTATGGCTCTGCTGTTATGGCAGTCCATACCAAAGACGACAAATGGGTCAACCGAACCCGCGGTTTTATTGCTTCTGCGAAGCGGACTTTTACTTCACCAGATACTGGCGCTTTGTTTGAATCAAAATGCGAAGGCAAGGATATAGATGATGGAGGTTGCGACACGGATCAGGTCTCTTTCAAGGGTTTGTTGGCACGCTGGTTAGGTGCTGCGGCAGAAATCTTACCAGAGGTCAAGGAAGATGTTGAGAAGATCATCAATGCGGCTGCAACTGCGGTTCAGGATGGAGAGAAGACAGATTTGGGGCCTATCGAAAGCTTCAATGCTTTAGAGGTAGTTGACGCGAGTCTGAGAATGCAGGGATTAGGTGGTGTGGAGGGCGTCATAGGGTTAGGAAAGGCAAGAAGAACAACGAGGAGCGTTGCTGGCAGGATATCATGGTGATCAGATACGTCGATAAATGTCAGTCGAAGTTGGTCAGTGGTATCCCAGCCGTTTGCTTACTTTTTCGACGTGACCTCAAGAGGCTGCTCTCCACGATCGTGCTGAGTCTCGTACATCGTCGCTATCCCAGAAATCCCCCTTACACTTGTAGGAATGGATCCCTGCCATCTAGCGTCATCGTCTGCAGCCGGATCGTGGGCGATCTCATCTCGATGCGCGGTCCGCTACGCGGATCGATGTTCCGGTTACCCTGAGGGGCTACGGGTGGCTGCAGCCCCTCAACACCAATAGAGCTGTTAAAGCTCTCATAATGACGTCGCGGGTGCGGAAGCCTGCCAGGAACGTCAACAAACATCATTTAAGATAAGCTCGTGTGCGGACCAATGTTCACTAATATCTCATCTCACCGTACCATTGTTGCTTTGCTGTTCTCAATTGATCACTAGTTACGTTGCGAAACATCATGCCTTCAGTAAACTCAGCTGTAAGTGTCGCTTTCGCGATTGTACAAGGTATGCAATTGACTGGCTTCTGGCAGGTATTCCATGCGTACGCATACGGTACCGCATTCTGGTACGGTCTGCGTGGCATGTGCCGTGTGTACGACCCTATTATGGTCATCGGCTGTACGTTGCCCAGATGCTCTTCACTTGTCTTCGTACCATTTAGATCAGAGTTTTGAAACTAATATGATCTAGGGTTCCGACCTCCCTCGCAGCTGAACCTTGCGCCGAACGATCTCGAAGCATACAACGTGCGCAACGATGGGTGGTGTCTCGTCACCCTTGCGTTGATCCTAGTGTCCTTTACCAACGCTGTGCCTTTCAGCTCAGCACCTGCAACGAAGCTCACGTCAATTCCGTATGCGAAGGCGGTGGTGGCTGCGACAGTCTTCCATCACATCACAACTGGCATCGGCGCGTACCAACACTACAAACTGCCCAGTCACTACAACACCAGTATGAGCATTGGCGTGTGGGGTAATGTGTGGCTGACGCTGACGGGACTCTTTACCTTGGCAATGCTGCAGTCGAATGCAGGAAATACACCGGTCGAGGAGGTCGCTAAGAAGGCTAAATAGCTGCGTAGTTAGCGGCTACTTGTTTGGATTCTTCAAGAAAGTTCTGATCGCGGCAATCGAAAGCCTGCCGTCAGAGTGTAATGATGAGTATCTGCCAGGGAAGGACAGAGGACTGGAGTCTACGCAGCGTGCGCTAGAAATGCTATGACATCCAACGTATGAGGAGTTATTGGGTGACAATACATGAACCAAACGAGGAAAAGAATTGGTTGACCATTCATTCGTTCGCATCAGCTGCCACTTGACCGTTGTGAAGTTAACCCGGTGTTTCCAAAGAATGTCCCAGGGTCATGTGCCATATCCTAATCTTCCGCCTCACTATCCGTCATGTGTACCTGGGAAACCCGCCAAATCCCAATGGGTATCCGCGGAAGTTCCAGCCCTGCTGAGTCATGATGCACGGCGTGCAATAGGCGTTCCTGCGAAAGTCGTAGTAATTCTGCTCTAGGCATCTTCGGGATTGACGGTAAGGGATGCCGGGCTGATTGAAGTATCGTGGGTCGTTGATTTGGTTCAGACTCATGCGGAAATGATGACACGGTGGGGCCTGTATGTACTCTTGGTGGTTACAGCGTTCCCAGTGACGATGAATGTCTCGACACATAGCTTTGGTGAGGGACCCCAGGCTGTGAGGCAAAAGAAGTTGCTATGAGCTCAGCTCGATTCGTTATGGGTGAGTCGTTTAGATACATATGAAACAATTCTATATGGTGCCAGAGAATCTTGACAGTCTCACATTGTCACTGCTCTTATACATGTCCCTCAGTGTTGTGATTGTCGAACACATGTTGAGATCATCCAACCGTTGTGCACGGGGTAGGTGGGGAGTGGGTTTGAAAGTGAGCCTTGTACTGTATATACAGCATGTAGCTGTGGTATGAGATCTTCTTACATCCACCGGTGAGTGGTTAGTATACGTACCGAGTGATGTGTGGTTTCAGCGCATGCGAGATACTGTTCGCGGTATACAAAGATCCTTTTCGTGAGGATGCGAGCAGTAGCTCAAACGGGCCGCGCAACGTAAGAACACATGGCGGGGAATTCGGACAACTCGCTAAGCAAAGATGAAGTGAGAGAGTGTTGGGAGCAAATCGGATGCAAGCCGTAGCACGCCACGGGGATGAAGCAACATATGACACTTTGCTCAGCCTTAGGTAGCATACCCAGCTCCTGGAGTTTAAGTATGCGAACGTCTGGTGACACGTAAAATCGCCACAAGGCTGTCGTGCAGCGCTCTCGCTTGTCTAGAGCTTTGGGTGTAGTACAAACGACCGTCATGTTTGCTGTGCTGTGACCAACGAATGTCCAAAAAAAAGAGCGACAGTAACATCCGGACCGTAACCCAAAAAGAAAAGTCGGCCGATTCGCCTGTCACAATGAACGCTGTATGCGTCATCCACACTTGCAGCTGCCCACAAGAGTCGATACGGGTACCTCCCCGATTACGCGAAGATCAATCCTGGAGGTGGATTGAGAGGCCCTCCGCCGGGTAAAGGAATAGAATCCCATAGGATGAAGCTGAAGACCATGTAAGTTCGCCATTACCTGAACTAAAGTGGTAGATGTTCTGTTCCAATTGTGCAGAAGTCAAAATGGCAAGAGGTACACATTGAGCAAGTCCGGCTTAGCTTCGTTACCTCGACTGGTAAAAGACCTTTCGATCAAAGCAGCCATAACTAAGATTAAAGTAAGAACGAGCCAGAATTCTGCGATGAATGTTTTGATTGATGAACGCCTACTAATCCACACACCCGGGTATAAGTTTTTCCAAATGCTAACAAACCAGGACGCCTAATATATGCATGCAAGGGGTATCGCCAAATTCCAATCCCGAAACGCTCAAATGCAGATCATCAACTAACTTCCCAGCCTTCATGACCATGCAATCGTCATCATCATCATGTTTGTCTGTTCGTTTGCGCAAGTGGCCTGCCACCAGAAAGCGCAGTACGCATGCAATAGAAAGAAAGCGCTGAATACAGAAAGGAAACAAATATCATGCCTATGATTGCACCCTTCACAGTCCCCTGAACTTGGCACCGTTTTTGTGATAGATGCTGTGCATTGCACGAGGAGTAATTGCAGAAGCAGCAGGTTGAGTTGGAGCTGACTGTGTAACAGTTACCATGACGGTGTTGGTAACAGTGACGACAGAATCGGGGTTCGTCGATGATGTAGAAGCTGCTCCAGGACGCCCACTGAGAGTCGGGATATCAGTAGGAACTGGCAAAGTGTAGTTGAGGAATGGAGCTCCGCTGCTGATAGAAGGAACAATACTGCTGACAGCTGGAGCGCCACCGGTTGGCGAGGGCGCCGCGTCTGTAGCAGAGGGCGTAACAGCGGGTAATCCTCCGGAAAAGATGGGTCCGACTTCGCCTTGCACGACATTTGTCATGAGAGCCGTGCGAGACGCGAAGTCCGCTACAGCAACGGTCATGGCATCTTGCTGAGGACCAAGATCGAATTTTGTCTCTGCAGCCTCAGCCATCGCGACATCTTTGGATGCGACATCGACATCGATACATGTGCTGTAGTATTCATCCTTTCCGTTCGGATAGCTTGGATCGATCTTGCCAGAAGCTGTGTTCCATTGCCAGACCCAGTAGATAGTGTATGGCTTGCCCATCTCGGCGCTATCAGGAATCTGAACGTTCGTTTCGCAGGAGAGAGGATAGTTGCCTGGTGCCCCTTCGACAGCTTGTCCCATTGCGAAATTTGGATCGGATTTCTTGCGCTCGGTGGCGATAGGTGAATCATTCTGCTCGTAGCAACGGCCGTCGTCGAAATTGTTCATGGTGAGTAGCTTGCCGCGCTTGTCCCCGCCCTGGCCATCTTGAGTCCAGCTCAAAACCGTCACTAAATGCTCGTCCTCCTTTGGTGAAGTGGTGCCGTACACAAAAATGGTACCGCCCTTCTTGGGTTTTCCTAACTGGTTGTTGGGTAGAGAAACATGTCCATTCTCCGTATACCGCATGGCTACGAAACCACCAGGTGTGGCTTGAAGACGAGGATATTTGTCCTGAGACTGCTCTTGTTTACGTTGCTTTTCGTGACATAGTAGCGTACTGTTTGTAATGAAGACGTTGCCTGGTGTTTTGTCGCCGGGAATCTCATAGTTCATCGAGGTGCCGCTATAGCCTGGATCGGTTTTCGCGACCATGCCTCGCGGGTAGCCATATTCCCCAACGTATTCGCCTTTGTCGTTGACGTTGCGCAGCTGCTCAATCCAGCTGTGGCCCATGGCGACCGGGGCTGCGGCCATCGCCGCGATTATTAATGTGAGTATGCTCGGCATGTTGGGTGTAGATATTCGTTCGCAAATGCGGGATCGAGAGGTGTTGTAGTTTTGACCTGCAAAACGAGGTTGTCCGTCAAGTAGAGTTGGGAGATAGTCGTAAGGTCGGGAATCCTGTGGCGTGGTAGTGTAGTTGAAGATGTCGTGGCTCGTGGATGAAGTATTGTCAAGGTGAAGAACACTATTGACCCATATAATTGTGGAATGGCTGGCTCAGCTAACACGCTGTGAATGAGAGTACAGTGTGGAGCGACACGCGATCGATTCGTGTTCACCGGAAGAATAGCAACAAAGCTATTGTTCAGCAAAAGTGTATGAACGTTTTGGTAATAGTACCCAACACAACGTACACCCAGAAGAAAATAAAGGAATGAGAACGGAAGAGAAGAAGTCAAGACGCACACAAGCCAGGTGTGATGACAAAATGCAAAGCTCACGCGGCCATGGTCCTTTATTGAGGCAGGTGATGGTAGTGAGACAGACGCTGTTAAACGTTGTAAAATCTCCGGCCTAGAAGAGAAGAAGTGACAGGAGCCAATAGAGAAGGAGGCACACGAGGTATCGAAACACAGCGCCACTCCACGCGGCGCTGCAGTCAAGCTTGTGAGCCTGAGTTCTATGGGTGTAGGATGTGTGTTTCAACGCTGGCCGACACTGTAGCCGCCAGCCATGGCTTTCCCGTCCGGCAGCATGGCCGCGGCGTAGCGCGCACATGCTGCAGCCTCCCGTACTCTCCGGCGCGAAGATCGGCCTCTGGTACTCGGTAGTTGGTAGTTTAAGTTGCATTGCAAGGCTGCGCTAGGCTGTTCTCAGACATGCAGAGGGGCCGTTGAGTGTCAGAGGACCGTGTGCCGTTGATCTACAACACAACGACGGAAGCTAGGCATCATCTAGATCATTATGCGATCTCGCTGTAGGGTTGTGGAGACATGCTGGGAAACAACAACAGCCTGCCACTGTGATGTTTAGAGGCGCTTTCGCATCATGCACCCACCGAAGACGCGTGATGCGCGACGACCCACGTGGAGCGAGCGAAAACAACGAGAAAAGCATCGCAAGTGTGCCAGAGAGTGATGCCTGAGCCACCCGACGACAGGTGAATGTGCGCTGTTGCAGCGCTTCGAGAAGGAAGGTGAACCTGCAAGCGACGGGGTGGGGTGAAAGAAGTTTGGTAGGAGGCTCCGCTTCGTTTCAGGTCAGAGCACAACCGAGCGTCGATTGGTTGTTGCCCGCTACGCTAGGCTTCATACTAAGGATTGGAGATATCATCTGATTGGAGCGCATTGTTCTATCTCACGATGCCTCCCAGCTAGTCTCTTCGTACGACCAGATTGACGCCCATCCAGTCTCTATATTTGATAAGCGAGATTCCAGACACCTGGCCGACATCATGCACTTTTTTTTTCATGGCTCTCTCGGCGTGTGGGAACATGGACGACAACAAGATGAGTTATTTTCCTGAGGCTCGTTCTCACCCACACGAACACGTTTCCTATCGGTTATTCATGTTTCATCCACAAGGGAAAACTGCGGGGCGCGGAACAGCCCTGAGGCACAGCAAATGGCACAAACGGGAGCCTGGCCAGCATCCCCACCTGTCAAAACGGCTCGCAGATTACAGGAACCAAACCCGAGGCTAACCACGTCGGACGACCATAGCGGTACATCTCCTGTTGTGACTGCTCAAACCCAAAGCGCTTGGCTATGTAGGAGACAGTCAGGCACCTTCCCGGAAACCATTTTCCCAAAGTCCTTGCACCTTGAAGGCCCTTAGTCAAACACGCCTTGACAAGGAACGCTCGCTCTGGACACTCTGCTGATACGTTTACCATATTGACACACCCATGGCTGGATCATTGAGAGATGTCAAGGACGCGAGTGTTTAGTATATTTTCCCGAGGCACTACAAGAAGTTGCGCTTCAACATTGACAATTTACTACCCACACTGCAGATACACAGTTATCAAACTCCGACGGCACTTGATGGGTCAATCCTTCAGTCCAGCCGACGAAAGTGATTTCTTACTAGGCGCTAAATTACGAGCACAACTTCCGTCGCCTGACATAGTAGGCCACATTGTCGACATGTGCCGATTTGCCCTCGTCCTCTGCATCTGTGCTCACACTTTTCACAAGGAATTTCTTTTGGTTTCCAGCAAGATTGACACAACCATCGAACAGCTTCTGTCTCTGCGTTGATATGCACTCAATCACCGTCGAAGGGTAAACAATAAAGTGACAACCTTATGGAAGCATTGGAGGTTGGTATACGCTTCTTTGAGATGCTTGGAGATCAAGACACGTGTTGGTGAAGATGTGAACAGAAGAACGACATGTACAGTGCGTGTGATCAACAACATTGTTGACGTGAAAGATCAAGAAGACCGCGAAGTCAGCGGTAATAGCATCAAGCATGTTACTACACTACCATTACGGACTATCACACATTCAAGCACTGAATGCAGCCTTTGAATTTTCTCCTTGCTTTTGAAGGCTCATTTACAGCATAGCAATGCGCTTATCTTCTCTGTTGACTCGCTCCCATTACTCATCTACAGAGCAGTCTCCAGGCAAGCGAATATTGCCTCCTTCCTGAAATGCCACTGCCCAGCCCCAAACCAGCAAACTGTACATGCGCTGCAATCACCAACTCTTGGGCTTGCGGCTTCCACAGCTTGACTTATAAAGCTACTTGTTTAGGACCGATCTACCATCATCCACCAGTCATTGTTGGAGCAAAACTCCATTGGAAGGAAATATGTGGGGAGTGCTTGGAAAGGTCGAGTGTCGCGGAGAGTGCGTGGTGTCAGAGGCGAGGTGTATGTCCTTACCACGTGCCAGAGGATGAGAAGTTATGATCTAGAGAGGCATTATTGAATTTTACGTAAGTGTAGGAGAAGATTTTTGAGAACCTTGGGTCATACCGACTTGGTATGCGGACGTCACTTGTAGGCCCCAAACCGATATTCGTTTTGTTGTTGATTGCGACAAGTGCTGCCCAGCACGTGTGGAGACTAGCACGCCTTGGTCATACATTGTACCTTTTTCAATGGCTATCGTTCTCCTTGGTCAGATCACTATTTAAATCCCAACATATCTTGGTGTTGTTACAACCACAGCCAGGGGCATCGCGCCAATTACCAAGTGCGTCTTTCATACAAATTCGTGCCACGAGACACTTAGTCACCGAGGGAAGCCTTTCCAAAGATGCAGGCTTGATACAAACTCCATGGTACTCTTTAATCGCACGGGTATGGTCTACCTCACTTCACTGGTAAAGCGCTTCGTAGAACTCAGCGGGATGACGACATCTTCGACCCAGCAATCAACTCTTGGTGATATTGTTGTACCACCTGGGCAAGATATTCCTTCTTCAAACTACTGACCGACTTCCTGTTCCGGCACTCAGTGCCATTGTTCAACGGGATAATGTTCTGATCATTCGTGAGGTGCGTTAAAGGGGCCTGAAGGTGACAGGAGTATGATCTTGAATTGCACCATGACTTCGAATGCCAGCGACAGTAGACGGGTTAGGAAACAAATTGTAAGCAGCTAGTAGACTGATGAGTGACCATGATCTATAACGCCATCGCGAGTAGCTGAGTAATTTAAACGCTGCAGGCGTTGCCACAGCGAATGCAACATCATTCTGGGTTGGAAAGAGACGATGATCAAGAAAGTGAGTGAAGGTGGCGCTTCTCGAGGATTCCTTGGCATTCGCCTAGCTTTGTCAGCTAACCACGTGCACTAGCCTCCGCGACAATCTGCCTAGCAGAGAGCTTCGCGCATCGCGACTTTTCCAGCCCGCGCGCGACAACCTCACCACGCCATCGCCGTTTTCCCTCGACACAACCGAAGCGCTCTTCCATCGACACCTCCAACACCTCCAACACTCTCTTGAACAACCGCAATCATGGCCAACTACCTCGCCTCCATCTTCGGTACCGAGCAGGACAAGGTCAATTGCTCCTTCTACTACAAGATTGGCGCCTGCCGTCACGGCGACCGCTGCTCCAGAAAACACGTCAAGCCGTCGTACTCGCAGACTATCCTGCTGCCCAACCTCTACCAGAACCCGGCGTACGACCCCAAGAACAAGATGAACCCGCAGCAGATGCAGATGCACTTTGATGCATTTTACGAGGACATCTGGTGCGAGCTGTGCCAGTATGGACTTGTTGAAGAGTTGGTTGTTTGCGACAACAACAATGACCGTACGAACCCCCCTTCTCTTGTTTCGCTGCTTCAGAGTTGAACAGTTTGCTAACGTAACCTTTCTGGCAGATCTCATCGGCAATGTCTACGTCCGATTCAAGTACGAAGAAGACGCGCAAAAAGCCTGCGACGCCCTCAACTCGCGCTGGTATGCTGGTCGTCCCATCTACTGCGAACTCTCGCCCGTGACCGATTTCCGCGAAGCCTGTTGTCGTCTGAACAGTGGCGAAGGCTGCGTCCGCGGCGGCTTCTGCAACTTTATTCATCGCAAGGAACCAACGGCCGAGCTGGACAGAGAGCTGGACATGTGCACGCGCAAGTGGTTGAAGGAGCGTGGCAGGGACGCGAGGAGTATGTCAAGGAGTCCTACACCGCCTGCGACGAAGAACAGGTTCTAGGGTAGATATAGAGTGGGAAGCGTGAGACACGGGCTGAATACGAAGGGCGTTTTGGTGTTATACATGCTCGCACAGTTTGGGACATGTTGGTTGATACCTCGATATCCGTAGCGGGCATGGCGTTGCAAATTGGCATTTGTAAATTAGCTTTGGTAAAATAGTGAAGTGTGGATAATAGGCTAGACTAGGCTACGCAAAAGCGATCATGTCAGTTCATTCTAGTTTATTCGTGTGCTCAGACTATCCCGTGAGTTGCGCAACAATGATGTGATTTTGTCAAGGAAAGAAGCAGACATTGCATTGTGGTCATGTAAGACCTGGTATCATCTAGAATATAAACAGAAGAAAAGGAGAAATCCATGCATCGCTGATGCAGGTCGGTACCCAAACACCAGCCCGCGTCCTGTAGAAAAGACATCAAACGCCGCCTATACACAACATGCCCAAATAACCATATATACATCCATCTCATACGTCCTGATCTTCCTCATGTGATTTGCTCAGATGATATTGTGCGCTTTCAAGACCAGCACAGTGACTACAACGCCTGCAACCAGCAGCAGAAAGATCATCCAGAAACACCAGCAGATCCATGTTCGTTGCTTGGCTTTGCGTTGCTGCTTAGCGAGCCATGAATCTCTATGTGACGCGTCAGCCGTGATGGTCGTCACGAAGTTGAAGCGTGATTGCGGACGGCCGGATAGGCTGAGGGAAAGTGTAGAGAGGTTGGGGGTGCGGAAGAAGGAGCGTGATGGTGATGCAGGAAGGGGGGACAGTGATCTTTGTGGTGGGGCAAGGTCATCCCCATCTCTGTCCGAGGGATTCTCTTGGACAGAGACGGTCGGTCGCAATAGTGGTTTGGTCGAATTCGTCTTTTGGAGTTTGGTCCGGGAGCGTTGTTTTTTATCCCGCGGTATCTGGCTCGCAGATGCTTCTCCCGAAGACGGGGATAGAGGCGATGAAACAAAGGACGACCGTACGGACGAGAGTTGGACCATGGGCGGGAAAGCAGGGCTTAGGTGTGATTGGGAAGTGGGGGATCCGAGGGGCGAGTGCGAAGGGGAAGACAGGGAACTTTGGACGTACGGTTGCTTGGGGTCCTGAATTGTCTTTTCAAGGTCGTCTTGGTGTACCGCCACGCTGAAGCGTTTCCAGAATTGAGGATCGCGCACCATGTTGGTTGATGTTATGAATGGTGTTGGAGAGAGAGCGTATTGAGGTAGCGACGGTATGTAGGCGATGGCAAGCTGCTAACGTTGTTCTGCGTTGAGCGTGTACGTAGGTGGAGACAGTGGTGGATTGTAGTCGTGGAGCGATGGATTTGGGTTGTAAAAGGCTGTGGTGACGAGAATTATTGAGCGAGAGTGGTGTAGGCGAGCAAGGTAGTAGACGTGATCGTCTGTATTATCATATACAGAATCGTCTAGTAACACGAGGGTATGACGACGGATATAGGTGTGTCGCACAGCAACAGGCGAGATTTGGTGTGGGTATGTAGATTGGAAAGGGTCCAGTGAGCCAGGAAACCGCCGCGTGTAAGGAATGACACGACTGACACGACGTAAACCTTAAGTCGGAATAGTGATCGACGATGGTTTGCGATCCGAGTGAAGCTGAAATGACGTAGTAGAGAAAGGAGCGACGATAGTAGGATGAAGCGATCGTTTGCACAGGTGTAGCGCTTCAAGGCACAGTCGTGAATGGAAGTAGTCATGAATGAAAAGAGGAAACTACCATACTTAACACTGCACGCCTATACAGGCCCCTAAAACAACAGGCGATGGGCCTCGAACCCATGCGATGTAACACTATTTGCCTAGACTCGACGTCCAGGTGTCAAAGCAGGATGTTGGTATTATCGTGAGAAGGGGGGCAACCACAGTGATGGTTCTCGTTGGTTTCGAGGTTCGGGGTGGGCCTCACAAGCTGGTCAAAGCTGGCCAATGGGCAGCTTCGAGGCTGTTTGGATCCCTGCCGGCCATCACGCTGGACACATGGCGCCGATGGCGGTAAGGCGCGGGAAATTGGAGAGAAGGTAGCTGAGACGAGGGACCCATGTGCGATTGGTAAGGCCATGCGGCTGTTTGATTGCCGTGCAGTGCGGCTCTGGTGTTGAACAAGTATACGGCAGTTGTGTTGGCTGCAGCATCCTGCATCTTGGGTTTTCTGCATCGCACCCTTCGCAAGACACTTGAAGACGCACAGAGCTGCTACCGATTCTCATCATCAGCATGCGGGTGCTCTTCCTCATCGAGGCGGGATGCCACGTTGAAACAAGGCGCTATACGCAAAACATGGCTTGACAACGGCCTTGCGCAAGCTTCAGCGCGGTCCCACCCGCCGTTTCTGTCGTTCAACATTCCCTAGGGCTCACCGCTAGGGTTCCCCTAGACTGCTGCACCGGCATCCTTGCAGTGCAATCCCAAACCCTGCCAACACAATCTTGTACCACTACGCAGTTGTTTACTTTCGACTGCTCACTATTTTCCGGAATTAGCAGCAGCAAGGATGCCACACGAGGAGTTGCCTTTCTGGCTAGTCAATGTTCCTAGAGATCAATGGCCGAGCGAGTGCCCGGACTTCTTGAGAGATATTAGTGAGAAGGATAAAGGGATCATCGGGACGCCTGACGAACACTACAAGGTGTTGACATGGGACCAAGTGCGGGACATTGTAGGTGAGATAGAGGCGCGACGCGCGATAAGCGAAACGCTGATGGTCGTGGTCAGAGAGCAACCGGGTCGACAAGTTTCATCGCATGCCAAGTGAGTTGAGGCGGTATCGGCAGTTCACCCATCGGCTGGAGAGGGATTACGGCAGCATCATGAACTTCATTGTTAATGAGCGGTTGAAGTGGGGAAGTATGGAGCCGAAGGGCAAGCCGTTCGAATTTGATGGTATGTGCACCTGTGTTACGTTGACTTGCATCCATGTTTACCGACCTATAGAAGACATCAAGATACTATATAACGACTGGCCATATGGCATCGATGCAGACGTTGTGCACCTCGTCGTGTGGACCAAGTTTGAACTGGACGACGACCCCGACACTGGGCTCTCTACCGCAGAATCCCAGAAACAAATCGGTGATTACGTACAAAAGACGTTCGCTCCAAAGGTAAAAGAGTTGGTCTGGTTCAAGAATTGGAAGAGTCTGAAGAGCGTGCATGCAGTGGAGCACTTCCACGTCATGTTGTACAGGCCGGACGCTGTGTTCCTAAGGGAGATTACGAACGGCGATGTCCCGATGACTGAGAAGTTCGCCTAGCAAGGAAGGCTGACGGGGCATTTTGGCTCTAGTACAGTCGAGAAGGGGGATAAAAACATGCCGAGTGCTCTCGATCGTGTTTCCCACGCTCTTGACTGTACGAGAGATTCGAGAAGGCAACGGGGCATTTTGGCCTGCCGACGGGATATTATGCATGGATGACGGGATATTCTAGATGCAAGTCTGCGATCGTATTGCTTAGATGTGTTATAGACATGGGGTATTTGTTAGAGTAACAGCCGCCGAACATTCATAGAGGTGCATTATCTGCTATCGATATCATCCAGGCTTTGGGATTAATCAATTTTCTCAGCCTTGTTCTGCACCTGGGCGCAAGGCGACACCGATGCTGATCCAGTTCCCCTGAAGATCATCCGGTTGTTGTTGGGATTGATTGGAGCGGCGCGCAAACCGGGTTGAAGGCCAGCCCTCTGCAATTTTGACAGGCGCGTCATTTCCTGTGGCGTACGTGGCGCGTGGCGTGTGGCGCAAACTTGAAGTGCATAACTAATGCATCGCCAGAACAACAAGCCTAGGATATTTTGAACCAAGTACGCTGAGCTGGTCACGCAGACTAGCTGTCAAAGACGACTAGGCGCATACGCTCTGCAGGACCCTTCTGTTATCTCATCGTCTATCGTCGAATAGAGACGTCTTGCCTGGGCCGGGATACAAAGCGGTGAGGGTGCTGTCTGGCCTAGCGTTGACAAAAAAGTCGCGGGACGGCAAGGGGCCTTCCTCCACATTTGAGTCGGCACCGAGTGTGTCTTGTGCACCAGCCTCTACTCCCCCTCCTTATTTTTCTTCGAGAGCGGCGCGTTTACGTGTGCTGCGACGCCAATTGCGGGATTCCGGTATCGCTCAGGCCCCATAGTTGGAGACTTGACCGTGTCTTGGTACCACAACCGACCACGGAGGGTCAGCGAGGTATGGCGGCGCTAGAAGGAATATCCGGCAGCGACAGTACTGACATGGTGAAAGGTCTTTTCTTGTAGTCACTCGCCCTCGCCATTCGCACCCCATCCCACTACCCGCTGCGCACAGCCACGCCTCCGCGTCATCCCATGCGAGCGGCTCTCTAGACGGGCCTGCAACACTTCCCACTGAATCAACTTCAGTGGTGACCTATCCACCATGCTCGGCTACCTCACCAGCCGCTGGCAGTCGACGGGCGAGCAGAAGAAGACCAGTCCCACCTGGTTCGACCGCCACTTCTCGCCCATCCTTCTCTCCGTCGCGAAGAAGGCATGCACCCACCCAATCCACACCATCGTCACCATTGCCTTCCTGGCTAGCTACTCATATTTGGGCGTTCTCGACAGGGGCCTACTGGAAAGTGGCATTGAAGAAGTCTCTAGCCGCGTCGACTTCCACTCCCTTTTGGCCGGCAGCAAGACGCTCAGAGTAGGAGAGGAGACATCATGGCAGTGGGAGGCTGAAGAGCCCAAGACTACCGTTTACAAGGACAAGGTAGGCAGCTCCGCCAACTCTAAGACATCTGGCTAACAAAACAGACTGCCCAGGAACTCGCTCTCGTCACTCTCGTCTTCCCCGAATCGAGCACCATCAACTCTGCTCCCTCGCAACAATCTGTCCCCAGCAATGTCTCTGCCAAGCTCCTCCCAAGCTCCTCCAGCTCCTTCTCCACTTTCTCGCACGACACTTCGCTCGCATTCTCTATCCCGTACACCGAAGCTGCCGATTTCCTCCAGGCTATGCAGGAGATTTCTGCGCCAGAGGACGCTGCTCAGTCGCAGGGCTCTGAGAAAGAGGGCACGCGCGAAGAGAAGAAGTGGATGATGAAGGCCTCCAAGAACGGCAGTGCGCCAGGCGGCGTGCGCAACTGGATCATTGAGTCGTGGACGTCTTTCGTCGATCTCCTCAAGGTATTTTGTCTGTGGATACAAACGTGAACTTGGCTAAGACCAGCACAGAACGCTGACACTGGCGACATCGTCATCATGGCCCTGGGTTACCTCGCCATGCACCTGACTTTCGTCTCTCTCTTCCTCGCCATGAGGCGGCTTGGATCCAACTTCTGGCTGGCTACTGCAGTCCTCCTGCAGTCGGCCTTTGCTTTCCTCTTTGGTCTCGCCGTGACAACCTACCTCGGTGTTCCTATCAACTTGATTCTGCTCTCAGAGGGTCTTCCTTTCTTGGTGGTCATCATTGGGTTTGAGAAGCCCATCGTTCTAACCAAGGCTGTCCTGTCTGCCTCTCTGGATGGCCGACGAGCAGCTGAGGAGAAGCGGGGTGAGCCTTTGACCATCCAGTCATCTGTACAGACAGCCATTAAGCGGACTGGTTTCGAGATTGTCCGCGACTACTTTTTCGAGATCTTGATCCTTGTCGCTGGCGCCATGTCTGGCATCCAGGGTGGTCTGCGACAGTTTTGCTTCCTTGGTGCCTGGATCCTTTTCTTTGACGCCATTATGCTGCTCACTTTCTATACTGCTATCCTTACCATCAAGCTTGAGATCAACCGGATTAAGCGCCATGTGGCTCTCCGCAGGGCTCTTGAGGATGACGGTGTCGATGGCAAGGTTGCTGAGAACGTCGCTCGCAACAACGACTGGCCCAACGCTCGTGATGTGCAAGTTGTCAACCACACAACAACTGTTTTCGGAAAGAAGATCACGGTGCCAAAGTTCAAGATTCTCATGGTTGCTGGATTCATCCTCGTCAATGTCCTCAACGTAGTTACTCTCCGATTTGGCCTCTCTCCTAGCAAGGTCTCTCACGTTTCGGGCGTAGGTGCCACCCCTCCGCTGGACCCCTTCAAGGTCGCTGGAAATGGATTGGACCACATCTACGAGCATGCCAAGAGCACCGCTACGTCAACTATTGTCACCATTCTTATGCCGATCAAGTATGAGCTTGAGTTCCCTTCTATTCACTACGCCGAGCCTTCGATTACAGACAACGAGTTTGCTTTCGGAAGCAACATCAGCACTCACATAGTTGACGGTGTACTGAAGAGTCTGGAGGACCCTTTCCTTAGCAAATGGATCGTCCTTGCCCTTGTAATGAGCGTGGTCTTGAACGGCTATCTCTTTAATGCCGCTCGCTGGACCATCAAAGAACCGCACCAGCCACTCGCGCCACCCTCTCCCTCCGAAGTCCAGGATGGGGCTCCTACTGTGCCAGGCACTCCTCGCGTACCTTCGATGCACATGCCTACGCCACCTCGCACCCCCGGCCCTGAGGATCAGAATGGTCGCCTTCAGCCCCTTACGCAGATCGCAACACGAACACCGGAGATACCGGTCGGACCCTCTGAAGAACAGCAAAGACAGCCAAACCGTCCCTTTGAGGTTCTCGACCTGATGATCAAGGAAAAGCAAGCACCCAAGATGACTGACGAGGAGCTTATCGAGATGTCACTCAAGGGAAAGATTCCTGGTTATGCTCTAGAAAAGACGCTTGGTGACAAGACTCGTGCCGTCAAGATTCGTCGTGGTCTAGTCTCACGTACCCACGCTACACGGGAAACCTCAACACTACTGGAACGTTCGCTGCTACCTTACAAGGACTACAACTACGATCTTGTTCATGGCGCATGCTGTGAAAACGTCGTCGGCTACCTCCCTCTCCCCCTCGGTGTCGCTGGACCTATCCTCGTCGACGGCCAAAACTACTTCCTTCCCATGGCAACCACCGAGGGTGTACTTGTCGCTTCAACTTCTCGAGGTGCTAAGGCTATCAACGCAGGTGGCGGTGCTGTTACTGTTGTGACTGGTGATGGTATGACCCGCGGACCCTGCATTGGGTTCGATAGCCTTGTACGTGCTGGTGCTGCGAAGAACTGGCTTGACTCGGAGGAAGGCCAGAGGACGATGAAAGACGCATTCAACTCCACTTCTCGCTTCGCCAGGCTCCAATCTATGAAATCTGCCATCGCTGGTACCAACATCTACGTTCGTTTCAGGGCCACCACTGGTGATGCCATGGGTATGAACATGATTTCCAAGGGTGTCGAGCATGCTCTCACCGTCATGGCAACCGACTGCGGCTTCGAGGACATGCGTGTAGTGACCGTATCGGGTAACTATTGCACTGACAAGAAGTCCGCCGCTATCAACTGGATCGACGGTCGTGGCAAGGGTGTTGTTGCCGAAGCTATGATTCCCGGCTCTGTCGTCAAGTCAGTCCTCAAGTGCGAGGTCGAAGATTTGGTACAGATGAACATTTCCAAGAACTTTATCGGATCTGCAATGGCTGGTGCTATGGGTGGATTCAACGCCCACGCGGCGAACATCGTTGCTGCTATCTTCTTGGCCACCGGACAGGATCCAGCACAGGTCGTTGAGAGTGCCAACTGTATCACCATTATGCATAAGTAAGTCGCTCCTTTCATCAGATACGACAAGGCCACAACCTAACGAAGAACAGCGTCAACGGCAACCTTCAAATCTCCGTCTCTATGCCTTCAATTGAAGTCGGCACAATCGGTGGCGGTACCATTCTCGAACCTCAATCCGCCATGTTGGACCTCCTCGGCGTACGAGGTGCCCACCCAACATCACCTGGTGACAACGCTAGGCAACTGGCTCGTGTCATCGCTGCTGGTGTATTGGCTGGTGAATTGTCGCTCAACAGCGCACTGTGTGCGGGTCATCTTGTCAAGGCGCATATGGCACACAACAGGAGTAATGTCCCATCTCGCGCCCCTACACCCGCGCCTGCAACACCAGTTACAGGAGCTCAGACACCTGTGACCGGCGGTGGACCTTTGTCAGCACTGAGCTCTGGTCCCGCACCAAGACGGTAAGGATCCAGGGAGTGGTCAGGTTTGGCGTAAAAGGTTGTCCTTGGGGTTGTAAATACGAGGGACGATACCTGGTTTTGTATTTGCACATTTCAGGTTAATCTGGGTTAAGAGGAATAAGGAACGGAACGGGGATTTATATACATACATTCGCAAGAATATGTTTTGTCATTGTGGCAGAATTACCATAACATTAATTCATTCTTGATAAGCTTAAAAGTATTGCTTTTACTTTGATTGTGATCGTTGCTCTTGACTAATTCTAGCGCACTACGAAGGGTTGCATTAGGGGCCGCTCCGGTGCTGTCGTGAAAGCTTGATGCAATCTTGATGAGTAGGCACCCGTTGTGTTATCCCAGACATACGTTTTGTAGAACGTT